GCTGACCGCCGGATTGACCGGAGTTCGAAGAGTTCTGGGGCTTACCATTGTTGTTAGGCTTACCACCAGAGAAGGGTTTAGGCTTCGGCGTGAACGGCGCCGAAGAACCAGATGGCTGAGAGTTGTTTTGCTGGTTAGTAGAACCAGTCTTGAAGTCCGAGGAACCCTTCTTCGGGTTCCGAGCAACAAAAGGCTTACCAGCCTCGCGCTTCCTAGTTTCCTCGCGTTTCCAATAACGATTGTCAATGCGAAGAACCTCTTGACGGTAATCGGCGAGCGTCGCCGGCTCGGGCAAACGCGCCATTTCGTCCTTGATGCGCTCAGCTAAGCCTCGTCCATAAGCCCATTTCAGGGCAGCAGAATCCCAGTTGGTACTAGCAGCCAGGGTGTTGAACCGGATATTGTATTTCCGGATGTTCTCGGTTTCCTTCATCTTCAGATTACCGAGAGAATCTTCGGCCTCGCCTTGGGCGTCGTAAACGCCGAAATTGTCCTGAAGCTCCTTTACCAGGGCCTTGAAGGAGGACGTCCAGGCCGGCAGCGAGTCGAGATCCGGATCGAGGATATCAGGGACAAACCATTCTTTGGCTGACCCACTGAGATAGGAAAGGGTGTAGTTCACCTTCCGTTGGTCGGTGAAGTACTTGGGACGGTCATTGAAGACCAGGGCGAGATTGACGAAGAACGTCTTGAGTTTTCGGGGATCCGAACCGTCGAAGACCTCTGGCTCCTTGACCTTGCTCTTGGATTCAGAGCTGTCAGAAGGGCGGCCGAGAGCGGCGAGGACGGTACCAAGGGTCTCAATGGAACCCTTGAACCCCGAGAGGAGTTCCAACATAGCACGTTGCTCGTTGGGGATGTCAGGAGATATGGGAGAGCGAGGTCCACCAGGTCCACCAGGACCGCCGGGACCGCCGGGACCACCAGGACCACCAGGTCCACTGGGGTCACCAGGTTCACCACGCGGTAAACCGCCGGAATCGTTATCCAGATCGTCGTTGTTATTATCGGCGCCCGGATCGTCGGGGTCGACAGGAGGGTCTTGATCATCGTGATCACCGGTGTCCAAATCGAAGTGAGGAGGTGGGTCACGAGGAGATTCAGAAGCAGCGCGACGTTGGGGTTGTTTACCCGTACGGCGGGCTATGGCTTGGAGGATTGGGGAATCAATTCGAGTAGTAGACCGGCCCCGAGCCGGAGCGACCACGGGGGGTTGTCCACGGCGAGGAGTCAGGACTTGGACAGGTTGTCCGTCACCAGTATACAAGGTGCTGTACTCAAATTGTTGTTCTTCTTCCATGGCTTCAGGAAGAGTCGACGTAGTAGGAACTGTGGCTGGACCGAAACCGCGATTACGGCGACGTGGTTGACCAATAGCAGAGATAGAGTCGGAGAATGGGGCAAATGATTGAGCTGTAGTGAAGAAAGTGTTTTCTTCGGAGTTAGCTCTAGATTGAGCTCGAGTTTTCGGAGGCATAAAAAATGATATGTCAGTACGACGTTAACGGATTGAGTTTAATTATACTGTTAAGATCATGTACACCGTGTAACCGTGCCAAGGCCACAGGGTGTCTAAGTGCGGAAGACGAATGGGACAGTAGTGAAGTTATTAACAACACCGCCGTTACGCCGTTAGTCCCCGGAGAGCGAGAGTAGAGAGAGAGGAGCTAAGTAGCAGCCAGGTCGGAGCGGCGGTATCGCCGATGACGAGGAGCGGACCAGAGAACGTTAAAGTCCTAAGGTCGAGGAGAACGTACTTCGAGGCGTTGAACCTGAAGACTTAGAGGAGAGTTAAGTTGGAAAGGGAGATCTAAGTTGATAATTAAACTGAGGAACTACGGTAGCGTACAGGCAGTATTTATATCTACGGATCGGCGCAGCGGTGCGGAGCGCCAGACTAACTACTAGGAGCTATACGAGTAGTACCTGCAGGGTAGAGTAAAAGACAATAAGAAGGGACTAGAACGAAAGGGTATGTGTAGCGAGAAAGAACAATAAGAGTGAGATAACAATAAGGAGCAGATCTTCGGAATCCCGAACGGCGGAATGGAGGCCCGCGGCATGGACTTGACAGGCTCAGAGACACTGCATCTGCAAAACCTGGATGTTCGCGAGAGCAAGGGTACTAGCTGGAGAGCGCTGTCCAGCACTGAAAGCACTCCCAGCAGTTTTTCAGTACTGCTGGGAGCGCTTTCCCAGCTGGACAGTGCTGTCAGCTGCTTTCGAGCTCTTAGCCGAAAATACAGGTTTTGCAGATGTGAACAATATTAAAGGTAATAACCACGGGTCTCTTTGGATTGGTGTGCAGGTATGTATGTATTCTGAGAGCAAGTTATACCCTGCCTGTACTGTGTTATATATCTCTTCACTCTTGTGGACTTTCTTTGATAGAGGACAATTTACAGTGGCACTGTACATACATGTTTGACAAGCTTTCTCTCTTTCTCTTTCCCTCCCCCATGAACCCTTTGCACATTTCTCATGTCTTTTTTCTCATGACCCAAATTATTCCGCAGCGTTGTACACACATCAAAGGTGAAATGTTCACTCTGTTACATACTAGATATTTTGTTTCAATTAATTCTCAAACAGACAAGAAGAGCTAGTCTCGAGTACCAAATTGATGAAAAAATGATGAGTGTGATATTTATGGGTTTTGGTCAATGATGATTGCTACATTCTTAATCACTGAAATTACTCTCTGTTCATTCCTTGTTGCATTGACAACACATTTGTGGGTCAATTGTGTGGTTTAGTGGTGGTGACTCCTGCGTCACAGACAAAATTTTCTACTTACTGTCGGGACCAATGCACACGACAACTTGGTTACCTTCTTTTATCCATTGTCAAGGTTTCGTGAGTACAATCAAATCCAACTATTGCAATGGTTGTGGGCCAGCAATACACTCGATGTTGATATACAATTGACATTGCCTATGGGCCATGCAAATTGGGGATACAATTTCTTATAATCATCAACACCAAATATGAGTGTTCGCATCTGCTCCAGTATCGAGAGGAACTTGCATTGATAGTTATGATTCACTCCATTCGAGAGTTGGTTTTACGCAAAGAGACTCATGAGAATGTACAATAGGCCTACACATGGTAAGAAACAGGCAAAATGCACATGATTAGGGTGCTAGTCCACCTCATTTGTATATAGAAAGATGGGACGCTCCTGACCTTCCGGATATTCTGTGGGAGACCCCGAGTACATCCATCGTAGTTCAGGTGATAAGCGCTTTTGAGGTTGTGACAGGACAGGCAAGGAACGTCTCGGAAGCAGATACTTGGTAAATCGCCGAATGGTTGCGGAAATGCGTTCAGTCGAGTAGAATTGGTCCAAGTCGCACGGCGCTGCCCTGAAGTTAAAACATCTTTGATGCTTTCGAACAAGAGCATCAAATTGCATGACCACGTCATCAATTGTGGGTCGCTTGACGGGGTCATCTTGAACCATAGAATCAACAAGCGGTTTCAAAAAAGCAAACCGTTTACAGCAACTGGAACCACTGCGCTAGTGGTGTTTGTGTCAGCTATCGCACCCTTCCATCAAGTAACAGCAATACCTCAGTGAAATTTTGACGGATGAGATTACCGATGTAGTATATATCTGTTGAGAAAGGATTGGCATGTTTGTACTTTTGTGCGTGCTCGGGGGCTGATTTATCGCCTCCTCTCAGAATCCTTTCCAAAGGGGGGGCTGTGCGTTTACTGTTGTATATGTGGGAAAGGCCAAAATCAATCAGATAGTATTTCGGCCAAAACTGCATTCGAAATCCAGTACGCTTAGCTGGGCGAAGGGGGTTGTCTTTTGCCTTCCAGGAATCTATTGAATGCCAGCCCTCTGGAAACATTTGGGTACCATCCATCATGATGTTCATCTCCGTGCAATCACTGGTTTTGTGTAAGAGGAACTGAGAAGGCAAACAATATACTCAACATACCCATGGGCAACAAGATGTTCATGCATAAATTGGATACCCTAGACTTTGTTTGAGTTGAGAATATACATTGGTTGCATAGATGCACACCTCGAGCAACTGTTGCATGAAAGCGATGGCTTCCCCCACGGTGTCGAACTCTGGCTCATTGAACAGCCTCAAAACCGGCATCACAATCAAGTCCATTTCACTGTTTGGCACAGGAATGACATCGTATATAGGAACACAGTGGTTGCGAGGTTCTGCTGCTATTGAATCATTCGAGAAATATAAACCAATTTCGACTTCTTGAGGATGAATAACTCGCGAGACTTTCTTGAGCATTACAGGTTTATTGTCAGAAATTCGTATAGCGTCAATGAGCGATCCCTAGGATGATGATCAAGTTTAAAATAATAAAGTTAAGCATCGAAGCTTCGATACTCACGAATATAGGAACTTCTTCCGCATCGAAAAAGGCCTCGCTGAAAGGTCGTAGCTGGGGTGGCGGTTTGTCTGGCTGATATCGCGACCTTAATCTGTAGCCTACACTTTCCAACCATCTTGAGTGTTCCACCCAGAACTTTTCATTATCAATAATATCGAAAGCGTAAGCTATGAGGGTTTCTCCTTTCCTGGCAGGACTACAGCAAGCCATAGGAGGAACGTAGTAATGGTGAGGGGAGACTGAAGAAGTCAGCGGGCCGGACTGCATAGATTGACGCATTTTATATCACTGCAAAGTGCAATTATCTTACAGCGGTCATTACCATTATGCTATGGATTCCGAGTCGGTCTTCGACGCAGCCGTGTATCTGAGTATCTATCTGTTAGGAATTGAAATTCCATAAATTTATTCGTCTCGTCTATAGCTAAAATATGGGTGAGTACTTAAGTATATATACTGCATCTTTCCATCGTCCACTTCATACACAATCTGTTCTTCTGCGACTCTCGGCGGCATAAGTAAATACGTTAGAATACATCGTCATTTCATTTGAAAGTGTCCTATCTTTGGGTGTTGATTACCCTAAGATGTGAGGCGAAAACGTTTTGGTTGGTGATGGCCAGCAATCATCCTCGGTATGTACAGCAACTATGGGGTGTATGTTTAGTGTAAGAATCGAACTAAGAACGATGCGATAAGTTTACCTTATCAAGTAGGGAATCATCGAAACGAAAAGGCAAGCAAAGGCGGCCCAGGTGAGGAATAAACCAGGACCTGCGGTGATGTAGATGCCAATGGGCGTGGGATCTGTCCCTATGATAATGGTGCTGACGCCGTCAGACTTCTTGATGATAACAGTCCATACCACGGCTCCAACGAGGACAAACAAACTGCTGATGGCTGAGAACACCGCAGAGAGGAAAAAAGTAAGATTATGTTTGGCTACACCACTAAAAGAGATCATGAGCAAGAGGATGGGGTGTAAGTACTATAAGCTCACCTGAGAAAGGATACTGCAGCGAGTATAGTTCCCAATAGGATGAGCCAATAAGCTGCCTTTGTTGACTGCCCCAAATAGTTCGAGTCACGAAAAGATCCGCCAGTTATGACGGAGGAGGTGATGATTGAGTAATTCGCAACCATGTCGCCGACAAAGTAGTCGTACGGCTTGTACGGGTACCCAACAGTCTCGTTGGAACAGATTCCAGCAGAATCATTGACATATCCACAATGCGAATAGAGTCCAAAATTATAGAATTGTCGGAGTCCTTGAGCTTCGAGTAACGGAGCGGATGAATTGGAAATGTATAAGTCATCGATGGGATCGAAAAGGGCTTTGTTCAAAGCATTTCTTCGACAATTCAGAGGAAGAAGTTGTGAGAAAAGAGCAAGGCGCACCCATATTGCGACACATTCATTCTAGCCTAGACGACGTGATCAACCGGAATCAAATCAACACACGGTGCACAAACAATTACCATGTAAATCCCTCGAGGCACAGTAGAAGTGTTGATTTGGCCAATCTAAGAGCAACATTTTGGATAAGATACTGTGGTTTTGTAGAAGAAGAAAGACACCGGCTAACATGCGTAAAAATCAAGAGAACCATAGCAGCAAAACTGTGTGTGATTTATGTGTCAAAAGACAGCCGATGACAAAAGCACAGACGATACTTACGATAAAAAAGAGGCGAACCCGATACAAAGTTCACCGCGCATCGTGAATGAAGAAGAGAGAAAGTGCGGAAGGCCAGAAAGCAGGCAACGCTTACTGCAAAGTGCAAATGAATTGAAAATGCAACTTCAACGTGGTACTGATCCGGCCGGCAATTTCCAGAGTAAGGACTCATCCGCGCGTCCATCTGTTCCCCTGGCGGTCCAATATTGCAGCTCTAGCCTAAGGCCTGAGCTCGCTCTCTATGGCCAATTTACAGCCTGTCCTCCATTCACCTATGGCTGCTCGAGCAATTGACACTTCCCCGAAATCTTTGGGTCTTTCTACATCAGACCGGCCACAATCCCCTCTAAGTCCTAATCGCCAAACCAGACGCCTTTCAAATGTTGTAGAAAAGACAGTGGACAAGCTGGGAAAAACTTTGAATGGAAGAACTTCCCCTGGGCATAGGCGGGTATTCAGTCTTAGCCGCAAAGGGAAGGGGAAAGAGAAATCAGCTGTTGAAGGTGAATTACCTACTTGGGTAAGATTAGCCAAATCCGTCAAACTGATTGATTGCATTAGACGGTGTGCTTTCTCCCTCTTCTTCAAATACACCTTTGTCTTCGCGACCAACTTCCCCTATGGCGGTGTCGCCCAACTCTCGCTCTCCAATACCGTCTCATGATGATTCTCCCTTTATTACTCCTCCATCTCCTCCACTTGCACCAACTAGGCCACCATGGCAAGGTGATGCTTCGGTATGTTGTAACACCTTTATTCATCGCACAGCTTTGGCCACAATACCATTATATCGCTTCAGATGCGCGTGGGGACGCAAACACTCATCCAGGCCCTACAAGCTCTTCCATGGGCCTCCGACCAGGACCACGAAGACGATATTACAAGCCACGATCCATCAGCTCTTACACTTGTAACTGACGAGGAAGAAGAGAGTGATGAGGAAGTAGTTGCTCCTCGTGCGTGCTATCTTACGTCTTAGGGCCGCGTTGCAGTATCTAATCTTTTCCCTTTAGATATGGCCTCTTCGATACACACCATATATAGGCCTGTGGCCCGCTCACGGAAAATGAGTCTTACCAGCCGGTCACGCCCACGTTTACATGTTTCTACACTGTCCTCGACAGAATACTCGTCCGATGAAATTGTGCAGTCCGATGAGGAGCCGGACGCAGACGATTTCGAAGAGACAACACCCAAAGCTCCTGATCCTGCGGCACCATCCCACCTTCAGCTCAGAAGTGTATCCTACGCAACGCAGAGACAGCTTGGTTCGAGTAAGCTTCCTGAAGTGGTTGCCATGAGTCGGTCTGGTCGGTCTGGAAGTATGGCAACTGTGAGGCTACAACGGAGAACAAAGCTTGCTGAGAAGTTGCGGGATATCTTCGAATTGGATGGGATTGAGGAAGTACAAGCTGGTACGTTCGGAATTTTGTTCGGGAACCCTCCACATACCGATGCATTACCACAGAACTGCCGTGTTGGCTTTTACGATCTGTTTGTGAGCCACTCCATTCTTTCTACCTATCAATCGAGCTTCTATATCTTCATTTTCAGTATTACAGGGATATATGTATCTCACGAACAGCTTTCTATGCTTCTTCGCGCATATGCCTTCCCGAGAGGTTCGAGTTCACCGTCCTTCAGATTAAACCACAGATTCTCATTGCGGTCTACAGGATCAAATTCTCAAGTCAGGGTCACTCAATAAGAAAGCACAACGCACCAAACGTTGGGTTAGGCATTGGTTTGTGTTGAAGAACGATGCGTTGAGCTGGTACCAGTCATCTTCAGTCAGTTCCATTGCCGTTTTGACATAGACCACATCTCAACGATGAACTCACTAGGACCCGTACTTTCCACATGGTATAGTTGATCTTCGCTATGCTATATCATGCGAACCTTCAGGAGAGCGTGGTTTTCGTGTCCGAACGAACCAAAAATCAATAGTGCTTTCTGCGGATTCTGTCCCCAGTCGGGAAGAATGGGTCAAGGCGATAAGGAAGGTGATGTTCAAGGCGCAGAACATGGGTGATACCGTCAAAGTCAGTCTTTTTCTATCGTGATATCTATCGCTTCAACAGCCTCCCGTAGATTGCTATCCCTTACTCTGCAATCCTCGACGTTGACAAATCGTCTGCCTTGGACTTCAGCGAGACCATCGAGGTCAAGGTGTATGACAAGGAAGCGCAGGAGCAATTTTCTATTGACTCGTTCTTCTTCGCCTATTTCCGTGACCTACCTGCTGCACTTGACCAGATCCGGGACGCAGTTCGTTGTCGACGCACTAAGGGAGAAGCGTCATATACTGTTCTCGATACCACTGCTACGCGAAATGTCGCAGGACCCTCAGGATCAACTCTACCTACATCTATCACCAGCTCAAGCTCCTTATTCAGAATACCCTCCATACTTCGTCCTTTCTCAGAATCAAGAATCAGCTCTTCTAGCACCACTACCTCAGCTACAGAACCTCAACACGAAGAATTTACACATATCACGAAACGTGTTCATTCATCCTCATTTATACCGATCACCACTACCCTTTCACCTACGTCTCTTGGAGACGTGGAAGATGACTCTCTCGACACCCCTATCGCTTCCACTATCATCATCGACTCAAGACATACATATCCTCCCTCAACTTCAGGTTCTCCTGTCGCATCCACACATCTATCCATACCTCAGAGATCCGGAACAAGCAATAGCGCATCGAGCTCCAATGGAAGTTCTTGGGCTGTGAACGTACCTCATTGGCTCAAAGTACCCCGAACCAGGAACTTGTTCGGCGGTGTCGCAGATACACTTCCTGTTATTCCGCCAGGAGGAGAAGTTAGGGAAATGTACACATCAGCGGCCACCACAAGCCCTATATCTGCAGGAAGCAAGCTTGGCAATGGTGGTGATTTGACTTACAGTATACTCGAAACACCCGATGCACCAATCGATGATGATATTGCTGAGAAGTTCCGAAATTACTTTGCTTATGACGAACGGGAGACTCTCCTAGGACGTGCGTCCCAAACTATTGCTCTGAACGTTACTGATCGAGATGCATGTAGATTTTCCGGGATACATATACCGCTTACTGCCGGTTTATGGTCGTCTGTATATTTCCCTCAATCACTTCTGCTTCAAGTCTTCTGGACCATTAACTGCTCGAACAAGGGTACGAATTCCTTTCTCTCATGTTCATGTGAGGGCTAATAATCAATGTGTATTTAGATGGCACTTCCCCTCCGTGACATTCTCTCAGTGGAGAAGTCAAAAGCTACTCGATTTGGACAGCATGGTTTGATTGTCATTGTCAAGGGGCACGAAGAGTTGTTTTTTGAATTCGGTGCAGAAGACAAGAGAGACGCGTTTGTCCGTCTAATCGAACGTCAAATTGATGATGTCAGACGTAGATTAGAGGAAGGCGAAGCTTCACTCCCGACGCCTGGGCAGCGCGATGCTCTCATCTTGGAGGAACTTGATATACATTCATATTCTCCAACCGCTGAAGAACATCGCCTTTCCGCTCCCGAAAACCTGACAGACTCTTTATTGGCGCCGATGTTCAGCTCGTCTACGTTTTTGACTTTCAAACCTCAGAAGAGCTTGCATTTTACATTCTTAACTATTGGTTCGAGAGGGGATGTACAACCGTATATTGCACTAGCAAAGGGTTTGCAAGCGGATGGACACAAGGTTCGGATCGCAACACATAAGGAGTTCAAAGAGTGGATCGAAGCGGTGAGTACATCTCATTCATGAGAGCGTGTTTTTTGACGTTTGTTCCTACAGCATGATATCGAATATGGCTACGTCGGTGGAGACCCTGCAGAGCTTATGCGTATATGTGTTGAGAATGGCATGTTCACCGTCTCATTTCTCAAAGAGGGTCTTCAGAAGGTAACCTTACTTTCCTTGCTCATATCGTTAATCGTTGACTGCCGCGCAGTTTCGAGGTTGGTTGGATGATCTTCTCAAAACTGCTTGGGAAGCTTGTCAAGGAACAGATGTTTTGGTGGAGAGCCCTAGTGCAATGGGAGGCTACCATATAGCTGAAGCACTTGCGATACCTTACTTTAGGGCATTCACTATGACATGGACTCGAACACGGTGAGATCTTACACATACTGTCGAGAGTAATCTTCGATGCTCACAAACATGCTTTAATCAGTGCCTATCCTCATGCGTTTGCTGTTCCCGAGCGCAAGGTATGTGCCATGCGTATTTCTTCTACTTCACGAATTCATCTTGGTTCATAGATGGGTGGTAGCTACAATTACATGGTGAATCTCGCTTCGCGATATCTACCCGGACTATGCTAATTATTTTGTTCAGTCCTATGTCATGTTCGATCAAGTTTTCTGGCACGCTATTTCTGGACAAATTAACAGATGGAGAAGGAATATCTTACATATTGAGAGTACTAATCTTGACAAGATGGAGCCACACAAGATTCCATTCTTGTATAATTTTAGCCCAAGCGTAGTACCTCCGCCTTTAGATTGGCCTGAATGGATACGGATAACAGGTTCGGACATTGTCGTTTGCGTGGATTATTACATCATGGTATTGACCAACATACACCATATTTAGGGTACTGGTTCCTTGATGACGCCGACGTGGGTTCGAAGAAATGGACACCCCCAGAAACCCTGTCCAAATTTATCGACACCGCACATTCTGCTGGCAAGAAAGTGGTTTACATCGGGTTTGGCAGCATCGTCGTGTCCGATCCCATAGCTATGACCAAATGTGTCGTTGAGGCTGTCGTGCAAAGCGGAGTATGTGCTATCCTGTCAAAAGGGTGGTCAGATCGGCTACACGTCAAGTCTGGAGATGCAGGAAATGTAGAAGAACCCTTACCTGATCAAATCTATCCTATCAGCTCTATCCCGCATGATTGGTTATTCCAGCGGATTGATGCTGCATGCCATCACGGAGGTGCTGGTACTACTGGAGCTAGTCTTCGAGGTGAGATACTATCCAAGCAAAAAACTTAACATTCTTTCTAAGCTCGTCATCAGCGGGAATACCAACGATTATCAAACCGTTCTTTGGTGACCAATATTTCTGGGCGGATAGAGTCGAAGCACTGGGAGTCGGTTCTGGTGTCAGGAGACTCACGGTCGACTCGCTGACAGAAGCGCTTCGCGTTGCTACGACAGACTCTAAACAGATATCTCGTGCAAACGCATTGGGAGAACAGATTCGCAAGGTATTTTTCAGTACATCATCTGCACTTCGCGCAATTTGACTGATTCACTGCCCTTGGTAGGAAAACGGTGTAGACACTGCTATTGAGTCCATCTATCGTGACTTGGAATACGCACGGTCATTAATCAAGCGGCCAATCGAGCTTGACAGCGACGGAGGGGTCACTGATATCGAAAATTCTACCATTCGACAACCGCCTTCGAGTGCAGAACCCAAGTCCGGCTACAGTTCCAACGGATCCGTTCATGGCGCTCCCAGTGACTGGAGTGTCATTTCCGAGAGCGGTGATCCTAGTCGAAGGTCATCCATTAGCTCAACGTTTAGCGGAACCTCCGATGATCGACCCAGCAAGCGTTCTAGCATTGCAGCTGCCATGCTTTCTGTGCTACCCAATTCCTTAACACCCGGATCCCCTCGCAAGCGAACTATTTCAACGCCTTCACAATCTTAATCAATTTATGTAGATTTTGGCTTCACACTTTTTCTGTGTATTATGCATACATGTATACAATGTGTACGATGTAACTCATTTATTACCACCCAGACTAGATCCGATGTAGATATCCCTTCCATATAATCTCACATAGAAAGCCTCTGCTCATGATAGGTGCACTTCCAGCCCAGTCGCGCAAAACGAAAATAAAAAAGAGTATCAGAAGCCTCTGCAGTAAGCCTGTCCAGGGACGTCTAGGCCTAAAGCAGTCCCCTCTATGAGATTGTCGAACTCAAGCAAGAAATGGCTGAAGGGCTGTCTGTGCATTCCGGCAAAAGTAAAGTGAAAAGAAGGAAAACTGCTGTAGCTTTGGACCCTAGAAGGCCCTCGTTCTCCTCAACATAAACGCATCCTGCTCAGAGCTGGGTGTTTGTGCATGGAGGTACGTCGTTCATTTTTTGAATTGGCTACATTGAAGGTCTTTATATGAATAATGTGTGATTGATGTTCATATCACTTGAAGGATGAGGGGTGCGCGAACAACTTTGCAACAAGACTACTGGATACATATGAACAGACGAAATATGGTAAGAAGGCAGGCAGAGCAAAAAAAACTGTTGGTACACAATAAATGAGAGCTTTGGCATCAATATAAATATACTATTGCTGATATCCCAGAGTCAATCCTTTGGTGCAGAAAACCAGCCTTTCAACCTAGCCCAAGTGCCGTTTTGAGGCTTGGGAATAGTTTTGTCTTCTTCAATTGGGTTGACGGGAAGATTAGCTTGTGAAGGTTCACCACCCAGGGTCATGGGTTGAAGACGCGATTCACGTAGAAGCTTGAGGATTAGAGACACGCCTTCTCGGGACTATAAGATAGTGATGATGAGTAAGGTGATGCAGCCAATATATACACGACGTACACGATGAACATGAGCCTTGAATCTATTCAACCCGTGACTCTCAATCCGCTTTGTGAGCCCCCAGCCGAATCCAGACAGGACTCGAGCTTCGGTAGTTTGCACAGTTTTCCTGAGACAAAATGAGTTTACAGAAAACAAGTTGGGCACTTGTGATACGTACCCATCCTCCGTCTGCCTTATGTACACAGATTCTTCCATTTTCATAACCTTTGTAAATTCCAAATTCTTGGTTGTGCACCGGAGTGTTTGACCCAAAGGGTCAACTTCACTTTCTTCCAAAACCCATGATTCTGCCCTCGATATGATTCCTTTTGGTGCCCATCTTGGCAGGGAGCCCCTCTTCAGAATGAGACGTGTAGTCTGCAGAGTTCCGGAGTGAGTTACGGTGCGAGAAATAACGTCGCATGAGATTATATGGGAGGCATATGGGTTTGGATAGCGTAAGAAGTAAGCCAAAGAGACTATAGACCAGGGATCGCTGCAGAGTGGTTGGTTAATAGTCAATGTTATGAGCCGGAAATACGTACTCGTAAAAGAATGATTGGGAATGATACTTCATGATAACAACGATCCCGGCAGGTTGGATTAAGAGTTCAGCAAGCCAGCGCAATCAAACAGCTTGGGCACGATGGTAGAATAAATGAGAAAGCCGAGACTTTGACTGAGTGCGCGGCGCGGCTATGTACAAATTATGATTACGTCAAAAGCCTGGGCATTATGCAATGGTCACCCAACCTCATACATGCCGAACATGGTCAATGCTGGTGTGTAGCTGGCTTACACGCAAAAAATGATTATTGCTAGATAAAATTACAAGGCTATAGGTTCCTGGAAAGAATACGTATCATCTTGAACGACATCGTTATCTATGACCACTCGTAACCCGTCATGAGCAGGCCGAATCCAGAACGGTTCACCAGACCCAATTAGATGTAAACCTTTCTGCTCATTCTCGGTGAGTGTATTCTCGTCAGTGACCTTTGCCCCGCCGACGGCCTCCGTGATCGTCACATATTCCTGGTGACTTACAATATGAGAGAAACCTAGGAGGTACGTCCGTGTCGCAGATATTTCCCTTGCAACAGCAACAGATTGCTCTAATCCGAAATGAGAAGTATGAGAACGGAGGCCCAGGCAGTCCAGGATACACAACGGAAGAGGACGGCCCTCCCGACGTTGTTTTGCACCATGGATGATTGACCAGGCCTCTTCAGGGATATGCGAAACGTCTGATAGATAAACGATTTCATCTTGTATCTTGAACCCAAAGCATAAATATGGCTGAATAACAGGCTCTTTAGTGTTCTTTTGAGGATCTGTACCGTTTAGAGACAACAGCCGCAATGCCTGTTCTAAAGGTTCTGAATGAAGTGCGGGAGTTACTGTGCCGCCAGTCATTCCACTTGGCGTAGGCAGGTAGGCAGGAGGTGGTATCGTAGAAAATATGCGACCATGATGAACTAGTTATACCTCGTAAGCAGAACTGCCCAGAGGAACTCATCAATCCTACCTGAAAACGGTGTCACCCATATTCCGGTGTCGTTAATTTCGAATGGAACTTTGTCACCAATGATGTGCCATACAAAGTCGGGAACCTAACAATCAAATCAAGGAACTTCAGGAAGTTGAAAACATTATCCAGCTCACATCTCCGCCTCCCGACGCATACTCTTTCGACACCAGATAAGGAAAGGATCTTTGTACTTCTGTGAAAGTAGCTTGGGAAACATAGACGTCAATGTGAGGTTGTATACTATTTCCAAGCGTCCATCCTTTTTTAAACAAACAAAATTGAGAGCTCCTCAGGGTTCAGATAGTGGAAAGCGCACCTCTAAGGTCGTCAAGTCCATTCATTGCTGTATGGATATGGTTTGAGATGATCTTGCGAGATCAATAGTGGAAATATCTCTGACCATCGGCGTGCGCATGGGTAATCAGCAAAGCGTCTATATTTCTTAATCCATGCTAGAATGAAACAAGACATTACTTTCTATAATTACAATAATTGACATCAACCCGAACGCACCTTAGGAAACCACTCTACAGCAGCGGCCTGGAACGTTTTTCCCGCGTCAATAACAATCGTCCTGGGCATCGTCTGAATACATACGATCTTGAGAAGCCTTGAAACTCACACTCACACATCGCGTCCATCTTGAGCTTTCGTCCTCACCAGCGCTGAAGTATTCCTTCGTATATTCTTTTTTCCTTCGGGAGTCAGAGTCGAAAGACACGTCCGACAGGGCGGCTTGCTGGTCGAATCGTTGGGATCGTACGGAGGTCGGGTCAAACAGTCTACATGTGGAATGCTGGACGAAGTTCCTGTACCAAGAAAAATGAATTCCATTGGGGCATGATGCGAGGTAGACGGTTGAGCCATAATCGTGTATCAGAAAAAAGGATAGATATCGAGTTCAACAATTGGTTTAACGTGTGATAGGGACATTACAGCTTCTCACGCTCCTATTCCATTGCCCCCCACTATGGTGAAGCATCCTAACGATGAAGAAGTTATCACTACGTATTATACATCATCAATATACAGTACGCGTTCATTTCGTGAATACTGATCAACGGAGTTAATGAACTAGACCAAGAAAACTGAAAACTGTAAGAAACACGCACTTGAAACAACATCCTCATCTTGTACAGCATGCGCTAAGCTCACTTTCTGTGCATGTGGTGAAAACTTGCTTGATTTACCCCTACGTACAGAAGTGAATGAGGGCTTCTCGGTGTTGAACGTTAAACAACACTGACCAGACAAGAGCATATCTGAAGTTTGGTGCTAGAGATCTATGGATTGTATTACAGACCGTCTGCGGTTTCAGCATCTTGAGAACGGCTTCAATGGTATCAAACAAAGATCTTTCACCTCGATAGTCGAGCCTTTACGTAGACAGACAGGATCGTCCAGGTCTGGATGAGCTCCCCGCTTCTTGGTGTATACCTTGACCATTGCGAGTTCTTCCCATATCCTGGAGACCAGGTAATCCAAACTGATATAAAGCAGAAGTGTCAGAAGGCTCGGAGTTTACGTCGCAGAAAATTTTTTGCTCGCTTTAAACCCATTTCGCAACTAATCACTAGACTCTGAGGGGTGCGAGCTATTTTGTCTACTTGTTCGAGGCTGATGGAGTCAATTTTATTGTATACATCTAAGCCATATGAGCAGGGGTTTGGTGATAAAGAAAGGCGGGTGACGAACAGATACAAGGAACGTATTTTCGGTTTCCTGTAAGCGGCAGGAATCAAATTGGGATCTCTCCCCAAGTCCCAGGTGAACACACCTATAAGGACATCGATAAATTCATCTGTGGTAATCTAACATGTGATTTAGAACAACTATCAGAGACTGAAGCTCGAACGCTCACATCTTCACGAATCATGACATCGCAATTGTGAAGCTTATCTGAAGCAAATGAGTACACTGGGAGAAACAAAGATCTCATACTGACTGACATCCAGCAAGTATGGTTCGGATCGTTTTCTCATCCGTCTTGGTTAATTTGACCGTCGTGTTGAACTGGGCTTCGTTTAGTAACACGTACATCGCATCGAGTTATTGTGTAAGATATTTCGTACCGTGATCTAAGATTACGGTGAGTCATCTGAATGTTATTGAGTGCGAGCTACTCACTCCGCCAGTTGTCCTTTTCTTGAATACTACATCGGGTTTACTCTTGTTCAATCGGATACCCACTGCGTCGAGTTCGTGCTCAAGCAGCCGTCTTTGCTCGTCAGATTTGGTGGCATCAAGCATTATGAGGATAACATCGGCTGTTTTGGCGGCTTTAGGGATGATTTGAGTATGGAAATTGGTTACATGGAAATTGATGATGCTCACTGGATACTACTTGTCTACCTCTTCCACGACCTGCGATGATTTCAGTGAATGTGCAAAATAACTAAGACCCGACATGTACCTTGGCTGGCTCCTTCTACGATCCCAGGCAGATCTAAAAGCTGTATTCTTGCGCCCTTATATTCGATTACTCCGGGAATGGCCTTCAGTACATCTTTAGCATTCGTTTTGGAAGATCCAACGGAAACCCACAGTGAGTGTTGTAAACTCGTACGCTGCTGCTTCGGACTGCGTGTGGGTCAACTTGCTCAATAAGGTGGACTGCGGCTTATCTTAGAGAAGGCATATATCTCAGGAGAGATTGTGACCAAACCTTTCCAACGGACGGAAAGCCAATCAAGGCTACTCTGGCATCACCACTACAGTTAGCCAAAACGTTAGAGCAGGGTAGTAATGATCTTCTGCAAAGAATCCTGCCTTTTCTGAACGTCGAATCCTGCATAATGATCAGTGACTTCACACTGAATTGATATTCAACACACACCTGTACCAGCGGGTCCTGATTTTGTCGTGGGTTCCAATAGCTGTTGCCGATAACGTGCAAGCTTGGCTTTTAACAAGCCCAGATGATATTCTGTCGCCTATACTTGAAAATCTCCTTGTTGACATGGGAAGGTTACAGGGCGCTTGCAATGTTTCTAACCTTGTTCTTCTGAGTCCTCGCCATCTCCTCTTCGATCTCCTTAATCTAGACAGGATATGAGATAGAACAATTCTCGTAACGAGTAAACAAAGGACCTTTTCTACGACACCCATATTCAAGAAGGAATCTGCTGCAAACGTTGATAGTAGTAATAGGCAAGGAGTAAATCCGATTCTTCTGATTCGGACAATCAAGTGCGTCAGAACACGTGCATTGAACCTTCACCTCGACCACGATGAGAAGGCATACGCCGACCTTATACCCTCATGTAGAGCAGGATATCGGCGAAGATCAGGACGCGGAATGGCCAGTCTCTCTTTCCCAATCCCGGAACTCCCATGTTTCACCTCCACTTTCCTCGACCGGCACTCTAAGTTCTCGAACGAAGTCACGGACGAAGCGTTCTTCCTTTCCATCCAACCCCATGCACACACGATTACGCTCTCTTCATGATTCAAATGTCCATCCCCGAGTCACAGACGTTTATTCTCAGTTCGTAAAAAGATATCGATCTACAAATGGCGATTCGGACGACCCGCGGAATGACCCGGATAGTCATTATTTCAACAGAGGGCTTGGGCAGCTGGTGGATGCAGGAGACAGTGATGATGAAGATTTCTCGAGAGCAACTCTTGCTTCCGGAGCCGATGGGTTAGAGCGTGTGTCCCTTATGCTCGAATCAGAGCCAATAGAACCCGCGTCTCAAAAGGAAAAGGACCGGCTTAACTGGCAGATATATTTTGCTTCGGTTCTTGGAGGAGATGTGCTGCGGTCAGAGAAGTCACGGATAGCAACTGTGCTGGAGGCTTCTGTAGACGAACAGAACCCTCACCTAAACACTTGGCTTGGTATACGCGCTAAAATCCACGGGCGTTCCGTCAAGGAGGAACGTGAAGCTTTGGAAAATCGCAGGATGCATCTAGTCGACTCAGTTATCAAAGAGATCAACACTTTTCGCCTCGAGAACTCAGATTGCTCGCAGGCTTTGTGCCAAATTTTGGCCGTACTGCGCCGTCTGGACACCGTACATTCTTTATATCCAAATCTCAAAGCATTCTATCTCGATAAACCTGAAGCCACCGAACCCGCATTTCAGGCCCGATCCGATACACTCAATACATGGGCTACGGTTTTGGATACCCTTCGCCACCAGGCTGCCGTTCTACGCCGATGGACTGGAAGCGAAGCATTGGACGTCACACAACCTAATACTTCGGGGGAGATACCCATAAATCCCAATCAGCGGCATAATGGACAGCCCGAAGTTGCTGATGGATCCAGTTTCGTGGAGCGAATGTTGAAAGAAGAGTCCATACAGCGGATGTTCGAGAAAGGGTCCTTGGTCACTGTGCACGCGTCCGTTGCCGCCGCTCGAGATGCTCAAGTCAACCTTGCAGGTCTTTTTGAAGAAATGAATCTCCCAACATTCGAAAACGAACTCCTTCCCTTGATATCCTTCCCAACTAAACTTGCACAGGCTTGTTTACATCTCCGACTAGCCTATGTTCAAAAAATCAAGGAGCCTGATATGCTCATCCTCGACCAAATGATAGATGATCTCAAACTAGGCATTGGTTTGGCATGTACCCTGAAACGACAATACGAAGCATTTTTAGCGCCAGATCCCGGTGGAAAGTGGAATCTACCATCGTGTATCAATGCTGACTATGATGCTAGTATTCTTGATTCTATGAGCATATTTTTTCGTCTAATTCATTGGAAATTGAAAGGCGGAGCAAAGGGCGTATATTTCAAAGAGACTGATGTGTTGGAGGCCCAATGGGCAACTTTGAATGATGTTGGGCTGTCCGTTTCTGGAGGATCAAGCTTAGTCGCGGAACAGATTTGGTAAATTATTATTTTTTTTTCATTCTGAGTCCACTATCACTCATCATCGTTAGCTCTCTAACCAATCGACTCATGGTTCGTGTCATCAATTATTTTGACACTCAAGTTCGTGTCCCGACATCTGCTACGGCGGCCGCTGCAGCAGCGATGAACGGAAAAGCCAAGGACGCAAAATACACCTTTGAGGAACATATGAGTGATCCATCCACACGCGCTATGACCGACGAGCAAAAAGTTAGCTGGTACGGCAAAGTATTAGACAGTGTGCGTTTGCGGTATCGTAAGCTTCAACGATTTGCAAGGTGAATACTTGCTTGTCGTCTGTTACAGCCCGGTTAACGCGAGGCTTGTAGAGATCTCACCCACCGCTTCAGCAACTCTGCTGAATATAGCCTCGAAGGTCTTGAACAACTTGATCACTTCATTGAATGCTTGGTTGCCACCGACCATTTCCTCGTGTACACTCACACATATGAAGAAGAGGGTATGTACGTTGTTGCTTCAAACTCCCTCTTCGATCGTCCCAACGAGATGCAGCGTATCTTTACGGAAGCCTTCCAAGTCTACGAAATCACCGACGACAATGGCACCCACATCGTCGAACCAGAGCCTGATTACGAGGACTCACAGTATCTTCTTGTCCTGTCCCCCCGGCATCAGTTCACATGGCGAGGTCGCGTAATGCTCTTAGAGTTGCCCAAAATTAACCTCGAAATGAAGGACGATCGTGTGCGACTCATAGCAGATGGCCCCCAAAGCCGGCTCGCAATTGCGAAACAATTATTCGCTGAATCGTTTCTGTCTGTGGATGAGAATGATTCGGACGACATTCGCCCTCTTACGTGTCTTTCAGATCAACAAGCTCACTTGCCTACGGTCAATAGGGAACTTCGCAAGATTGCACGTGCTACGATGCGTCTCGCAGAGTCAATTGTGGATTCGGTTCACCATGTCCGTAGCTCGATGAAGATGTCGACAGGATGCCAAGAGCTCATGGAAAACTGGTACCTCTTTGCCTCAGAACATGGTCAACACGCTCAGAAATTTATGGATCGATCCTCACTGCTCCGTTTCAATCGTCTCTTAATCAAGCTCGCTATCTCATGGGTGTCGTTCATATGCGACGATTGCCCTCCCAGTGATAGAAAGACGTTCAAGTGGGCCGTAAACGCACTTGAGTTTGCGTTTCAGAGGACAAAACGAAATATCCTTCATCTACCCGACGAACAGTTCCAGATGCTTCGGCAGAAAGTTGGGAACTGCATCACCTTGCTAATGGGTCACTTCGATATCCTCGGAGCTCGTTCATCCCTCGAAGCTCTGAGAGAAAAAGAGAGACAAGAACAGCAGCGCACACCGAGGATGGACGCTCTTCTCAATGCCGAAGACGAAAATACTCCCGACGATGGGTTGTCATTACCTGACAGCGGTGCGCGAAATTTTTGGACCCAAGTCTCAAAAGCAATCCAAGAAGTCGAAGGGCAACGAGTCGTGGTTGGTACTGAATTCCGGATACTCGGGCGTGTCTTGGACACAGAGAAACTTGAAGACCGGTCACTTGTATTCCTGGCCTCCTCGACTTCGAATATTTCAATACGCTGGCAACAAGGCAGGTTCATTGGTGCCGGTGCCTTCGGATCTGTTTATCTTGCTGTCAACCTCGATAATGGAGGACTTATGGCGGTGAAAGAAATCAAGTTCCAAGAACTGTCTGGTATTCCGAACCTTTACTCTCAAATCAAGGACGAGCTCAGTGTTATGGAGATGCTCCATCATCCTAACGTAGTTGAGTATTATGGAATTGAGGTTCATCGAGATAAAGTCTATATTTTCGAAGAATACTGTCAGGGTGGTAGCCTTGCCGCGTCTTTAGCACATGGGAGGATAGAAGACGAAAGGATTATTCAGGTATACACGATGCAAATGCTGGAAGGGCTCGCCTATCTTCATTCCAGAGGCATAGTCCATCGTGATATAAAACCAGATAGTGAGTATGATATCTGTTATGTTTGAGCTTTGAAACTCAATGCATACCTCAGACATTCTTCTGGATCATTTGGGCGTGATCAAGTTTGTTGACTTCGGTGCAGCCAAGATACTCGCGAAGAACCAACGATCAATGGCGGCGCGTTCTCGTCGAGCTGATAGCGACCCCACAAATGCAGGCGGTCTTGGTATGAACAACAGTCTCACGGGAACTCCGATGTACATGTCTCCTGAGGTTATCAAGAACGATAAACGAGGTCGACATGGAGCGATGGACGTTTGGTCATTAGGGTGTGTAGTACTTGAATGTGCAACCGGGAGAAAGCCTTGGAGTAATCTCGATAATGAATGGTTAGTCGAGCTGTTTTGTGCTTATCACTGGTACTTATTCTTCATAGGGCAATCATGTTCCACATTGGTGTCGCGACTCAACATCCCCCCCTTCCAGAACCTGATCAGCTCAGTGAACTGGGTATTGCATTCATTAAACAATGTCTAACGATTGATGCTATGCGTCGGCCCAGCGCAGACGAGCTTCTTGGTCATCCCTGGATGATCGAGTTTCAAGAAGCATTGGCGAGTTACGAAGAAGACGAGATCGCAAACGATCCTCCGAGAGAAATGCCGCCCGTGGAAAACTTCGCTAACGCAACTGTTGCGCGTCAAGCTGTTATCATTCAGGAAAAAGAAGTGGAGAACATAACTCGGGCATCACCGACCTCCGAATTGGGTTCAACACCCGAGGAAACCTTTTTGGAGTCAGTATAACATCTTAGATTCATGATTGGCATTTTCTTTATCATCTTATTCACTGATCTATGTAGCCTAGTCTGTAAAATCATAAGTATCGCCCGTGTTTGTTTCTAATTATCTTATTAGTACTCACATACATGTCAATTGTAGATGGAATAATTTTGAACTGTACATGTACATCCCTGCTGTTCATTCAACTATCAAACCCAGACAGTTCTATCATCGCTTGATATCGTTTCTCCATATCCTCCATATCTGTGATTTTTGCAGTTGCAGAAACATTGGAAAAAGGCACTTTTCCCATTGACGTACGCACTTGATGCCAATGGTTGTGGGTGTAGGGCCTCTTTCCTTTATCGTCATAGAAGGAAGCCGTTATCTGCACTGCGGTCTCTGTCTCTACATCTGTAGAAACAAACACCCACGGAGCATAATTGTGGACCCCCATTGTGACTGCAATTTTTGTTTGTGTTTTCTCATGTTGAAAGAGAAGTGTACAAGAGTTGCCACTGCAACGTTGATAGATTATCCACTCAGTGTCCGTCTGACGGACACATGCTTCATCATGGTCGAAGACAAGAAAGCCATCACCGGTAATCTTGCAGAAGAACGCATATTCCGAGTTTGCATAGTTGTCAAGTTTACTGCGTGCTACGATGGAAGTGTAGGCGCGCTGAATAGATCGATATATATCACGGTATTCCCCATTTCGCTCCGAGAATTTGTTGAGGCCTTTATGTGTGGAATTGCAACTGATTCTTTGAAATGAATCAATGCAAGCATATTCTTCATCAACGACACGCTATCAAATTCATGAAATTCAGAGTGAATGAATGAGCCACGGCATAGGTTGACGTACTCCAAATGCTCCAACCTCGCCTTTTAGCTCAAAAAAGCAGATGATATTATCCCGAATTTTGTGAATAGCGGGAAATGCCAAAAAATTCTCATTGAGACGTCTGAGTTCAAGTGATTGCTCAAGGAGAGTGTACAAAAGGGTGGTATGAGCACCACCAACGATGTGAGAGACCCAAGCACGAATAAGACCCAGAGTTGCGTATCTGGACCCAAAATGCGGTGTCCCGAGGAAGATAATGCCACGAGTGGCCTCGATGATATCATTTTGCATGCCCTGGACACCACTATTGTAACTTCCAGCCTGAACAAGAGCCTCACAAGCAATGTTTTAAAATGATCAATCAGATAGCAATGGATATTCTTACTTGTTTTATAACCAATCCTCCAAAACTGTGTCCAATGAAAATTATTGCACGTTTTTTCTGTGCGGTTTGTTTCAGTCGGTAGGAATAAAGTAGACAATGAATACGATACCTTTATTGAGGATCCTTGTCTGTCATCCACAAGAGCACGAAGGAGACGAATGCCTAGTTCTTTTAGATCCACATGAACAGGATCTGAAAATGGCTGAGAAGGATAAACAAAAGCCAGAACCCGAGCTTGGGGAAAATCTTCTGGAAGAAACACTTTCAGGAAATTCACACCACTTTCTTTTTCTGTCCAGGAGGAGGGGTACGTAGATCCAAGACCGTGTACAGCTATGATAGTAATTCCAAAATAGTTAACTTGGCACAAAACAAACAGTTGTATCAGACTTACTCGACCACTGGCTCATTAGGTCTTTTCTCTTTCTCTACAACCTCTAACAAATCTGAGGGTTGAATTTGCAGTCTTTTGTCTGGAACTGGGAATTGTGATCGACTCTATATAGAGAAATGCTCGAGGATTGGACCGGATGACAGAGATCAAATCATACATTTGAGTTCATTCCCACCGTTCGACCAATAACAAGGCCTAGCAAAACGCCCAGACTGGTTGTTGCAGCCTGCACAGGAGGGTGTGAGCACATAATGAGACTCGATAATGAACTTACAGCAACAATTATCGGATAGTCTCTCAGGCCCAAGCTCCAGCGTGACGACATAGTTAGGATAGGATAGGTAAGGATGAGTCTTTAATGGACCCTTCGCGATGGATATGGTGGAATCAAGCCCTAAACGAACACGGTTGAAAACGGCAGGGGGGCAGCGGTGAAAGAAGATCTGAACATGAGGTTGAAGCCAGGCATGAATCCGCATGATGTTGACAGCAAGCGCCGGAATCAAGCTTCTTTCATTCAATGCACATCGGAAATTGGAATGAGCAATTGTAATTTTCCGAGTTCAGGCTGAAGTGAATAATGTTCTTCGTTAGTCTGCGAATTCATCGTTCCTTAGACGCTCATTCCTAGCTATTGCATATGCTTCGAGAACTAAGAAGACCGGAAACTTTAATCGGCCTCACCTTTAAAGTGGACCCGTTCTCAATCAGAATGTGTTCTCACCTTTTTCCCTTCAGAACGGTGTCTGCCAAAGATGCAACGGATTGCCGAGCCACTGTTTAAGAAAGAGACAGAGTTGAATTCTGAGCTGGAGTGGAGTACAAACAAGAACAAGGCATGTACAAATACTGTGGATTCAGCAATGAAATTGACAGTGCGATGTCATGCAGATAGTTGCATGTACATCCAAGTCCGCGTCCGAACCACGATCTGAGGAAGATCCCTGCGTTCCAGGTCAGCCATTGTTGAAGATATCTATGGCGCAGGAGATTCATGAGTTTCTGCAAACGGACCTTCTTCATGATGATCTTAATGATCTTGCTCCCTTTATGTGGCTACTCGCCGTTCAGAAGAGTGAGCATGTATCTCGGATGCACGAGCAGCTGGTTCGGGGAAGACGCATAATCCTCACCGAAGACCCTGGTCGGCACTTGTTATGGTATTACGATCGTGTTTTCATCAAGCCGCTACCAACGTACCTCACAAACTATGCATTCTGGAAACGGTTTTTGTGTGACGACGGGATTCGTGACTTGGAAAAAGGAAAGGAAGTGCGGAAGGCCGCCTTGGGCTTCGTCAGATCATACGCATTCCTTATCAAATCTCTTTCCGATATCGAAATCGCCAAAAACCACAGACTAATTCCAAATGACCTCGACGGCGGGGCAATACTACACTTTCTGGACTTGTTTAGAAAAGGAGTGTATGATGAAGATACCACTCCTCGATATCATTACGGCGAATTGCGACTCCAACGCCTAAACTTGTATTCCCTGTTCAAATTCAAGCTATACTACCGGAAAACATATGGCCAATATAGTGACCTTATACAAGGATTGGTCGCACCCTTTGTCTTCATCTTTGCTATGGTCTCTGTCGCATTGTCCGCCATGCAGGTGGCGCTGGCAGTCCGGCAAGGCGTTGTCGGAGGCAATGGGGATAGTCATAGTTGGCAGGTTTTCGCAGCTGTCAGTCAATGGTTCAGCATAATCTGTCTGTCCTTGACATTGGGATGCATAGTTATGGTCCTCCTGGCTGTTCTTATTCTGCTCCTGCGGGAGTTGGTCTATGCTTTGGGCAAGGGCAGACGGGTAATCCGGTCCAGGCCGAATTACGACCCGCCCGATGCTGAACGAACACCGAGGTTGTTGAAAGCCGAAACCGCGGATACTGTCTTCGACTCTTTTCGGCCAAGTTCTTTTGAACAAAGTAGTGTAATGTAACAATCACTTCAACCTTCGAGGCTACTCATTGATTCAGAGAGCACTGAGGAACATTGTTTGGATTTATGTATATCCGATCACCTCTGCTACTTAGGCATCCGCACCGTAATCGCATATCCCTTCAAGTTCTATGGTAGTCTGGTGACCAAGTCTCATGTAGGTTGTCGGTGTTAGTAACACGAGAAAGTCTATATGGTCACGTAAACGTCATTATTGAGAACGGACTCAAACGCTTCGATCCGACTTCTCCTCCTCCTGTGGCTCGGTGCTGGCTATCATTGTATTTGCGCGAATCTTAATTTGTTGTTTCTCTGCTCTCAACCGCTGACTTTCCTTGAGTCCAAATCCAGACCGAAATATCATCATCACTTCCTCGAGACTTAAACCAGCGGTCTCAGGGTAGCAAAATATTACAAAGAGCCATCCGAGGAGGCAAAGACCTGCATAGAATCCGAAGGCACCTGAGTACAGGATGTGAGTGTTTTGAGAAGACATAGACCGTCAGAGTATACACACCGGCAGGTGTAATTTTGGCCATGAGCGATAAGTATGTAGAATTTATGAGTAAATTCGCTGCCCAGTTGGTAGCAGTAGCAATGGAAGTTCCTATGCCTCGAACATCGAGACTGAAAAGTTCGCCTTGTTGCCATGGTACGTTCCCAATTCCAGTAGCATACGATGCAACAAAGATGATCATCGACAGTAGTACGATATCGGCCCACGAATCGGGATAGGCAGTGTTTTCAACAAGGACTCCAGCAGTTTTCCTGGTCATGTCTAGAAAAAGGCAAGTTATTTCAAAAGCGTCACGAACCATTGAGTGATACCCACAGTGGAAGGCAATACTAGCAAGAGTCAAACCGAATATCATACCCGGTGCACTCCAGAGCATGATTTTCCTTCTTCCAATTTGATCTATCCATTTGAGAGCGACGAGCGTGAAAATGAAGTTGGTACCAGACACGATAAGGCTGACTGCAGTCGGCTGATTGAAACCAATTTCTTGGAACAAAGTAGCTGAATAGTACATTAATGTGTTGAAGCCGCAGAGTTGCTGGAACGCTTGCATCCCACAGCCAATAACTGTAGGAAAGGCGGTGTGAGTAAGAGAGTGAAAATGAAAGCAAAACATACTGAGGGCGCGACGATTGATCCCCTCGGAGAATAGACGTTGTATACGTTGGAAGAAAGTGGTGGTTTCGGATATCTCAATGCTCTGCTGAACCGATGCTTGCAGTACCTTAACCTGTAAGTTCTGCGTGAACGATAGACAAGATGATAGATCAAAAGGTTCACATACCTTCATCTCGAGATCCCGGGGAGTAGCCGTAGCATAAATTCTGGTCATAACGCGCCTGACGGTGTCAATTCTTCCTCTTCGTAGAAGTATACGAGCTGGACCATACGCAAACTGAGCAATGGAAAATCGAGCGACAAGAACAGGTTCACTCACGGCTCTCTGGAAGGAAAAACAGGATGACGAATTGTATTCCTGCAGGGATGCAGCTTAGTCCAACCATCCACCGCCAACCTCCATTAACATTCTCGAAACCAGCGTCGATACCGTACGCGATAACTTGACCGAGGGTAATCATGACTACATTCAACACTACTAACCGTCCACGGAGTCGAGTAGGTGCCAGTTCTTGAATATATAGAGGAGCAATACATGATGCAAGTCCAACTCCTGCAAAAAGACATCATTTATGTACTTAGAAACGTTGCAGATATGGATATTGATTACCTATACCGATGAGAAAACGTCCGCCAATCTGAAGGAACGATCAACTACTTGCACACGTCAGGACTTCTGCAAAGACAAACCATGGTCCAAACGTCATGGCACACGCATTGCACGATAGCCCCCGCTATGAATATAACGTCCGCAACTGCAAGGACTAGCTTACGACCACTCCAATCGGATATCACACCGGCGAACAATCCACCTATCAATGCACCAAGGGTCGTAGCAGAAGTAATAAACTCCTATCAATGGAAAGCAATCAAACCGAAAGCAATATTACATCGTAGAAAACTACGCACTTTTTGACCATCCGTTAGCTGTTTCCCCCGAGTGAGGTCTTCGCCAATTGTCACTAGCGCGCCTGATATCACACCGGTATCATATCCTAGCAAATCAATTTCTGTAAACATTCACTCCCCACAAAGTATTTTTAATACACACCGAAAAGCAGACCCGAAATCGAGGCACAAGCTACCAAAATCCAGACAAACCAAGTGGTCTTTTCTTCACCCTCTATGATGACAGCGAATTCATTGATTTCTCCTCCTTTAAGATCAGCTATTATCTCCCCAAGGTCTATGTTCTCTTCAGAAGAAGGCGTTGGCTTCTCTGCCTCCTGCATCGGGATTATATGACACTTTGAAGAAAGCAAGAGATAGTGGGGAGATCCGAACTGCGAGTTTATCGGTGTATATATACCGAAAACAAGTGGAGTTCTAGCAGATTGCAGCACTGGTCATGAGATCGTAATGGACAAGCGGGATGAACTTGATGTGTGCAAATTTTTGCGGCAGAAAAGGATCATGGATGTTCAGAAAACATAAACCTTAACCCCGGGGACTCCGGGTGATTGAATGATTACGCATACTCTGGACAGCAAGAAGCACAAAGTGTCAACGCAAGCAGTGAGCCCAGCACAAACGAAAGAATAGTTTAAATATCGACACCCATCTACTCAATGATCCACCTTTTCCCTTGCATATTCTGCCCCAACCCAGATGTACTATCAGACCTACTATGCCCCTCATCTGAATACTTGTAATAGCTCGCAACACTACGGAAGCTCGTGTCACTTGCTCTCGTGTTCGATCGCATCATCGTGGGTACTCCTTCATCAGTGGGCGAGCTGTCAGATGAATGTACGGAAGAACGTGTATATGCCATTGAAGGAGTTGTGATAGGCGAGACACTTCGCGAATCGAATGGTTCTGTAGACCTGAAGAATCTAGGACCCATTTGCGACGGGAACATCTGGTTGGGAACTGGAACTTCGTTCCCTTTCCCAAAGGCGGCAGAGAACGTCGGGATGGGTTGTTGGTTTGAGGGGAATTCGACCTTCTCTGGGTCTGAACCATAATTTACGGGAGTGAAATCGTCACCAGGAAGAGGTTCCTGAGCGTTGACTGGGTGTTACAAAGTAAATAATGATAATAGGAAGGAGATTCAACACTACTCACGATAGCGAAGAAGACCTTTCCCGAAGTTGAGACAACAGACGATGCCCAGAATGAATGCCAAGACAGTCAAGGCTACTGAAAAAGTCGCCATTAAGCTGAAGAAACGCCAGCTCCCTGGTGAATGTACAAGGTTAATTTTCTCCTCGAATGCCTCTCAGCACTAACTTACAGAACTCCCAACGGAAGGTATTGGCCAAAAACATTAAGCTCCAAGCGGCCAAATAGAGAATCGACAAGAGCAAAAATGCGATCATTGGAATACGCAACTCCTTGCGCGCTCCGATGTAGCCAGTGCTTACCCAAGGAAGCAATAGCTAGTCGTAGGTGAGAATTGTTTTGGGACGTTCAGATGATGAGAGAAATATACTCACAAACATCGTCGCAAATGCCGTGGCTCGATAGAGCACGATGTGGTCAGCATGCTCAGCACCTACGCCATTGATCAAACTGTCGATCCATAAGCCCACGGTTGCCCCCATGAAGAAGAAAGATAATTGTAAGACGATAGAAAGGACGAGAACAAGCTTGTAGATTCGATTGATGGTCAAGGATGCACCGACTCGCTTGAAGGTTTGCCATCCAAAAGTCTATTGCCTTGGTCAGCACCCATTTTCGTTCTACGAAGCAGAACTCGCCTTGAATAGCTTCCAGCTGAGGATGATGGATACAAGCAGCGCTACAACGTTCAACGCAAGACTGGCGTACTCGGCGTCCTGGCGCGTTGTCCAGTATCCGCCCAACAGTTGAGGTACACCGCTACAAGCACCGTGCGTGATGACCCTAGCAAAGTCGCGCTCAAAACCTCTCGTATTCACGATCTGGTAGGACGCCCATCCTGTAGCCAGGGCGTGGGTCAAGAGCGACGCAATTATGTGCGGGATCGATTCGTTGAGTAGTGCGACAAGGGACATGCCCAGCACCTGTTGGAATAGTGTGAAGAAGCATCATGCAGTCAGGAATGCACTTACCCAGATTTGAAATGACATGAAAACAACATCCTCCCGTTTGGTATTGTCGAGACTGTTGAAAGGATTTAAAACTAGTCAAAGTGTCCAGTGTTGTGAATTACTGACACAGAAACTGGATAATTCAGAGACCAAGAACAGTTAGAGCTTAACGTAGCCAGAGTGTTGGGTTGGTTGGGGAGAGAAATATTGACTTGAGGAGGAAGAGAATCAGCCTGTTGGGTAACCGTGATCTCCAGGTTCGGATTTTGTCGCCTGTGCTGCTAAATTTCAGTCAAGGCAATTCCTAGATTATTTACTAAGATGCGTACAACGTGAGCGGAATCATCGTCCTTATCTTCTCCAACCGTGCTGGCAGGTTGACTAGTGGGAGTTTCCGTAACGTGCACTACCTGAGTGACACTAACAGTCTTGACGATAGCAACATGGGTGGCTGAGGTGGTACTACTGGGAGTAGCAGATGTGAATGAAGGGATAGAGGAAGCAGAAGATGAAGATAACGACGCAGGCGCAACAGATGTCGACGATGAAGAAACGACCAATGAACTGCTACTCGTTTGGATCGCGGCAAGGTCAGCGGTCGTGACATTATTATGGACTGCAGTTCCATTCCAGACAATGTTGCACTTTCCGGTATCAAAATTGAGAGCAGTGGGAACATCAGGACAAAGAAAGAGCCGGGAACCAGCAAGGTAAGGAACACTGCTATTAAAAGCATGGGCCGTCAGCGAAATGTCGAAAAGAAAATTGGCTGATGTTGCATTGATGGTGAACGCTCGGGCTTGAAGCGCAAGCTGGACTACACAATGTATGACAGAGAATACGAAGTATGCAGTCGTCAGTTTCGAAAAGGTGAGGCGATTCCACTGTGATCATCAATAAGTATCGATTTTGTGGCGTATTATGTTCCGCCATACCACCAGCTTTGCCTTCGATGGCAGTGGAAAGTAAACCCAAATTTGCTTGACACGCATTTTCTAATACACCAAGCAATAGTATTCAGATTCTGGGCCATTATATTCCTTCTTTGCAACTTACGAATGAGAAAAGAACGGATATGTCACTGGGACAGTAATTTCAAGACCACAACGTCCAGGATAGTCAACTCTCGAAGTCCACGAAAGGTCACAAACGGACCGGCCGAAAAAAGAAGGATTTGAAGAAAGGAAAGCAAGGAGAATGAGGGCTGGAAGAGACCTTAGCCAACTTCAACCTTCTGATTCTATTCTCTTCACCATCATTGCACGTGGGATGCCCATGAACAACTTGGTATGGTTGCCATGACTGCTTTTATCATTTTCGATTTGCAGACTTCGGTTCTGCCTGTGAATCATTCAAATACATAGTTGAAGATTCTTTCTCAGTACAGCTTTCTGCCTACGAATGACTATGAAATCTTTCACGACGGGTATATATGTAACCGTGCTATAATATTACGATCACCGTAAATCGAATGAGTCTTGAGCTCAGCGAGCTATAAGCTTCAGTCCTCGTAACAATTGGTGCCGAGTACGAAGCTGTACGAAGATAAACTTCCTAATACTTGTTGCAGTATGTATGGGCCCAGTATCTCGGACTCGGTCATGATTCTTCCGACTCCATTGTCACATCGACATCCTGTAAGCCTGTGCGGACTGATTCTGTGATTTCGACAGCCTTCCTGATCTGGTCAGCCTGGCCAATCTGAGCCATATTCCTAAACATATCATCCACAGCGGAGCTCCCGTGCACGTCCTCATCTACTTTAGCTCGGGAAAGCAGCTGCGCGGTTGCCCAGTTCAAATATCCAGCCTTGCTCGTTTCCCAATCGCGCTTGCCGGGTTCTATTGGAGGTAATGTCGCCACAAGAGCGGGATCAAGTGGCGGTAACCTGGAAACAGCCTCGTACATAGCGTTCAGCTGGGGAGGAATTTTCGCTAATGAAATGAGCTTCTCATGATCGAGGACTGCAGCAAGTCGTTCCAAGCGCCGCTCAGAGCGAGAACGTTGCTGCCTCGAAGTGCGCAATGCCCTATTATAAAGGCGTTGCAGTCGCCTTTGCTATTAAGGGACCAAATGCTAAGATTGTATAACTCTTCAAATGCGATAGTTACGCACGTTATCTAGCTTGATACGAAGTTCAGATATTTCCTCCATGAGCTCTGCCTCTCTCTCTGGTTTCGTTGTCAAATCAAGACCCTTTTGATGAGGCAAGACAACTGGCAGATCTGGTGGAATCGAAAAGATGTTCTTCAGCGCCCAAGCTTCAAAAAAATCAAGGGCAACATCTGTGTGATGTTCCAACAACGTTTCGAAAGATACCAGCCCTTGTTCTAGTTCTTCAGTACTGTCCCAATCCTTTTCCTCCTCAGAACGACGATCCGCCCACTGCCGCAGAAAGTCTTCCATTGCATTGACACCCTCAACAATGGTGTTATTGACTGCGTTGATGATATCATCGAGAAGGAGTTGCGGAGAGAATCCTAAAGCTTCTGGTAGCAGTAAAGGTGTATGCGCAGTGGACATCTCGACGCGTATCTGACGCGATGATAAGTGGAGACAAAGTCGCGTCTGTGGCTGGAACTCAACATGTGATCTGTGCGCCAATTATTTGTTACATAATTATAAGCTTCCAGGCTTTAACTCTTTCTCCCTAGTCCAAATGCCTTCGAATACTACAGAATCGTCAGACATCTTCGTGCGGATTACTAGAGCCGGGAAACTAACAAATTATGTCAAATACGCGTTGGAATCTTTAGAGGTGCATCATAAAACTTAACGCCGATTTCTTGTGCTAAATGCTTCAAAAGAAAAATGACAAAAAGGCGATAGTCTTTCATACACTCCCCGAAGTGCACGACAACCCTGAAGCTGCACACACTCGACAAGAACTTAAGGACGCGTCAACTGCTTCTGTGACCCTGATAACAACTCCGCGGCTGATTTCTGTAGTGGAAATAATCAAACGCGAATATCTCAAAGATCTGGAAAAGAGACGGTCTACACGACTAGTTGGTCTACATCAATACAATGAGATTGGGTCCATCGAGAATCTTGGTTCCAATGGTGGCTCTGTGAGGAGAGAAACTGATGAACAAAGAGCGCAGAGAATTGCAATGACGTTGGAAGGGAAGAATTTGTATGTCCTTCTTCTTATGGTTTGAACCTTGCTTCATTGTCTTCTTCAGCCCGAAGCAGCAACAATTCCCATATATGCGAATCACTCTGAGCGTTCATGAACTCCCAGATCTTGTCAAAAAGGGCGCGACGTGAGTTGGTTTATTTAGCTGACATTCCATGCTAAAAATAACAATGCACAGGTATCAGAAGCCCGTATCACGGACGATGTCTAAAGCTGCGAAGAAGAGAGCCAAGAGTAATCAGAAGAAAGCAGCTCAGCTGAATGAAGCCCCGGAGGACGCAGCAATGGGGACATCGTGAGGTTTAGCTGATGTGTCGGCCCTTGGGCAATGTCGTCGCCAAAATGGTTGGACAAGTGAGTGCAAATCAGTGATACCTGATTACGATTACAGACAGTGACATGATTGCTTGATTTAATTGTAGAAGCCCAACTCCAATTTGTCCATGACCTCTTCCCTTTTCCCCCAAATTTCGTCCAGACTGTTGAACCCGCACAGACCCAATGTCAACTCCGTCTCACACAAAATTCCTCTGACCACTTCCTCTATACCTTGGGTTCCTGATATAGCAAGGCCATACATGTATGGTCGGCCCACTACACGAAATCAGTATAGGATCCAATTACGAATAAACAACTTACATAAAACAGCTTGGGCTCCTAAAGCAATTGCTTTCAAGATATCAGAACCCCGCCTGATTCCTGAATCAAACAGGATCGTAAATTCGCCTGCTAGTTGGGCTTTTCGAATCCTCGAATCTCCACAAATCTGAATACCGGGTCAACATCTATCAAAGATTTTATGGATTCACAAACCTTCTCGAGTGCTATAAGGGCCGGAATGGCTCCATCTACTTGACGACCTCCGTGATTTGAAACCACGACTCCGTCACATCCGGCCTCCATCGCCTTCACTGCATCGTCTACGTGCAGAATACCTTTCAAAACCAAAGGTCCCTCCCAATGTTTTCGCACAAACGTGATTTCATCCCACGTCCTAAACAGACCCGAATGTATCTGTCTACTCCAGTTCCTACCGAGGGTTTTGAGGCTGGTGTGGAATTCGTCTCCGGCTTCACGCGCGGAATCGCATGCGACGGGGTCGAATGGATACGGTATCTTGCTATATTCGTGACCGCCATATGGACTTTGTTGGTCTCCCTTCAAAGTGGTTCCCTGGGACTGCATGAAAACCGGGTCACTTGTCCCGACTTGGATACCTGTCCTGGATATGAGCAAAAGCTTCGTGAGATAACGTATAGATAGTCCTACCAATTCCATGGTTGAATGGTAGGTATGCGGTATCCAGGTCGTAAGGTCTCCAGCCCATACACATAGTATCCAGTGTGATGATGCACGCCGTGTAACCGCAAGCTTTTGCTCGCGAAAGGAGGGAGAGTGTGAGAGGCTCCGAACGTGGCCTATAAAAGAACGCGGTCAGGTCATATTAATTGTTGCCGGCGAAGGAGCTCACCAGTAAAGCTGATACCATCTCGGGCCATCTCCGTTCGCTTTTGCTGCGTCCTCCAGCGATCGAGTTGCAGCGGTGCTCATGATCAACGGCACTCCCATATTGTTCGCAGCAGTCGCCGCACATAACTCTCCTTGAGGATGAAGTAGACCGTGTACTCCGATAGGAGCCAATAGAAGTGGAGACTTGTACTTGACGCCAAAGAGGGTTGTCTGTCCCAAAGTTCAGCATTTTGTAATTCCGAAAAGTGGTGAATGTACCTCTAGGTTGCGGTCCGACGCGTCAATCAGCATCTTTGGAGTAAAGCACCATTTTTCGAAAGCTTTGCGGTTCGCTCGGTCAGTCGAACATGAGCCTGCGCTCCCAAACACGTAGAGGAATGCAGCTACCCGGATATCAATCAAGATCTTTCGGATGTTGAGTGCAGATATACAAACCTTCGTTCTTTTTCGTTACTTCCCTCGCCTTCGCCTCTAGCTTTTCAGGATCGTAAGAGCTAATAGACGGAGGCTTACGACCGCGGTAGACAGTAGTCATGTATGAAGACCATGACTCGGGGACTTCCTGATCTGCTTCTAAGGCTGCTTTGAAAGACATGGTCGAGTGCGGCGAGACTCGAGAGAGAGACAGGCTGAAGAAAATTAAAACAAGTTGAATGAATTCCAGAGCACTCTGGGTATGGCGTAGATAGGAGGTTAGAAGTGTAGCCAGAAAATACTCGTTGTATCGCTAACTGAAAGCCCGCCAGGCGGCGGCCTGATAATATTTGGAACCCGAATGATAAGGTCGAACGGGCGGATGCGCTCCGCGGATGATCGGATCGGTCCGATGCACCTAACAGTACTAGAATTTCTAGAAACTCAGAAAGCCCACCTCCACCTTCATCTTCGACCGTCACTGTCATGGCATCGCTTGTCGACGTCCACACCCACGTCTACCTTCCGCGTTACGCCTCCTGGCTGAGATCTCGCTCAATCGCCCCCCGGATCTTGGTCAATGAAGCAGGCGAAGAACGCTTACTTATACTGGAAAATGAAACCAGCGCCGGTCGCCCTGTTGGGCCCAGTTACTGGGATAGAAATGCAAAGCTCAGTTTCATGGATCAACACGGGATTGATATCTCTGTCGTCAGCTTCGCCAATCCTTGGCTCGACTTCCTTTCGCCGCTTGATGCTAAATCTTTGGCGCATGACTTGAACACGGACCTCGAAGAATATTGCGCCACTAGTCCGACTCTCTCTTTCTCATCCATAAAACGCATTTATGGTCTAGGGCTTCTTCCCTTAGTTCCAGGAATATCAATATCTTCAGTTTTGGAAGCCGTTTCGCAAATCGCAAAGGCCCCTCACCTCAAAGGTCTCATCATGGGAACAAAAGGTTTGGGCAAAGGACTAGACGACGATACTCTGGATCCTGTGTGGCAAGCAATCGAAGACAATGGTTTGGTCGTATTCCTTCACCCACATTATGGCGTGGACTCGTCAGCTTGGGGTGAGAAAGAGAACGGACATGTACTTCCGCTCGCGCTAGGTTTTCCTTTCGAGACCACTACCGTAAGTTTGCTTTGTATTCCCATGATTTGACGGTATCCAATATGCAAATTTTTCAGGCAATTACCCGATTCATACTGTCTGGGGCCTTCGATCGTTTCCCGTCTATCAAAATACTTCTCGCTCATTCTGGAGGGACTCTGCCTCAGGTTTGTCAAGTTGTATCTTATGTCTAGGTTTGAGGCACTTAGAATTCTACAGCTTTCCTCTCGTCTTGCTTCTTGTATCGATCATGACCCTATCGTTGCTTCTCGCCTCAAGCATGATGCTCGTTTTTATTTAGGGAAATTATGGTTCGATGCAGTAGCCTATGGACCCGAGGAGCTTGCCTTTGTTTCAGAGATTATATCTAGAGCGGGACGCTATGAATCCGGAACCAGTAATACAAAGGCCATAGCAGATAGGAAGGAAGGCAGCAAAAGAATGCTCTTTGGCACTGGTATGCCTGCAGTCACTGGTTTGTTTAACAGACGACTAACCCTTCGTTCGGAAGATCACCCCTTTTTCCCTCCGCTTTCCTCGAGTGAGAAGTGGAAGAGTGTTGTGGAAAATTTGGAGGCCATCGAGTCTGTTTCTGGTTGGGGGGAAGTTGAAAAAGAAGGTGTCAGCGCAGGGAACGCCCTCGGATTCTTCAGTATCCAGTGATGTTGCAGCTCAGTAGATAGACCGATAATAGATGTGTTCTGAGAGTCCTATCTTATTTATCCACGACGAAGCCACTGTTGTTGAATGTGACAGTATGTATTCCTCACCCATGACCGGACCAGGTATGCTGATAGAAGATGTGTTATTTGTTTATGACGAACCCACTGCTGTTGTAATTCTTTCAAGCCCATGACTTCTTCGTCTATATTGAGCGCGACCTGGATGTGCATCTCATCCCTTGTTATCAACTCACATGTATGCCACTGAGATTATACGTTACTATGGCACATATATCTCCAAGTTTATTCTAGTACGCTACAGCACAGCGAAGTTCAATACTTTGCCGCGGTGAGCCTTGACCTTCCCTCAATTCGTCGAAGACTATGATAGATATCAGTTCGTGTAAAGCGACTCAGAATGAGCGACAGCATTGAACCCACATGCAGTGTGTGCGATACACTTCGCGTCGCCGAGTTCTGGTTTGAGCGCTGCCAAAATTTTATGAGACTCAATGGGGCCTAGATCGTCAGAAGTGTCGCTTACTATTATCGTATTGGCGGAAAACAAGGATTTCGTCGGACATTTGGTCATGGATGTACACCCACTTCATGTTCGCGTTATACTTGACGAAGTAGCCACCACCATACTGTCACATATTACTCAGTCTGATTGCGTCGTCTTACAACCATACTTACAGCATCGGTAGTCCGTTCCATATCTGCTGGATCCAAAGTACGAGCATCACATAGAGCCAAAGGCGCGTCAATCACTGGTCCCCTGAGAGGCCGCCAGATATTGCTAGACAAAATACATGGGCTTCGTTAGAACAAGCATTGTGTTTACTCACATTATAGCGAGTCTGTCCGACTCCGTAAACTCTTCTCCAAGGACAGCCAATGCTCGAGCAGACGCTCGTTCGCGGTTAATATCTACGTGTACCGCTGGGACTGGCTGCTGGTCTTTGATGTCCTCTCGCGATTGATAGTTGTCAGAGACATCTCCGTCCGAATGTTTACGCCTACGAGTCTTGTCAGTTATAGTCATGAAATCACCTGGCATGCCCACCGGATTTGATAGTTTATGGCACGGCATGACCTCGCACTAAGGTGGTTTTTCAGCCACCTTATGAGTTATCAGCTCTCCGACAGTACTTAATATTTGATAATACACCTACTCGCAAGTAAATGACGCATAGCGATCCTCCCATCCTTCTGATCCATCCAGGTCAGGGTAAGGCAGTGTTTCCCAGGTGTAACCGTTGCTGTCTATCGAAGGCTTGGGTTCAATTTTTCGAAGATTGTATACAGGTACTTTGTGGGTCTTGAGTTGAAGGGGTTCTCCAGTAGCTATACTGGTGATGTGAGGAAATTCAAAGGCATCTGGGACTCCTTTGTCTGATGTGAAGTTTAAAGCACGTAGAGGTTCTTCATTTACGGTTCCTAGGACCATAACTGCGTTGCAGGGGAGTCCAAGCTTCTGCGAAAGGCTCCTCTTATCGCTGAGGGACGTCAGCTAAAGCGGAACTCCCGCCCGCCTAGGCCCGCCTTCCGCTAGGTACCAGGGACGCTGTGAGATCTACGTCACGTGCCTGCCTTCTTATCTGTATTTGAATTTCAAAGTGGATAACGGACGCTGCGCTATACTTCGAGACTTCGCGATTTATTTGATCTCATGGAGCCACTTATCTTTAGGTTTGAGGACTCTTTAAAATGCGAGAGGTCGTGGCCCGATGAATTTGTGCCCCCAAGTGCCTTCATCTGTCTCTACATTCGAGTATGCATATGAACGCTGGCAACGAAGCCTTCAGGAGTATCCCTAACAAGGATTCGCACCTCGTGAGTGTTCACTCGTCGGTACATCTTATATCACCACTGACAGGCATTTCCAGCCATGGTACAAGAATGCTGGTTTGTTATGATGCGTGCCTCCATGATCAAATGCTAACTAAGAAGAAAACGATAGGTCTCCTTCAGCTCAACTTGTTCCTCTTGTGTATCTTCACGGGTCAATTCTTGAACGGATACGACGGCGCCTTAATCAGTTCTTTTCAAGCCATGAATTCCTGGTTGACGAGTAGGTCGTGCTCATACTGTTTCCTTGCTTTTACTAAGTTATATTCCCCATCTAAGCTCTGGGTCTGAAAGGTAACAGCGCGAAGGCCACGGATATTGGCCTTCTCAATGCTGCGGTGTACCTTGCCGGAAGTAAGTGTGTAACCTATCAGCATAACAGTTACTTTTACCATCTCTCAGTGTGCATTGCGCCCTTCGCTGCTTGGGTGTCTGATAGATTCGGACGAAAATGGTGTATACGGTACGTCTTACCTTTGCAGATACGTTCTATATCTAACCGAATCTCAAGGTATTCGTCGATCGCGAATTTGATAGGTATTCCCCGTCCTCACGATCTACGGCGACTTATGACTGAATAACTTTCTAAACAGGGACCGCCATCGGCGCAGCTGCTGGAACGGGAAGTTCGAATGGGTATGCGATGTTCATGATGTCGCGGATCATTGTTCGTCTTATTTTCGGATAACGTCCGGCCCTCTTGACGATTTCTACGCAGATCGGTTCTGGCCTTGCATTCTGTGTGATGATCTCTCCCATTATGTGAGTGTATGGTGTCTGTTTGACTCGTCATATCCATCGTTATACTTTTCTAGGCTGCAGGAGCTTCCTCACCCAAAGCACCGAGTCCTAATGGCTGGTCTCTTCGATGTTGCATACGTGAGTGCAGTAGGCACCATCCCTTTGTTCTTCCTGTCAACGTGAATTCTAGATTTCCGGTTCTTTTGTCGCTGCTTGGTGAGTCCCCGGATGATTTTTTCGCCAGCATCTTCTGACGTTCTTCCTCTTCAGGGTTACCTTTGTGAGAACATGAGCCCGGCTTCATCGAAGACTCACTAATTTTGATTTTGATGCAGGGATGCAGCTACATAAGTAGTGACTGGGCTTGGAGTGAGTTATTGTGATTTACGGAACGTTGTGATGTTCTGACACAACCATCCAGGAATTCCCTATCTTGTGCGCTCACTAATGCAAGATAATTCGTAACGATGTTGACTGATGTCGTCTAGATACATCTCCCATTCGCTGTTATCATGATAATTGTTATTTCTCTGGTACCGGAATCTCCTCGTTGGCTGTGTGAGTTGGACGCATTCTGAAACCAAGGGCATAACTGATGTTATCTTATAGTCAAACAGGGCCGTGAAGATGAAGGAAAAGCCTTCATGGTGAAATACCATGCTAATGGCGGGGAAAACGATGAATTAGTCGCCTTCGAAGTTTCCGAGATTCAAGAAGCTCTTCGTTCCGAGAGGGAGGCCAAGCAGGATACGTGGCGAATGATCCTTACTTCGAGGAGTTCTTTGCACCGTCTTGCGTGCGGTAGGTCATGCCAGTTCACTACTAAATTCTCCCTTTGACTTTTCGAGCGCTCAGTCGTTCTGATCGTCACGATGCAAAATTTGAGCGGTACAGCGATCATTGCATACTGTGAGCTCAAACATGACAATGTTTGTTCAAGCATACACTGACTCAGCAATTCAATAGACTATACGAGCAGTACGTTCTCTCGTTCCTCAGGTTCATATTTACCGGCTAACAATCGATGTAGTCCTCAAGCTTGTTGGAATCACCAAGACATCAACACAAACCGGTATCAATGCAGGATTAACCTCTGTATGTTCGCTTCTTTTCATCAGTCAACAAATTCTGAAAAATGCCTAACGCCAGTTCACTGTACTCATGGCTCTGTCCGGTGTTTGGCTTACAAAACGCATCAGACGAAAGACCCAGATTTACGTTTCCTGGGCAGGCGTTCTTCTCAGCAACCTCGGCCTCATCATTTCTACCAGTCTCTACACGCAAACGGGTCATAAATCTGCTGGCCTTGCAGCGGTATTCTTCGTTTGGACCTATAACGGCTCATTCTTCCTTGCATGTGGTCCGATCTTCTTTGCTTATCCAGCTGAAGTTTTGCATCTGTCCATGAGATCGAAGGGGATGATGATATGGACCATTTGCGGAAAAATGATGAGCGTATTCAGCTCGTACGTGAACCCCGTGGCTAGTAAGTGTATCTCGAGTCTAGCTGCACAACTACTAATTACGCTTTCCCAGTGGTGGACATTGCCTGGAAGTGGTACTTCTTCTAGTAAGCGAGGGAAATTGTACTCGAATTATCTCGGCTTTACTGACTCGTCCTGTCAGCACCGCAATCATCGTGGTCACTGGTATTTTGGTTCACTTTGTACTTGTTGAAACCAAGGGTAGAACGCTTGAAGAGTAAGTGTCTGACCAAGTTCTCTGTACTAATTTATTAACATTTGACCCAGAATCGGTGAACTATTCGATGGAAAAATACTGCAGGCCCACTTGGACCCCTTGCACTATGATTTGGGCTCCGATGACGAGAAGATGAGTGAGAAGAGTCTTGATAAGAATGTGTAGGGAATGCTTTCTGGTCTGAATGGTGTATACGTATATTTTCGTTCGTTAGACGTCTCTCCTTCAATTTCAAAGGTTCAATGGTTGCATCAACACTGTCACGGGTATGACTACTCATGACAATCGCTGTTTTGTAGACTGAGTATATCCAGAGTTTTCAAAGGTCCGTAAACAAGAACGATTAAATTCAGAGCTGAGAATTACAGTGACTTTTTACGTGACGTTTCAAGCTTCGAGTACACGGAATATTTTGACCTGTCCACTCTTCAAATCTTCCAATCGATAGCTGACAATCTCCACTGTTTGCTGGCCTACGTGTTGGTTCGCCTGAAACACACGTATCTTGAACTTCTTTGCCTCAAACTCACCAACTACTCCGACAAGTGGCACCTCTGAGCCCACACTTTGGCTGTAAGTCTGTAGACCTTTATGTCCTTTGAACTTCGCTTCGTGCATCCAAGCTATATCTCCTGGCAGTATTTCACTAGCTCTCTTCTGTACCGAGGCTCCTGACTGCATATACACCAGATAGCCATATTCCTGTCCAGTCATCGGAGCAGCGTTTGGTACTTCTCTCAAAGTGGCGTCGATAAATCCCTGGTACGTTCCGTCTCCGATGAGTACCTTCTTGGACTTTTCAAATAATGTGGTTGCAACTTCGCATACTTGCACTCCCACGCGACCCCAAACTGCTACCAAATCATCCGAGTTTAGTACCAAGTCAGCAGCTGCGGTAGTAGTCACTTGAGTGGAATGAATTGCAGGAATATCGGGAGATGGCTGAGCTGCCGAAGTTGACAAGGCCATGTCATCTGTCCAAGATAACGACAAATCAGTATTCCCACCGAAGTCGAGACTCGGAATCGAAGGCATCTCCCATTGCGAAGAGATGCTCTCGGAAGGTGGAATATCGGAGGCCGGAGGCAATGGAGCAGCTCTAGGTGGCACAGGACGCCCAGCCCTCGGAGGTGGAGGCGGAGGTAGTTCCTCTTCTTCCTCTCCCTCGACCATGACGTAATCAGAGGTAGACGGGGGTAATTGGTGTGAGCTAGACGACTTTCCGGGAGTTGGGACAAAAGCAGTATCATCTGATCTTTGCGAGGTTGTAGACTGAATACTGGCCTTGCGAGAAGGTAAAACGGTGGGCACCGGAGGTCGACCAGGAGGCACGTGCCGAGCAGATGTGTGTCTTCCTTCTCTTGTAGGAAGGGGAGGAGGTATCTCATCTTGTTCTTCGTTCGCATCTTCGTAGTTCACCTCCTCCATTTCACTCTCTTCGGCTTCAATCTTTACACCTTCATCAGAGGTGGCTACACTCTCGTGCTCTGAATCAATTTCATGTGGTGGAGGTGGAGGCGGGGCAGCATGGCGAGGAGCCGGGTGCGCATGCAAAGTCTCCCTTTCTGGTGATGAAGTAACAGGCTTTGGCTGTGTGGATGGTGCCTGACCAGAAAACATACCATAAGGTTGCATTCCAATACGCATACCACCCATACTGGCCAATTTTGTGGCAATACGCTCCTTTCTTGCTCTTTCCTCTTCCTCCTCATTTAGTTCAATCTTACCTTCGTCAGTCTCTTCAGCGTCTGCTTCCTTTTGTGTCGATTCTTCGGAAGCCCGACGCTTATTTGGCGCAGGTCGGTTCATGGGAATAGGTGCCGCTCCAAATTTAAGACCTCCAAGTTTCGCCATTCTCTCAGCAATTGTTCGCCTTCGAGCTTGCTCCTCGTCTTCAGCCGGTGCCTGCTCAAGTTCCGGAGTGTCTGGTGCTACTGCTGTAATTGATGTCTGACGACCTGGAGGGCTGTAGAAGGACGGATCGATAGGATCGCCTTCCTCTTCATCCAGAATTTCCGCTCTTCCCAGCTGGACGTTGGATACCGCAGATCGACGTTCCAGAGTAGGCGATAGCTCAGCTTTTTTCACCTCAGTCGAACCCCGGCGCGGAGCTGTCGGCAGAATCTTGGGAGGTGGTGGAGGAGGAACAAAAAGAGGTTTTTCTTGTACAGAAATTTGCTCCGGAGGAGACGGTGGACGCCTGGGTGGCGTTGGTAGAATTTCTTCTGGAGACCGCTCGAGCTCAGTTGCCTCCTCCTTTTCTTCCGATTCAACGTCTTCCTCCACGCCACTATGAACAGGCAAAGGAACAAACCTCACCGGACGCGAGAAAGGAATGGGTTTCGGCTCATCGTCACTTATTTGACCTTCCTCTACTAGGGGTTGAGGAGGCGGAGGCGGAGGAACAGAAAGTCGATTTGGATGCGGGAGGGGAGCGTCACTCATTTCTCCGTCGTCTTCAAGAACAGGACGAGGGGGCAATCGACGAGGTGGCTCTGAAGGTACTTCACTCTGAGACGGAAACTGTCTCTCCTCTTGCTCATGTTGAATTGGGTCGGAAAGCACACGAGGCGGTGGAGGCATTGATCGTCGTGGAGGTGGAGGCGGAGCAGGTTCTTCATGATCCAACTCATTCTTAGGAGAAGAGGAAAGTTTGAGTTCGTTGACGGGAGATGCAGCTTTCGGCGGTACGTGGACTGGCTCTATGTCCGAGAACGAGGCCTTTGTATAAGGCGAATCGGGCACCACGACGGGGGGTTGAGGGGGTTCGAGAGGATCAACTGCTTCATGAACTTCCACGTGTTCTTCAGAACCTTCAGGTGAGAACTCTTCATCTGCGAGTTCTTCATCTGTGATATCGGCTTCTTCCACCAACCGGATTGATTCCGGCTCCTCGGAAATACCAGCGGGCACGGGGAAATTTATATCATCTGAAAATTCACCAATAGTTAATCGATTTTGTTTATAAAAGTACAACGAATGTAAAGAAACTATTTACCATCATGAGAGATAATATCGCGACTCATAACCGAATCAATACTGGGTTTTTTGTTAGGTGGACCGACAGACGACAAACTGATCTGAGAGCTTCTACGAGCAGGGGGTGCAGGGACTGGGTTATGCACGGAATCCGCAGAGGCCTTCCTGATGCTTGTACGCTTCTGAGATACAGGGGAAACGGGAGTTGAAGTTGGGGGTGATGATTCTTCGTGAGTTACGGGCAGAGATGGTCTGCGTTGAGGCGGTAGCGCAAACGGACTCACACCACCAGACTTCGCAAGACGTTCGGCTACGCGTTTACGACGCGAGGCCTCATCTTCTTCCTCGATTTCAGCGTGGGTAGGTTCTGGTTCTTCTACGAGGGATTCAGAAGCCGATTGGATCGCCTGGACAACATCTGACTCCCCGACCTCCGTCTTTGCTGTAGGAATAGGCGTCTCTTCCACAGGCACCACCATGGCTGGCTCCTCAGATACTAGCGGCTCTGGAGGGACATCATCGACCAATGGAGCGGTATGGTCGAGAATTTTCTTGGCTGTATCGAGCTCTTCAGTGTCGGCACTAGGCAAGATCTGTACGTCCAATTCATTCTTAGTGTGCTCAATAGAGGGATCGACGCTAAGTTCTTGTTCTTCTGCTCGTGGCGGCGGTGCAGGAGACTTGGCTTTTCGTCGGGGAGGCACAGCCCGACGAGGAGCAGCAGGAACAGGCATAGAACTAGGTGTACGAGGGGAAGTGGAAACCAACGGAGTAGGGTCTGGAGACAGTAGAGACGCATCGGATGCCTTACGCTCAACGTCAAAGTAATCTACAAACGTGTTCAGAAAACGATGGAGGGATATATTATTACGCGTACCTTTCTTAGTTCCTTCGTCTGAGTTCTCTTCTACTTCGGGAGCAGAAGGTGATTTGAGAGATGGTTCTACAGATGTTGGGATGAGATACAATTGATGAATACAGACAAGTTGAGCAATCCTGTGATAAAAGCGTACCTTTACTTCCTGTTTCAACGACCTCCGATTTAACAGGTTCGGATACATCTTCCTTCGATGGGACCTCAGATTTGGGTTCAGGCTTGGGCTGGGGTTTCTTGTATGCAGGCCCGCCAAATACAGGAGGACCCATTCCAACTCGAGCGCCACCAAGGCGAGCCATCCGAGCGGCAAGCGTAGCGCGTCTCTGTCTTTCTTCTTCCTCGGGATCAACTTCTTCTTCTCCCCCTCCTTCGGTTTCGATATGGGATTGTGCTTCCACTTCGAGCGAATCAGGCTCGCCCAAAGCTTTGTTTGACTCAGATACAGGCGATTTGGCTGGCACGGATGGTGGAGATGCATCTTTGGCTTTATCGGAAGCAGTCTCTATCTCTTCTTCTTCCTCGGGAGGCGAGGCTACAGGTGGAGGGGGTTTCCATTTAGGCTTCTCCACGGCTGGCTTTGGCGCAACAGGTGGCGAAGGAGCACCGAAAGCACCTTTGCCCTGCAAGGCAGCCATTCTTTCCTTCAAACTACCACCCTTGCCTATACTTTCCTTTGCATCTGATGCAGACATTCCTCCGCCGGGTTTCTGTGGCCGATTAACGGAAGATTCATCTGCGGGTGCGGCTGGGGAGTCCGGTGGAGTTGGTTGCTTTGGTTTCCACGAAACATGGCCACCTGGTTTTGGACGAGGGGCAACAGGCGGAGGAGCATTAGATGGTGTCGATTTCTCGAAAGCAGCGATTCGGTCGCGCAGGGAACCAGGCTTTGGCTTTGGTTGCGGTGGTTGATCTGACATGAGAAAGTCTCGATATCGTTCAGAACAGTAGGCTTAAGTAGCTTATTGACATGTAGTAAGAGCCGTCTCTGTTTTTCTCAGGCTCAGTTTCAGGCACTTCGACCAGTTGCAATCAGGATTCAATTATTTTTCAAACTAGTTACATACTATTGAAGGTTACGAGAACAATCGACGTTCAAAGTCAAAATCTCCGCTAGTAGCGATCTTTACAAAGTCAGCCCACACCGTCTCGGGTATCTCTTCAGTCATGAAAAGTTGGCTGATAAACGGTGCGAGCACTCAGCACTCTTGATCTCAGCAAAAGTGACAACTCTACTCACGGACGCTTCTGATTGAGAGGGTCCTCAAACCGTTTCCTGTCCAACTCTAGAATGGCCTCTTTCAGATTGGGCATTTCCCACTCTTTCGCCATCTGGTCACAGAAATCGTCAAAGTTCCAGCCAAATTTTTTATCAAAACTCGAAGCGTTGCAGTACCACAGCGTTCCATGACTCAAAGCGACGATACTCTCTCGATCGCCAGTCGACATTGCTTTGTTTCGTACTGAACGAAGAACTTTATGCATGTATGGATTGGTCAAATCCATCGATATGAAGTCCGAGGTGGTATCGCCTGTATATGCAATGCGAAAGAAAAAATCCGCCTTGGGGTTTTTATTCAAGAGTTGAACGTGACGAAGAAGATAAGGAGAGCGCTTGAACCCAGCTACTGCAGGAGGGATCTGCTGAGGAGTTGTAGGGTACTCAGCTGCAGCCCTTTTTGAGGCGAACTGGGTTGCTACATCCATGTCTACCTCCTTCCCACATATCATCTTGTGTGATTTTTTGTAGTCTACGATCTGACATTCCCTGCATCAGGTGGATAATGAGATTTTTTGCTAAATCAACTAATAATTAAGAAGATTTGTACCTTGAACAGTAAACGACGTCACGCTTGAGGTTATTCCAACATCGTGAGCATCGACTAAACTTCTCACCCTCAGGTTGGTGTTTCTGACATTGAAAGCACATAACCACACGTCGGGCGATTAGCGCCTTCGCAACTTGCTTTTCTTCGTCTTTTCTCCTTTTGGTTTCTTCGAGTCCGAACATCATTTTTTGTATCCTGTCCCCTTCTTTATACATTTTTTTGGCTTGTGCTGTCTTGTGATCGGAAGAGGCGCCTCGGGGTTTAATACCAGCCACGCGGTCAATCTTGTGCCCAATGAACGACATCATTGTATATCCTACGACATAGTCTGCAGAGAGGAAATCAGATAAGCGCAGGCTGAATACATACATAGATAGCGACTCACAAATCAATTCCGTTCGCAGGACCTGCATTTCACCTAAAGATACGAGATGAACTTTGGATGTAGCATACTTCTCTTTCATACGCTCCTGGAAAGAGTCCCACCCTGGGTTGGGGATGTAGTATATATCTGGCGTTGTATCCGGATCTGAACCTGGCATGATAGTCTTGAACAAGTCAAGATAGGTCTTCCCATCTCGACTTAGATAGTCCAGTTTGAGTACATCCGCCGTGAACCTCCGTGCGTCATTCAGGTTTCTCGCGATAGAACATCCCTCGGATAGTCCAACAAGAACATGTTTACGCCGTTCGGAGGGTGCCGCATTCATCCATGTGGCTTCAAAATCCATATCAATGAAAGTGAAAATTCCTATTTGCCCAAGACGCTGGCGCATTTCGATAGCGTTATTCAAGTTGATCGAATACTCGTCTGTAGATTCGGGAGCAGCGGTAGTTCTCCGTCTTTGTACAAGATTGTTCAGCGAATATCCGAGTATGAAGTTGAGATCTTGAGTCGACATAAGCCTTTCCCAATTAGCTTAGTGTAGGACCAAATCTCAGTGTACATATATCGTAGAGAAATCAGAGGAATAATCCTTACCGTTCCATCGTTCTGGATCTTCCAGGGCGTGTTGTATCTTTGGTAGTTCGATATGAATCGCAAACCGCGACCGTATAGTGCGATGTAACGATTCAAAGAATTGGTCATAGATCAGCTGATTAGCATCTTCACTGCTGAGTTCTGCTGAGTTACTCCGATACCTGTCTGATACTCACGAATTCTCATGGGGGTTTGGTATCGGATACGTATTCAAATGATATCAAGGTCTTGCAATTCATGGTCAAGTTCGTACGGGATGAAAAGTTTCATGCAGGTGCGGACCATCGTAGAAGTCGCTTGATCTGGTAGTGCGAATGATTATGTTTGTTCTAACGCTTCTACCCATCCTTACCCATCTGTCGTCCCCCAGTGGAGGAGGCGCAGCAATATCTGGACACATCTGACACTGATAGATACGCCGTGTAAGTCCCATTCCTTCCCATTCCTCCCTCAATTCACTCGTGTGACGTTTGAGCTTGATTGTTCATACCTGTCAAAGTCTTACCTGCGGTTGATGAAGCGATTTTCGAAAAAGAAAGAACCTGCTTATCACAAACATGGATCCGCGCCTTTGTCGTCTTCCTTCAAGAGGTATTTCTGGTAAAAAAAAAATCTCCAGTTGTGCTACATATGTAGCTTGTTTATTTCCGAGTAAGTTTCTTGAATTTCCCGTTCCCTTGCAATTACGGCGGCTATCCAGGCGCACTTTATAATGTTTTCGTACAAGAGCGTACAAGAACTAACCCAGTAGAAGACTTGTGTACCTTCAATATGAAGCTTTGAGTGAGCACCCACCTCTGAACCTAAATTTCAGAATAGCCATTTTTCCAATGCCGTCCTGTTGATGAATGTGGAGAATTAGATTGAATAAATGATATGCAACTCCGGGAAGCTGGGGTTAGGGACAATCAGCTCGGAGGGATAGGTTCTGGTCTGTGAAACTTGTCGACTTCGCCTTCATCCGGTACCGTAACTTATAACTGGTAGACGTCCATCGTAGAGCTAATTCACTGTTGGCATGTCGAGCCAGCTCTGAGGCCCCGGGCTCGAAAAAACCTGGAAAAAAAGATATCTATACTTTTATTAGTCTAGACTACTTTCCATCTCCATGAATGTCACCAGGATTTAAGGAATTGAGAAGTTTCCGCTCTTGTCAAAATCCATAGGAAACCGGCGGATTTCTGAACGGATAATCCAACTAATAAACTTCCGTTGCCTTCAGGTTGCGTCTGTAAATCATGATACTCAGATCGTCGGTAAGTATTGGACTCGGTGATGGACACGGTGATGGTGATGTCCATTGAATGTAACAGTCATCCTCGCTGAAAGGTCATGTAATTTACATTGCAACGTACATAGATACAGATTTAGAACAAGACTCTGCCCCAGCACACTAATCATTTTACACAATATAACCCTATTTCACCAATTGTGAGGAGAAAAACCGAGAAGAAAATTCCTTGACTTACCCCGTTAGCTCTTAAATTAGCTCCATTGATCCAATATGCAGCTGGACTTGCCACGAAAGCAACCAACGGGGCAACATCGTCCGGTCTCGCCATCCGTTTATTTGGATTTTGAGATGCTAGATAGCGCATCAGGTCTTCGGAAACACCAGAGCGGAAGAGTTCAGTATCTGTAGGTCCTGGTGAGATGGTATTGACGGTGATAGACCGTGTTCCGAGATCTTTCGCGAGAAGTCGGGACATCTGTTCGATTGCGCCTGAAATTTACATCAATCAGGATGTAAAAGAAAAAAATTAAGTATTGGATTGTATGGCGACCTTTCGTCATTGTATAGACAGTATACTCAGGAATGATTTGGCTGGCAATTGTCATAGAGGAAGAGATAAAAATAACCCGTCCACCGGCTAAATGACATGAGCTTCAGTCACTCTTTCGAATTAGACATGGGAGCATGTAAGTCGCTTACTTTCGGGGAAGAGCTTCGCCGCCGATTTCACGATGAAAAACGGTCCTTTAACATTCGTGTTGAAATGTGCATCGAAGTATGCTTCGTCAGTATCCTCCATGACATGGGTGCCCATCATTCCAGCATTCAAGACAAGAATGTCAAGGCGACCAAACTCCTTGACTGTTGCGTCAAGTAGGCTTTTTCCCCCGCAGAGGGTGGAAGTGTCCGCTTTAACAGCAATTGCCTTTCGTCCCATAGATTTTATTTTCTCGACGGTGCGGTCGGCAGATTTAATGTCAGTGCAGTCTGAACAGAATGAAATCGTCACGAATGGATGAGAAACTTGTTGAGCATGATTCACAATTGATAACAACATCGGCCCCTTGCTCTGCTAGACCGACTGCTATCGCAGCACCGATACCCCTTGACGAACCAGTGACGAGTGCGACCTTGCCTATGCAAAAAGGTTGATGTAACGTAACTCTTTCTCCCTGAAGGCAAAACTTACCAGCGAGTGAAGTGGTGGGAGTTGTATGCTCTGAAGCCATCGAGAAGGAAGCGGTACTTGGGAGGATCTGATAGAGATGGATGAGGGAAGTCCAATATTTAATACGATTCGGAAGATTTAGTATCTAATTAGGCCAAGTCCTTGTCCCCGATTGCGTAGTAATGTGAAGAACCAAAAAAAAGGCAAAAACAAATATGTTCAGAGTCTACGCATGCACTGTCGAAGTGTTGTTTGATTTCCGCCCCAACACAATGCTGCCCATTACTTGACCCCGGGTTCCAATGTCGGTATACAGTAGAGCAGCACGGATTTCTTCAGTGCTGATTCCAAAAATTGAGTATGTCATACATAAAAAATCGCGTGCACAAATCCAACATCATTGAGCCTGGTGCGAAAGCAAAAGCTGTCGAACCTTGAGTATTTGCCCCGATGTTTCCTTCGACGACGCTCGAGGTTATGTATGTAGTTCTTGAAAGACTCTGAAAGATCGGCGGGATGATCGACAGATTTGTGTTGATTACCCCACATGCGGAATAGTGAACAGCGATTATTAGCACTAAGTATTGAATCTGTTGAGTTGTTGAGTATGTTGAGTATTGAGATACGTAGATGAGACCCTATGAGACCTCGACTGGTAGCAGTTGACATAATAACAAGACAGAACGAAATGGCCTTCATTGGAGTTTCTGTGAACTTCAAGGATGTGGCATCAAGAGTGTATCGTGTTTGGTACAAAAAGTAAAGAGGAACGACCACACGGAAAGGCAGACTCCGGAGCAGAATTTCCCACACTCCTTCCGTTTCCACCTTATTACCCAGTGCCAACTGCACTCCTGCTGCACTCTTACCTCCGACGTTCAAATTCAACAAACAATCTTATCATTGTGAATATGTCAGTCGCCGCGTCCGAATTAGAACTTCTTTCTGAAGAGCTTTCCACGGAATTGAACGAGGTTACCGATCCGCATTTGGCACAATCTCTGGACATTTTGGCTTCTATATCTCCTCCTACTTCCTCAAGACCCGTCATTGCCGTGGGTTGGTAAGAGTCTACTACTGACATAGTAGCGTGTACTCATTTCTCATAAGACTTGGATGATGTGCTGAGGTACTAGATCTATTCGTGTTGACGGAACCATCACTTATATCTCCGCTTAGCCAGACCAACGCCGAGGTCGCTCGTTGTATGCCTGCCTCATTAAGCTTTCCAGCCTTTGGACTGTGATCTTAATGACACTCAGTAAATTCTGACAGGGCATAATGAGCAATATGGAACAAATATGACACTCAATGACTTTTACTGTGCGTCGTTATTTCTTTGTCTGGACTTCACCACTACTTATCGATGAACGTTCCTAGACTATTATTACTGGAAGGCAAGACCAACGGATCTCTTACTTTGAAACGCAATTCAATTTACGAGGTATAGAACCCCTACTGGGGTGGTTTACACGAAACACACCAGAAAGTCCGCGATTTCTATGCTTCTATGCAACTGTATAACGCTGCGCCCGTTACTGGTGCAGGAGAAGGCGTAAAAGCGCTTCATGACATGGGGTTCAAGTTGATCGTTGTGACAGCCAGGAGTTCTGATATTAAAGAAGAAAGCTGGGATTGGATCAATCAGTGGTTTCCCGGTGAGGGTATATTTTCCTGTATCAAGACTATCATATTCAGCCATTTTAGGACTTTTTGATAGTGTGATCTGTACTGGACAATTCAAAGATGCAACCAAAGATGGCCATGAGATCGTCACCAAGTTGAGCAAGGCGCAGGTTAATAGTGCCAGTAACATTTTTCCGGTACCTCGACATACTAACATGCAATTAATACAGGTTTGTGCTGACTTGAAGGCGCGGCTTTTAATCGACGATTCATCTGAGAACGCCCTGCAAGTTTCCACTTCGTCGTCTGCGGCAACACCACCAACGCCTGTCTTGTTATTTGGACACTACGAATGGAACAAACGCCTCTCTTTACATTCAGACGCGGTAGATGCCATGGCCTTTGACACTAGATTACAGATAGAGGGCGGGAGAGAATTTTGGAAGTATGAGAGGTTCGAGGATCATATTCCTGAGGGAGCTCCACTTCATCGAGTGAGAGACTGGGAAGAAGTAGTTCAGTTTGTCAAGTCTGCTCGAGCTGCAAACGAGCTTTGACCTTTCTGTATATTTACTGTACCAAGTATGTACAATAGAAAGGTTCATGGCAGCGTCGAAATCCGGCTACCGGGGCATGATCACTATCACATGAATGTTTCTCAATCACCTTGATCAGGATGTTATTAAATATGGACGAAACTACGTCGGCTCCCTCTACCAGTACCTCATATGATTCATGGCCGCTCTTTCGACATCAAGAACCAAGGAATTCTTGGAACTCTTGGATGGGATATTTAAACACTATGCTGCCCATAGACCACTTATACAGCGTATCCTCAACATATCATTTGTCTTGTATGTCCTGGGAACAACTTACAAAGGTTTCTCTGCCCGACCCGCTCCCAAAAGCCAATTGAAGAGAAACAAAGATGCTGGAAACGAAGAGGAGATGCGTCGGCCTCCAAGAGTCGCGGTGTGTCTGTTAGTACTTCTTCATAAATCGCACATTAATCATATATTCGTAGGTCGACGCATTGTTTTACCAGAGATTGCGCCACATACTCCGCATAGTTATCCCTGGTATAAGGTCCAAGGAGGCACTCATGCTCATCATGCACTCTAGCTTACTGATCGCGCGGACAGCCATTTCCCTTTACGTTGCTGCCCTCGATGGAAAGTGAGTAAACGGTTTTGGCAAATCAGCTTTACGGCTTGGTCTAAACACGGATGTTGCAGAATCGTCGCCTCGCTCGTTCGCGCAAAGCCTCTCGAATTTGCATACAACATCATCCGATGGCTTCTCGTCGCAATTCCTGCTACGTGGACTAACAGCTGGCTCAGCTACATTCAAAGCAAACTTGCGATCGCATACAGGACACGATTGACTGATCTGGTAATGAGAGAGTATCTTGGGGGTAAAAACGAAGCAGGGCCTGAAGGAAAAGTGTATTACAAGATATGTATGTATTTGTCTTTCAATATCCGAACTGACTCTCATCACAATTGGAATTCAGCAAATTTGGACGACCGAATCAAAAATCCTGACCAGTGAGTCTCCAGACCTAGACTAATGACCCTTTTGTCGATTGACGTGATGTCGCACAGAATGATCACACATGACATTCAACGCTTTTCTGCTAGTCTCGCGGCTATCTACTCGAACCTTGCAAAGCCCGTGCTCGATGTGATCTTGTACAACTATCAACTATCACAAAATGTCGGCGCTGAGGGCCTAGTCGGACTCACAATATTGGTCCAACTCAGTGCTGCGTTGTGTGAGTGTCCTTTTGAAAGCGGTCTGCTTCATTGCTCATTAGCTTTATCATTCTAGTGCGCAGTCTGACACCCAACTTCGGTTCATATACTGCCTTATCAGCGCAACTTGCGGGTGCTTTGCGACATAGTCACTCACGCCTAGCTGAGTTCTCTGAGGAGATTGCGTTCATGAGAGGAGAAGAGACAGAAAAGATGCTCATCGAAAGAGAGTTCGCTACTGTCATTTTGCATGAACGTAGAGTTTTAAGACGGAGGTGGTGGTTTGGTTGCGTTGAAGAAGGGATCGTGAAATGGTTATGGGGAAGTTTCGGGGTATGTAGAAAACCCTCGTCCAGTAGAGAATCTGAGTCTGAACTTGATTTTATTGATTCAGCTCGTACTATGCGCTATTCCGGTATTCTTCAAGCTCCCAGGCGCTGATAATATCGACCTAGGAGGTCGAACGGAAGGTGGGTCCTGTGTTTGGGTCGAATGTTTCACCGAACTAATTCTCGTCAAGGTTTCGTGACAAACCGAAGGCTTTTATTATCTTCATCTGGTACATAATCTTTGATATCGCCCACTTGGCCCTTTTGACGAGGATTGTAGATGCATTCGGTCGCGTCATGTATTCGTACAAGGATCTGTCCGAGCTAGCTGGATACACTGCTCGTGTCTCCGCGCTTCTTGAGACAATGGAAGATGTCAAGAAAGGCAAATTCACAAAGGCTCTTGTGAGTAGTGCAAGCACAGAAGAGAATGCTAAAAGTAAGCTCTGTATGCTAATGCTACGGTTCATGATCCTCTTACCCGTTCAGTCTAGTTTTGCAAGGAAGAGGCGAAGTATTCATTTCCGAAGATATCCAATTTGAGAACGTCCCCATTGTCACACCAAATGGTGACATCCTAGTTAGAAGCCTTAGCTTCAAGATTCAACCCGGTGTATGTATCTTGTGCCCTTCTCCACTAGACGGCTGATTTTTCTGATTCATCCCCAAATAAAAAGCAACATCTATTAATCGTCGGACCCAATGGTAATATATTTCACAAGGCATTTCTAGGAGTATAGACTGACGTTGTATCAGGCTGTGGAAAATCTTCTCTTTTCCGTATATTAGGTAGGTCCTATCCCTCGTCGGTGTTAACTTGTATGGAATGGAATCAATATTGAAGGTGGTTTGTGGCCTGTGTACGGGGGAGTCGTGCGTAAACCACCAGCGTCCTCATTTATTTTGATCCCACAACGGCCATATCTCACAATCGGTACTCTGCGAGACCAAGTCATCTATCCACACAGCCAGCGGGAGATGATAGCTCGTCAGTCAATTTTGACTTTGATGTTCTTTGCGCCCGTCAATGCTGATACTCCATGACAGGGGATATCACTGATGATGATTTGTTCAAGGTCCTTAAGGTGGTCCAAATGGAGAATGTCGTGGAGCGTGAAGGTGGCTGGGACTCAATAAGGGAGTGGAGAGACGCGCTGAGTGGAGGTGATAAACAAAAGATTGCATGGGCTCGATTATTCTACCATAATCCTAAAGTGAGGCTCAATTCTTGTGCTCAGGGATATATTAATTGTTTTCCTAGTATGCCATTCTCGATGAGGCTACTTCACTTGTTCCCCTAGAAATGGAAGGTCGGATGATGGAGCATGCGACGATGCTGGGGATTACGCTGTTAACGGTGTCCCATCGACCTTCACTTTGGAAATATCATGCGATGATCTTACATTATGATGGCCAGGGAGGATATGTATTGTGAGCCGTGTCCTTCTTCTTGCTTTCTATGTACACACCTGACTCGGCTTTGAAGTACTAAGCTCGATGCCGAGAAGCGACTAGCTCTACAAACCGAGAAGCAAGCTCTCGAAGCGAAGCTGGCTGATGTGTAAGTCGCACTTAGTAGCACCCTCCATATTTTGTTTCCATATTCACTGATTCATTTAATTAGACCACGAATGAAAGCCCGGCTAGCTGAACTGAAAGGGTTCTGAGCGACTTCCAGCGTCTTGTACATTTTGTTTTTACCCTACTCTGGAGTCATGCTGTATTACTATCTATACTACTTAAGCGCTTCAAGCGCCGAATCCATGACTAATTTTGGAGAGCCTGATGGTACTCTCCTTTTACCCACCATGTTCTTTATCGTAAGTCTCTTTGTGGGGGGCTGTTATCCACAATCCATGTTGAAATACCTCATCAGAAAGAGCTAACACACCCCATTCTCCTCCATCCATCCTATTTTGGCCCTCGTATGCTAAATTTTCTGGAATCCAAACTGTATTCGGACGTCGAAGGCACATGCTCTGGAAAATTCGGATACATCATCGCCGTTGTGTCAATTCTGGATATTGGAAAGGGAATGGTGATTAGTGGAACCGGACAGGCGGAGTTCATAACCAGATATAGAGCGATCGTGTTCAAGCCTTTCAAAGGTGAGGTGGTGGATGGCGTGGTTGCCAGTGTGACAAAGGTGTGTAACATCCATACACTGTATGTGTTCCGTCCCTAATACTCACCAGACACGCACAGATGGGCTTTTTCGCGGACGTTGGACCATTATCAGTCTTCGTTTCTCACCAAGTCGCTTTTTTCCACCGACACGCGTTCAAGGACTTATTATGGTCTCTTTCTAGTTGATTCCTCCTGACATGAAATTTGAACCGAACTCAAATCCCCCTTCATTTGCTTCTGACCAGCAGGTAGTATTGCCTGCGCTTGTGTCGTAATATGCGGCGCTCTTACATTCCCCTAGATAATCGAGAAAAATACGAAGATCCGATTAAAGATTGTTGGTACCCGTGTCGATGCTACAGAAATTGTGCGTCCTCGATTTCTATCTGCTTTCCTCTTTCCATTGACTTCTAGTGATAGTTTGCTATTGGAACTGTAAACGAAGAGCATCTCGGCGTGGTGGATTAAACTCGTCATTTTTTGGGACCGATTCAACCGTATACGTATATACAGGGTGCGATGTTATTGCGACGTTCCATACTGCGGCATGCAGCAAGGTACGCCGTACTCCTCAAAAGACTCTTGGTTCTTCATGTCGGGGCGGATGTCGCCAGAGTAGTTAAGGTTCGAACATACTTTGTGAAAAAAGGGAACATGTGCTTGCGATGTAGCTTACACATATGTACACTACATATAATGAATAATTTTTACACTTGTGCTTGGAGTCGTCGCACTGTAAGCTACGAACAAGGATCTGTTATAATCTCCTTCCAGCGACGCGTTTGCGAAAGACAGCCGATGTAACATCGAGCGCGAGAAAACTACCTTGGCTTATTACACGATTGTTCACTTCAAAGTCACAACGGTCGCTTTGTAGTCGATGCAGAGACTGAGAGAGCTCAAACAACACATCGCATAGCCTGATGTCTTTCGCCTTTATTCCGCGAAAAGTTGGCAAGAAGGCGCCGGCCACTTCAATTCCAGCTTCAGCAGGAAACTCGAAGGGGAAGGCGGCAGCTGTAAACTTACCTGCTGCTCCACTTGCTTCCACGGTACCTGCGCCGCGTGCGGACGAAGAGCTGGCAGAAGAATTTGCGATCTTGGTGGTGCTTTCTTTGACAGAGTATGCACTATGGGCCAACGCAGACTTACGAAGACGGATGGAACAGACCCTAGAAGATGAACATGGATGTATGGATTACTCTTGGAAATTTCTTTCAACTTATTCAACGTCATTGATCAGTTGTTCCTCTCAGATACATCCTGAAGCATTCACCGCTTTTGCAAGAGCCACAACATTACTCCCAGCACATCGAGTCAAAACTGCCATCCGAAAGTGCGATAGTGAAAGCCATCCGGAAGCATGCCGAGGACAACATCGAAGTCAGGATGGTACTTTCAGGACCGACATGGTCCAACTGGGGCTTATCGTCTGCAGGAACGGATGAAGGCATGTATGAGATTCGGCCCAAGGCAAAGGTCAGTCAAGGATTAGAAGGCGCAGAAGGATATATGAGAGATTACTGGGCAAACCGAACTATCTATATCGTGCGTGATTCTTCAATGAATCGATCGACATTCTTATTTTGCCATTACAGGAGAATATTCCTCCAGCTCATCGAACCATTCATGGCATTTTCCAGTTCGTCCGGGATACCTACCCTTCTACAAATTATCCCAGCATTCAGAGAATCTCCTTCCCGCCACACTATCTCGATGCCGATGCCGATACCTCATCCTTTCATCACATCCCAAAGTCGAGAACCAAATGCAAGGGTTTCGCATTTGTCCTGTTTTCATCTGTCGATGAGGTCGATCAGTTTAGTGCAACGTGGAAATGGGAACGTGCTCGGTCAGGACCAGTCCCAGTCCCCATCAAAGCGGACACTTCACCTTCCCTACTTTCCCGTGCATCCAGTGCGTCGTCACATGTAGAGGCTCGAAAGCACGGTTTTCGTGCTCTTCCAAAGGCCCAATGGGACGCGTTGAAGGACGAATATGTCGCTTGGAGACAAAAGCTGTTGGAGCAAGTTCTTGCGGAACAGGACGATGATGTAAATGAAGAGATGAAGTACAAAGTAGGGTCTCAATGGGAGGAGGAAGAAAAGTATAACGAATTCGGGAATGGCGAAATTTCGCATTCAATACAAAGCAATGGTCCCCAAACTTCTTTGTCCTCTTCCGCCGACCTCCCTTCATACTTGACCTCATCATCCCCATTCCCTCCAAATTGTCTTGTCTTCATCCGCAACATCCACGCGGGCACTAATAAAACCACCCTCCGTACACTTTTAAGTAAGGCTCTTATAAACGGTGTTGAAAAAGGCATTGAAAATACCCAACCACAAGACATATCTCAGTCCATTGACTACATCGATTACACGAAAGGGATGGATACATGTTATATTCGTTTCTCTTCTCCCTCCCAGGCGAGCGCACTTCAATCATACTTGACCCGTCACTGTATCGTGCAAAGTACAGCATTGGATGATACTGGCATCGAAGTGGGAAAAGCGCAAACAGATAAACCTAAGTACATGAAGGTTGAGGTCGTACAAGGGAAGAAGGAGGAAATTTACTGGGAGAAGGTCCCAATAAAGGTTAGGCAAGAAGCAGTGCGGAAGGCGATAAGTAATGCAAATGCTACTTCGTCATCTGCCGTTGTTTTCTTTAATTCCACTCTGCAAACACCGAAGACAACATTACCGACTGAACGTCCTACTTCCGTCTCCTCAGTATCTCTATTGGCACCCCCGCCTACTCCACACCCACACTCACCTTCATACCCTCGTAACTGTCTAGTCTTCGTGCGAAACGTCCATCCCGGGACAAATAAAACCACCATTCGTGCTCTTTTCGTGAATGCCCTATCAAAGAAGGTGGGAAGTAGTATCTCGGCAGGTGGTGAAGACAGGGATAGTAAAAATGCCATTGACTACGTCGATTACACGAAAGGAACAGACTCTTGCCATCTTCGCCTCCGTTCACCTTCGGATGCGCATTTTCTTGTGGAAAATTTCAAAAAACAGTTTATAGTTCAGAGCGCGCCGTTGGATGATGGTGGTGTCAAAATTGGGGGTGACGGGGCCAATGAAGGCGACCTCATCTCCTCATCCCAACGGTGCATAGTTGTCGAACTCGTTCAAGGGACTCGGGAGAAGATATATTGGGAGAAAGTTCCATTGAAACTTCGACAGGATGCCGTTCGGAGGGCTAACACCAGTACTTGCGATTTGCCTGAGCCTTTTACGGTCCCTCATATCGCCTCTTCCACAGCGGCCCATCCTGCGACGCTGGAGCTTGAAACCAAACCCGACTCAAAATCATCGAAGAAAAGGAATCTCGCCTGCGCTGACGTTAGTGTTGAAGAGACGGGGGCGGGCAAGAGAGATGGTAATAGCGATGATGGTGAAAGAGTGCTGCTTACAGAACATACCAGTAGGAAGAAGAAGCGAAAGAAAATCTAGATGAAGATTGTCCAATTCTTGTCCGTCGTGGAAAAAGCATACAAATAATTTGGATGTAATTTGCCCTTCCGTCTTGCCCAAGCTCTGAATTAGTATATCATCGTCACACTCGTAAATACATGTGCAGAATGCACAAAATCGATGCGTCTCGGATTATCTGTGGTTGCCTCAAATACGCCAGGGTATAGTAGATAAGTTTTTGGAAAGTCGAAACGCATGAGAAATCGACTGGTGTAGAAGTGGTCGGATTACAGATGATGCGGCGGGAAGATAAATATGCAAAGTAGACGGGTCGATCGGGATTCGGACCATTATATCGTGACTATCCCGGCTCATTCTAATAGTTGCAGTGACCAACGATTTGAGTAAATATGCACAGTAATAATGTAGGATGATCATACAGCGGAATTAACGATTGCATCTGATTCTCTGAGCCAATCGGATTGCACCAATTACTGATGACGAATGTGCTCCGAAATGTGCCGGCAATCACACAGGCGTGGAAAAGCAAATTTGTACCGGGCTCCATTTCCTTCTCCCACTCGAGCATAAGTATTGCTCTTTAAATTTCTGTCTCTACTTGTATCCCATCCTCCACAAAAGGAATAATCTTTCAACTTTGAATAACCATCATGCACTTTGTCAACCAATCGCACAATTACGAGTCAGTGCTGTGTTTTCTTCTTGCTCGCGTGCTCATAACTGACTTCCTCTCTCTAGTCACCCATGGTCTCACGTCGTCATTGGAATGTGGCATAAATACCCAAATCCCAAGTGCACACACGTCGTTAGCATTGATGTTCTGGACCGTTCAGTCGATCCGAAAACAGGGATTATCAGAACAGAACGGGTGTTAGGCTGTAAGCAGAAAGCGCCAAAATGGATAGTCAAGGTGTGTGGTGCTCCATAACTCTTGTTTTCGTTTAATTAATATGATCTCTCAGCTCTTTGGTGGATCTGAAGACGCATTTGTTCGCGAAATATCGTTCATTGACCCTCGGACACAAAACGCAACCATCACCTCAGAGAATCTTTCATTATCCCAATTCGCAACATGTTTAGAGCAAATACGGTATTCGCCTTCGTCAACACCTGGCCGCACAGTCTTCTTACAGACAGCTGAGATTCAAGCTCGAATGACGTTATGGCGGAGTGCAGCTGATGGTTTAGAGAGGTGGATGGCTCAGCGGTTCGAACAAAATGCACAACTAGGGAAAATGGCTTTCACAGATGTTCTACGACGGTTATGGGAAGAAAGAGAGCGAATGCAGGCTGTAGCTGCTTAGAGGGACCTGATTTTATGATATTCTATGTGTGCGCTGTCATTTCCACCCCGCTCTAAACTCATTTTCGGGATGTATCACCGGTATTAGATATCCTCTGTATTCACATTCGTAGTAGACAACTGTAAAAGCGTCGTCGCTGACGCCTATCGATACCTTATTCATCATAGAGAGGAAATTTGATAAGCCGTTAAATAATATCTTAATCCGCATGATTCCGATTATCTCTCGATTAATTTTTGACTTGTTCCCCACCACCGCTAGTTCTCAACTGTCCATCGCACCCGATTCGTTCTGTATTCTTCCTTCTGCTACGTATCCTTTCCGAACCAATAAACTAGTACTAGTGGCCTCTTGATTTCCGAACTGTCGAATTAAGGAGACGCAAAACTTTCGACTCATGGACGAACTTTTGCATCACTGTCTCCGTGAACTAGCCTTCGATGGTGACCTTGGTGAGTATCCTTTATCATGTGATGGCGCGGAGAAGAAAAAAAAATAGTACATAGTGAGGGATGAGGAGGGTTCGAACCCACTACATGCCTTTTCTCCTTTATATCAAAAAATCTTTTCATTCATTTTTCGTCCACAGGCTGCGACGTCTCTCGGCTCTCAGATTTTATCAAGGACTTTTACTCCCATTCTGGTTCGGATCAGAAAGTCGACGATGCATTCTGTGCTTTTGTATGGTCACTTGTCGTCCAGCAACCAACAGTTCTGGTCGGCACTCTTCCGCCTACTATCACATCCGAAGTCTGGATCGCACCCCAAGTTAGTGCGAAGAGGAAGGCCAATGCCAAAGGGGAAGAACACATACTCACCGAGCCCCTCGTCTTAAACCTTCTCCCTGATGCGAAATCAAGACCTTTGGCACAGTTGCAGAGAGAATATGGAAGTACCTTAAGAATAGCCGCGGATCGCGATTCAATTTATGCTGCGATCACTGGCACCCATATCAGGGTACGTTTTTGCCAATCCAAGTTTCATTAGTATATTGATTTGCTTCTTCCATAGTTTTCGAAAATGAGTCCTATGGTTTATAGTGCACTCCAAATCATTACTCGAGGCAGAGTCGACGGTGTTACGGTTGTACAACTCGGGCAAAGGACCAAATATGACCAAAAGACTTGCTTCTATCTGGTCAAGCAGCTCACTGATCTGAACCTTGTGTAAGTTCCACCGTCCCAACCTTTCTTGCTTGACTGAATTCCCTGTAGAGTCAAGGTCAGACGAGGTGGTGTAGGAACACACTTTGTCATTCATCGTTATTTCTTCGACCGGAGTCCTTCGTGGAAGGCCATTCGAGATGAGGAAGTTCGAGCTGAAGTTATATCTCGGAACACAGACGTGTCGACTGTTGAAGGACAAGAAGACGAGGAGACTACGGATGTTTCCCCCCTAGGTTTTACTCCTATCGATTCTCGACATCTTTCCAGTCTCCCTCTAGTTCGCGGACGAATTGTGAAGCTTTTGAAGGCTTCCACAAATAACATGCATGTGTCAAACAATATGATAGTCATTCTCGTACGTTTCATATCTCTCCGAGTTTAGTATGATCTACTGATGACTCCAAAAATCTTAAATAGGGCTTTGCGCACCCCACCAAAACCGATCGACGCTTTTTCCACAGGCGAGTGCAAGAGTTGATTCAGCAAGGTGTTGTAGAAAAAGTACTTGTCCCAAGCAAGAAGAAAAAGACGAAAGTAGCAAGCGTGTTGTGTCTTCGCTTGGTGAACGAGAATGCAGGAGGAGACGAGATAGTCGTCGTACCCCAAACGGAAGGTGACGAGGATCAAATTGAGGATGATCATGGCGAGCTTCCATTTATTCTTTACATCGGATGCATCTAACTCTTCCCTAGTTCAAGGAGGATTCAAGCTCAATGTTTCTGTGCACAAGCAAATCAGCGATATGCTGGAGGAGGCTGGAACTACGGGAATGACTCTAACCGTGAGTCCAGCCCAGTTGTGTTGGATAACATCGATGGACCCTTATATAGGAACTAAGCACCTCGTTATGCCAGTTCGATCGAAGAACTATCGAACTGATCCTCACCCGCGCCGAACGCTTCCAGCCCCCGCCGCACCTCGGCGATCTGGGTGTCGCAGCTCTACTCGAAACTAGCGGCAGAGAAAGACGCCACCGATACTTTACTATCTCAGCCTATCGTACTCTCGTCGAAAGAGAAAATCTTGATAAGTCCACTGCTGGATATAGTGACGTCGATCTCAGCAACGTCGGTGGGTTCCTGAGTGTCGATCCGGGAGGATTTTATCGAGACGATGAAGAGTTACATCAATATCAGGATTCTTTCAAGGATGATGACTCGATAAAGCTGGCGAAAGTTAGTAAAAAGTCGGCCGAGAGTAGTGTCGCGGGCAGAAAGGGACTAAAGCAAAAGTTGCCAGTTAATGCGGAGGCTGAAGATAATGGGATTGATCCTCAGAGCTCGGCCAAACCATCTCGTCGTGGAAAGCGAAAGGCGGCTGGGACTGCTTCTGCGAATCAGGAAGACTCTATCGAACCGAGGCCACAAAAGAAGCGAAAAATCGAGAACGCTGAAAATGTTGAAGCTGAAACTCAGATTGGGGCTATAGGTACGGCGACATTTTTCAAATAAAAACAATTCTCATCTCAAAGCCTGTGTTCCATCATTAAACCAGTCGAACCTCCTGTACCGAAAAAACGCGGTCGCCCAAGAAAAACCGTTGATAATTCGACTGCACCTGCGCCTAAAAAACGTGGACGACCACCAAAGGTGAGAGCCAAGTCAAACGGAGGGGAAGACGAGCCAGACGCTGGAGAGAAATCAGACGACACAGAGACAGCTCCGCCGAAGAAACGGGGGCGGAAGTCGAACAACTACGCGGCGAATGTAGATGATGACGATACTGATAAGGCTAATAGAAGATCGACACGTAAGAGTGTGGAAGGAGAGGAGGAGCAAGAGCGGCAAGGAGATGTTCAAATGGTGGATGAGCCGCAATTACATGGGGACAATTTGCAGGCAGATAATCCGCAGAAGGGCAATCATCTGGAAGTGGAAGGCGACCCAGATATTTCCCGGTCAAGGCAATCCGGAGTTATGTCCACTCAACTCGCTTATTTCGACGGGGATGTCGATATGGTTGTTCAGCCTGTAAACATTCGAAATGATCAGAGATTGCCCGACGATGGAAACCTCACTCAAGCAGATCCTTCAGATACCCGTGACGGTTTGTCAATCACGCAAGCATCACAGGAGCCGCTTGGTCTACACGAAAACTCCGAATCGGTATGTCCCCTCCAGCCGCGATACCTCTTGTCCCTCAAATCATGTTAGGTCTACATCTCTACTGATCCGCAACAAGCCCCATCCTTGACTAAGCCATCAGGGCAGCTTAGACCGAAGGTCAACGTATCTAACTTGCGACGTGAAAATGAATTGTTACGCGTCGTAGAACTCCTGGGAGGGATTGTCAACATTCAAACGAGGGAGCTGTACGAAACTCACCTTACTTTGTTGGATACCCTTGCAAAAGCCGGAGAACCTGCCAGCTCTCCACCTGGTATCAGAACAGACAAGCGGACCGTTACGGCTACGTTCAATGCTTTGGAAAGTCGTGGAAAGGTCAAGCAGCTAACTACATTAGTTCCTTTGTATCTTGGCACCAGTCGACAAACCGTCGTCGTATACTTGCCTCATGTTTCAGACACCCAGCTCGGCACGTTTCTCTCTGAGTTGGCTCAGGGTGTAGGTCCACCTCCGGTACCTCAGCCTTCTGGGAGGATCATTGATGAAGCGGTCGAGTATGGTCAGGAGAAGAAATCAACAGTTCGAAAGCACGTCCCAGTTAAGGAACTTGAAAAGGTCGGAATCAGTGGACCAGACCGATGGCTAAAGAATGTAGAACGGGCCGAACAGCTTTTCTCCCAAGACGAAAGCTTCATTCGGGACATACTTCTTACTGAGCGGAGCACTCTATGTCAAGCCTATCGCTCAATCATTGCCAAATGTGTTCGAGCACGAGAATTGCATCTGATCTGTATGCATGCTTTCGAAACATCACATGCTTCTCCCCAAATCATCTCGCATCAACAAAAGGTTATGCATTTGTCTTTCCTCTCTTTGGATCTTCCCTTGGAACAATACTGCAAATTGGTTTCTCCTATACATCATTCCGAGGACCTGAGTCGCTTTATGTCTACTGAAGCAGGTCTCAATACCATAGTCAGGGATCTGCCAGAAGATATAAAGAATATATTGCAGGTCGGTAAAAGTCGAGCGATCTCTAAATTACTGGAAGGTTTAGAATTGCTGCGGAGTCTAGGTCTTGTCTCCCCCCTCATTACCTCAACTTCCAATACCCCGTTCCTCACTTGTGAAGCCAAGGGAAACCATCCGACTACCTTTGATGCTGCTGCGTTAGATGGATGGAATTCTCAGACGTCATTGTCTGCTCCAGTGTACTGGAAGTTTCATGATGCTGCGCCGGTTCACCATTGGGCTCAGTCAGAGATAAATCCACCTTTCTTGCAGGATGTGGATGTTGGGTCTGTGTCGTTTGCCATTGATTACTGGGCCTTGCTTGAAAATACTTGCTTGAAAAGGTCACTCGAGGCTCCTAGTCAGGGCGTGAGTCACCTTGCGCCTCTCAATACCAGTATTGCCACGGCTCGGACCCTCCGTCGCCCTATTTCTTGGACCTCTAACTATAAACTCTCTTGGCACCAAACACAATACTTGAAACGGTTCTACAACATTTCCTCTGGAAAAACACCGCTGGAAGCCGAAGAAAGTGATGTTGAGATCGAAAAAATTTCTTGGGTTATCAGCGCTCCTTCTGCTGCTGTCCGCGATTACTACACAAATATACAAAGCAGACTGGCTAAAGAAGCAGAGAAAGTAAGGAAGCGACGTAAGCGCGAGGAATTGGAGAAACAGGCGGCGAACAGTGCTAAAGCTCAAGCCTCACTCAAGAGAAAGGCTGAAGAGGCGCATCTACACAGAGAAATGGAATGGACACAGTTACTTGAACGTGTTCATCTCAAGCCCCTGAACAAATCAGCCTCACTAAGAGTTAAACATATTCGGGAGAGATTCTTGCAGTCTACGACTGTTCAGGAAATCGATAAGTGGGAGGCGGAGATTACCAGCACCATACGTGAAGCTGAATTACTTTCCAAGAAGGTTCTGAAACCAAAAGCAAAATCAAAGCCATCAACCCCAGCGCCCGCTACATCCCCGCCAAATATGATAACGCCCATTTCCACTATCGTACCTCCTCTCGCCACAAATCCTCACGAGCGATCTGTGGTCGAACTCATATCCGAACAAGGACCCCCGCTCAGCCAGATTCGGCCGCCCAAGAAACAAAAGAAGAAACGGAAGCAAGATAGTAAGATCTTGTGTTGTATTCTTTGTGAACACAACTCACATTCTTGTAGACCAACCTGAGGAAAGCGACAACAAGCCTCGTATTGTCAATCGTCGACACCGATTTGCGTGGAATCGAGAGTTCGAGGAATTGGCACGTGATGCTGCCGCTATTATTAAAGCGCGATGTCGTGATGCTATTCGGCTGGATTGGGGTGCCTTCGAACAAGTTTTTCCTGCTGTACCAAGAAATACCGTTCGCCAACGTGTTGCTCATCTCCGGGAAGTAACAGGTGGCGACGCATATTTGAACCGCTTGGAAGATAGCTGGTACGATCTTTGGAAGCAGCATCGTGGATCTGAATACCTACCGGATGAAGAACCTACGAGCGCGACCAATTTTAACCTCATTAAACATATCGAATTTCTCCGCAAACATATTGATAAAAATGCCTTGTGTGTACATATGACACTGTGAACTTATCAGTATCCGCTGACCTGTGTTTTCTTCTCAGACGAGTCGGGTATATGCCTGCTCAAAAGATTGCTCAACCAACAATTCCTAGCAATGTGTCAACTTTACTTGAGCAATTTGACGTCGTTGAGACACCGTCCAGTGCACCCTCCTGGGATTTTGTTTGGAATGCTCTAGTCGAAGAAGGTAGAGAGAAGGGAATGTTGAGCCTACCGTTCACCAATCAAGTGGATGTTCTTCCTCTTCGGGACGAGTCTGTCAATGAGGAGATGTGTCTAGCCGAGTCAGCTCTCAAGGTGAACTTAGCCATTAAGGCTACTCGTTCATGTCGTCATTCTCATTCAAATTCTTTAGATGGTTCTGGGAACGCCTCATGAAATATATGAGTCTGAAGTGGCTTCAGCGTTGCTTAATAGTGTAAATGGGGAGATTGTTCCTGTTGCAGCTCAAAATCTCCTCGGACGTGGAGTCCTCTCGAAGCTCGTTCGAGATCCTCAGAAATCGCAACCCGGACGATTACTGAAAATTTCGGAAGTGTACGTCTCAGATATCTTTTTAGAAAACTTGATGCCTGACGAACGGGTTGACTAGTAATCAAAACGCACTCCATGGAATAATACATCGGGATACTTTTCAGGATGCCGCATCGCTAGAAGAACTGTCAGCTCAACAAGAGAACGTCTGGCACGAGTGGCCATTGCTTGCTACAGATGGGGACCTTGCATCGCTCCTGCAGCTGGTATCGGAAAATAAGGTGGAGTTCAACATCGATACCTCCCATCCACAAGCTTGTCGCTCCGCTCTGGATTGGAATAGCAAGAAAGCTGGTAGGTCTTTAAGTATAGATTCGAATTCGATAAAAAGTTCATGCTCCTCTCCAGATGACGATCAGATCGAGACAAGCGTTTACGTTCGTTTCTTTAATCTGGCTGATCAAGCATCAAGTTCCGGCATCGTGCAAGAGCCCATAAATGCACACATGGACGTTGACGAAGATTTATCCGTGGTTCATGGTGTAACTGTCGATGGTTCACCGGCTTGCTGTCGCAAGAACATCCTTGGAGCAGTTGTTAATTGTTCCGGGTGTTTAGATGAACTATGGAGAACTCATAGCGCTAATTTCAGTGCGAACGAGCTTAACACGGCGCAGCTGATTCTGTGGCTTGTTGGTCAAGCTGGCGCGAAAGGATTGTCGAAACAAGATCTGATTGTAAGTACATATACAAGAAAACTATCACTCACTCTTTGATCTTGTTCTTACAGCTGAACGCAAAGATGATTCCTGAAGAACTTTTATCGGTGGTTTCCAAAATGACCGAGGACTCTTTCTTGCACTGGGTTGGATACAATGATACGCTTCTTGTGTCCTCAGCACATGCAGCATCGTGGACGGTCGCGCTATCCGACTCACCATTAATCAGAGTTTTTCCTCGTCGCTGGCTAGATATCTTTGGCAAGAAGGTGATTGACGTTTGGGAGGCTGCACTACGCGCAGTCATCGGAGCTATCGTGTTTCGGCCTGGAATTTCACAGGTATGTGCGCAGTTCGTAACTCATTCATAACACATCGCTCAGTGATCACGTCTAGTCGGAACTTCGATGGCGCTTGAAACCTGTGTACGACAAGCAAGAGGTGATGGAGCTGCTAAGATGGCTCTTGGAAGAGAATTTCGTCAAAAATCGCACCGTCTGCGTGGCCTCCGTATCTAGGGCCGTCGAACCTCTCGCCATCTCTACCCTCGATGAAGATGAAGAAAAACGCGTGTTCTGGTTTCTAAATGAGGCAAAGCACTGGTATTTAGTTTGAATTATTGTATATATGTGTGTAGTGGCTGCTGTATTCTTCCGTAAAAAATGTGGAGGACATCCACAGTAGAGAAAAAAGCCTAGAGTCAGAGGGCTGCTCCGGCTCCAATTTTTCACCATATGAGAAATCAGAGTCAAATTTTGGTGAGACTCGAACCAGTCAGATTGAATCCTGCAGGCTGAAAATTAGTGCAGAGCAACGTGCACCGCGTGCACCGATTTTTTTAGCGCCCAAGATGGACGGGACAAACCGGACGGCCGAATATGGAACGTATCAAACTCTCTACTCTACATCGTTGAGCCCTTAAATTCCTGTTGCTCGCCATGGCTTCCTTCCATGCAGTGAAAAAGTCAATTAATTTGGCGCCAACAGTGCGCGCCCTTCCATCTGGTGTCCCTGCAGCGCCTCTTCTAAACCTCGCTGCACGAGCTCCGGCTGACCACCACGGCCATGGACATGGTTCCTCTGGTCCTCGCGCAGATGTTCCCCCTTCTTGGGCCGGGGGCGTATCCAAGTCACCATTTGGTCTTTTTACTAAAACTTACACCACTGGTCAGCCTTTATACACCGTTTCCGAATTGAGTTTATTGATGAGTTACTCGACGTTTACAGCTCCTGCTCCCAAATTGTTCCAGCAACGTCTTCTGCATACCTCTGCTGTCGTCAAAGATGCCCCTGAAGTCCCAGACTTCTCTCATTATCGTGCACCAAATACCGATAACAACCGTGCACTGTCCTACTTTATGGTTGGAACGATGGGTGTACTTTCCGCTTCTGTTGCCAAGTCCAGTGTATCCGAATTCTTGCAAACGATGGCAGCCTCTGCAGACGTTTTGGCCCTTGCAAAAGTTGAGGTAGACCTCTCGGCCATTCCTGAAGGCAAGAACGTAATCATCAAATGGCGAGGAAAACCCGTCTTCATCCGACACAGGACACAGAGTGAGATTGACGAGGCGAGATCTGCAGACTGGAAGACTTTCAGGGACCCAGAGTCTGACGAGGCTCGAGCTAAGAAGCCGGAATGGTTGGTTATGTTGGGTGTTTGTACTCACTTGGGTTGTGTCCCTATCGGTGAAGCCGGTGACTATGGAGGCTGGTACGTCCTTGTAAATCGTCCCTGTTCAAATCTCTAAAATAACCGTTTCTAGGTTCTGCCCTTGTCACGGCTCTCACTATGACATCTGTGCGTATATTTGCCTCAGTCCTTGAGACTCCAAGATTGACTGTCGGTCTTCATTCCTGTAGCTGGTCGTGCTCGCAAGGGACCTGCCCCTGTAAGTTCCTTTGCAGTATCTCACCTGAACTATACTCACGTCGGCCTTCGTAGCTCAATCTTGAAGTCCCTGCTCATGATTTCAATGATGCGGAAGGAAAGCTTGTTATTGGATAGATTGTCAGAAGTTCTAGAATTTTACAGCCCGCGTAAATTTCCAAAAATCATAGATCTTTGGATCGTGTGAAGTCGCGAGGTCTCTGCGCTTCGAATATCGTGAATGTTTTATTTGAATTCCCAATATCTGGTGCCATCTTGCTATCTTATGAGGATATAATTGTTGTACGTTCATGTGGTCCCACTCCTACCTGACTTACTTGAAGAACAATCCTTATCTCTCGTTCGAGGGGTTTATAACCAAGCTTCTCGGGGTTCTGCTTATTCTTCTATCTTTTTGACTCGTCCGCCTTTTGGTCATACTTCCCGGAAACCCCGAAGAGACAAGTGGAATGACATTTTGGCAGAAGATAAAACTGTACATCTGGGATTCAGATGCTCATCTGAAGTCTCGTTTCGAGAGAAGACTTCTAAGGAAGGCGCGTGTTTCTGCTTGCAATGTCCCAGTGGCGGACTGCTTCTTAACCACATAGATAGCTTGATTTTGGAATATTGGTCATTGGATGCCTTGGATTTTTCATGCGGTACTTGGACTCGGCCAATCTGGCTAACGCATACGTTTCTGGGTATGATTAGTCTGAATATCATTCGAGTTCTTGACGATCCGTACCTTGCGTGCTTAGCATGAAGGAGGACCTGCTAATGAATGGAAATCAATACACATACGTATGTCAGCGATGGCCAATCATGAAAATCCATTCAACTCGGTTGTTGACTATCAGATGGGAACTTTCTATACTATTGGATATGCATTGTTCCAGGTAAAACTGATTCATAATCAATATGTAGCGAAGCTCAACAGTGCGGTAGATTCCTGGAACTCTTGCAGTAACACGAGTCCGCCCTTCTCTGTACTTGTTTGTTAACGAAATTGGATGGGGCAAGTCTTGAAAACACTATTCCTCTCAAATCATATCTCATGTAATCCTGATCTACTAAGGGATATTCACCTTCGCTCAAGCTGGAGCAAAGACTTATAATCAGATGTATGCATTTAGGTTCATGGTTGGAGTCTTCGAAGCTTCATTTTTCCCCTCAATATTGTGTAAGGGACTTGTAATCATGAACACAGATATAACACTGACACAACATTCTCAGACCTTATGGGCTCATGGTACAATAAGCATGAGCTTGCTAAACGGATCGCCATATTCCATCTGTCTGGTATGATATTCGTGCGGTCATGTACGTTGATGCTCAACTAGGCTGCAGGCTCACTCGGTACATCCTTCGGTGGATATTTACAGGCTGCGGTTTACACTACGCTCAATGGTGTACACGGAATAGGTAAGGATTGTAGCTTATTATTTGTTTTTTTCTCTCAGTCCTTACCAAACTAGCTGGATGGAGGTAGGAAACTCGGACGAAATGCAAAAATCGGACTCACATACTGGTGAATTACAGGTGGTTATTCATTGTCTGCGGCTGTATGACTACGCCGTGTGCCATAGGATTGCTGTTGGTCCTCCCTGATCTTCCCTCCAACACTCGGGTTTGGTACTTGAGTCAAGAAGAGAGAAAATTCGCTCTGGAGAGATCCATCTCCCTGGGCAAGGTAAGATGTGTTTTGCTTGAGGATCGGACACGAACATTAATGTGCTATATCTATATCTAGTCACAACCCGGAGAGAAAAAGCTTAACTGGACACTGATCAAACGGATGCTTTTGACTTGGAGTGAGTGGTCGTAGTAACACGGTGCATATTGGTATTCACATAATGTTCGCAGAGTGGTACGGCTTGGTCTTAGGCTACGTTGTATACGGGTCTTCCTGTCAAAACACTAGCTATTTTGCAATCTGGATGAGTACGTGTTCTTACTTTGTACAACTCACCGAGGTCAATGATATCGCCATTACAGAGTCCGCCGGCTACAGCGTAGTCGAACGAAACGTTATTCCATCATGCTCGTATCTCATCTCTGCATTGTGTATATTTATCTGGGGATTCGGAAGTGACCTTACAGGCTCTCGATTCGCCTTTGTGTTCGGACCACTGGTGGGCTATCAATTCTCCTCCGGTCCCCTTGTTCCCCTTCGTATTGAACACCACGTTTTACAGTTTTATGGCCTACTTCCAACAGGTATTCTGGCTTTCTGGCCCAAAAACAAGAATCTGATTCTGTTCGCATTCATGACTGGGGTGAGCCATGACATCGCTTACCTCGAGACGGTCAACTTTAGTTAAGAGTATACGTAGGGAGTTCAACTTATGACTGCTGTCTTCTATACCTGGGCTAACGAGCTTCTCGCTGATGACAATGAGCGTACGTTGTTTTGTCCTGTATTCAACTTCGGGCCTACTGATAAAATTCCTTCGACGTCAGTGCGGGCTTTGACAATCTCTTCAATGAACGGCCTACAGTATTCTGTCGCTGCATGGCTTCCTATAGTCATCTTTCCTCAGACCATGTGAGGAATCATTGCAATCTCTGTATACGTTGGGACTGATTTGCAGTTACACGCAGGGCGCCTACGTGAGCATACACTTCATGATTCACTGATCGTTCGATAATGCCTATATTGAACTATGTAGATTCCGTCGAGGGTTTCCTGGAACCTTTGGTTTAGTTATTGCAGGACTGGTGAGCTGTGACATAATACATGTAGAGATGTCTGGTCTAAGTCTTCTCACCCACTAATGCAGATTATAATATTTGGTATCAAACTCCTCGCTGACCGCGATGAAAGGCGGGCGACTTCATTGCGCAACTCAACAGCGTTCGACCAAGCAAATGCAAAGACAATGGGCCTCGGTAATGCACCTTTTATTCAAGACGAAATTTCTTTCGAGAAAGAGTGTCCAGTGGTAGAGGAATTATGAGGTCCGTCGAGAAGGTGTAAATATTGTGGATGGCATTGTGCGAATACCTTGGTCTTAGTCTTAGTCTGGACTCAACATATGAGAATGCAATGACCACTGTGAATTCGATGAAATTGTCTGGACTTGAGTCTGGAGAATCGGCCTGAGCTCGGCTCAATACACGGAAACGGCAACAGAAAAACCCGAACTGCTGCTCTGTCAACATCTTACCCTGCTCTTACCCATGTCGAAAGTCGAAGAAATTACGATCTCTTCATTCCTAAGTCTCTTCACCTCTAATGGACTGTACATGATCTTGTACTCGTGGTTGTTTGGGATGTGTATGTGATCACATCCAGACCTTGAACAGAAGTAAACTCATTTCAAACGTCTTCGCACGTAGCTCTGTGGATAACTTTCTTCGGAGGTATGTAATTGCAGTACATTTCTCTGAATCATTGAATGTGGTCTGATCCCTTCAACCAGGCGTCATTGCTTTCAAAGCCCTTCGTGAGTTTTCCATTCAAACCAGTTTCAAGTGCACTTCAAAAATTGAATCGGATGGACTGTAGCTCGTCAACAGTTTGGCAATTTACAACACAAGACCTTTCCTATCTATTTTGTTATATCCATCACCTTGGTCTCTGGCCTTCTCCTTCTCTGGACTTCCGCTCACCCTGATGTTATGACTTACTGGGATCGACCATTGGTCGCGGATGTCTCGCAGGTTTATATCCTCTTCTCGGTTTTGATATCGCAGGGTATAAACTACACTGTCATTGGTCCTTTGACTAGCCGGTGCGTTCAGTCTTTCTGTTAGGTTCGATGAAGCACTAGTCAATCTTCTGTGAACAGTACAATGTTCGAGCGTCACAGGTTGGAGAAGGAGGAAGGCAAAGCTTACAACGAGCCTGGGGTACGTCTACATCATGGACACATTTTCTTGAAAAGAGATTGAGCACTGTCTGCAGGTTTCGGATGCCATGAAAGGTCTTAACAGACGTTTTGGGTCTCTTCACGGCATCAGCTCCTTGCTCAATTTGTGGGCTGTGATCGCTATCGGATTGCATGGATTATGGATTGGAAATGCTGGGGTCAAAGGTTATTAGATAAACTACAGTACAACAGCGATTTTGTACGGAAGATTAGTCGATCTTCCAGGTATGAAAATATACACACAGCAAGAGACCAATGTCATGCGCCCACGGATTCCATTTCTGGCATGTAGCCGTCTCTAAGACTCCTTTCAAGCCGCCTGATCTCTTCTATACTGGTTGCTTTCGCAATAGCAGCCTTAACCCGCTCTGCGTCCTCTTTCGACATCAACCTTCCTGCCTTTGCCATCGCAGCAGCTGGGCGTGGTTCATCCGTTGTAAGAGCTGTTTTTGTAGTGCTTGTAGATACAGTAGTCGATAAAGTCTCTGCTAATGCGGTCAGACGACTGTCCGGGGTGAGGAATGATTGTTTTCCAAGAGATCTCTCCTAGATACGATACGATTAAACCCCAGAGACAACCAGGTGGCTCTCAACAGGCGCACCTTATCGCGAATTCTCTGAAAATCTAAAACTCTTAGCCCGGGTATCCTCCAGGCAAGCCACTCGCGATACCATTTTTTTTCCCGAACAGGATTGCCCAACAAGGAGAGGTATTTTAGGTTTTTTAACTCCTTCAACGGTTCCAGATCACCCAGTTCGGAGATATTGTTGTTTGTTAATACGAGCGTGGTGAGGTTCGGTACAGAGAGATGTATGGAGGGGGAGATAGATGATATTCTGTTGTTGGCGATGTACAGTGTACGGAGACGCTTTAGTAGTGGAAGATTTCCAAGCACGGTTATCGAGTTATCCGTGAGGTCGATGGCATCCTGCTGGTCCTATAAAAGCAAAATAAATGAATGAATTGGCAGCTTGAGATTTGCGACGCGTACCCTGGTGACACCCAAATTTTCGATAGCAGGGATTTTATAGCCTTTAATGAGCGAATTGTAAGATGGTCGAATGAAGCATAATGTAGGGCTCACCTCGAAGGTCCAGTTGACGTTCTTTCGTTGGATTAAGAGCAGAAGGGGCCTGGGCAAGTAGCTCTGGAGTGAGCTTCATTCTAGTGTAGAACAAAGCTGCAGTTGATCAACTTTTCACGCGTTCGGTTGAACAAAAGGGGCTCTCGTTTCTTCCTCTCACCGCCATGAAGCCTGTTCATCAACGCCTCAATCTGTCAGGAATCCTCTTTGCCTTTGTGCTCGCTTGTTCTAATGTTTCTCCAGCTATACGGTTGGCGATGAGGCGTATGTATTCGTTCCAACCGGAGAATTTGCGGCCACACAGTCATTAACCGTGCACCGCGCTACCGGAGAAGTCGTCCTTAATCGTACGTTCCTCTACTGCAAAGTTTGTATATGCGCTGACTAGATATATAGCTCCTCACACCCCAATACCTCAGCATGCTAGTCGCTCCGGGAAATCTGTGCATGGCATTCTCGGAATGATATCGCTTTCGCTTTGTACGTCTTGGCCGTCTTTCAAGAGCATATTATAACCGGTTTAATTAGCGGAATACATTGTTATTATCACCGGGCGCGAACTCAAAGGACGTCTCTGTGGCCATGATATATTCCGCGCTTCAGATTTTGATATTTTACCACTTAATCCCAACGTCAACGTCATCAGCCCTCCCCATCCTGTTGAAGGACATCTTCTCGCCCTTCTTCGCTCTCATCTACAGTCTGGCAACTTCTTATTCAGTTACGGATGGGATATAACGCGACGCTTGCAAGCTCAATGGGCAAGCCAGAACATTGATTCAAACAAGGGATTTTGGGAGGTGGTAGGTTGTATTACTCGTCTTTTGTTGGCCACAGCTGACATATGTTCTCCAGGCAGATGATAGGTTCTTCTGGAACAAGTGAATAGCGAGTTCTTTTGTATCACACCAGGCGTCTAACCTTGTACTAGATTCCTTCAAACAAGATTCATAGAATCCAGTGGAAAGCAGGATGTAGGATTTTCTCTGCTACTCTGTGACTCGGTTTCTAACACGCTGTTCATTAGTTCAGCAACTTCATTCTTCCCGTCATTTACGGAAGTAAGCGACTATCCTCGTTGTTTCCTGTTGTTCCCTGGTGATCTTTACTATCTCATTAGCCTTCGATGTCCGGCCCATCTTCATACACGGAAGACACATGCAACTGGCGCTGATCAGCCGTCGTTCGCGTCATCGTGCGGGAACACGTTATTTCCGTCGTGGTATTGACCACGACGGCCATGTCGCGAACTTTAACGAGTCAGAGCAGCTTTTATTTGTCGAACACCAAAATACTACTGGAGCAGTCCGAGCGGATGATGACTTCGCCCACATATTCAGTTTTGTACAGATACGAGGCAGTGTGCCGTTCTTCTGGGCGGAGGTGAACACAGTAAGGTACAAACCTGACCTCCAGGTTATGGAACTCCCGGATACCGTGCGTTCCTGCTTTTTTGTTCATTAAACCTGCTGAGCGGAACTCAATAGCCTGATGCAATAAAACTACATCTATTGGAGCAAGTATCGACATATGGACCTCAAACATTAGTGAATCTGGTGAATCATAAAGGTCACGAAAAACCTGTCAAAGATGGATACGAACGCTGGGTGACACAGGTTCTTGTGCAATCCTATTATGACGACTGTTCTACTAATGACTCTTCTCATACAGCTTAACCTCCCGGATGTACGATACCAATACTTTGATTTTCATACTGAATGCAAAAATATGCGATGGGATCGTATCAGCTTGTTGATAGATAAACTGCAACTTGATTTACAGAAGCAAGGGTGAGATCTGGTAGTTGAAACTTAGTTCATGGAACCTGAATTTCGCGCAGCTACTTTCATATTGACTCAATTGATCCCAAGTCAAACAAGTTGCAAAATGGCACGGTACGAACGAACTGCATGGACAATCTTGACCGCACCAATGTCGTCCAAGCCACACTGGCTAAACACACCTTGAACAAGCAGTTACAGGAAGCAGGTGTTCTCACTAAAGAACAGGGTGTTGATGATTTTGAAACTTTGAGCAAAGACTTCAGAGAGAGTGAGTCTTGACACGTTATTTCCCTCATGGTGCTTTTCATGACAAGACCGTGACTGTCAGTGTGGGCTGACCACGCCGACGCTATCTCGAAAGCTTATGCTGGTTCCGGTGCATTAAAGTCAGACTTTACTCGTACGAATGAACGCACTCGAAAGGGTCTTCTGGAGGACGGTGTGAAATCGCTTTTGAGATATCTCAAGAATAATTTCTTGGATGGGGCGAGACAGGTAACCCACCATCCAACAATGATGCTTGAACGCTTGTCCCTTATCGTTTTCTTCTAGGATGCATATGATCTATTTACCGGAACTTGGATACCTAGGCGCAATCCTTCCAGCATGAATTTTCTCGTTTCAGACCCTCGGCCGCTCATCATTCGGTCTGTAAGTGACAACTTGTGCCTCATTTTTCCAGCATTAGAAGACATAATTCATGCTTTCAGGCACCTGCAACTGCGTCGTTCTCCTTATTCATGATTTGTGCGGGCTTGACATTACCTCGCTCTTCAGGTATCAATATGTTCTCTGTTCCTTTTTAGAACACTCACACATCTTCTTGACCTTACAGATTATTCTCTCGTCTACTACTTCTTCCTCTGGATCATGCTCCTGCTCGCAGCAACCATCTTCATGGTCACATATGGAATTGATTATGTTTCATGGCCTAAATTGGTTCCACTTGACTCAATCATTTACTACGATGGACCTGGCTATCGTTCGGCTAAGCATGGTATGGGTCTCAAAGGTGTGAATGTCAAGCTTGGACTGGATAATGGTACCAAATGGTTGAGTAACAAGGGCAAAGTGGGTAAGGAAGAGAGCATTCCGATGACACGTAAGAGGGTTGATTGAGATGGACTGTCGCGGACATATGTAGTTACAAGACTTGGTATATATGCGTTGATAATCTCCATTTTTTCTCGTTTTTTTTGTCAAAGTTAAACTGGCCCGGGCCGGATTGAAACCGTAAAAATTTCACAGTACGTACGGCCAGCGTACGGCTTCCTCCCTCACTCTCACTCACTTTTTTATTTGTAAATTTTATCAAAATGGCTGGCACTAAACGCGCTTCTCCTGGGGACGAGGATGAGAAGAATTATCCGATTTCAGATGTCGTTTTGACCGAGGAAGATGCTGCAAAATTGACTCAAGTCCGCAAGGACTTACAACGGGCGGAGGTCATACTGGGTGCGTTACTTCTTTCATTTCTTGCAAATGGAATGCCATGAGACTGACTTAGTGAGATGTTAATTGACTGTAGAGCGTAATGCGCAAATCATGCTCACCCCCGTGTACCAGAAACGCCGCCCTGTTGTCAAGGCTATCCCAAAGTTTTGGCCAATTGCCCTGATGAACCACGCCATGTTCGCAATTCATGTTCAACACAAGGCTGACCAGCTTGCTTTGAGCTATCTTGAAGACCTTTGGGTTGAACGCGACTCCAAAGAGCCCAGGTGTTTTACCCTTGAGTTTGTGAGTTGGATACAATGCAAGTTGATAGCACATTCTCAATTTTGATTTCGCGGCGGCAGCACTTCAAGGAGAATCCTCATTTCACCAACACCGTGTTGAAGAAGGAGTATAAATATGTTCCCTCAAAGGCTGTTGCTGACGAGAAGCCTGATGCTGAGGGGCTCACACCCTCCGCGCTCGAATTTTCTTGGGAGCAAGATGTCAAACCTTCTGTGAGTTTACACTTGTTTCAAGCCAGCATGGTATATCTACTGACACAACCATTCGTTGCCCCTTGTGACACAGTCAATGAAGATTGACTGGAAAGACGCCGCTAATGCTCTGACAAAGCTATACCCCAGAGAAAAGGGCGAGGACGATGACGACGATCCTGCGGAGTCCGGCAGCTTCTTCAATTACTTTGAACACGAGGATGATCCATTTGAGGTAAGCTTATATTTCAGTAAGTTTGACGAAATAGCTGACGAGCTGGTTCTGCTTTCAGATTGGACTCAACATAACCAATGAGGTTTTCCCTGAGGCTGTTGATTACTTCCTTGGTGAAGCCGGTGGTGATCTTGACTCGGATGACGAGGAAGATGAGGAAGATGAGGATGCGGATGAGATTGACTTGGAGCAGCCCAAGTCCAAAAAGCAAAAGGTTTAAAGGATTTTTAATCTTTTGTATACCCAAAACAATACTGTCGCCTGCGGGACCATATCTACGTATCAGCTTTGGAGCGATCATCTAGTCATTGTATACATGCATGCAGTTTGCCGTACGGCACATTATTATTGCCGATTTTAAGTGAAATCAACCCAACTTCTTCATCCGCCTCCCACCATCCCACCATCACCATCGATGCTCGCTGGCGCAATATTCGCTCTTTCATTGACCGGCCTTCCTGTCTATGGCCAATCTGCATCATCATCTGCAGCATCAAGCAGCGTAGCATCCAGCAGCGTCGCGACCAGCTCTGCTGTTTCGGCTGCTAGTTCCGGAGCAACCTCTAGCTCCGTCGCTGGATCTACGAACACCGAGGCCACTGCATTGACATTTTCGCTTACTGTGACCAACCCTACTGCTATCCCGCTTGCATCTATAACAGCTAATGAAACTAGTCTTGCTACAATTCCTCTTCCTTCAACGGCCACTCCTGGTGCAACTAACACTTTTTTGTCTGGGGCTCCAGCTCTTCCCAATCGTCTGTCATTGATCTTAATTACATCCAACTCCCGCTGATCTTCATATCAGCGACAAGTATTGTTTCCTCCAACTACCCTACACTTGATAAGGTTCCTCCCACCGACTCTGATGAGGTACAACAGTGGATTGCAGAAGTGGCAGCTTCTGGAATCAGCATTCCTAACATCACTCAAACTGTTCTTGGCGGTTGTCCCGCGAACGCAGAAGCCGCAGCAGGTTCGTCGTATCTGAATTTCAGTCTTCTTGTCCTTACTATCTTGGATATTAGATACTTCACGTTGCTGGTGGTCCTGTACCGGTTAGTCGCTATACACAAGACATTCAACTATCTCGTTGAATTAACCGTGTAATTGTTCAGGCTGTGTTCGTGACACCGATGTGCAAGAATGCCCTACCAAGGTATAGCATCATTTTGTCAATACTAATCTCGGCTTATTTACCGGATTTATTCAGTTAACTTGGGGTTTGACTTGTAAGAAAACTGTAACATCTATTAATCATTGGCTTTATGGTGCGTTTGAACAGACGACGATGGTCCCTCATTCTATACTCCAAATCTTCTTACCTACCTGACTGCGAATGACCTGAGCGCCACTTTTTTCACTGTTGGGTCTCGATGTGCGCAGGTATGTTGCCTCTTAGCGAACCGAGTCGAGGATCATCAATCATATTGCATTGCGTAGTTCCCTGTTACATTGCAAGAAGAATTTATGGCTGGGCACCAGATTGCGGTGCACACTTGGAGTCACCCATATTTGACAACCTTGACGAACGAACAAGTCATTGCCGAGTTGGGATGGACGAAAAAGGTTATTAAAGATGTGACTGGGGTTACTCCCAATATGATGCGTCCTCCCTATGGTGATATTGAGTATGTTAAACCATCAATTTGTGTTCATAGAGTTCTGGATATTGACCTAATCTCTAAAAAATCAGTGACCGAGTTCGTAACATATCCATTGCAATGGGTGAGTGCAGCTTCTAGGGACTAGTTCCCCTTATCCTGCTCACATCGTTATCACGGAATAGGTCTAACCCCGGTTATGTGGACGAGGATAAATGCTACAGCCACCTTCGATACAGACGGTATGTGGAAGTCAACAACATTCGTAAACCTTGCCCATATTTGTGTCAGATTTCGATGTACATGGGGGACTTGCTTCGTCCTACGGCGTCCTAAATAACTGGCAAAATATCATCACTCAAGCCAACGAGATTGACACTGGTTTCATCGTATTGGAACACGATCTGTTCGAAGAAACTGTTCAACTAGCCACTGGGTACATTCTTCCCAGCGCTATGAACCAATCCTTCGATATCAAGCCCGTCATCAACTGCTTGAACAAACCTTTGTCTGATGCTTATATCGAGACTAATGATAACTCAACTAACCCTCCGGCTGCATCTGGTATGTCAAACTATCTGCATTTGCTTTCAGAACAATTCTGATTTGGTTTTCAGGTGTTGTCACACTTTCTTCCGGTGCGCCCGGCTCAGCCTCTGCTACTGGAGCTGCTTCCAGTAGTAACAGCGGCGTTGGGCTCAAAGTTTCTGGCACCTCCACAGCTCTAACACTCAGTGGTGGCTTTGCATTCATCGCCTTGTTTCTGTAGTGAATGAGTTTTGAAAACTCATCTAGATCATGTACACAAGATATATTATCGACTGTTAATCTAATTTCCACAGTTCCTGTCGCTGTTTCTTCCCCTTTTTATATGAACTTTCTAGCTATAGAATGACATTTGATTACTATACCCTCATTCAGAATCTAGTGCCATCTCATCTGGACTTGCCTACTGCAGAATTTTGCCCTTCATTTCATAGTAGTATATTCATACCTATTTTCTTCCGCTCTTTGACAACGTGCCTTTCTTGATTCACCTTGTAAGGGCTTTCTTGGAATTCTTCACAACGTTCGCGGAATATTTAGACTAAATATGTATACAGATGTGATTTTGTTTTATTGTTCAATTGTACTGGGGAAGTTAATGCAGAATTGGTTCAGGATAAGGCCTGATACCATTGCGACGCCGAAAAGAGCTTTAAACTCTTCTGGTGTCCTAGCGGAGGAGCTCGAGACTGGTGACACCGTGAAAACGTCGTCAGTCAGAGTATAGAATTGGCGATATGGATGAATTATGGGATTCTACCCAAGTATTGTAGAGGACATGAACGAATATCTACACGATGGTATACTTGATGTAGACTGATAGATCAAGAAAAGGAAAGTGTAATAGTAAATGATGCATCGGCAGAAAAAGAATATCAAGAACAATAAGTCTAAAAGGAACTGGTATGCAGGAAGGGTATGACGCTGAATAGAAATCATGAACGGTTGCAAAAACCAAGTCTGAAGTTGATAAGGAAAAAAAAGAATCTACCAATATCCCAAAATCCCAGTAGAAAAAAAATAACGGAGGATAGACAGTGAAATAGAGAATAAGATACGCAAACCGATGAGACAGGTCGAATTTCTAACATATGTATAAAACACCGCATCTATGTAGAGAATCTTGTGGTTGGAGATCTTGGGATACAATTGTCTGAACAGTCCTGGCGCAAGTAACATACACGTAGTCTTGAATCCAACACCATCGTACGTTGGAAGAGAAAAAAAGAGCAAAAAGGCGCTAGAGAGATGTTACCACTCTCCTGTGGTGTCGTCAGCTTCGGTAACCGTTAACCACTCATGGTCAATTATATCCCGCGCATGAACGCGTTTCTTCATATCAGTCGCGAGCATCGGTAACAGGAACCCGCACAGTGCCTCCGAGTCCGAATCAGAGTAAGAATACTTCTCAGTCATAACACGTTTAAGAGGCCAAGGTTTGAGTGATTTAATATATCGCAACGAGCCTGTAAAGAGGGAGGACACGTTCATTAAAAATTTCTTGCTTGATGAAACAATTTGAAGCACGCACCGGTATGATCGAACAAATCCCGACTGTACTTGCCCCCCATCTTGCATGTCAGAGGGAAGTCACCAATCAGTTCGATGATCTGAGCCATATGATCATCATCTTTGGTAAAAAGTCCTCCCTGGGCTTGGGGATCAAAGAGGTACTCCCCAGTCAAGAGTTCAAATACCTGTTCGGTTATGCATCAATACCATTCAACGACACGTCAGAACCTCTGATGTAATGAAATAACTTACCACGCAGGCAACGCTCCATATATCTGCTCGGGCATCCCAATCCTTTCTGCCTATGATAGCCTCTGGCGCACGATATTGTCTTGTCTGTATGTCCTCAGTGTAATGTTTTTTCGAGGGTGTGGCATTCCCTAAATCGGCAATCTTTATGGAGACGGGTGGAGAAAACGTAGGAGGTGGAGGTGGTGGAAGTGGATGGTACGGGACGTCCACCGGCTGAGTTGCTGACTGATTTATATTCACGTCAGTAAGCGGAGAGTGCACCGAGGGGGAAACGAAAGACGGATTTGGTGACGGCGGAGGAGTGGGAGGAGATTGTTGCACTTTTATTTCAATGGGAGCGACCTTATGAGAGGATGATTTACGCTGTGAGTGTGTAGATTTATTCTTAGGTTTTGTGGGTTCGGCGACAGAAACAAGCGTTGGGGGTTGGAAAGAAGCAGTGGATGGGTAATCGGGAGGAGGGAGTTGATTCATGTGGGCAGATATTTGAGAGCCATGTAGCTGGGGAGAAGAGCGAAAGCGTTCAGTCTCTTGAATATCGAATGACGTCGCATTATCTCTGGGAGGGGCGGTCTGGGAGAGTAAAGAAGGATGATTGGGATTTTGCAGTTTATGTTCGACTCGGGGTTGGGTCGAGATAGTAATATCAGGAAGAGGTTTAATTTGGGATGTGATGGGAGTAGGTTCTGGTGAAGGACGGGCAGTACCAGAAGGAGAGGGTCTTGCCAGCGTCGTTGTAGCAGAGGAGCTTTGAGACACAGTGGAAGAGGAGCTAATGCTACTCCCGGACAGACTACTACTAGCCCCAGCTATCTGGAAAAAGTCGCCATCCTTCTCGCCATCAGCCGTGATGACGGCAGAAACCACAACCGCGGGCGCTGGTGCAGCAAGTCCTGGATCTTTCCATGATCCAGGTAAACCTGAATGTGATCGTGAATGCCCCTGCGTTGGACGGCTTACTTGGGAATTACTGCTGCTTAGGGATGATTTGTGGGAGGAAGACGAGGAAAAAGCGGATATCCGGTCTTTCCATGATGCGCCACTTATCGCGAGCTTGTCCTTCCACGAAAGTGATGTTGTATCTGAAGGGTCGATCGTAGTAACCGCCTTCCCTTTACCTTTCTTCCCGTTGATCGGTATAGCGATAGATTCGGTGGGTCTTAAGCTTTTCTCGCCTACTCCCAGATCTTCTTTCGGGTGGGGAGCGGTCCACGACAACATCAATGAATTACCGAGTACATTTCCTAGGGAATGTGACAAGGATGTGGGAGGTGTGCTGAAGTTACTGCATGTTTCTGCACCATTGGAGGTAGATGCTGATGTAGATGCGATCGATGATGAAGATGAAGATGTACCAGAAGGAGAATTTAAGCTAATGGGTGCAATGGGGGCAATTTGGGTGGGATTGATATTGGGCGTTGATTTACTGATAGTCAGAGGTTCAATACCTAGATTTGACGAAGAGAGGCCACTCGGCACCTTCGGTGCACTGGTGCTCATCTTGGGAACCGCGCTTCCGGCAATAGAACTATTGATAGGCATGTTCTGGCTTATATAGCTCCCATTCGGACTGGTAGCAGTACTACCACCGCTTCCAAATCGGCCAAAGCTCATACTCAAGCTGTTACGTCCTGGACTTGATAACGGTTGTGAGTCAAAAATCTGAACTTGACGGCGGCTACCGCGCTGACTCAAAGAAACGGTTACCCCGGATCTCGACTTTGTTGGTAAGGGAACACCGACTCTGCGAGAGGTCGGAGAGGGGCATTGGGAAAGCTCATTGAAAATATGTGCTTCGATATCGGGTATGGATATTACTAGAGGTGTGTTGAATCATCAATGAAAAAAAAACATAGGGAAGACATAGAAAAGACGCACAAATGTTTTCCGGCTTTATATCAGTATGGACAAGATCACATTCGTCATGGAGGTACTGAAGCCCGAGGAGGACCTGGTGAGCTATAAGTTTGACTAGGGCACGAGGAACGCCTTTCTTCTTGTTACGTTCAATCAGAGCCAACAAATTCTCTCCTAGTGGTTCAAAAACAATGCAGACGTGGGACGCTTCTGGAGTAGCATGCGAGAATGAGTCGATGAAAGACACTATATGTTGTCGTCCCGGATGAGTAGGCGAAAAGGAAGCCACACGAGATAATAGCTTGATCTCATCTCTGGCAGTCTCAGCGTATCGTCCGGCAGATTTGACAACCTTCAGAGCAGAGTGTCGGCCAAGTCTGTATCAATATATCATACAAAGATTAGATAGGAAAAGAAAGATGGCCAACTACACGCACTCTTGGTCTTTGACAAGCCACACAGTCGAAAAATGACCCCATCTACACGTATGATGGTGCGATTGAGACTGATTCAACAATGGCAAGAAAATTGTGGTCAACTCACCCTAATTTTCTGATGACCCGATAACGGCCATGTTTGAAAGTATCGTCGAGCTTTATAGGAAGATAACCACCTGCATTGTAATCTGCAGGGCTTTCTTCAGACTTGGTAGATGCCTCGTCAACAGGAAGAATCTTTGGTCCAGATGAGGTGACGACGTATTGGTAGTTCGTGCAGGCCTGATTTGACGACATCTACACGAGAACCGTATAAAAGCTCTCTGGCGAACTTCGTTGAAGTCGGAAGAAGTGGGAATGAATTCGGAAGTGCCGAACGGCGAAAGCCACAACGTCACGTGGCACATTTAGGATCTAGGCCCTTGTAAAGCGCCACCGAAAATACGCCGAACGTAGACAACCGATAAATTCCGATTTCAACCGAACACAACTGACCAACTGCATTCTTATCATCGGGGTCCAGCCAAATACATTTTAACGGCGTGAATACAATTCGAGTTGAGTTACCTGTTAGTATTCCTGTGTTGACTTCTCGCTGTACTGAAAAATAAATAAGGTCCCTCCCTCTTCCCGCTTTTCACGTGCTTCCATTAAGAAAGATATGCCCCTTACTTAGCACTATTAAGCCTTAATAACTTGATGCGCGGTCAACATATTCTACCACACAAACACTATGCAAGCTTTAAATACCCCACCTTCCTTTTCTCATCCTATCCTCCCTTCTCATCGATATCCTAATATGGCATCACTTTCGAATGGCGTTTCCTTGCCTCAATTTATAGGTGCGGTCGAAGATCACTGGCAGCTTTTCAGGTTCGTTTCCCTATGCGAAACCATTACTACTACCTTCCATCTTACAATCACCACAGCGACCGCTCCTCCGATTATGTGCTTGGAGCTCCCATTGGATTTGGTGCTTCCTCGATAGTCTATGCCGCCTTATATCAACCTCCCAACCGCCAGCCAGTTCCGTGCGCTCTCAAAGTCTTGGACTTGGACACCTTACCATTGCGTTCTTGGCCTCTTCTCCAGCGTGAGACCACACTGATGTCTTTATCCAAACATCCAAACGTTCTGCGTGTACGTGGTTCTTGGATGGACGGACATAAGCTCTTCATCGCGCTCCGCCTCATGAAAAAGGGCAGCGCTGCGGATATCATGCGGTACGGTTGGCCCGGGGGATTGGAAGAAGATGTTATCAAGTGTATCCTTGAGCAAGCATTGCAAGGCCTCAAGTAAGTTTCAGTTCCTGAGGAACAGCCCCGCGCTTTCGCTTCACGGTTTTACGGAACGTTTCATATTGACTTGCGAATGCTCACAGTTATCTCCATATCAATGGATTCATTCATCGAGACGTGAAAGCCGCGAATTTACTCATAGACGATGATGGCACAGTTTTGTTAGGCGACTTGGGAGTTGCCGCGGACCTCTCGGAGGGCTCATCTCATACTCTATCCTCGCTATCTTCCAACAATGAGCCTGCCGTGGATCAAAAAGCTGCTTCACATGCAACACCCTCACCTTCCAATCGCGTCTCTAATGATTCCACACCTCCATCCAAAGCTCCAAGGATCGGTAAAAGAAAATCATTCGTCGGAACTGTGAGTGTCACTCGTATTTTTGCACCTTTTTCTCATGAGTTCGTAATGAACGCGTCCCTTCTTTCTCATTCTTTTGCCCACGATGTTCTATCTTTATACTTACTCTGACGATAGCCTTGCTGGATGGCTCCTGAACTCATCCAAGGGAAACAATATGATTCTTCCGCCGATATCTGGAGCTTTGGGATTACTGCGCTGGAACTCACGCAAGGCCGACCCCCAAGATCACGAGAACCTCCTCAGAAAGTGTTATTGAGAACGTAAGTCTTCTGAGTTTCGAATATGTTCCATTGATCAGTATGTCATACTGGTAGAATTCAAGATGATCCCCCAACCCTCGATAGAGACGGCGGCACGTACAAATACTCAAAGGGTTTCCAAGAGATGGTAGAGAGTTGTCTTGTCAAAGATCCATCAAAGAGACCTACGGCGCAACAATTACTACAAACACCATTCTTTAGAGGCACCAAGAAGCAATCGTATCTCATCAATGCTATCCTTAGTAGGTATCGTAATCTCAATCTCTGGAGAACCTGTATATTGACTTTCATTCATAGAGGATTTGCCCCCATTAACAAAGCGACAAGAGCGTCGGGTATTGCCCAACAATCAGATATATCGCACTGTGGATTCTTGGGACTTTACGATCCATTCCGTTCCCGTTTCTCCCGTCTCACTAAATGCAAAGCGGAGGAGTGTCGACCGAAGCATGGTGTCCGAAATCGAGGGAGACCATGAATCGAGGCACTATTCGGTGTTTTCACGCAACTCTAAGCGTGGGTCTGGAACGCCTCCAAGTTCCGCTCATTCGACACAAATTCGGGAGCCGATCGAGGAATTGGATCCAGGCGTGGTCGTGCTAGAAGATATTTTTGAACAAAAATTGCGGGACGAGTTCAATAAGATTGATACAACCGCACTGTCAGCTTCAAGTGCAGTAGTGGAGAAAACAATAATACCGCCTGGCACAGAGAAAGCGCTTGGCGGCACCACAGTGCCATCAACGACGACGGTACCCATACAGATTTCCAAACCAGTTGGTTCATCATTGAGCCGACCTCACGATGAATCTGATTTATCCACGTCCCCATCGTCGGTGGTGACCAACAGTTCATCTTCTCAAATGTCGTCTTCCGGCCCGGGGGGAAAAGATTCATCTCCTTCTAGAGGCGGACTATGGAACAGAATCAAAGGTAAAACCGGTTCACGCCTGAAGAATGCCACGTCGCTCAAGAGGCTTACAAGCCGAAACGGTAAGCCCAGAGTAAAATTTCAAAAAACAATTCATCTGACCATCGCCGAAGAGATGACGCTCACCAAGTGATTCCAATATGCTACCACCTCAAATTCACCCCAGTCCCTCTCAGTCCCCGTTTAGCATGCACTGTACATATGTACTATTACGCCGGTCATCTTTTCCCATAACTTATTTTGGAAGGGGAAGGTTAACATGTTGATGACGGGCACCGACCGCGAATGCCGCTTCTCTACTCATCGCCCCGATTTGCACATATTCTATCTATCTATCGGCTGCGTGTCATCTGTACTCACCCCGTATATACATACTCAAGTGCTGAAGCACTGATACCATGTAAATGTATAATATATCTATACTGTAAATTCGTTGTTATTATTACTAGAAGCAGAATCAAAAGCAAGTTTTCCGTTCCTCGATGGGCGGTTGAATTTCAATTTCGATGTACATCGCCAACAGATTATGTATATTGCAAGGTCAAAAAGGGATATAGAACAATATGTATGAAATGGTGGCAGAATCAGTGCCAATCTCCTATTCGAGCACTGCCCATTTGAAGCCTTGTACGGCGAGCTGCGCCTCCTCCTGCACCGAATCTGTCTTCCCTACTTGTTGTGAGCAAGCTGTGTTTATCCACCAGCTGAAATAATTAGATTCGGATTAATGAAATTGCAATTGGCGGAATTCAAGATTTTCACGTACATCATTCAAAATACTGGTAGATTTGGTCAGCGAAGCAAGGAGAGCCGTCAGCTGGACGTCTTCCGATTCCTGGAAGAACGATCTAAACAGTTAGCATTTGATTTACGAAGGCACGCACAGTGTTGAATTCTTCCCGGAATGTTTTATTTTCACTGGCAGGCAAAGATGCGAGCAAGGCTGAGATAGCGCGAAGTATGCCGTGATCGGTAGGAGCCTCAGCTGTTCATGATGAGTAAGTACGAAGATCAGCCTTGATCATGAGCGTACCCGCAATGACACTGGTCACATATTGGATGAGTACCAATATTCTGTCATGTAGCATTTTGACAGCAGCGCGTTGCGTCTGAAGGTGTGATTCCACTGAAGGACCAGGTGAGTCTGGGTACACAGGCACACATGACAGGAGCCAAGACAAACGACACGCACAACTTGTCCCACTTCCTCCACCTTTGGCAGTCCAATCAACAGCGATGCGCTCTGCTTCTCCAGTTTCAACCGTGTAGGAAGCCTCGACAAAAACCGATCGTGATGTGCGATCTTTAATTTCTATTGTCTGTTCGTAGGCTTTGAAGGGAAGATTTTGGCTGGTTCCATCGACGCTGCCAATGAGGTTAGCAGTTGGTTGTAAAATGAGTAAAAGTGGCGTGGAGCAATAGCCGGTGAACTAGATGGTCTAGTCAGTACCTTGGGGTCAGGGAAAATAGTTATGTGATAGATACTTGTGAATGTAGCTCAATGTGGCGTGAAGTGGGAATTGGTGCCACTGTATACCAACCAATGAATTCCAGGGACGGAAAGACTTGTTTATCTGCGTAGCCAAGGTAAGTTGAGGCTTCACTCCTTTCTGGATACACACACACACTGATCCCGTCTATTCACCAAGAAAGAGTGGTCGATCGCCTCCCCATCATCTTCCAAAGCCAATTCAAAAGTATTCACAATCTCGACTTCTCGTCCATTCTGGGTCCCCAAAAGCGCGCCAAGAGCTAGTACGACATTGGGAATAGTTCAATATAGCTTGCAGTAAACGTACTAAATGGCAAGTGTGTCTGCTTTTCAAGTTTCAGTCTAATAAAATGTTCGGAGATATTGAGGATAGGAAGTGGATGTCTATCGAAGTCGTGAGCGACGCTGAGGTTAGAGAGGTCTAAACTAAGAGGTTACAGTGCAATCGAGAGACCGGAAGTTGTCGTCGAAGATAAAACGACGGATAGTTCTTCATGATCAGTATCCATTGCGCTCATCGTGGACGTCGATTGAAGAGATTGATTTCACGTGACATAATATTCGACCCTTCCAGTGTCACTTTCTGAAACTTATAAATTAGGTCTAGCGAAAGCATTGTAAGAACGATTATCGATTATGGCCTGTACGCACTGAAAAGTTCGTTAGCAAAGATCATACTAGACCGGGAACCACTCTTCGCCCGAGAACATCTGCAAAACCTGTATGTTTTCCATTGCAATGGTACTGGCTGGAGAGGTGCTTTGGCTGCTCCTGGACAATAATACAGGTTTTACAAATGAAATCTGAGTTTTGATCATAGTTTCCTGATTCATTCTCCGAGAGTGCTTGGTCCTTCACTGACACCAAGCTATGACCATATCATCATATCATGTATCCCCATTACTGAGTGTTGTTCAGGCAGGCCAGGGCAGCCTCCCTGCTGGTTCATGATCAGTTAAACCTCTGAATGAAAAACTTGAAGGAGTTGTTCAAACAGCGGCCGCATTGTATGCACGAGTGTAACTCAGTCGATTACAATGACATTGTGATTCGGATCCTCCAAGTTTGCTAAGGTCCCGATTTATTATACGTACACAACACACACAGAAGGTCCACACTCAAGTCAACGACGTGAATATTCAAACCCAATAGGATAAAAACAAATGTCTGTCCCTTGCACCGCGATGATTGTGGCGCATATGCGTGAAAGCAACCCCGAAACAAAATGCTACAAGATGTCGAAGATCATCATTGAGTTGAGGCCCCGCAATCGTGCGATTCACCAATTCCACATTCCGCCGGGTTTATGAAAATGTCGATGGAGTCACGGAGTGAGATAGAGCCTGAGTTCAACTCGTGCTGAAATGCAATGAATAACGCGAAACCCAAATGGCTCTACAGCAATTGATTTTATCAAAAGAATCTGGTCGTAATTGGAACGCGGCCAGTGCTACAGTCATGTTTATCATTTGAATTTCGAAGAAATACAAGTCCGCCAATCCGCCTGCCCTCAATAGGCATTCTGGCATCACATGCAAATCATTTTATTCCAAATTTCCCGTCTGCCATCTTCATTATCATTCACACATTTTCAGGATGTTCGAAAATGACAACATCTACTCCGTCTCTGTGCTTGATACCGCTCCAGCAACATCTCCGGATACCCCCGCAGCGGCAGAAAAACTGCTTTTAGAATTTCTTCAGCAATACCGAGTTGGTGGAGAATTTATATACAGGTGCGGAATATGAACTTTAATACGCGTAAAACTACTGACTGATCCAATCTAAACAGAGACAAGCTTAGAGCGAATCTTCTTTTGAAGCAACACCTACTAGAAGTGGATCTTCGACACGTTAGTCTTTACAACGACGAACTGGCACACGCGATCCAAGATAGACCAGCCGATGTACTGCCTTTGGTACGTTTACTAACGCGTCAAGCGATTGAAATCTTCTCTCATAAGATCTCAGTTCGAAAACGCCGCCGCGCGACTTGCTCGTTCAATCCTTTTCCCCAGATCCGGTGCCTCTGAGAGACTCACAGAGGCCGCCAAAGAAGCGATTCCCAAAGTCCAAATCACCCTCAAATCTAGCCTGAACCTTCTACAATTCCGCGATCTAACGGCCGACACTATGAACAAACTCGTTCGGGTACCGGGCATTGTCATATCTGCATCCACCTTGTCTTCACGCGCGACAGAACTTCATCTCGAATGTCGGAATTGTCACCACCCCAAAACTATATTCCCTCAAGGAGGCTTGGGTGGTATGGGCAGTGGATCTGATAGAGGGCTTCCTCGTATTTGTGAAGGGCCTTCTCCTCCAAATGGCGACAAGAAAGATTGTCCTTTAGACCCGTACCAAATAATCCACACTCGATCGACATTCGCCGACCAGCAAACACTGAAACTGCAGGAAGCTCCAGATATGGTCCCGGTTGGAGAACTTCCCCGACATATGTTACTTTCTGCGGACAGACATCTGACTGGGAAGGTGGTGCCAGGTTCGAGAATTATTGCTACAGGAATCTACTCTACATTTCAATCCAAGAATGTACGTGATTTGAATGAAATGTCCAATGTGCAAGTCATTGATTCGTAGACCAGAAAATGGACAGCGCAGCAACACACAGAGCTTATCTACGAGTAGTTCACTTAGAACTTTCTTCACCTGGCAGCGGAGGGTCGGCTGGCTCCAATCCATTCGGCGTGCAATTTAGTTCCGAAGAGGAGGAAGAGTTCGGTGAAATGGCTCGTAGTTCTGGCTTCTATGAGCGCTTTGCAAAGAGCGTTGGACCTAGTATTTATGGTAGTCTTGGTTAGTGTTACCCTCCGTCGCATTCCGAAAGGAGACACTCAAGACAGTCTTTAGATATCAAAAAGGCCATTGCTTGTCTGTTGTTCGGTGGCTCAAAAAAAGTACTACCTGACGGTATGAGACTGCGAGGCGACATCAACGTCTTACTGCTAGGTGACCCTGGTACGGCGAAAAGTCAGCTGCTCAAGTTCGTCGAAAAGGTTGCGCCAATTGCGGTTTACACTTCTGGGAAAGGTTCCAGTGCGGCTGGTTTGACGGCTTCTGTTCAACGAGATTCGGCGTCGGTGCGTCTGCCTGTATTTCTGCCCATTTTCTTAGCTCAAGGATCATTCCAGCGTGAATTTTATTTGGAAGGCGGCGCCATGGTCTTAGCTGACACTGGTGTCGTGTGCATTGACGAGTTTGACAAAATGCGAGACGAAGACCGAGTAGCCATTCACGAAGCAATGGAGCAGCAAACCATCTCCATTGCAAAAGCTGGAATCACTACCGTGTTAAACTCGCGTACTAGTGTTTTAGCTGCCGCCAATCCTGTGTTCGGGCGATACGATGAAGGACGAAGTCCAGGCGAGGTTTGTTTTTGTAAAATGTACTTTTCTGAATTCAATTTCACTAATTTCACTCGTAGAATATTGATTTTCAAACAACCATTTTATCGCGTTTCGACATGATTTTCATCGTCCGAGACGAGCACGATGAGACTCGTGATAAGGTCCAGTCTTTCTTTACCTCATAGACCACAGTTGACTGACGCCCTACTCAGATTATCGCAAGACACGTTATGAATATTCACATGAATCGACCCACTGGTGAGTCGATTGAAGCGGGAGCGGATGAAATTCCCCTGGAAAAAATGAAGCGTTATATTGCTTATTGCAAAAGGTAGATGATTTTCCTGTTGCGCGAGCATGAGCTCATCCAATATCAGCAAATGTGCACCTAGGCTATCTCCTGATGCGCAGGAAATGCTTAGTAGCCACTTTGTGAGTCTTCGAAAACAGGTTCAACAAGTCGAGCAAGACAACGACGAAAGAAGTTCTATCCCTATCACCGTGCGGTCAGTGGTCCCACCTTTCATGATTATCCTCTTCCTGACGTTATTGTACGTACCGCCAGTCAACTGGAAGCAATCATTCGGATATCCGAGTCTCTAGCAAAGATGACACTCTCACCCGTAGTTCAAAACCATCACGTCGAAGAGGCCATCCGACTGTTCAAATTCTCCACTATGGATGCTGTATCTGCTGGTTCAGCGGATGGTATGTCCCGTGGAGAGTTGAACGAGGAGATGGTTCGGATTGAAAAGGAGATGAGAAGACGCTTGCCCGTGGGGTGGAGTACAAGTTATCAAAGCCTTGTAAAAGAGTTTGTGACACAGCAGGGGTGCTCGAGTCATGCTCTTGAGAGAACCCTGTTCATTATGGAGAAGAGAGAAATCATCCGATTTTCAAATCAGAAGAAGGTTGTTCATAGGTGCGTTGATCATCCTCGTTACGAGCCAATGACTGATTTTTTCTGTTCATTAGGGTGGGAGTGTGACATTTTCTGGAATGCTTTCGATTTTGTTGGTCCTTCACTTGTGTAGTTGTAACTGTAAAAAAATGTAGAATAGCATAGGATTATGCAGTGGAAGCCAATCGTGGCTTCATAAGCAATAGAAGTTTTATTTACGGGGTGCAACATCTACTATTCTTATCTCCTCATCAACCAGCCTCTTCAGCTGCACCTTCTGGAAAAGATGTAGTGGACAGGTTCGTTTCGTAGCACGCACCTTTACAAGTCCATACTAAGGACTGATTCTATCTCAGACCATCTGAAAGATAGTATTTGAATGGAACATCTTTTACTCATCATCCTTAGCTTGCTTGCTTGAGGAGGCAACATCTCGCGGCCAAGTCATACTCGATTTTCGGAAATGGAATGATAGAATACGAGGATACTGAGCATGAGCAGAGTCGAAAATTTTGCAGATTGCTTGGTGATCCATTGGACTTGCAAGCTGGCGGTTTCGCAAAGCATGGTTGGTACAGCGCCGTTCGTTAGATGAGCTCAAATTTCGTTCGAGATGGACTTGGCCTTGGGGACCGCCATTCGTGGTATGTTAGTTTTATTGAAAGTCCGCTGCTTGAATGATGCATTTCTAGCTTGTTCAGGTCATTACAGTGGGTGCGATTATCATCAATGCGTCCTGTCTTCTTTTCTTGGTTACGAATGACTCAGTGGCAGCCATTCACCTCTCCAGTTCAAGGATGGTCTTCGGTTATTCCCAAGTTTACGCCCGTTTATTTCGTGTCGTACTATATCGAACTTCCAATTATGTTGATCATGTACCTTGTATGGATGCTCATCCAACGTCCCGGGCGACCTTCACGTATAAATGAGCATCACGACAGACTGGATAGATGTTTCAAGACACGGTGCGTTGATCAAAAAAAACCACTACTGGCAATACGCCGTTCCAGCTGCGATGGGCTTGCTATGGCATTGCGGACTGCGACGGGCGTAGCCATAACCATGACCTCGAAACCAACCGAGAGGAGAAGAAGTAGAAGGACTGCAAAGGATGGACGTGCCGGATATAGCGTTGAGAGGGGCATGAACATAAGAACAATAAAACAAAGCAAGCAATGCCAGCCTTCAAGCAATATCAGGACGTCGTGCACTTGTATGATAACAGAAAAGACGCATACAAGCAGATATGTAGCAAATTCGGCCAGCGAATTTATCTGGATATTGAACGTATTGAACAACAGTGAGTGCGCGTTGATAATATGACTCGGAGTATGGGCAGCCGCAACAATTCCGTGCGCTGACGAAGCGGGCGCCTACGCGTTAACTTTCGAAATACACTAAAATCAGTCGCGCTGATGGTGTTTCTCCGGTATCTACAAGTTCCAGGAGATATTTAATGTGCTTTACGGTACAGACCATACAAATTATCTATAATAATCTTACACTGCATCATAGCCATCTGAGTCAAACACATCCAAGGCCTCTACCCAGTAAGCTTAAACTGGCAAATCATCGGGCCGGCGCTAGCCCTCACTACACCGCCTGAGCGGCGTTGAGGTACTATGTAAGTACATAAAGCCACATAATCCACCGGAGATCCAAGGATTCACCAACTCAGTCTTCGCCAACAAACACGTATCTTTCCAATGGAAAAGTTTATAATGTTTATTGCTGGTGTATCGTAGTCTCTCGTAGTCGTAGTCTGCTTCTAACATGTTGTGATACAGGACTCGTATTTTACAGCAACGAATGATGCTGGTATTTTGACTATGGCTCACCATTACACTTTCCATTCCAGAAAGGTTAAGAAAATATCTATCAATCTCTCCGGATCCTCTGCGTTGAATCTTGAAAGGATGAGCCGCTATAATTGCTTTATTACGCCCGCCTAGCTCAATCGGATAGAGCGTCAGACTTTTAAGGCGGGTAGTCTTGATCTGAAGGCTGCGAGTTCGACCCTCGCGGTGGGCTATTTATAATTTGGATTTTGAGTTTTTGAATCGCATAGGTAATCTTACCTTTTCATGCGTTGCCGAGTGTGCGACGAGTCGGTCAGTCGGCGGCCGTGAAATCAAGAAACATATATATCACTTTGATCAGGTCTTACCGTGTGAATCAACTGCGGAAACTAAAAAGCTCACCCCCAGTGCCCACTAAGTTGGTAACAGCTTTCGTCAGATCCCCCCTCTAACAGGTTTTAGCTCCAACAAATCGCCCAAACTTATACCAATCGGCTCATCTGTCAACTACCTCATCATGTCCACAGAACATGCCACTTACAATGTTGCACCAAACCAATATGACTTGTATAAACGCCAACAACAGCAGCAGTACCACCAGGCTTTTGACTTCTCGTACCACGCTTCTGCGGACCCGCTAGCTCCCCTGCCTGATGAATTCGATACCGATCTTGATGCCCTCGCTGGGCTAGAGGACATTAACCTCGAACTCTTAACCGTAGAGAATGACGCTTTCCAGTTTCTACGCTCTGACACCCCTACTTGTGGTCCACCATCGACGTTGACAGTATCATCCGAATCCGCCTACGACTCACTGTCTGCACACTCGGAGTCAGTATACAGCTATTCTCCCCACTCCAGCTCCCATTATTCCTTCCCTCTCGACTTCGAAATGGACTTCCAGCGCATAGCTGTAGATCCCTATGCGACCGCTCAGGCTCTTGCGCAAGCGCAGGTTCTTAATGGAATAGACAGTGTTGATCCAACCACTGTATTCAATACCACTTTGCCTCCTACGCCTCCTCGAAGTCCTCCTAACCGCGCCCAGGTTGCTTCAAAGCCTTACGTTCCTCGAAGCAGCTTCTCTGACTACGGCCCTGCTCGTAGTTCAATGTCCAATGATTATTATAACCAGTTGGCCAATTATGGTGTTGCAGTGTCTCCTCAAAATGGCCCCTCTCCGCTGCCAGTCGTCCCTTCAATACCTCTGATTCCTTCAGAAGAAGAGTATAAAGGGGACCCTCGCAAAAAATACAAATGCAACGTATGTCCTCGCGGTATGTCAATTTCGACTGTCTTTTTTTGTTGATGCTGACATTTTTCATTTGTAGCTTTTGCTCGAGCTTACAACCTGAAGACCCACATGGCCACCCATGATCCTAACAGGCTGAAGCCCCATGTCTGCCCACACCGCGCGTGTGGGCGATCTTTCAGCCGTAAGCATGATCTTGGTCGCCATTTAATCAGCATCCATCGCGATGAATCTGTTTGTTCCTCTGCCCATTCTGCGACGTCGAAGAAGTCGATTGGAGTGGACAAAGGCGGACGTAACTGGTGCGATAGCTGTGGAAAGAGTTCCGTTGGTAGTCGGATCACTTGCGATTGTGGAGACAAAGTCAAGTAACTTTCGCCCATCTCACAGAATTCAGTCTTTTCTTCGCGTACGTATGTTATGAATAAATCACAGTCTCTGGTCTTCTCACTCGCCAGTACTTTTTTCTAGCTTCATGGCTGAAGACTCACGCTCGTTTGGCAAGCCCGTTCTGCAATATGTTTTCCGGCTCCCCCATGTGCAATTTGCTCGATGTCGTTATGTATGTTACACGTATACCTAACGGGCATTGGCACGCCGAACATCTTTTGTCTTTCGTTGTATCACGTATCGTACCGCCCTGGAGTCTATTGGTAGGCGACTAGTAGTTTTGTTCTACCTAGTTCTTTCTGGGCCCAGCGACGATCGCGATCTCGAGCTGAATCTTTTGACTTATCGTTTATGCGTTCGTCGTTTTCCTATGTACAGGGTCGTAGTTTGCGTGTCCTCCGCACTGGTTTGCCTGTTTTCTTTTAGTTAAATCTTTATATTGTCGTCACTGTATTCATAAATAACAAGAACGAAATATTCGTCTGCATAGAGTTAAAATAGATTCATTAGTAAAAACAGAACACCATCGGCTTGATCAGGAGCAACACGGATAATAATCGTTATCCGTGGTTGGTCAACTTTTTTTGTTCAATTCAATGAGCTTGCGACTCGAGTGAATCAACTGGGATTCCTGATGCACAACTTTGAACTGGCAGACTTGAGTTAGTCAGAAACTTGAGATCCGTATCCACACAAGTGGCGTCCATTGTCATTATCCTGGATTCTTCAATTCACAACCGGTCACACCATTCGTCCTGTCTGTCAAAAGGAAGATTAACCTCAAACACTGAAGTAACACTGAAGTTTTGAGCGCTGATAGTGCGCTGATCCCTCGAGCCCTGCTGTAGCCTGGCTTCCTTGCATGGGTGAATTCTCGAGAGGGAACTCGCCATTTGCATGCCCTCGATCATACAAAGCGGAACTCACCTATACATTGTGTATTGGTAGCGATGAAATGATCGAGAAACAAGTTCTGGTTGGGTATTTGTATTCTTAGGAGCAACGAGGCGGAATAAATACCTTTAACTTGAATTTTACAGTACATACCATCCACAAAAAGTTCCTACAGTCTGTTTTGGAGTCACAACTCACGTATCACCTAGTCCGAGAGCGACCATAGTATATACATTTGTGATCAAGATCACAGCCCATATCAAGTACGCCAACGCAGACATGAGTCGACTGTTGCTGTAGTCGATGTATTCTATATTATCGATAGAGATAGCGTCAGAAATCTCTTCAATTTCGGATTTATGTGTCGGCGTTCCATTAGAATTGCGTGATGAATTTATTGACTCTTCAACGTCCACTTCCTGGATGCTACCACGGAGAGAGGGTTCCGAACTATCCGCAGCAGTTTCAATTGCGTGAACAGATGTGCTCTCAAAATCGAACGTCTCTACAGCTGATGGGGGCGACGGAGGTTTTTGAACTCTCATCACCACCTTTGAAGACGTTAGGTATATCAAAGGGAATGCGACGAAAGGGAGCGCCACAGACAAAAGAACCTGTGAAATGATGAGTAGATTGTCAATGCCGTTGCGCCCGACAGCGACAGCCACTACCACTGATGGAATAAGGCTGATTGAACGTGTTAGAAGTCGTCGTAGGAATGGCTAAAATGTTTAATCAGGTCTGGGGTCAAAGCCAAGCAAGATGAGGAAAGCCTACTGAGACTCTCCATTCGATGAACCCTTCTCCAACCACTTGCCCTGCAAGTGTTGCAGTGATACTAGACGATTGCCCTGCGACTACAAGTGCCAGTGCAAACAGGAAAGCTGACCCTATAAAAATTGCTTTGAACAAGAATGCAGTGCGTACAAACAGTGAAGGATACCTGAGCCGATACGTGCATGTATAAGAGCATGAGCGTCAAAGAGCCCGATAGTCACTCCTGCCATGTCCTTGGATGTTAATTTATCGAAAAAGACTGTGGCGGAGAGAATGAGGATACTGGTCCCGACTCTGACGTTAGTGAAACCCGACTATCGAATGATTTCCACTCACGCGGAGTTGATGGGAACAGCAAAGACCAAGATGCTGGAGCATACGTCGATGACTATATGATTAAGATGTTGTTTGACAAACGAGAGCGAATTGTTTTCTCGAACGCCGTATCTGGACCTATAGTCCTTTGCAGCGGCAGCCCGCTCTGCTGGAGTTATACGAAAAAGATCCATGAAATATGTCTTCGTATTTCTTTTGAGCTTCTTCCGATTCGAGGGTTCAGGAAGGTTCGCAGGTGTCGGTTTGTGAAAAGCCTCGCGATCTTGAGTAGCAAGAAAAGATCCCAAGAAGAGCGCATGAGGCATTATAGTTGCTCCAAGGATACCAACGGCTACACTCTTGTGAGTTCAGTTCACCTTAGAAAAACCTCAATATCCATACCGGCATATAGAGCGTTTGGGTGGCTTTGGAACAGCTTTTCGTCCGGGATATATCCTAAAAAAACATCGGTCCACCGTGGATGAACTCGAAGTAGTAAAACAATAAAACAGGCAAAGACAGCAAAGACCTGGCAGTACAATAATTGATCGAGCCTCCGGAATGTTCGCGATGATGACTCACCAATGTCATTATTATTAATTCGAATACTCTAACTGGCTTGCCTTGTCCTCTAGACGGATCCGAGAAAAGAAGAAAGACAAGGACATCCAGGGCAGTTAGGATAACTCCCGCCCATAGAGGAAGCCTCGGGAAAATCAGGCAAATGCCAATCGCAGATCCGATAACCTCTGCCAAGTCTGTTGAAATAATGGCAATTTCCGCGCATATATATAGAGGATACATGACCATACGTCGCACTAACCGAGGATGCGTTGGATGGTCATGAAGGAGCAGCCGACAATGAGAAGCCAAATCTTTTGAGGACAGATGAATCCTACACAGCAGTTGCACTGAACTCAGATCTCACCTATTCCTGTTACGCATCCTAGTTTGCATGCCAAGGTCTAAGAATGAATGTACTTAAAGTCAGGTCGACATAAGATTCAGTTGTTACTTACTTGTAATACCATCGCGCCCAATCCGGAAAGAAGGAGCACGAACAGCATCGGTCTGTAGCCAAAGTTAGCTCCGGCCTGGAGATCAACACTAATAGGAGTCAGGTGCAGCGTGCAGGTGAGAAGGAGGTAAAGTCACCTCCAGTTTCCTCTATAAAATTAATAGTAAGTAACATTAGATCTATTCTAGGGAGGCATCTGGCGCGCACGGATCAAAATAGGCCACAGAGCACACTATTCCAATGCCGACATGTCTCTTTACATGGTGCAGCACAGATTTGAGAATGGTTCTGAGGGTAACGGGGCCAGATCTCACAGGAGTGGGCTGTAGGGTTGGCATTAGGAAAAAAAGGAGGGTTGAGGGATGATCAAGGGAAGTAAGAGGCCATGATGAACGTTAGTCGGGAACCAGGAGAGTGGAGAGACACAGTGTTTTGGTACAAACATTTTCTCAAGCCAAGAACATGGATACATGGATTATATGCTAGGACCGCGGTGAGAAGGAACAAGAGCACGTGGGACGCTATTATCTCATTCCTTTTTGAGACGACGGTGTGTTGTTGAAAATCTGCCATGGAAGTTAGCGACCTTCATCCTCCAGACGACTATAGCCATAGATTTTTCATTTGGCACGAATGGATTCAGGTAATACCGACTCAAGTAAACTATGCCAATCTTATCTGCCATCAGGCGAATGGACCACTCACCAGCGAAAATGTCTTCGAATATTTCACAACCTCTATGTTCTATGATAAGCAAAGCAATAATCAAGTCTTGCGCATGCAAACAATGCACACCGGCACTTCTGTTGCGAATGAAGCTGAAGAGCTCAAGTAAGTTTGTGAAAATGTACATATCAGTGGATTGCGGTCACAAACTTTAACCGCTTAGACGATTCACCGGTGTCGAATTCGCAGTTGTACACGCCCAGCCACCGTTCTTTTTCATCATACACAAACGCGAACGATTATCCCCAGAAGAGGGTCGGTTTAGGAGCTGAATAAATTTCGAGCATAATTCTCACTCTAGATTCTGTCCAGATAGTCAAGCCCTTGGCAGCATTCTTCGTAATGAACAATCGAATATACCAATCGCCGGATTTGTATACTGTCCTTTCTAATCGCTTGGTATGTGTTCTCCAGATAATCGACTCGCTTCAACTGATCGTTGTGTCTAGCTCACTTCGCTGTACTCTATCCAATCTACCTTGGATTCTTTGCGTACTCATAGACCTGACTATACACCTCGGACCGGGTTTGTCTGGCCTATAGTGGACCCGTCTTTAGCTGAAGACGCAGGCAAAAAGCAAGAAGACACGTCCACCAATGAGGTCGGTGGTATGTCAGAGGCTCCAACAAAACAAGACGCTACCGCATCTTTGGGTGTTCCCAAGAGGCCCCAAAACAATACCCTGCTCATGAACGCAATGCATGCTACCGCAGCACATTCTTCGGCTTCGTTAGCGTCCTTAGCTTTAGCGCCTACGGTAGAAAGCGTACTACCAGATCCAGCCGCATCCTCAGCCAGTCGGATGTCTGCGACGCCTGCACCTGTAGTGTCTCGAGTGGCAACCCCAAAACCAATACACCAGGAACCACCACCAAAAGCTGCTCCTGGCGGTGGTAAGAAGAAAAGAAAACGTATATCGTTGATTCGTTTCCTTTCTTCCTATACCCTGCTTATCGTGTCTACAGGTACTATGGTCATGGCTTCTGAAAATGCTTAACTTGTATGTCCTGTAGCAATATCCTATCCAATCATCAACGCAGAAGTCTAATTGGGGATTTCGGCCAACCCACAGGCTTGGATACAATCATTTTGTGAGTAGTAACTATAGAATAACTGCGCAAGGAATCCCGAGAAAACCACAGCAACGAGCGATGCGATGATGTTCCTCTAAGAATAAGACTATCAAAAGCCTCGGATCTTATCGTGCTCCAACACCCGTGAGTTTACCCGTTAGCCATCCAAGAGGTGTCTGCAGGTTTGATCCTCGAGGGGCCAAACCACCACCTAATGCTAATGGGTTTGACGAAGCATACGACTCCCTTCTCAGTTTTGCAGCCAATTGTACTGTGAGAATGTGTATTGGACCATGCGATAACAAATGAAATGTGTTTACAACATACCAGAATCATCGATTTCGTCCACGTTTGTTTCGAGGACTAATCCGCCTTGTATTATTTCAGCGAGGATATGATGTACCTATGGAGACAGTTTAAGGTTAATTTGGCCCGGGTTGAGGATTTTTCATCCTTACTTCGTCAAAATGAAATACCAGATCCAATTCGCAAACGTTCTCAAATGCCCGGTCAAGAGATTCCACGAACACCTGAACCGATCCGGTGTATTATCAGTAAATATTGCATTTTGAGAGGATACCACATACCTGGATCAAGTCCAAAATACCCAGCTCGCTCTCTGCTCCGTCAATCACGAACACGAAATAGAGCGTGGCATAACTCCGATATACAACACGCCATCGTTCTCCTTCTTCGTTCTGAGCTAGATATGGCTCCAACTCTGGAGCATCCAGAAAATTGCAAAGACCAGCAGGTCGCGAATAGACGAGAGAAAATATCTTTTGAACTAGTGTTTGCACCGAAAGGTGGACCGGAGTATAGAACTTGGTCAAACGAGGAATACCCGATGTGTTGACTGCACAGAGGGGGCTTCAGCTCAGGAAACATTCGTGTTCAATCAAGAGACTGACAAATGAGAACTGCATGAATCATTTTGATAACGCGTTCAAATGGGTAAGCGCAGGATGATCGGAGGAAGCAGAGTTAATGACTTTCAGGACACCGATGTTATTTGGTGTGTACATATATTATGATACATATGTAATTTATTGTACGATTGGCCACTGTGTTCAGGCATATACATATGCGCCTCATACGTCCTTGGGTAAATGCCAACCAGGTTGTAGTCGACCAGCAAGATTACCGACTGGACCCGACAGCCCTCCTTGACTCTTTAGACTCTCTAAAAAGTTTTTGATGAGGTTGTAGTCTATATCAGTAGTCCCCAAGCCATCCTCATCCACATCATCTCCTCGTTCCAGAGTAGCTTTCAATTCAGCTTCCATCGCGGCTTCGATGTCCACGTCTTCGTCGCTGCTATCATTTGCAAATGTCACTGCTTTGCCCTTTCCTTTATCGTTGCTTTTCCCCTTTCCTGGAGCTTGGGTGTTTGAGGACTTTTTTGAGGGAGACTTGGATGATAATGAAGAGCCTGAACGCTGCAGTTCATCTTCCATGGCCTTCATAACAGCTTCGAATGAATCAAGATCAGGGTTCGGACCAGAACCAGGAGCACCATCTGCACTTTTATGAGCTGGGGGTTTTTCGACTGTGGGCAATTTGAATGACGGAGAGACGATATTGGGAACAAATGCTAAGAGAAAAGATATGTGGAGTTGGATTCGGATACAAGAATCCACAACGTACCTCCACGGGTTTTTCTTTCTTCCAGAATCTCCTTCCATTGAGTATCTGATATTCCCAGAGCTTGCCGTGAAAACTCCAAAAATTCGTCCTCCTCCTCTCCCATGTCAACTTCGATGTCACCAACTATTTGGGGCTTATCTTCTTCAGATTCCGAGTCTTCATCTGCGTCCTCTTCATCTGTCTCGTCATCGGAATCCACACCATCATACGTGTTCCTCGAGAGAATAGGCTCTCTGGTTAGCCGATTGGTTCCTGGGCTACTCTGTGATTCCTTCAAGTCGTTTTTGACAGTGTCTTTTTCGACACTTGATGGTCCAATTCTCTGGGAATTGCTGTGGAACGAAGCCGGCATTTTCCCGTATTCCGAAGGGTCGAGCTTGGGAACGAGATTATCCATGGCAGACTGACGTGCTTCAGGGTCATCTCGGACGACTTCCTCGTTATCTGAATCCTCATCATCCTCGTCGGAGAATATTTCACTTGGGTTATTTATGTGATTGAGCCGATGAGCCTTCGGAAAGGGTGAAATTGGCTTACTCGGCAAACATTGCACCTTCCACATCACCCTCTCCTTCGATAAATTCTTCAACCTTAGAAGCCAGATTGCGTACTTGAGAAGTTTGAGTCGTCGTCGTACGTTCCATAAACTTTTGATCGACGTCCATCGCGTCAGATGGCTTGGTTTCATCGCTGGCCCCAGATGCCCGCTGTAGCATGTCTTCAAAATTTTGAGAGTCAATATTTAGCCAATCATCGGGATCTTCATCCACGTTCGGAGGTGTGAAGTCGTCCGAAGCTTGAGAGATTGCCGAATTGACCAAATTCGTGAAAGATGGGCGAGCTGAGGAGCTACATAGGATGTGAGTAGACTGAACAAATTATCCTTATCTTTGACTCACTCCTCTTTTCTACTACTCACAAAAATCTGCGCTGCTTTGGTTTCTAATTGATTCCAGAGCTGTGAACCTTGCATTTCTCCTTTAAAGTAGCCAGTAGTCGATAGGTTATCAATATAATTATTGTATTCAGGATTCTGTTGTAAGGCGTCTTTCCTTGCTTCGTCCTAGTAAGAAAGTGAGGAGACGAAGGGATAAGTTTACAAGCAACCTCTTACAGCTGCACGGAGCCCCTCAGCTGAAGTGTTGATTTCACTACGTCCTTTATTTTCTTGGTAAAGTATTTCAAAACCGACTGCCTGGAATGAGATTAAATTAAGGGATATAAGGAGAAGTAAGCTGAAAACGAACTATTTTCATACCAACGTCCCGCCATTTCCATTCTCGGGTATCTTCCCTTTCATTCCACCGACCAAATATTTTGGGAGGATAAAATTTTTGCCCCACTAATTGAGCATATGCGGTCCTAGTCATATTGACAGATGCGAGTACAAAGGTATGAGGTGGAAAACGCGACATGCGATGAGCAGCCTATACGCGCCCTGTTAGATCTGCGTACACATGGGTATTTGAAAGTGCACTATACGCGTATTTGAACTCCGTCTCGAGTGTAGAATGCTTCGACAGCTTTTTGAACGAGAGATTGGTTGACAGACAAAGCTTTAGCAACATCCAAAGGTATGTATGCCTTTGTAACGTGTACATGCTGTCGCGCAGCAGCAGGATACCTTGCCAGTTAGGTTAATCCTGAAAATGAAGCATGTCGACGGATGGAGACTCACTCGGAAATCCGATTCCATATACTTCGTTCCACTACAGAAGGAGCAAAAGTGTCGATATCTGGATCTCTGATCAACTTTAACGCATCTTCAGTCGCGATGTAATCTTCCAGTTCCTCTGCCATATACTCGTCTTCCTCGTCGTTCCTACCTGAGTTTTCATGTCTCCGCCGGGGTTTTCTCGACGGTGGGGAGACGTGTGAGATATCAATGAGATGAAGGCGAAAGCTGTAAATCCAGACCTATGTAAGTACGGTGAATGACCGAGGATTTGCCAGCAGACGTGATGCTCGTACCCTATTTTCAGAGTTCGTCGGCTTTACCCATCTGGGCAGAACCTCTGCTGCTTCAATGAGGAGAAAATCCCCATCCGAATCGGACACACTAGATGTAAAGAAAATTTAAGATTTTGAGGGACGTGCAGGAAATTATCAACACACCTGATTGCGACATTCCACCTCGCGCTAATCTCCTTCAACAACCACACAGTACACCATTCATCGTCTACACAATCTCCAACTCTCATACGACCCTCGAGAATGTACGTTTTGGTCTCTGCATCAGGATCAGACACGACTTTTACTTCGAAGACGTCGCGATGCCATAGAAAGTTGGATGGAAGAAGGCTTTCTGTGTATGTTTGGATAGAGGCAGCAAGAGTAGTGGCAGAGGTATAGTCTGCGAGTTCTGACGGCGGATAAATCGTGTATTGGAGCGCGTCTTCTGAAATCGCCGGTATGCGATTGAATATTTCCATTATTTGAACTTGAAGCACTTCGTGAGGATGAGTGAATGATGTCGATGAGTGATAAAGCGTGCAAACTCCGCCAAACAACCCCGTAAACGTCGAACACTCACTCTCCAATCATTAATGAGCTCGAGTTCATCTTTCAAGGACAGGCAATTGCTGGCAGTCATTGGTGATGAGGTGCGCCCTACTTCAATGCTGCAAGCTTCCCAACTAATCGCATTCCTTCCAGGATTCCATCACCGGTTTATTATTAGCTGGTATCGGGCACGTCAATGAACAGCAGAAAAAGAACTTTCTAGTGGTGGACTCGAGTACAGAACCAAGCTACCTACCCTCGCGATAGCTTATTGACATCTTTTCTTGTCAGAAACACAAGTTTCGCAGTTAGAGGCTGCATTTCAGGAGTTTACGGAGCGGAAGGATATTGCGATTTTGCTAATCAACCAACACGTATGACACAAGATCTCGTATTCGGCGTCATTAGCTCTCACACATCCTTGCTATATTCTACTATAAGATTGCAGAGAAGATACGACCTACAGTTGACAAGTACCAGCAAGCTTTCCCCGCACTACTCGAAATACCATCGAAAGATCATCCATACGGTACGAATTTACTTTTCCGTCGTTGCTCAAATTTTACTCTCCAACAGACCCATCAAAGGACTCAGTACTCAAGCGTGTCCAGAAGCTTTTCGGAGACCAGTGACGCGTTATCATTTGCACACAGCGGACATTCAACATTCAAATTATTGTACTTGCCTCTCATAATACAATCAAATCATCAGTAAATAGATTGTTCGTGCGAGTTGGGTATGAAGGTAGTCAGAATGAAATACTTCTATACTCATAGGTATTTCAACTGTATCTTCGTAACACAGGCTCATTCTCCCTCACACCCGTTGTCCGTTCCACAAATATCCGTAATGGGTTCCGTGAACGCGAGTCTAGAGAGGGGTTATGATTTGGAAGATTTGTGGATGGAGAATGCAGAAACGTACTGGGAAGATCAATGAAGATGTACCGACAGACGAAGTAGCCGTCGTCATTCTACAGATATATGATGAGTATCAAGGTAGGACAATGGATACATAAAACACGCACTCGTACGAATTCAGCATGGACTTCTCCATCCGTATAAACCGTGCCGATGTTTTCTGATGACCGAACCGTTTCCAATGGACTTTCACTTCGAGTCTTTCTCAGCGACGAGAATATCCCGGTCCATTTCTGTGTCCTGCTTTCCGCTTCTGATGGTTTGGGCACTGGTTCGTTACTTGAAGATGATGATTCTGGCGCTGAAGGGCGCGGTGTTGGTGCACCAATAAGGTATTTGAACGACTGTACAAATTTCTCCCATGCGTTAACTGAACGATCCTTACTCCCCTGTATGGCATCGTCTAGAGTCAGCTCTGGGAGATGCTTCACTGTTTCGGATATCCAATTGGTGGCAACATCGTAGTATGAGTCTTCCGACTGGCGTGAACTTCCTTGCACGAAGAAACTGATAGCCATGCGTTCGCGTCCATTAGAATCCAGGAATATCTGGGATGCTACTTGGTGTTGTCGACCACGGGGACGTTCAGCCGAGGGTGGGGTCATATGGAAGGATAATGGGCCGCGCAAATATCTTGCTACCTGATAATAGCATCAGAATATCCATGTACTTGATGAAAGACATCGGACCTGTGGGGAAGTTTTAATCTTTTCACAAGATTCACCATATAACACTGTAGGAGAATTCTTGGAAAAAAGCTCGCTTGTTACGGCGTATAGCAGGACAGCGGTTAGTCCTGCTCCAAAGACAATCACAATCAAGTTGGTAGTTCTAGCGGTCGTACGTTTGACTACGAAATGAGAAATCAGAATTGAAACTCGTATTCAAAGTTGTGGGGGCGTACTTTTTCCTCCAGCACTCAAGTCAGCCCACTTCGTGGGCTTTGGGGTAGCAAAAGGTGATTCGTTCATCCCCATTTGAAAAGGCCCAACTTTCTGGTCCGGCCTTAACTGATACTTGGTATCGAGAGACTGGGACAATTGTGAGGGATGAAGAGGATCTTTGTGCGTTGCATATCTTCTTAATAGGCGGAGTGTCGATGTTCGGGGTTTAGTGAGGCGCGATAACGAAAGACAACGCGAATGCGAGCGACAGAACAACGAGGTCATGTCGGTATCCCAAAGAGTAACAGCTTCAACTTCCAGTTCACATTTCCACGTGCAAAAATCTAAGCGCCTGCTAGCGCCTATACTGAATTCTCATCTTTGATTCCGCCATAATGTGAACTTTGAACAACGATGTTACTTCTTACATATGTAGTCTATGTAGATGAGGTACACTCAACGAAGTGAATATTTTACATGCAACTATAGAAATAACAATACAAATGATGAAGAGTCGCGTCTGTAGAGTACACCAGAATACAACATGAACGCGTTTAGTTCCTCTCTCCCCTCAGTCGGCGAGCCAAAGCAAGATCGTTGGGCTGGATAGTGACACGCTTAGCGTGAATGGCGGCGAGATTGGTGTCTTCGAAGAGCGATACGAGGTAAGCTTCAGCGGCTTCTTGGAGCGCCATTACAGCCGAGGATTGGAATCGTAAATCGGTCTGGAGACGAACAGGACAATGAACATAAGGATAAACAGCGACCAACGAGTATACACACCTTAAAGTCCTGAGCTATTTCACGAACAAGGCGTTGGAAAGGAAGCTTGCGGATAAGCAACTCTGTCGATTTCTGGTAACGTCTGATTTCACGAAGAGCGACGGTTCCAGGCCTGAAGCGATGGGGTTTCTTGACTCCACCAGCGGTATTCTGTGGAATAGTGTTAGATTAGTAATTTTCGCCGGCCAATCAGAAAATGGGACGCGACTAGATAGTCCACACACATACCGAGGCGGTCTTCCTCGCGGATTTGACAGCGAGTTGCTTACGAGGGGCTTTACCTGAGCGATAATGAGTTGGCGAGTTGAGCAAAGGAACTCAAAAAATCCTCTCACCTCCGGTAGATTTACGGGCAGTCTGCTTGGTACGCGCCATTGATGATAAAGTGATAAGGGTGAAATAGAGAGGATGCCTTGAGGTCGTCCAGACAAGTTTGCTTGAGATGGTGATGGATGTTAAACAAGGGGCGGAAATGGAAGTGGTCGGGCTTTATACTAATCATGGCATGCACGTGATGGTAAACATACGCGTCAAGTTCATCCATTGTACAAGTTAAGCTTGAAGCCACCTTTGGCCTGACTTCTATGAGTTGCGGGCCATAGATACGCGCGTTCATAAATTGTAAAGGTCTTTCCATTATAGGACTGAACACAAAGGACCCCTAAGACGCGATTGTATTGAATTTAACTTTGTTTCATTTCATCAACGGCTTCGCCGTGATAAACGCGTCGAAGAACACGTGTAGAATGGCGCAATCTGTTGTGTACATAGTTACTACTATAAACCACGTCACAATTCATGATCCCTCAATCGTTGCTTCTCCTCCTCCAAAAGCTTCTCTTGAACTCCAAGCCTCTTAGGTGTCATTCTCCGACGTTCAGTTGTGATGTGAAAGTCAAGTTTGTCCACACCGAGGGCCTTAAGAGTCTTCCTTTCAACCAGGCTATACTCCTCTTCATGCTCCCGCGCGAAGTTGAATGGCTCCTTCAACGAAACTGGAGGATTGGTGATAATGCGTGGCTGACGGAGATAATTTTTCGACGCCGAATGAAGCATCAACGGATGCAACAATACAACATCTCCAACCTGCCCAACCATTTCCACAAACTGTGAACAATTCTGTACTTCTTTCAAGTGCGACCAATACCCAGGATCGTTCTTGAAATCAGTATAAATCGTCGTAGAAGGAGTAAATGAGAGTCCAGTCGGCATCACACCCTCTGGATGGGAAGCCAGGTAGCGGGCGATCATTTGGATACCTTCTGGGGCAATGAACGTTCCTCCTCCTCCAGTTTTGATGTTCGAAAAAATCGGTATGACGAGCAATGCTTGCTCGGGAGAATCAAGGTAATGAACCTAAAATGTGGCAAGTAGGTGGAGCTGCCGATAGGATAAGAACAGAGAGAGGATGACCCACGAAAAAGTCACCGTCGACGTGCCAATTGTCCAAATTCCGAGGATGAATATGGTCAGTCGCATTTTCCAAAGTTTCGTTACCAAAGTTCACAATGAAGCTGTCACCCCAACGACTATCTTCCTCGTTAATTCGCTCTGCGCCTCCTAGGAGATCTTGCATTGCATCCCAAACCTGGCAATAGGTAATGACTCAAGCATGAAGTCAATGCTATCCTGAAACCTATTCAGCTCACCTTGGGCGCAAATGTGGCCACCTTTTCCCTGCGATGCCACGGCATATGTATTCTCTCTCGATCCCAGGTCGATTTATCATTAGGATCAAGGTTGAGTCGTATCCAAATCGTCTTAATCCAGTCTGCGGCTCTCTCTTCGGTGAATCCATTTTGGATGACAATGAAGCCATGCTCGAGGAAATGGTCTACCTGTTCAGCTATGAAAATGTTAGCAATTTGACTCAACAATCCTCAACACTACCGAGGCCAACTAACGGGAGAGATACTTGTACTTCTGGGTCATGGTGGTTGGGAAATTGGAGATAAGCAGGCTGATGGCCTATATAATGCAATGGATGAACGTCGGTCACCCCAAGGTCACCTGGGTTATTGTCAATGGACAATCTTAGTTGTTCATTGACTTGCTCAGATTAGAAACAATTCAGCTTTTGCTCCGTTTTGTAAAACGACCCAGGTGATATCAAAATTAGCACTTTCATTATTTCTGAAGTGACTCGATAGATTCTACTACCATCTTCTTAAGCTGCCAACTAGTTCAGCATTTTGCGAGCATATAACAGAGAATCACAAACTCACAGGTGGACTAAGCCCATCACCCTGGAAATAATGTAAAACAAACTCTCTGGCTACCCAATCACTCTCAATGGATCCAAGATCACGGAATGTCAAGGCCCGAGCATTCCCAGGGGTGGGAGGATAAAGAAATATATCTAGCGGTGAATGTTTTGTGAGAGTAGTGTTTGGGAATAAAGTTTTGAGTTTGCGGATGGGGGAGGCAGCCAAGGCGGCTTCTTCTTCAGTTGTATCACCATTGTTGCGGCCATCCCTTAGCCGAGCAGTAATTGCACGTATGAAAGCATCTCGTAGATGTGAGTATGAAGTATTTCTGGTAGGGACTAGAACGCGGGGTCAATAAATACGTCCGATACGATATGAGAAATTTATCGCACCAATTCGTATTTCACAGGCGCAGGTGTTGACAATCTCCCGTATTTTTTCATCGGGTGTCATTGTTGGTTCGAGCTACAAACCTTACCTTCAACACATTTGAATATCGTGATATTCACATCAGAACACTCACTTTCAGTTTCGGGTTGTTCAAGTCTGCGTAGAAACCGACCGAGTACACTTGGATACGCAGGAAAGAGACAGTTCTGACCCCCACTCCTACTAAGGAAAGCATAGGCAGCGGAACTTTGGAAGCAACCTTGATCACTTTGGGAAACTGGATGCCAGTTGCTGGATCGACTACGTAGAGCGTTCAGGCAGTTGTTTTTCATAAGGCAGAGCGACTCACCTATGAATTCTGGATCCTCCGTAGCCGTTCCGATTGGGGGTACGACATTAGCATCAAGAAGGATGGTATGTTGGCGCAATGCGAAGGCGAGTGACACGGTCAACGTAGCTCCAGCAGCGCCCCAAAGCAATCTTCTTGTTGGTAGTCGACGAGCGGTGACTGTATGCGCGTAGCGACACGTTGGTCTAAGAATGTTACTTTTGGGAAAACGTAACAACGACATGACGTTGGCGCCGTTATAGACGCGCGTCGTTCAAAGACACGCGTCCTATTTCAATTTGTAACACACGAATCTAGCCACTTGAAGTTCTTAATAACCTATATAACTACAGTCACTTGAACGCGTCATCTAGGATATAAAAGGGCGGTATCACAGTTGTAAGTTGCTCGTATCATATCAACTCACAACATGGATCTAAACAACGCTGCCGCTGCCTTAGGGCTCGAAACCGACTTTAAATCTACTTCTTATTCTTCGATCTTAACCGACGAAATGGAGGATGATGATATGTCCTTCGCAGATACTCCTGCGGAGGATGTAAATGACCAGTCTTCACTCGAAACTCAGATGCAATCGCTCCAGAATTATCTTAAATCGGTGCCTTACGAATGCGAACCGCCTGAATACATGCAAGATCGTCTGGGGGAGATTGTCGGAAAGATCGTTGTATGTGCCAAAGCTCAGAATTGGCATGTAATGACTGTTTGGGATAAAATGCTACAGTGGCATGTATATCATTTCTTCTTTGCCGCAGAATCTCATTCATAATAAATATTACAGTTGGATGATCATGAGGTATCCTATGCAGAAGTCCACCCGTGCCAAACTAGTCCGACTGTATTACGAACTTTGCATCCTTCCTGGAATTGAAGCACGCGTAGTTCGTAGCTGGGCCGATATGCTTTCGCGTTTGCTCGCATCCAAAGCAGGAAAGCGTAAACTTGAAGCCACGGATCTTCAATTACCCTGGAAACCTCTTTGGGTCGCATTACAGAAAGAGTTGTGGGCCATGAAGCGTATACAGGACACATCGTAAATTCGTACCTTCTCTTCCAACTTATGGCAGCTTACCCGAACGACCATCTAGCCGAAATATTTTAAACATCCTACTTTTCGTCGCTGAGCAGTGCAAACGTTACTATCCAGGTAGTGAAGTTCAGGAGATGTTGTCCACATTTTTACCTCTCTTGACTCAGGAGGTGCGCGGAAATCCATCTGCTTGCCATCATTAACTTATTCTGTTCACGACAGACAATCCTTACCATGGTCCCCGTTATCACGTCTTTCCTTCCTTTGACGCATTCTAATCAATACCTGCCTTTAATCTTCAAGTTGTGGGAAGCGTTTAACTCTGGGATCTTGGACGAGAGGTTTCTCGAATTTGCCGGAGAGCTTTCGGAGGAGTACGTTGCCGGTCCCGCTGATAATGATGATGCAGAGGGGGGAGCTGCTTGGAAGGATATTGGAATCTGGACGGAATCTCAGTGGGACGTGCTAGTTAGCAAAGGTTTGGGTTCAATGAGTGAGCTTCCCATTACATTAGACGGAGAGGATACTCAAACACTATTATCACAGACGTTCCGGTTGGAATTACAAGAGTACGCCGCTGATGAATTCGTCCTAAAATATTTTTTTGCTGATATTGTACAACTGCGACCAGGGATCATCGACGACCGCAAGTCATGCAGACGCTATGGCAAATTCTCAATCTCTCAGAATCAAGAAGACAATCAGTAGGCAATGTGTGTGACCATAAGCGGTCTCTCTTTCGGGCTTCTCATCCTATTTACAGCTGCTTTTGCCAAAATATTGGTTTACTCTATTTCTACGGATGGTCCTGCGAAAGAGCCCAATCTAGATGAAACTCAAAGCCGTGAGGCAAATCCCGCTCAAACTCCTGGTTATCTCGCCGGTTCAAAGGCTCTAGATACTCTGGATCGACTGATAACCAGTACAGAATCTTTCTTCCATCCGTCCAACTCTGGACAATGGTCAATAACGGTGTGTGTGTCTACGTCTGTGCTCAACCTTGGGACGCTGTATTTACTATAGCCGTAGCTTACAACATTTCTGCAACGACTTGCAGCCGAATTTGCCAGCCGAGCTCAAGAAGAGCAACGCGAAACTTGCAAAACTCCAGTGGTGAGGCAATGTCCTGATCTTTATTCATGTCAGACTTTTGATGAGTTATATGAACAGACTCGTCGGTTGACCTCAAGCATGCGAAAGAGGTTTGTCAAAACCTTGCGTACTCCAGCACTTCTGGCGATGTTCTCCAAAGATCCTATGAGTATGGGTCTTGCTCAAAGCGCGCTGCGCATCTTGGCAATGTTGGAACCTTCGCTCATCATGCCGGACCTCCTGGAGCGATCCTACAGTGGTCTTGAAGTAGTGAACGAAACTCATCGAACCACGGCTGCCTTGAGTATGCTGGCTGGCATCGCACGACCTTTGACTACCGAAAGTATCTGGCTTTCTGGCCAGAAGCATGTTGTCCCTCTTCTGGAACTTTGCATTCCTGGTATCGACGTTGTGAGTTTCTCAAGTAAAACTTCAACTCGTCGCTGGTTCTAACTCTTCAATTAGAACGACCCGGCGAAAACTGTTTTCGCTACAATGTTCATCGTAGCCGCAGTCCAGCATATCAAACTCGGAGATCTTTCTATTCACCAGTCTGGCATTCCTTTGACAGATGATGCCGGTCCGATGGAAATTGATGATGATGACACTCAACTACCTGCTGGTGTTGAAACTGGTATGCCCGCCCTCAGTAGATCCGAAGAGAGGGCTTTGACCCGAGATAGCACCGCTGGTTTTGCTGGTGGGCGTACTGTTCTTTCAGGTATGGCTAGTCTCCTAATGCCATTGCTTTTTTGTAGACTGGGTTGTGGCTCTTTTTCGCCGGGTGCTTGCACTATATGAGAACCTTCCTGAGGAAGGAGGTCGTAAGAATACCACAGGCGGGAAGAGCGAAGAAGGAGTCTTGAAATCCATTAAGAACATGATGGACGTCGTTTGTCTGCACCTTTCTGATCAGCTATTTGACTTGGTACTGAATCTGGTATTTGATTATGCCACTACCAATGCCAAATCCAACGCGGTTCGCGCGTTCGGGCAGCTCGTAGCATGTCTAGCGAGGGTCAAACCAGAGAAGACCCTGTCAAAGTTCATGCCATATTGTTCGATGCAGATCGAGGAGGAGTTGAAACATGAAGCTTCCAGTACACGGACAACTTCTACACATTCAGTTATTCCATCTGATACTACACTTCATTGGAGTAAGTCCATGATAATCCTCTACAATGAAATACTAATTCAAGCATTAGACATGGCCATTCTCAGAGGATGTCTAGGGTATGGAGGACCGGAGGTAATAATCGCGTTTATTATGCATAAACCCTATCTAAATTATACCTCCCTGCAGCTTCTCAAACACAAATCCAATATTATCTCGTTGATTCAACTCCTCGTGGACAAGACAAAGAACGAGAGGGGATACACCGGTACTGGGCACCTCATTACAAGGGTAAGCTAGTTGCTAACCTTCGATCGTAACTGAGCAGCTATCATAGGTACTTCACACTCTGGCAGGAGTTTATCCTCATGATAGTCGTTTTGTTAATGCTAGTGAATGGAATGACGCAGGTGTGATACAACGCTTCTCTAGCATGTCCCTCCAACGTTCTCATCAAATTTCTTAGAATTCGATCGAGATCACAATCTGCAATGGGGAAAATTCTACAAACCTCAGGATGTTGAGATCGAATGGCACGGTAATATCAGTTTTTTTCTTTTGTGGTCATGCAATGTTTGACCACTGATTTTCATGCAGTCCCCTCCGGACCTGAGATCGATTTCGTTCTGCAAATCCTAGATGAAGTTGCTACACCAACATTGGCAAGGATTGAGCAATTGCTGGTGAGGGTACCATCGTGGGACAATGCTGACCGGAATGATTTCTGCCGGTGAGCCGTTTGTGGGTGTCTATGGGCGCTACCTTACCACAATTCCCGAAGGTTTGTCCAGGTTGTGAAATCGATTTGGGCAGGGCTACCGACGTTCCTGCAAGAAAAGAACAAGATCGTACAGGATCATCATCTATACGATGACACCGAAACACTCGACCTTCTTATTACACACTTCGATGTTGAAGCAGGGTTTACGCTCTCTGACCCGAATGATCCAAGATACCAAAAGGTTTTATCGTGTAGAACACAGTTTGGAAAAGTTATTCTATCCGCAGCTCGGGCTCTTCGTCAGAGACGAGAAGGTGAAGATCACATAGATGCAGTAATTGGTGTCTCTAAAGCGATCGACGTGTATCTACTCGATTACGGTCTCAGCAAGAGTCATTTTGATTCTCTTCAGAAAAGTTACTCCACCGCCAGAGAGTGTGTATTCTTCACCCCTACACTATCTGAGTATTGATTGTCCATTGTAGCGTGAACCGACTGTGGCCAAAACAAGTTGAAAACTCAAGGCTGGTTTATGTCAAGCGTGCACAGGTGTACCACAGCGGTCGAGTCTACATGCACTCGCTTTACCGAAGTCGATCTGCCCTCGATGATGAGCTAATCGGTGAACTGGTTGAATCATCTCTTTCGCCTTATACGCGGGTTCGCCGGTAAGTTATCTGACATTCCTCTCCTTCTACTCCCAGAAAGCTCTCATTGTACGTCAGCCATGCTCAAGGGGTATTGCTCAATGTCTATGGGGTATGTTTTCTGTATGACGCTAGTTGGGGGATGATCCTGAGTTGCGGTATTATATAGATCTATGTTCGATCTACACGTTCCACCCTCACAGTACTTCTGAAAGCTCTCACCAAAGGGAATGACCCAGATAGGATGAAGGGGGCCCTCTATGTTTTAGGGGATAAGGGGATTATGAGCTATGCTTTAGCAGGTCAGAGCTTTACAGCCGAGCGCATGATTCTTGCTAATGGGTGAACGTAGATGAAGGTTTCCACACACAATACCTCGTTTCACTTCTTGAATGTCAACACGAAGAGAAGGTAGATATGTCTCTTCTTTGCTTGAATCCTTGAGCCTCATACCTTCGGTTAGCCATCGATACAGAAATTGGTCCACAGTTTCGCCTATGAGTGTTTGATGCATCTTCATGAAGAAGTGCTGCACACAGATGCCTACGCTTTGCAGACCCCGACAATAGATCAAGCACTGTCACATCTGTCTCAAGAGTTTCCATCAACTTTCATTCCTGAAAAACAACTTGCGGACGCCCTATCGAAAGCCCCAAATCGGGTATCCAAGAGAAATTCAATATATGAGAAGACTGTTAGTTTTTTGGCTCCGGTTTCGAATCCTATTGAATGTTCTCCTTCTAGATATCTTCCATTCTCGAGATTGGACTGCGCCCAAATACACATGTAAGAATTTTCGTGTAGGACCGTCCTCTGAGATTACTAACTATTTCCAGTGGAGGTATGAGCAAATCACGGCAAGAATGCTTTATAGCTTGATTCGACGTGATATTCCTCTCCCGCCTTCGGTTGTGGAGTTCTTCTTGAAACATTCGATTTCTCCTCAGCCTAGTATTCGGAGAAACTCCCAAAGGTGAGCCGAGGGTATTCATCATCATTGTCTACCAACCGCTCATGTCAGTTATAGAGCGATTACGAAGTTACTTGCTCATATGAAGTACCGTGCCTACTCGAAGTCGGGTCACGAACTCTGGACAGAGGAATGGACCAACCCTCTTCAGGTGATGGTCACCATCTCCGATCCTGCCATGTTCCTTGAATCCTTTCAAAGACCTTCTACTCCAGAGACGTACGGCGCTCTGCTTTCTTGAACGATTATACTTGCTGATGCTGCCCGTCTAGCATTTATGTGGACAAAATCCGAACCGGATTCGTAAATTGGTCTACGCAGATAACTGGTTACAGACAAACTGACAGCGAAATTTCTGTGATGCCCTGGGACGTGGATGCCATACCTTCTTTGCAGGTCATCAAAACTACGATCACTACTTCCGATTATTACAGCAAACTTCTACTGCTTTGGGGGCAGGAATCAGCGAAAACCAACTCCACAGTTGAACTGCGCTCTGAAAATGTGCTGTATATCAAGAGTCTAGGTAACTATCACCGGACGTTGTATTCCCAATCTCTCTGACATCTTACGGTTCAGCTAAAACTTTCGAAACTGAGGGTTTGGCGAAATTATTGGAAGTTATCGATCCCTTGTTATTTGACTCGGACAAGTTTAAGCAGCGCGCAGGTGGCGAAGTGCTAACAGGACTTTTCCGAGGTATGCAAGTTACTTTCTCTATTTTTCCCCCAAACTGATTCTGTTCAGGATCCAAGCACTGGTCAAAAAACAGTGCAACCCAATTATGGCAATGGACTATGCGTCGACTAGACCGTATATTCGCTCAAATCAAACCAGATACTCTCAACTTTTGGGAAAGCATTTTTACTGTATGTCGATATCTCTTCTGTGTTGAATCCTTAGGCTAATCGTAATCAGTATATCTTAGAGGAACGGGACCCTCGACGGAATGCTCCTCTTGTCGACTGGATACTTGGCCTTTCACTGGAATTCAACGGAGATTCTGCGTTCGACAGTAAGCAATCGTCACTCATATCCAATCTGATCTCGTTGATTTTCTGTATACAGTGTCTAAATCACTCACTCTCTTTACCATTCTGGTCGACAACATGGGTATCCTGTTCAATCCAATGGTTGACAAATACGTGAACCTGCTCTTGGATAACGTGAACACGTCTTATGCTGAAGTGTGTCTTTCTGTTTTTGTTCAAGTTCTTCATGCTCATGTAGTCTAGATTCGGGGACAACTTGCACATCTTCTATATACTCTCATCAAAATACAATGGCAACCCTACTATTCCTCAATCGCCCTCCTCCTCGAAGCATGCCAGACATCCAATGATCCTCTACGAATTCGGTGAATTATAGAGATTCTTACGTTAAGCGTTACTCATATGTGGCTTAGTGAGGCTCGCTATCAAGAGAAGATTTCGGAAGTGGTTGCTCAGCTACCTAAATGGAGGGAAGAGCGTCTTCCTCCTCCTAGGGTCAGCTTGTCTGAATATGACAAAGTTGGTTTGACACGTACGCTTCTGAGTCTTATACTGCTTTCTTGATATATGTGCTGACGTTGTGTATAGTGCTGCAGTGGATCTGGGTTTCTGCTTATGGCTCCCAGGCATGTCTGATGTTTAATTACGCCGTTCCCATGATGTAATTTCGCTTCTGATTGTTTAAGGCTAAACAAAGACTGACTCTGGTTTTTTATCTAGGCCAGAAATTCTTCGGATGTGTGACATTTCTGACAACAACGACCTACAAGTTTATTCCACAGCTATCTTATATGTCGTGTCTGCTGTTTCGCCCAGAAAAGAGCACATAGATATTATCTTGGGACACTTTGTGAACGCCATCAAATCATCTACAGTAAGAAATTGGTATTTCTGTCTATCGTCGGTCTGATTTTCCCCAGTCCTGGCGAATCCGCCATCATGCTCTCCCTGCTCTGATAGTTTTTTTCTATCGCAACCTTCTATACATACCATCGGAAGGTGTTTCCAAGGTCATGGACGTTCTGCTCGATTGCCTTGCTGACGAAAACGTTGAGGTGCGAGAGATGGCGTCTAAGGTCTTATCGGGAGTAGTCAGGGTATCTCAGCGCCAAAGCATCTTACCGCTGAAGGTATGAACTCTAATATCGTGCATCTAGTCTGCTCTAATGTGCATTACAGAAGCGCTTCGTTTCACTAATGAGGAAAACTAAACTACCTGCGAAATCAGACCCTACATATGCAGGTTCACTACGGACCCTACACTCCGCAATTCTAGGGCTCTGTGCCCTCATTGAAAGCTTCCCGTACTCCGTTGAACCGTGGATGCCTCCTCTGACTGAGTGTATGTACGACGTGCTACTTTGCACTTTCCTCATCTCATCTCAGTTTTTTTAGTACTAGCACCTCACGCTACTGACCCGCCTCCAATCTCTACTACGATCAGAAAGTGTGCTTCCGAGTTCAAGAAGGTATATATTGTAATCACCTTGCCATAGTCACAAAGCCCACGCTGATTTCCTTCCTTATTGCCGTAGACCCATCAGGTATGACCAGCACTCAACACTGTCACTCATGTCCGTTTCTGACTAGAATCAATCCACAGGATACGTGGCACAAAGATCAAATAGCTTTTGACGAGGATCAATTGCAGAGCTTGTCGACCATGCTTGTCGGTACTTCGTATTGTGAGTCGTTTCCCTTCAGCCTTTCTTTCCTCTCGAGAACTGATTGAACCCTCCTCAAGACGCTTAAACATGTTATATATTAGTAGAGATAATTGTTTACGGACTTTGAATGAAATCCTCGGAAATAAAGATAATTCTCGAAGCTCTTGATCTACTGTGACCGGCGCTTGAGCTTGAAGCTTGAAGCTTGAACGTTTGAACGTCTGAACTCTTACAACATAGACTCTCAGATATTGAATGAGCATCTAGTTGTGCGAGGAGAAAAGAACTAGACGAGGTGTCGCACCCAATGGCTGATCAGAATCAATACACGAGCAGATAAATCTCTTCCTCTAAACTTCACGTCTCTTATGTTGGGATGCTCATACCAGTAACCGAGTGTCTCGTTTACTATCAAAGATCATCGTTCCGATGACTCCTTAGGATTATCCGGTATACATCCACCTCGTGTAGGACATGTGTCCCAACATCCCTAAAATTTTTCTTCCAGCTTCCAGCTTCCGTACTCAGTACTCAGATTTTATCATGCATACAAGAATTTCCGGGCAAATGTTTTTTTCTGGATTTCATTTGATGTTAGACGGAAATCTACGGAAATTGAAGGTGACTACCACCGCCTAAGTACTAGTAAGTACTACGATTTCTAACACACCAAAAATACTACAGCTTAAACGTTTGGTATACTTACTGGCGGACCCAGGCTTGAGCTAGTTTGAGCTTCCTATTGGGCCCTTTCCGTTGACAAGTCACACATTCTATACTCATCTGAAGCCATTATCATGTATTGGAAGTTGTACACTAATAACGCCCGGGCCCGGTTTTCAGTTCAGTATGTATAACTTTCCAATATACTGAGGCCTCATGTTTCGACCAAGACTAGGGATTTCCCCAGTCCCCTTATCAATTATACGTCTTCAAAACAAGATCCTCATAAATCGCAATTTTCTGGTCTCCGTCCGGTTTACATGCAATATAAGACCTTATCAATTCCTTCTATTAAATCAGAAATGGATACACACATACTCTTTGAGAGACGGAGACCTGTTCCTCAGGTACGTAGTCTCTAAATGAAAAATAGAACATATATTTCCGAGTTCTAGAATCTCGTTCCAATGGCATCCCATCGAGGTTACGCATCGATTGGGAGATTAAGAGGGGGGGATTAGACAAAAGATAATTTGTATCAGATGGCGACGAATAACACAATCTCCAGGTTCAGTGTTTTACTCTTCCGCGATACGATTCGTATCGGTATGTGACCATGACCATCGCCAACATCGTCGAAGCCTGTCGAAGCTTGATCGACTACATTTTGCTTCGAAGAAGTTCAAACGATAGCCGTGGAGTTGGGGAGAAAATCATACAGTATGAAGGGAAGCATACAAAATTGGTAGTTCATAATCGGATGGGCCTGAAAAAACACACGACGAACTTGCTGCTCGGAAGAGGGGGAGAAATGATACATTAGACACTTACCCGGTCAAGAAAAGAGCATAAAATAGCTGTTCGGCGGCAAAGACTAGGTGACATAAATCTTTCCTTTCCTTGGAATGAATAATACGCGTCAGGACGCGCAGACTGCTGTAGACCACGAGTAGAAAGCCAAATGTCCGTATTCATTTGCGTGCACTGCGGTGACCAGAACACTGGATTAGATACTCTTGGGGATTATCGATATGGACAACAAGGTAAGAAATGGTTTGGAAAATTCTTTCTGGGGAAGAAGATCGATAACTAGGCTTTTTTCACGAAAAAAAGAGTATCATTTGGGCATTGTTGAATCACGACATTGTTTTCATACTTTTGTATCTTGGGTGATTTCTTGTCAGGTCCGAACTGAAGTTATCGTGAAGACATACTTGACAGCAAGCGAAAGGATGGATGTGAATTCGGATAAAGCAAAACGACACGGCAGCACGGAGCTCGAGGACGCGTCAACTGATGGAAACATAACTTTTATATGACACCTCGCCTGGAACTTTACGTTGTTGAAAACTTGGTGTCCGGCTTGACGCCACGTGCGGCCAACACGGAGTTTACCCTTGAATGTAGGGTAGTTTTTGTCTGTTTTTGTACATGAATGCGAGCTGGGCCTTCCTGGACTAACGGAAAGGACGAGTAGAAGGAAGGACAAAAAGAAAGATTGAAATATAATTATTAAATATTGCCGGTAAACCCTGTTGATTTATAATCAAAAGGGGAAAGTAGCTTTCGATCTGGTGGATAGCCTCGTCGTTATTATTACTCTTCACCAACTTTCTTGTAGACTCTGAGCGTTGACAAAGGGCGTAACGACGCAGGGAGCATCAGAGACCACAATATCCTCCCGAAAGTACGAGATACAGACTGAGTAAAATTTTGAAAAGAAAGCGAGCAGCACGTGTATAATATCAAAACGTTGCGTCCTTGCTACCTCTGCCTGGCGTCGCTTCTTTCTCTTTAACAGATACCACCATCTTCTGTTCACGTCTTTATACCTATTCTGCTTTTCTCTTTCTAGCGGCTATCTATCTGCTCTTTCCTAAGCACTTGTTTATTCTCCTCATCGCTCTCAACGTCCCAGGCGCCATCTTTATAATACACAGTATGTCGCTTTCGCTTCCCTGACTTTCTCTGCTTTTCTCACTCATCTCAGTTTTTAAATGCACGAAGCCCTCACGACGTCCACGAAGAATTACGCTCCAGACGATCTACTCCCGCCCATCTATCTCACTAATAGACCCCAGCACTTTGACTCGCTCGACTGGCAGTCTGACCGTCAAGCTTTAGAGGTACGTTTTCTCGATATCCGCCGCGCTTTTTACTCATATTTGCTTTAGAATTGGCCTCCTCACCGAGCATCTCCATTAGCTTTTCAAAAACTTTCTATCTCTACTACTATGACTTCTCATCCCGACAACGTAATCAATCGCGGTAACCGTTGGTATTTCAATCCTGATGCTGACGCTCTTGCAAACGAGATTGTTCGGTTGAAAATTGGTGACGCTGCAGGGGATGCAACGGATGACGCCCCAATTCGGACTCCTCCGAAAAACAAGTTGGCTTCAGCTGTTCTTGCAGATACGAGTCCGCTTGAAACGAACTCCATTCCCAGCACCGATTCTTCTCCAAAGGCGCCTGACCATCAAATAGTCGTTTCTCATTCTCGCGGCTCGTCTACGGACACAACAATATCCTCACAAGATTCTGCCACCTCTTCCACAAGTAATGCGATGCTCGCCCACACTCCTTTAAAAAGCGGTACTATCAGCGAGTTGAAAGAGCGTCCCCACTCTTTTAGTGGTGGACTTTCTTCAGCAGACCTTCGTCGTTTACAACAAGCTGATGAAGGTTTCTCCGATGATAACAATCAATTGCAACAACAGCAACAGTGGTCTTCGGGCGAACAATTGTCATACCCTTCGCTAACGCCGAATAATCAGACTATTCATCATCGATCTCAAACTCAGCAGGCCCACCAAGGTCCGCAAAATATGAACCGCGATGTTACTTCTCCAATAGACTACAATACGCAGGCGCGCAACTTCAACGCTCCTCTACAATCCGGGATGACTCCCACCATGTCGCCAACCAGTCCCCCTTACATCCAGGGAAGACCCAACAATGTACCTGTGGCCTATCGCCAGCCTCCCCGTGGTTTCCCTCCCCAGCAAGGTTTGCCCCTTCCAAGCCCTGGATATGCTCATAACGGGCAGATTCCTATCGGGAATTCACAGCAGTTGTACGATATGATGCTTCCTGGTGCCTCACCTCACGATCCTGCTCATCCTGCTGTGTCTCGTGTTCAGCAGCAACACAATGTCTTCCCTCGCGCACACCATCATTCTGCGTCTGACCCGACTGCCATCCGGGATCCTGCTGCCATTGCTATGTTAAACAGTGGTATGCCGCCGTTCCCTGCGGGTATGTTCCCCACGAACCTTGGTGCAGCTCCGCCGCAGATGCAGATGTACCCTCCATCATTCTATGGCACTCAGGATGCCTATCGCTCTGACGCTGTGGCAGCTGCTCAGGCCATGGCAAACCGCATTCAAGCTCAGTACACTGGGCAGTATGCCATGGTTCCATCACAGCTCGACGGTGGCATGTCCAGTCCTTCGTCCAGCGCCGGAAACCAGAACGGACCTAGTGCGAACAATAGGAAGCTTGGTTTGTACAAAACTGAACTGTGCAGAAGCTGGGAAGAAAAAGGTAGCTGTCGCTATGGTGCAAAATGCCAATTTGCCCATGGTGAAGAAGAGGTTCGTAAAGTTTCGCGTCATCCTAAGGTAAGGAGCCAGATATCTTTATTCATAGAGAACCATTAATTGTTGTACCCCCTAGTATAAAACAGAAATCTGTAGAGTGAGTTCACCTTTTGTTTGTTTTACCTTCGATGACATCCTGACAACCTGCTATTAGACTTTCTGGGTTTCAGGTTCTTGTCCATATGGGAAAAGATGTTGCTTCATTCATACGGAGCTTCCCAACGCAGGCCCAACGCCTCCTGGCCAGCAACCTGATACCGTTTCTCCTCCACCTCGCTCAGACGTTCGGGAGCGCTCATCGAGTACTAATTCTGATCCGAATGAGGCTGTTTCTCTCCTTGCTCGTATATCTGCGAAACGTACCCAAGATACTGGTAGCAACAGCTCGTCCACTCCTGTGGATAATAACGTCAACAACTTCCAGTTCGGTGGTGCGCAGAAACAGAGGCTCAAGGTCGACACTTCAGCCCTTGATCGGAACACGATGAAAGGGCAGAACAAGTCGGCGTACCCTACGTTCGCGAGCAATGGTGTCCTCATGGCTGCACCAGATAATATATCCGCCAAGTCCCCTGCGCCGGTAACAGCTGGCCCCGATCTCGGACGACACAATAATGCACGTATGGAGATAGTGGGGTACAACCAGGTATGAATGCTTTTGGTGTGCTTGCTTCCACAGAAGTCGTTAATGCCTTCTCTGTCTACTCTTCATCAGCGTATGGACAAAACGCCGCCTTCGAACATCCGCCACACCACTACGGGCTCTGAAGACATCTCGTATCAGGCGTCGCAATCAATGGCCGGTAACCCTTATAATACGTTACCTTCTGGTGATGGTGCCCCAAGCGCCCCTCGCGTCAATGGACATGTCAGGGCGGGAAGCGCAGGAAACTGGGGAAACTTTACCTCTAATCGACCTAACACTCAGTTCTCGGTATCAGCGTACCCGCACGGTCCTAGTCCTGCTGGCGACGGACCTTCGAATTCTCCGTGGTCCACGACTGACCTTGCAATGGGTCCGTCGAGGTTGAACGAAAAAGCTTGGGCGTGAAGTCATATCCTTATCGTTATCAGTCATCGTCTTCGACACATGCATGAAGTCTTATTTTGCTCCACGCTCAGCCGTTGTATTTTGAACCTTTTTTTTCTTTCTATTTTCTTTTCTTTCTGCAAATGCCGCTTCAGTCGGACAACCTCCGTCGCTCACGCTACAGCCCGTTTCATTATCCTCAGCATAAATTGAAGCTCGCTCGGAATTCATAACGTTTGTTACGCTCTGTCTCTTACTTATCTCTTTCACCTATGCTTGATAATCCCTCCACCAAAAAAATTGCTGTTCTTTATATTTGCTCATCTCACCACAAACCCTCTTGATTGTCAACACTCTAGGGCTACTCTTCATCTCACCCCCCGTCTGCATTGCATTTTTTTCATCACCGCACATGTTTTTATTCATTCTCAATAGTATTTTGTCTACGACTCGTCTATCTTGCTTTGTATTTCGAAAGCAAATGCGAAGCAAGTGAGAAGTGTATACATTAAATGAGCCCTAGACAATACATGGTGTGTATCCGCAGTGACGTAAAATACAAAGGAAGATAGCTAGCTGCATATACGATCTACTCTAGGGAGCGTCTACGAGGCTGAGAGAAAGGTTAAAGTCAGACCGAAGAACAAAGCTTATTGTTCAAATAATTCCCAAAGCTGCAATAGTTCGTCGGAATGCGGCTAATCGAAAACGCGAATAGCCCACGTAGTCGAACTCAGGTTCTGTGACGTCGTTGATAACGTCGTCTCTAGATTGTACAATGCCCCACATACACCACATTGCGTGACAAGCTACAGCAAAGGTAAGTACAATATCGGGAACGGATAGAGCGAGATATTTCACCTGGGGTCCAGTAGCGCACTTGATTTTCGAGACTCTGAGCTTGCTGCGACATATTCCCGGGAGAGGTGCCGGTATGTTCGAGGTAAGATAGGTAAAAATTTTCACGTTCTCGTGCTGTAGGATAGCGACTCTCATCCGGTAGATGAGGAGTCGAAGTATGATAGTTGTAAGTCCACTCAATGAAATGATTTGCAATATCAAACGACGCCGGATTGGGTGAGGCATATTCAAAGTCAACCACGATCAACTTCCAAAGGAATGAGTAACATTCGTGAGGTTGGAGCCCAAATTACGCACCTGGCGATGTGGAGCACGAGTCCACACCTCTGCATCCTCGAGTCTGAGTAAATTGCCATATTGTGTATCGTTGTGTGCAAATACCCGTCTGCTACCATTATGCACGTCATCTACATTGGAAAGCCATTTAAGATAGCTTTCCCATTGCTGTTGGAATTTGTCCAGATTGAACTCATCCCGCACAGATTGGGGTATAGTTGGGTGCATCAGAACATCTCTGGCAGGTGCGAGCCACGACCTGACATTCCTCTTTGCTCCAAGTTGCCATCCGTTACCCTCTCCGCCTTTTCCAGGTGAACTTTCCTCAATCACTTCAATCGGGACTGAATGAAGCTCGGACATGCGAGCTCCAATCCATCGACTAATTTGCGGATCGCGCATGTCTTCAGCAGTCAGTGTCTTTGAAGGGAAGTATTCTTCCATTCGACCATTCTCAAAAGTTCCATATACTTTCGGGCCCAAGTTGAAGCGAGAAGAGAGGATATGAAGGGTATTGAGCTCTCTGGGGCGTGAAATTAACGAGTCTGATGATGGTCCATAAATTCGAAGAAGGATGGTGATGGTTTCCTTGATCGAAGGACAAGAAACAAAGAAGACTGCGTTTGTCAATGAACCGGAGACCTTGTGTATCACAAGCTCTTCGGCTGTGATTAATGGACTGCTCCATGAAGGAACATTTAACGACCGTATGCATTCAAGGAGGTGCACCAAGAAGGAAGACTTCTTGTACTGCCTGTACCAGAACAAGCGAAGAAATCAGAATTGGTGTTGATAGAATTGTAGAAACAGAACCAGACCATGGTCAAGTTATCTGTTTTTTTGTCGCTTGAGTAAAACTGAGCAGTAAATGTTCTCACCTTGCATCCAAAAATATGCTCGCGTGCCGCAAACCCTCTGCCTTTACAACTTCTGGCTCTCCTGAAAAGGGGATAGAAGACACAGAAGACGCTGCACTTGCGATAACACTGGCTAAGCTTTGAACAGAGCTAGTTGATACTCTTCTGAGATTTGAAGGAGTTTCTAAAACAAGTGCAGAGGATAATGAAGGAGTAACGACCGGAGAAACTTTGGTCATGATGACGGTTAGGGACAGAGCTGTGGGCCTAATCCGAATCGATCTAAAAAACGCCCTCGCTATCATTCCAATCAAAGTCTCTGGTAGAATCACCCGGGGTAGCAATATTTCTCCTGACGCTGTGATAGCGATATGGTTTTGGAGAGAGATAGAAGAAGAAAAATGCACAAAATATCTTGTAATCATTGTAGGGTCTCACTTCGCACTTTTTCCCTTTTTAGTCGGCTATGACGACCTGCGGCGCCACTGTAAGTCGGTTGTTTCTAAAATTCATGTCTCACGTATGGAAATGTGTGGGACTCTATCGTCCAACTTCTAACGCTTAAGAGTATAATTGGAGGGGGGGTTAAAATTTTTATCACTTAATACCGATGTTCGTATAGACGGAGCCCAACTGAAGTTCGTATAAGAGGCAGCAACCCGAGCCTCTGCGAGATCAACCTCTCCATAGCACTGAAGAGAGGCAAAAATGGTCAATTGAGAAAGATTGGCTGCCGGAAGCCCGACAATTTGAGGCCCGTTCCGAGTTCGTTAAACCCGCCCGAAGGACCTATCATTCCCACCCAATATCAGTCCTGTGACAGTCCGTTCCAAAAGTTCAACAAGTTCAGGTTGCTGAGCGGCTCCGAAGCCCTCCAAAACTGATACAATTGCAATCCATCTGAGTGATTTAATTTCGAACTCCTACACATAGAACGAAGGGCGTCTTGAAGGACACACAAATCTACTAGCCCGGTATGGTAGTTTTACCTATGCCGCAGCAAGCTTCCTGGCGCTTCGAGAATGTAAACAATCTCATTGTCAATTTCATTTCGGTACTATAAAGAGTAAAAAATCTATAGCAACACTGAGCGCTGCCGGGTTTATAAACATAGTTCCACGGAGAACACTACACGTTCACATCCGCCGGTGGCTTTTCATCTGTCGCAGCCGTTCTTTTGTCGTCTACAGGTACTTCTTCGTCCTGAATTGGGAATTTCTTGAGAAGGAAGGACATCTAAATGGAAAAAAAATCAGACTAGTATTCTTTTAGCCATGGAAAGACTTACAAGAAATGCTACACCCAGTAACGGCGTGCAAACAATCCAGACCGCCTTTGAGAGGGACATGTCAGCAAATAGGAACAAGTAATCGTATTGGACATGTCCAGACCTGGATTGATGTTGACACTATATGTAGAACCTCCGCACGGAGGCTCAAAGGTTGTATGTCCTTCAACGTACTATAGTCGATCGAAGAACTCAGGGCGTCGATGCCCATGTTCAGAGTAATACGAGAAGCCATACGTGCATCAAAGACTGCACCAGCAACGGACTATCGTCAGATGAGCATAATAACAATTAGAGCAGCAAGATAAAAAGAAACAAAAAACATACAATTCCGACTGTCGCACCAGTAAACCTGACTAGAAAGAACGCGCTCGTACAAGTTCCAAGTTCGGAAGATTTAAACGCTCTCCCAAACACTTGATAAGGAGCATGAAACAGAATGCCCATTCCAATGCCTGCTATGAGCGGGAATACATCTTGAAATGACATACGCGAATCTTCGTTGAGCAAATTGAGAAGCCCTATGAATCAATAAATTGTTTTAGCGTCCAAGAACATGAGTTATTCAGGTGTTTGCGCTATTCCTACCGAATCCCAGTGCACTAATCAGAAACCCGATTGAAATGACCAGATTTTGTCCGCTAGTATCACGTCTGCGCTTTTGCCACCAACTTATGAACCATGCAGTGGGCATAGAAGCAAGAGAAGCGCCAAGAGAGTAAGGTAACATCTGCACCCCAGCTTCAAGCGGCGAGTATCCGTCAGCGGCCTGAAAATGCCATTGCCCTGTCAGCTGAAAAAACAAATTGTTATGTCGAGAGCGCTTTCACCTGATAGAACAGTGCAAGATAGAACGTGCCAGCATTGAATGCAAAGTTATGCAAGAAAACGATCACAAGAATGGTCACTGGGGTCAAATGTCAGAGAGTAGGGGAGCAAGTCTATCGGAGAAGACATGCCTGCGGTGATATTCTTGAACATGGTGGGAGGAAACAAACTGTCTCTCGTTGTATTTGCCTCGTATATAGAACCACAAACGAGGATCAGCAAGCCCAGAACGATCAGAACGATGGTGACGGGGCTGTTCCCTAAGAAATGACATTAAGAGAGCTCTAATAGCGAGTCAGGCAAAATGCTTACAGCCATTACTCGTGACGAAACTAAACCCTACTACTATGCAGCACGTACCACCCATGAATAATATCAATCCCCCAAAGTCGAACCTCCGGATCAGCGAATAGGATGCATCGGATGCGGGGTCCAATCGTACATCGCGAAGAGCCCCCAACAAAATCAAAAAGCCAATAAGGCAGAGAGGAAGATTGAGATAGACTGTATTGTGATCAACGGAACTTAGTGCTTCCTCAATACATTGCAAAGTTTGAGGACATACAACACCATCTCCAATTGACAAAATTTGTCTGACTACCTATGTTCGATGCAGTTGAGTTCCAGGTCCTTCAGAAACACGATATACTCTCACCGCTGAATAATCCACCTAAGAGTGGACCTGCTACGGCCGAACAGCTCCAGGTGACACTCAAAGCTTGAGACCATTTTGCGCGATGTCGCATCTCAACGATCTCTGCAGTAATGACCCAAACGCAGCTCACAATGCCACCCCCGCCGATTCCTGAACATAACAAGGGGTAATGATAATGAATACAAGATGAATGGAAATATGAATTGTTGGTCAAGCACCTGCTAGTGCACGAGACGCAATAAGCCTATTCGCAATTTTGCATCAGTCAGAACTGCCATAGACTGCGCCGGGTGAACTCACATCACGATGTTCTGAAGGATGATAGAAGGATGATAATCAGTGAATATATTTCTTATTCAATAGGACGAAGCTTTACCTGAGAGACGGCACAGAGAAGAGAGCCCAACGCGAAGATCGCGATACTGGAATACAGTAGAATCTAACGCCAATGTAAGGATTGGCTTGGAAATCAGGAGATATGACGGACCATTCGCCCAACGATATCTGCGATTCTACCATAGAGAGGTTGAAAGGCAGTTTGAGTCAGAAGATATGCGACCCCAACCCAAGTATATTGAGATTCAGAAGCCTCCAAATCAGCTGCAATAGTAGGAAGACTAGTCGACACTATGGTCTACAGGAAGTATATGGGTATGATGACGACATCGAAAAACTGTGAAACTCACAGCGTCTGTAGTAGCTAGGAACAAAGTTAATGCCGCCCTAGACCTTGAATAAGCCATAGGACTGCATGTCCAAATTTCTATGACATACCCTGTGTGAGCCAACAGAAGTCGAAGAGTTGAAAGTTCGGGAGTTTTCTTTAGGCCGGATGCGGGGACATAGGAAGAATTTGATAGATCCAACGAGCTTTGAGATTCCAAACAGGCTGCCAATGAACTTTTCTCCGCAACGTCCAAGGAGTTAGATGCAGATGCAATAGTAACTGAACCGGTCACGGAGGTTATACTTTCAGTCTTTTGTATCACGTTTGAATTGGGATCGACGCCACACAAATCTGAGCATGAGTGGCTGGTAGGAGTTGTTTGTGCGACATCGAGAAAACCGAAATCAATATATGTCTCAATGCCAGTATGGTCTGAAGCGTTGCTCGGAGCAGTATGAAGCGAAGGGGGAGTAGAGTTTGAACGATGCTGATCCATGTTTTGGAAAGGTGAACTTCAGCGATGCCAACTTCAGAGAGGTGTTGAGAATCTCACTGTAAAGTACACTCCTAGGGAGCCAACTTCATTTTATAGTCCGAAGGAAGGTCCATTAACTGAGATCAGTCAAAAACCATGGTTGTTCACGTTTCGGTAGTCGCAAAAATCGGCTCGAAGTGAGCAATCAATGAAAGCAGAAAGTCGAAAACCAAGTTGTCGTCAGTTCATTGGCACGACCAATCTCAGATTCGAGATGAACTGTATGTCGTGATATTTTCCACGAACGCAAAAAAGGCTTTCAATGTCCTTTGTCCGATAATTGTCGCGTTGATTGAGCCTGAGGTTAACACGGGCTGAGTAAAGATGAAATGAGAAGAATTGGACCCTAGATGAACAAACGAATGTCCCTTTGACGTGAGCATGAAATTAAAAGCACCGAATGGTTTATAGGTGCATAGAACTTTCTTCGTACTAACTAAAGAGTGTTGTTACAGTTCTGTAAGTTCCTTGTTGGAAAAGCCTCGTTGCAAACATCCGGAGTCCAGACTGGCCGTTTTGACGCCTGTAAAGTAAATAAGATAAAGCTGTTGATCGCCACCATTGTAGAACGAGTCGAAGAAGGAAGAGTGATGTAAAAGCGGAAAGAAAATAAAGAAGGAACGACTCCGACTACTCCGAGCGCTTTAGTCTGGAAACTACAATACATATCTGAGTTCAAAAAATTGAAAGGTTTATTACACCAAAGCACCCTCATAGCGGTTCACGGCAAGGACAATCTTCAACTGTGCCCAGTATAAGCGAGAGCCAGTTGCTCGTTCAACATTAGCCAACTCTGTATGAGTTGTGTTTATAATTCCGTCACTAACTATAACTACTGTTTACAGAAATTATATGATGTTCGTAGATCTATGCTAACTCTATTTTATCATGCTGCTGCCCTCTTCTGCTCTTCCCGAGATCCATCCTCTTTCTTCGACTCTTGCTTGAGATCCGCCGGCTTGCCATCCTCAGGCTTGACGACTGATGGACGAACGAACAAAACAAGATATAAGAAATATTGCCGAAACAATGGCGAACGACAAAAGACATGCCGATAAAAAATCAAAATCCAGTAAGCCTTCGTAACGTCTTAATTGCACGAGATACCCAGCCACTAGAAGAGGCTGAAGGGTAATCGAAAGAAGTCGTACCGTTATCATCGTCGCCCTCTGACAAATTTTTGTGAGATTCCGAAGTTGCATTATTTGTAGAACGTCCTTCAACGTCATCTGCGTATTCTTGTAGTAGTTTTCGTTGCCTGTCCGTCAAAGATCTATCAATGGAGTTAGAGTTGGGCTTCTTCTAGGGCTAGAGTTTTAGACACCTGGGAAGCGTTACCGAAAAGGTGACGAACAAGTCGCCGGTGTCATTCCGGTCCACGCGGGGAACACCTCGCCCCCTCAGTTTCATTTCTTCACCTGGCTGGGTACCGCTGGGAACACGCACATCAACATCTCCATCTAGAGTGGGAACGCGTACCCGCCCGCCTAAAAGTGCCGTATGTAATGGTATCTTGACTGAGTGGTAAAGGTTTGAACCCTGGCGTTGGAATTGCTTGGAAGAAGCAACGTTGAGCCGCACAAGAAGATCACCCGCTGTCCCTGTGCCAGTTATTGGGGCGTCGCCCGAATTTGGAATACGTATAACCATGCCATCCTCGACTCCTGCAAGAAAATGTGAACAGGTGCACAAGCAGAGTCAAGATCATTTCACTCGCCTGCAGGAATAGAGACGTCGACCGTCTTCCGTGTCCTGACCTTTCCAACACCCCCACAACTGCCGCATTGACCACTGCGAGGGACTGTACTGCCAACTCCATCACAGGCGTTACAAGTACTCGACATTTGGAAACCACTGTCTATAACAAATGTCCGAGTACCAGAGCCACCGCAGGTTGTACACGTTGTCCTCTTGGCCCCAGCTTTCAAACCACTTCCGGAACAGGTACCGCAATTTACTACAGGAGAGATCGTAACTTTGCGTGTCGTACCCTTACAAGCTTCCAAGAAGCTGATGGAGAGATATGTTTCGAGGTCTGCTCCTCGTACTGGTCCTCTGCGTCGCCCTCCGCTACCAAATTGATTGAATAGTTGCTCGAACATGTCCGACGAAGCATTGCGTCCTCCTCCCCCAAATGCGGAAGCAAAATCTTGGAAACCGGAAAAGCCAGCACCACCGGCGCCTCCGAATCCAGAAAACGCATTTGGATCGAAACCAGGTTGCTGAGAAGCTGAACCATATTGATCATAAGCAGCCTGTTTCTTTTCATCCTTCAGAATCTGAAAGAGGAATGGTGAGCGGAGAATTAATGAACGAATGATGTTGGATCAACTCAACATCGTAAGCCTCTTGAATTTCTAGAAACTTATTTTGTGCTGTCTTGTCCGCATTGGTGTCTGGATGGTATTTACGGGCGAGCTACAAATACGTGTATATGTTTAGAGTAGTGCAAGTGACTTATTGCAATATAGAACATACCGAAAAATACGTTTTCTTAATATCGGCCGCTGAAGCATCGCGTTTTACTCCCAGGACTTCATAAGGGTCCTTGGGTGCACCATGAGGCGCAGTGGCATGGAACGCTCTCTAAAGATGATTCTAATTTAGGGGGCCATTGGACGGAAAGGTACAAGGAAAACGGACCTTGTCCCCGGTACGTTTAGCAGGGGCTAATGTTCTAGCGAGGGCGTGTTGCGTCGCGGTATGTAAACATTTAAATCGGTTTATTGCAAAAGACTTTGAAGAAGCTGCATATGTCGGCTTTGCACATGCGTAGAACGAGATAAAGGATGAGAAACCATGAGATGGCACTCGAGGAGGCATTAAGTTGGCAGAACACGAAAGAAAAGCGGAGAATCACTAAGAAATTTTTGTTAGAGTTGACATCAGCAGTATTATTACTCATAAGCGCTCAGTTAGGCGCCTTCTCCTCGATGTACTTACTCTTCTCTGTCATTTCAACCTCAAAAATTCGTTTCACGTGTGATAGAAAATAGTATGAGATGTAGATAAACATATTTGATTTCGTTCTACTGCAGTTCGGTCCGAGCCTTCCACCAAGCTTTGCCATAACTTACTAGCAATTCGTCCCCCTTCTTAATGTCCTCATTAGCAGCCCAAATACCCATTTTGAGCTCCCCTAAATCTGTACGGTAATCTATGAAAGCAGCATTGGGCTTGAGTTTGATGCCTCGATAGTCATTAATGAATCGTGCCTCATTCCCTGTCGTACTGGCATCGATTCCAATGCTCTCCCCGTTTTGCAGGCGGAGTAAAGATAAATCGTAGTCTGACAAACACTTTGGTTTTATGAAATCATAGCCACGAATCTGCATACCGGAGGTTAAGCGTTCATCTGCATGGATCTCACCTTTACACCCACAGTTAGTGTATTTCAGACTTCGAAAATCTTGACTGGGCTTACCGATATAGTCTAAGATATGCGCCTTTGCAGGTATCTTCTTTGAGGCAAAAAGGCCAAATTGATTGTATGCTGGATGTGATGGCTCAGTGATATGTCGAATGACAACATAATTGTGATTTTGGGAGGAACTACTGCGCTGAGAGGATTTGGGTCCCTCGTTGATAGTTTTCTTGACCTCTAATGATACAGAAGAGTGGTATATGTACGATTGAGTATATCGAAGATATTTCGGCCAATGAGATGGCTCAACAACGTTCTTGTGAGCTTTCATGGCATTGGCACTGGCAGTGATCCAATGAGTTGTGGCTGAGCTGGTGAGAGTCTTACGTAACATCGGTGAAGCCTCGTTCCTCTCTCTGTCTGCTTTCATCCTCCTTCGAGAATGGGCAGATCCAAATCTGTCGCCCGTGTCTATGCAGACGTAAACTCACGACTCGGGCCATCCTGGCATGAATATGGTAAATATATATCTTTTTTTCCTTGCAAAACTCTTCAAGCTTTGAATTTCGCGTTTGCAGATAATCTTCAGGTTCAATGGGGTTCACAGGATCACTACGAGATTGTGCGTAAAGTTGGTAGAGGAAAGTATTCTGAGGTCCGTATATAATTAATATGCTCCTTTTTATCCTTGTACTGACTTGTTCTTCCAGGTATTTGAAGGAGTGAATGTCGTGACAGACGAGAAATGTATCATCAAAGTGTTGAAACCAGTAAAAAAGAAGAAAATCAAGAGGGAAATTAAGATTCTCCAAAATCTGGCGGGCGGTCCCAATGTTGTTGCTCTCCTAGACGTCGTGCGCGATCCAGCGTCCAAAATTCCAAGTCTCATAACGGAATACGTCCACAATGTCGACTTCAAGGCATTATACCCCAAATTCACTGATTTGGACGTCCGCTTCTACATGTTTGAGCTTCTCAAAGTGCGTCTCGATGCTCTTTCGATATCTCAGTACTTTGCTTATTTTCTGAACGTTACTCAGGCCCTTGACTACTGTCACTCGAAGGGGATTATGCATAGAGATGTCAAACCTCACAATGTCATGATTGACCACGAACATCGAAAGGCACGTCTTACCATTGCCCTCAAACCTGCTTGACCTTTAATCAAACCTTCAGCTGCGGCTCATCGATTGGGGTCTGGCAGAGTTCTACCATCCGAAAACGGAATACAACGTCCGTGTCGCATCCCGATATTTTAAGGGTCCAGAACTCTTGGTCGATTTTCAGGAATACGATTATAGTCTGGACATGTGGAGCTATGGCTGTATGTTTGCTTCAATGGTACGCCGCATTAGACACATCGTTCATTTCATCACCCAACCGCTCCCTTTATATTTCAGATATTCCGCAAAGAGCCTTTCTTCCACGGTCATGACAACTTTGATCAGTTGGTCAAAATTACGAAAGTATTGGGTACTGATGAACTCTACGTCTACATCGACAAATACAACATCACTTTAGATTCCCATTATGATGAACTCATGCAAAGGTACTACCAATCTGTTGCCTTCTCCTTTTCGCTAGTCTCAAACTGGATTTCTTAGGTATCCCAGGAAACCCTGGACGCGGTTCATCACCTCTGAAAATCAACGATATATCTCGAATGAAGCCATCGATTTTCTTGATAAGTTGCTACGTTATGACCACCAAGAGCGGCTTACGGCCCAGGAGGCACAGGCCCAACCTTACTTTGGTGAGCTCAGTTATTGACACAGTCTTTAACTGATACTTACTTTTCCCCCATAAAGATCCAATCCGGACTTCCACGCCAGCCTCTATGGCACATAGAGACAGCGATTCGGCATCTTCAGGATAATTCAAAATCCTCATGTGTACTTTATAGTTCATTTGTTGTATACCGTTTCGTACGTAGACCGTTGCTATTTTCATCTCTCTGTCATTCTGTTATGCGCTGGCTCTCCTCGCGTCTTGAAGTGATTCACATGATGATTCGTGATTACTTTATAGCAGCCAGCCTACCGAAAAACATCCTTATCGCGACAGATGAACACATAGTTTTGTTCTCTCTTATGGGTTATTGAGTTGTGTGTGCCTGTCTACGACTCAAGACAGTCAGGAATGATTCCCCAATTGACGATACCTCGTGCATTTGCCTTCGATCAGCCTCGTCTTAGCGTGGCTTGGGTATTCTTGTATACAATTTTGTTGTCAAATTCTATATCTGGCCGCATGGGACCTAATCAACTTCCATCGCTCGCTGGTACACATAGAACTCCTTAAGGGTAACTCGCCTTGTGCGTCACGGTTCCGAGTCCCAAGAAATACGCGTTGAATCGCTTGCTTCTATCACCCGCTAGATGGAGTATAGAGAAGATTTGTGTATATAAGGTCTGCAGGTATACCTCCAGGCGAGCCCCCTCCCAAGCGCGTTTGCGAATGATGTGGTCCCTCTTTGTACTCTTCGCTCTACTAGGTCTTCCCCTCGGAACACATGCGTATGACGGTTCTCGCTATGACAACGTGAGTGATCCTGGTGCTTGATTCGCGCAGCGCTTTCACTTGATAGACGACTTTCTTAACCTCCTCTTTCCAGGTCGTGGCGTAAGGCGATGGTTCTTGCGCGGAAATCGTGCTTACGGATTCTGTGCATAGGTATTGGGGGCAAAACTCCTACGGTGCCACTCACACGGATGTTGTCAATTATCAACAAAGAATCGGATATTACTGTGGGGTAAGCACAAAAGGCATTGGGTTATGACCTTCATACTTAGAACTAGGATTTCTAGGATGATGCCGTCGACGTCTTTCCAGTCGCTTTTGTGGACGTTTTCTTCTCAACGGGTGACTTGCCTTCTTTGAACTTGGCGGTGAGAATGTTTTTTAGAATTCAATAAACAAACACAACATTAACATCTGCCTTTCAGAACGTGGGTGGTTGATCATCCTCGTTAATCTATTTTTGTCGATGATCCCTCTTGATAGACTTGTAACCCCACGGACAACGCTACTTTCTCTGGAACCTTACTGCCAGATTGCTCAGCTTTGGCTTCTGATATCGAAACATGCCAAGCTGCGGGAAAACTGGTCACCATTAGCCTTGGAGGAGCTAATGGTGGTGTTGGATTTTCCAGTGATGCCCAAGGTACTGCATTTGCGCAGACCATATGGGATTTATTCTTGGGAGGAAGCAGGTAGTGTCAAGTTGAAATCGATTTTTTGCAAGGTTGATGACGGTTGCTCTGCAAGCTCGACGAGACCCTTTGGTTCTGCGGTTTTGGACGGAGTAGATCTCGACATCGAGGGCGGAGGAGGAACAGGCTATGCAGCTTTTGTGACTGAGATACGTTCTCTTGCTAGTGGGGCGAGCAAGCAGTAAGTAGCTCATATATCCGTTAGCTGGATCATGACTCCCAGTTCCTTGCCAGATATTATATCACTGCAGCTCCACAATGTGCGTTCGAAGTTCATGTTGGATTCGATGCTATCTAATCACTTCACGCCAGGTGTATTCCCTGACGCTTCTTTAGGGTCTGTCATTAATGTAGTAGCTTTTGACGCCATCTATGGTGCGTTCCTTCTAACCTTGCACTGAAATAACGAGTTGACTCTTTTGTAGTTCAGGTACCTCACTATGAAATTCACTACTGATCATGCATGCGCTAATGACACATGTAGTTCTACGACAACCCCTGCGGACTTCCCTTCTTCGAGACTACGGTGCGTCTTCCACACAACGACCGTGTTTTGATACATTAAAGCTCATTAATCATTAGACATGGAATTTCGGTGTCTGGTAAATCACACGGACACTCCTTCCGCTACCACGGTGCACTGACTATAGTATAGGGATAACTGGGCTAGGACGACAAGCCCTAACCCCAACGTCAAAGTATTCCTCGGTGCACCAGCTGCGAGTCACGCCGCAGGCACTGGGTACCAGGATCTGGCCACCTTATCTAGCTACGCCGTGCAGATGCGTCAAAGCTTCCCCTCCTTCGGTGGTGTAATGCTTTGGTACGGGTCGATTTACCCTATTGATAATTCATTGTGCTAATCTCGCCTTCTCATACAGGGATGAGGTATGTGATCGCTCTCTGCTGATGATATCAAGCTCACACTTTTGCAGAGTCAGGCATATGGTACGTTTGTGGCAATCACAGCCAGCCCTCTTACAATATAGTATGAAACATCATCCTTTGTAGTGAATGACCGATATGATTTGGGAATCAAGAACGCCTTGGTTGCCGCCGGAGGCACTGGCTTTACCTTCCCTGCTTGCTCGGCCCCTGCGTATGTCGCCGGGACCGCTTACTCTGGCGGCTCCAAGGTTTCTTATGATGGGTGCGCAATGTTCCACACTTCCTTGGTCCTTTCTAACAAAATCGCATAGATACATATACGAGGTAAAACACCAAGCTACCTCTTTCAGGCGTCTTACTCAATGCTACCGTTGAAATTAGGCCAAATATTATGCTGATGATGTACCGTCCAATGACCCAAATGGCGACTGGAGCGCGAGTACGTTTCTGGTGTCGAGCTGAGCTGAAAAGAGGTCTGATATCCTTTCATGAACAGTTAGCGCTTGTTCAGGTGCTGGTGGATCATCGAGTGCATCGAGTGCATCGAGTTCTGCCACGAAGACTACTACTTCCACCTCTCAAACCACTACAACTGTGACTTCAACCACTACCTCTGCATCTTCTTCTCCGACCTCTGGATCTTGTGCGGGGATTGCTGCCTGGACAAGCTCTGTAGCTTACGCGGGAGGCTCCCAGGTCACATACAAGTAGGCGTTTCATTGCGAAATCCAACACCAGAATTAATACCATTCCATAGCGGTGATTTGTGGACATCGCTCTATTGGTCTCAGGCTTCTACACCAGGGGGTCAGTGACATCCTATACTCAATTCCCGTTCGCTCACTATCTTTCGAAAATGTCCCAATAGGCAGCGCAGGAGTCTGGGTGGATGATGGGCCTTGCGTCGTTTCACGTAGAGATGTGCGTTCTACCCCGAACTCCCGCTTTTTCAGGTTATAGTATCTTAGAAATTTTGCCGTTCATCCTATATATGAATTCCGTAGAAGTACTACAAACGCACGCACATCCCTCTGTCTGAAGTGATTGATCAAATAACACAGAAGCATCGAAAATCAGCACGAGACTCCACTTGCAAAGTAAAAGTTGAGAATGAATGAGAAGATCAAGAACTAAATGTGTAGTGACTAAAATTGCTTGCAGCTTCGGAAACAGTTGTCGCAACTCGAGTTGTGAGGTACGTGAGGGTACATGGACATGTTTTAAAGCCATAAATAAGGATACGAGCTGCGGAAACTCATGACATCCTCAGACTCCTGGCCTTCCTTGGAATAGATCTAATTGTGTGACCCAAGGGCTTGCATACTAAAAGGTTAAATCTATGTCACTGGTTATCCACGAACTCCCTGGTCAGTTTGATGCGGAGGAGGATTTCTTTTTCTAAATCTTGGTCGCCGTGGTGGTTGGCGTTTGGGTCCTTCTGGATTTTGATTATCAGACAGGAGAATTGGGGCAAAAGTTTGGGACGTACCCGTTGGCGCACCAGGAGCTTTCGAGATTTGCACGGTCGGCATCGAAGAACGGATGCCTTTGGGGCCAGAGCTCGCTGTGGGAAGCGCCGGGTTCGTAGGTAGCGTTGAACTCCCAACCAAATTTGTTGGACCGTGATTATTGATATTTTTTGGTATGAAGTTCGTACGGCGTTGGGCACGACCCCCCGTATTATCGATTCGAGGTGGGGCACGAGCCACGTTAGGGGCTACGCTCACACTGTCATTCGGAGCACGAACGACTTCCGAATCTGTTTTAGCACCTCCATTTTGAGCTGCTTCCTCCTTCATTTTCTCCTGCCTCCGCTTTTGCCTTGCTATCCTCGTCTCCTCCTTTTCTTTTGGTGTCTTTCGCGGCGGCATCGGGCCTGGGTCGTATTCTGGATTAGACGGATTCCAAATGATCAGCCCACGAGGTTGATCGCTTCCTACGCCTTGTAGATGAAGAGCTATTTCATCCTCGACAGGGTAGAAGGTCGGAAGAATAGTATATCCACGAGGTAATTCCGTATCTTCCATCTGTTCGCCGAGTAAGGTCCGTCTGTTGTCCCCGCAACAGTTATACAAAGTTCCTCGAATACAGTCGAAGGCATAAAATTTCCTCTTCGGTCTTCGAGTCGGTTCCAGAAGGCTGAAAAGTCTGATCAAATGCGTATAGACTACGGAGCCTGCGTACGCGTCCAGAGCAGCATCTAAGCAAAAGCAAGATGAGAAATACTCCTCTGCTTAACACGTAAAGATCCACACACAAGTGACCTGAGCTGGAGATAACTCTAAATCCCAATTACTTCGTGTTATCTTACCCTTGGTAAGAACAATCCCTTCATACGTTTCTGCCAAACGGGCAAGACCGATCGAGGATGAATAGGAACCTCGAAACAGGCGGCGGAAGTGTGGTCCAAGGAAAGTTTCGGAGGCGTAAAACTCCCAAGGTGAAGTTGAATCTGGGGGTAAAGACGGTGGAGTGAAAGCCGATGACAGGAGCGGAATACCCGCGTATCTATCCAAACGTTCCGCGAACAAGCCAGAGTCCACGCATTTCACGAAAAGAGAAAGGTCCACACAAGAGTTAAGACATATCCTGAGGTCCTTGAATAGTTTTTTGGCATCATCTACATGTGTTATGAATTCAGGATTACATGATCAACCTCAAGGAGACGTACTTTGTATTCCTACACCAACTTTCACGATCCGTGGATTTTCCAGTATTTCCGCTAATCCGTCTGGCAGGTTCCTCATCCATCTGACGTGAACGACATAAGACGCTGTTTGAAAGGCGATTTGAATGACCGCAATAGGGTTTTCCGCTTCACCCGGCCTGTAATTGGGTTTCCACTCAAGATCAAAGCCGATATGCGGAGGAATGAAGTTTTCTGGAGAGCGAAAGGACTCGTATGCTGCGGCATTCAGGCTGTTTGCCATATGTCGAAGGGTTATTGATGCCTGAGATTCATCTTTCAGGTAGTACGGCGTTATAGACGATGTCGATAAAGGACCAGGACTAGCGGGATGCGAATAGCTGGACATGAGAGTTTGGAAGATGGCAGTCAATTGAAGGCAGTGAAAGGCTTTTTGCAATTATGATCGTGTTTGACTATCAAACTGTGGCTCCACGTTATTAAGTGCACGACTGTCTATGTCTCCAAAGATGGCCGCATCCATGTGGGAGTGAATGCGAGAGTAGGTCTTCCAAGCCAGCGTTGGCTGGCTTGTGCTAGATTGTCGGTGATCCGGCCCGTTTTGCTCATCGGCTTGGGCTCTACTCAGGCTCAATTGCAAGTGACTCTCTCACTACTAATGCTTTTCCTTTCATCCGTTATCATGAGTACGTGGCTCCCTATAATGGCATACCTTTTGCTCATGGGTACCAATCATTTTGCTAGTAGCTCTTGGCGAGTTACCAAGCTATCCCGTATCTCGAAAGAAAGCATTTGAAGCCTGAGAAAACCATGATCTAATCTCACAACAATCAACCGACTTTCGGGTCTAGAACTGCACCTACCACAGGACCACCATTGTCAAGCATTGTCAAGATGACGTTCTTGGCAAGACATGTTCAATCACGCCCAGCCCAGGTCTAGCCATGCATTGTAAAACAACTGTTCACTGTGTGTTCCGATACTTTTGCAAAACTAGTTTCTGTCCGGATTTCAAGTGAAGGATAGCACAGTCTTCGATTTTTCTCTTCTCAACTCGAACATTCACGGGCGACGGCCAACTCCCCTTGCTTTCGGTCCTGCACACGTTGCAGCGGGTTGCAATTAGTGCTGTCCGTACTGCCACAACTTCCGTACGCGTGTTCTCGCCTTCCTATCGACATATCATTAGAAAAATGGTAGGTAATTTAGGCTTCGTTGACAGAAATTTCAAAAATACTAATTAAAGAATATCTCTAGTTGGCTACGATAGAATCAGATAGAATCTGTACGAGTGGAACCGCCTTCTCAGCGCATATATTGTACTGTGGAACCGTCTTCGCTGCTCCCGCGATCATCATCGGAGCAGGTCCCTCATCTTAATTGATTTGGACTGCCTGCTATCAACATTTACGCTGTTGGAGTCGAATGCTGCATCTCCCCTCGTCTCCTGGCAGGATGAAGATTGCAAGGCTATATTCGGTCTTCCTAAATTCTTGATACTCAATAGAATCATGTGGACCGATAGAAATTAGACCTTATCGCTCGTCCGTTCATCCTATTTAAGCCATTTCCTGCCAGACCTGATGTTGATTAGTGTTGATTAGAGCGACAGAAACTAATGATTGCGATACATGCAGCAAGGATATTTTTGTGTATCTAGACACTCCATTCCACAATAATTACCTACCCAGCCCCAATGTTTCTGATACAAGGTATAGTTAAAAAAGGATTCAAGAGACCTGTTCACTCAGACGTGTACACACTGACCGGGATCCTGGATGGAGCTGACATGAATAAAAATAATTCCGTTGCATCTTTGTTTAGAAAAAAGGCTTGGTACGATTCGTAAAAGCTCTTGGCGCATTCAGCTAAAAATACCAAGAATTTGAAAACCGCCACCCATACCAAATTGTTCTTGGCGGATATTTTAAGTTAAAAAGCGACAGTCAATCGGGATGAATTCTCCCCACTCCCTTCCGACCTTGACCTGACCTTGACCAAAATGCCCACCCTCTACAACGATAAATCCCAAGTGATTGTGTCGGCGTTAAATACACTGGACCAGGTGATTCCAATCATATACATATCTCGATGTTCTCACGTATTGACTTTCTTACCTTCTCTGTTATAGAAACCACCACCATCGTTGCGAGAAATTCTGAGCGCTTACCGCTCGAAAGGCGATGGAGACAGAGATATGCTTCTCGCTATGCTGAATGCAAAAACTGCAGAGGATCGGAGAATCGCAGAGACTTCGGCTTTACATCGAACTATCATCGAAACTTGCAGCCATGAAATATCTTCACCGAATCTCCCTCCTCTGGTATATCCAAATTTATCTTCCCAACATTCTTATCAGGCTCGACTTTCTACGCTTTCGTCGGGACTTCCTCATGATGACCGAGAGTCACACATGTCCAAAAGCCGCTCCTCACGCTCTCCACCACATCATCATACCTATTCTCCGTATAACCGACCTGTATCTCGGGATTCTCCCACTCCTCCTTTGCAAATGCCTCCCTCGCCGTACTCGTCTGCATCAAATCCTGATTCAAATTCTTCCCCGAAATTAAAGGAGCGTGGAACAATGCCCATATCATCCATGCTGCTCAGTAAAGAGAGCCTGCCACGCACCCAGCCCTCGCAGGATACTTCAGACGATGGTCGTCTACACAAAAGGATATGATACTTCGCTGTGGGGATTTTGTATCATTATTTTGTTCGATTTTTTGGGGGGACTATGTCGTCTATCGTCTTACTGCATTGCATTCCTACTTTACCTCTGTGCCATTGTTATACCTAAGCTACCTACCTACATATCTTGACCATGTACTATTTCTTCCGGAGCTTTTCCTCAGCACCATGCGACACTCCGCTCATCTTGCATCATTTCCATTGCATATCCTGTATTAAAATCATGATTCATTTGGTGACACCCTGCATGGAGGTACCTGTGTCTGACGCGTTTCCGCTATGAATAGGTAGGTCCAAAGATACTTCAGGCCCGACCTGCCAAGAATGACTTTCGGAGCCGGTGTGTCCATACGTACTTCCCGCAATCTGCTTGCTTGGTACTCTTGGAATAGAGCGTACCTTCGGACTACTGTATAATCTTCTGGGGATAAGTCATCAAAGATTCAAGGGGCGCCCTGGGACCTCCTGGGACTTGGATATCTTGGATCCTGAGACTGAGCTGGTGCCAGCCTGGATACCTTTCGTCTGCCAATCAAATCCAGTGACCAAGATATGAATAACCTTGGCATAACCTCTTATAATTATTGTGTCCAATTACGATGTGCAGATTCATCGTAGTGCCGAAGTTGAGCCGGGTATATCTTTTAGGCTTTGAAGTTTTTCTTATCCGGATGTGGAGGACCAGGGAAAAGAACATTGGGTTGTGTAATTCCGTCGACATACAATGATGTGTCTGTGCCTTTCTGTGCGTGCCCAACTCCCTTCCGAATAACCGAACAGAATTGGTGAGATGCCTCGCCTGATAGTCCGAGAATATGGCATTGAAGAAAGGCTAGGAACCTCAAGTGTATCTTACACGTGAGTAAGATTGAATCAGAAAGACTCTCAGCGAGCTCGAGGACGTGCAGGGGGGTGTATGCTCACAAATACATCTTCTACGACAAAAGGAGAATGGAATTGCAAAGATGATATAGAGCAACCCGTACTATATATTTGAGGAGAAAGACGTCGTCGTCGTTGTCCGCTGTGAGCACTGTGCGTCCTGGCCCGAAATATCGGAGTCGGTGCACGTGGTGACAGTGGCGCAGCTCATTATGTCAGCACACCGAGAAAGGAACGGTTCTTTCACTCAAGTTTCGCTCTCCATTCGGTTCTTGCCAGGTTCTCGCTTTCACATGAGGATGGCGACTTGGAATTCCGAAGATGAATTTGACCAGATGCCCGACGATATAGACTTTGCTGCCATCGGAGAGGACCAATGGAACGCAATACAGATTCAGAATTCTTCAACACGTGTACAATCCAATGTACATGCCATAGATATTTCCGCAAACTCTCAACCGCCTATATCATACGAAGGGCATCGCATCGCAGAGACACAAAGCGCTGATATTACAGGTATATGCATATATTCATCTCCTACTCGTTCGAATCCGACCTGACGGCCAACCTACGATCAGTGCCCCAATTCGTGCAAGGCTCCTCCAATTTGTATCCTGAGCCAGTTACTGAAACCAGAAGAGCGATTACTCCTAGTAGTGTCTACTCCTCGGATGACGCTGATGAACTCGATGATGCCTTCTTCCAGCAATTGGACGAATTAGAGAACCAGATTATTAATGGGTCTAGCGCAACAGCGCCTGCCGCTACGAGTGAGTCCCTGTCTCATTGTGGGGGGAGCTTAACAACTTCCATTCCACGGACGTTTTCTGTTGAATCGTGATTGTTACCCTCAAACTTATTTACATAGTTATGCAGTGCCTTCCGAAATTAGTGTCACACCAGAACCTTCTTTCAGCAACGTTTATGACACAGAGATAGACTCTCCTCCAATGAAACGTCGTCGCCTCGAAGACTGCAATGAGAATTCTGAGACACCTTTGAAGCAGAGCATAAAAAAGTTCGAGGGTGATTGGGCGGAACTGTTAGATGAATACGACGATGAACTTAATTGTCCAGTGTACGCATCTTCTCTAACCTTCTCTAACGAAAGAATCCTTATAACTCAAAACATCCTATATGATATACCTATATAGATGCTGTGATATATTGTGAGTCTGGCTCTTGCTTCTTGCATGATTGACTAAACCATTCATGGTAACCTCAATCCTTCTTCGCGAGTAGAGTTGCGGCACACCTGGTCAACGGTTGTGGGCATACACTGTGTGGATCTTGTGGCTACCAATGGATCGTGGAGAAGGTTAGTTCATTTCCTGATCTTCTGAGTAGGTTTTTTGACATTGCAATGTGTTGTAGTACCGAAATACGTGCCCTGTGTGTCGTGCAAAATGCCACGCCCTCACTCCTCTAATACCCAATATAACCGCCGACAATTTTGTTCATAAACACCTCCGTGTCCGCGCGAGGCTTGGAGATAAAGACTGGGAAGTGGGTGGGTCGAAACTTCTGGAATGGCAAGGCAGGAAAGAGTGAGTGCTTCGCACAGGTGTTTTGCATACAACCTTTTACACATATCGATCTCGCTAGTAAATGGAAGAACGACTGCGAACAGCGCACTCGGCGATCGAAGAAAATGCCATCTAATGTAATTCGACCTCGAGTTGACAACCTGGGGCAGCTGGCATATACGAACCGTTTTCTTTTCTGATAACATTGTATGTAGTAAAGATTGTATCCTTATCTTATTAGTGTATCGTCGACAGGACCGAAATGAATAAATCGTGACGTCAAATCCTTCTGGGCCTTTACCTTGAACGGCCTTGACGAAGTAATTTACCCAGGGTGGTTACCTGTTTTCAACCATCCCAGAATTTTACCTCCCCTTTATCCCCATCTCTTTCGAGGGCCATGGTCATCTCATTCATCCCAGCCATTGACGAAGTCGCTCATGTTGCCATTCCAGAATGGCACGCGACTGACTCTACTGTTGAATTGCGCTTTTCTGCCGTCCTTGGAGACGAAGAATTTCAGCAATTTAAGAAGAATGGCATGAAAGTACAGGTCTGGTCTAATCTTCCTCTTGGTCGAAGGAATGAAGGAGAATGGGGAGAGATAGATCTGCACGAGGCTGACGAGCCCGCCTCCGACGGCTCTTCCGATGACTCTCAGATATCGCTTGTAGCTCTGGAGGACGTCAAAGCCAAAGCAGAGAATCTTCTTTTTGCAATTTGCTCCGTCCCTTTTTCTGGAAGCTCTGATGACTATTACTCCTTCACCTATCGGATTGTCTATCCCTCCGGAGAAATCCATTGGCTTGGTCAGTTCGGCCAAAATGGAATGGTTCATATCAATACTGCCTCGAAAAACGATTCTGGTATCGTTTTTGAGGAAGGATTGGTAGCAAATACTGCGCCTTTTGTTTGGAATACACGTGGGAGGCAGGTGGAAGACCTTCTAATCGCACAAGTCGCCCACCCAGAAGATTGGTCTGTATGGACTGTTGGAAAAGATAGGCATGTTTTTTCTCTTTCTCAGCTTCCGGGTTCAGTTGATGCTCATACTTTCTAAATAGCCTGTTTAAAGGTCCCGCAACCAGTGCTTCTCTGGTTTTGCTGGTGCCCCACGTCCGACCCTACGCGGTACATTGTCCCAAGACTGTTCTACTCAGTGCATCATCTGATACATCTATCTCCGTGAACGCTTCGGGAAAAATACAGGCTACGGGTCCAGGCTCCTTGCTTCTGCAAACCTTCAATCCCGCTGGTTTCGCAGAATCATTTCTCGATAAAATCTTTGCCCATAGCCCCTCTCTCAATCATCGACTCTTCGGTGTCTTTGGGGATTATATTGGATTGACTTCTTTTTCTGCAGGTTCATCAGTTCAGGCAATTCTTGTTCCGCTTATACCCTCCGGCTTTGTTTCCCAGATCGATATCGCATCAGCTTCTTTGGCAAGCATATTGGACACAAAAACGGCAGAGTACACTATCTTTTCTGATGCTCGGCCAAGTGTTCAATTTGCTCATCCTGAGTCTGGATTGGTGCGATTTTCTGTTCCGTCTTCTGGAGGGCTTTTTCTTCTCACTCCGCTTTACCGCATTTCTACTATCTCGAGAAATTTGGAAGCTTCGGGCCCAACGCCGGGAAATCATCTATCTCTCAGTGTATTGTCTCCCCATTCGATTGCGGGAGTCGCACCAGTAGAAGATACGGTTCTTCCAACTCCGCCTCCTTCTCCTCATTTACATCCCATCGCCCATTTGACGTCACCTTCTAATCACTCGACCTCATCAATTTCGGAACTCGATGAGCAGGGTGCAATCTCTCCCACCAATGATATCCAGAAGGATGCTATCGTATTAGAATCTGCCTCGTTGCGAACCCTTCGTCCTCCGATTGACCGCGATCAAGTATCTGTATTAACACTCACCCGCCAATCATCTCCTTCGCTCCTGATCGAAGCACATCGGGAGAATAGGCAGAACATCCTTGTTGCGTTCATGAGACACCTCTATCTCGCGCTGATTCTCTGGTTCTCGATGGTTTTCCGTGAACTCGTCGGTGGCTCAGCTTCCGATGTCAGGGAGGACTCGCCGGTGGAACAGAGCTCATCTCAATCAATTCCGGATACAGCTAATAGTTACGGTTTTTCACCTGTCAACGAACACACTCCGCTGTTATCTCGCGTGATTCCGCCTTCACCAGTGGATGAGCCTTTGATTCAAGCTTCGGCTCCCCCTGCCTCTGTTGTTGCGCCTGTTCCGTCGCAGACTATCTCATCCCCTCCGATTCTGGTCCAATTTGATTTGCTCGATGCAAAATCGGGGCCCCGTGGGTTAGTTTTCCGTGACACCAGTGGTTCGTTGACAGGGGACAATCTCTCTGACAATGTAGTCGTCGAGATTAACGAACAAAATGTTCCTTTGAACAATGAGGTATGGCTCACTAAAGGTGTGCTCTATCTCGGTATTGATGGGGAGAAACCTGGGCGGGTGAACATCAAAATCACATCCAATTTCTTGTGAAATCGGTGTAGTTATCTCATGTACGAGTTATGTAACATGTTCAGTGTTGTAGACATTTCTTGGATTTATGTTTGTACTGTAACTGTAACGTGTACCTCGGTCATGGCCTGTAAAGCAGTTCATACTTAGAAGTCTCGGAATTGCATTGTTGTTATATTTCATTCCAATACAATCATGTTTCAAGGTATTGCTTTTAGCTTAACGGTAGAAGTCGCTTGAGTGTTCCTGATCATCGACCTCTCGTTCAAGATTTCTGCGGTTATTACTATAATTCAAGACAGTCTGATTAACTATGTCGTCCAACATTTCTGCAGGTAAGTCGAATTCCGACGTTCGGACAACAGCAGTGTACGCAGCTGCAAAAGAGCTAGGTGATTAGGAATCAAGGAAAATAAGGCTACGCACCATCTTCGATTTTGGACAAGGATTGAGCGGTCACGACTTGCTTTTTGTGCAGTTCCCATACATAGGGCGTGAATCTTTCAAAGTCTGCGATTGAAAGGCATCAATCAATCAGACAATTTCACTGCGTCAAAGGTGAGAATACCACCTACCTGATTTACAATTTCTGACAAAGATGCAAGTCTCCAGGGCTCTTGCGCGCCCACCTGGACGCCCGAATCCAGAGATGGCAAACCTCATGAGTTCACCTAAATACACACCGTCGTCAGTCTGATATCATTAGTTTGGAAATTACTCACCAGTCAAATCAGAAACCCCAAGAAGGTAATCAGAAATTGTCAAAGGGAAGAACTAAGTAGGTGAACTGTATCAACATGATAGCTTTTGGCTACGATACGTGACGGCAAAGCAAAAACACATACAGCTATTCCATCCGCGCCACATAGAGTTGCTTGCACCTGCTCGTACGTGATTAGGCCCCCATGTTCCAGAAAATGTGCAAAGCTCAATGCTTCGATGTATTCTTGTAGACCAGGAGAAACCTGCCGTTCATAACCTACATCCAGATGCACATGAATCTCAAGCAGTTCTCTGAGATTCAGGAAAAAGGTACCAACGCCAGTACTGATCGCCAGCCAACTCATCTTTCATATCGGCATACAATTTTTGCACTTCAGTTAGTTTTTTAAGGCCCGTCTTGGAAGCATCGGCACGTGCAGATGCATCCTGGGCTTCCAAAGCGAGTCGATGTAGCAGGAATATGGTTTTCTTGGATATGTTTGTTATGTCGCGACTTGCCTAAAATCCATGAAATTAAGACCTAGATAACTATCAAATAAGACAAGCACTTTAATGAGCCTCTCTCTGCGGTCATGATAGTCGTCAAGTAAATCCCTGAAGAACAAGAATTGGTTGTGGATAGATGAAGACATGCTCATTGCCGGAGAAGCAATTACCAAAAAAGGCTCCGTGAGACTCCGCTTTGATTACGGTCCTCGATATGCTTTATGACGTTCTAATTATTTAGATTTTTATTCGCTGTTACTGCTTCCATGGCGATGTTTGCTCCTAAGCCTGGTTGTCCGCTTTGTGGGATTGTCGCTTCTGCTCTTCCAACCCCGTCAAACTCTTGGCGAGCACCAGCTTTCTCGAGCGATCCTAGCAACTCAACAAATCCTGAACTGCTTTGGAAAGACCAAGATTTTACCGTGTATCGAGAAAGATTACAACCAGTGTCTTCAAAGGGTCATATCATAATTGCTTTCAAGTTTGTGGTTGCTTATCTCCCGTTGTTCATTTGTACTCAGCCGTCCTTTCGTCAGTCTTCATGTTCCCTCACTTTACGACTTGGTATACTCATAAAACAATTACATCGTTAAATTCTAACCAATATACTTGCTCATAGTCATCCACGGACCTTCCTCTCCTAGTGAACATTCGAAATCTCGCTACTAGGCTGCTTGCGGCGCTCGATGCACCTTCCGAATTACCCAACACACAGTCTTCTTCATCGCCTATACACGAAGGAAACCCTCGGTTTCGCGTTGGCTTCATAACACCTCCGTTCAAAGACAACAAGATTCCTGTTACGGATCATCTACACGCGCATGCATACATCGAGCCATCAGACCTCATGGGCTGGTGGAGGGGTTTAGCATATGGATCGTTAGCATGGTATGCTATTGACGACTTGATTGCAGAGATTCGGTGCGTTCTAGGCCCTTTTCATTGTTTTTATGCTCAGTTTCATCTCCCACAGAGAAACTGTTTCCAACAACCGTGTCAAATCTGGTTACGGGAATCGTCAGAATGCACCTATCGACAAAGTGCCGCTAGCTGGGGCGAGGAGTGGAACCGCTGATGGCGTGGAGACTAGTGAACCTGGATTACCCCGAACCGAACGTGACCTCGAAGACGGAGAATCACCATCTCAAACACCAACATCCGCTCAAGCAATGCTTGTGTCGCAGCATCCCTTACGAACATAATTTCCCGACGACAGAGGGAACTGCCTTTCTGTAAAGTTTACGGATACATTGTTGTACATTGATAGAATATAGGGTCTCTTTAGTTAAAGTAGATACGCACGCTACAAAGCAAGAAGATATGATAGATCTTGTTAGATACAGATTACCTATGCATTTTATGCATCTACACCAAAATCCGTGGTAAGCACGTCACACAAATGAATAGACAAAGACCTACAGTAAGAGGAACCGGTGAGGAGTGTGGACAGCGCAGCGAGCTGTTGGTCATCAAATTTCTTCGAGTCTTCGTGCCAAGTATCTTGGTGGGTTTTCTTGAAGTTCCGGGCACATTTGCGGACTGTGGTAGAAATTGGAATCTATGGATGATTGAGTAACTGTCCTGAGAATCGGAGTACATGACGCTCACCGGATCGTAAGTGTGTTCTGCTAATACGTTTGTTAATAGTTCAGGCATCCATTTCTCTACGGTGTACGGATAACTGTCTACCAGCGCGCAAATGCCCAAAATAGCAGCATGTCGTTGTCGAACACATTTGTTGTAGGTGGGGTCTTTTTTAGAAGGAATATGGCTGTTCCTTGCCAAACGCACGAAACGGTTCTATTGAACGATGATCAACTTGATTTTCCAATCACGACAATGAGAAGGCGCACCTTCAAAGTGAGAACACTGCTACGGGGTGATAACCGCAACACCCCGGATAGTGTGCTGGAGAGTCAAATTTGTTCAGGGAAGGAAAAGGAGAGAAAGAACCATGATTTGACTCACGTCGCGGCCATTTCTCGTACCTCGACCACCTCATCGTCCAAACATTTACCCAGAACCTGTTCACTTTGACGTGAGAAACACTACACACCCAGAAAACGACCTCACCTCGAGCATTTGGACCACTTTAACGTCCGAAATGAGGGGCATTTGTCGGAAATAGAATACTAGAGGTGGTATTAGTGCCCGACGAGATTACCAAGAGAGAATGCAATCACCTTGGACCAGAGGAAGTGCCTTCAATCGTACTCGCCACGACTACCGAAATATTAGCATACAGATCAGTCACTCGCAACATCGGACGTACAGGAGATGATTGAATAGCTTCGAAGATCGTGTCCAAGAGAGGATGTATTAGGGGCCGAGGCGGGCTCACACCACACATCCTTACGAGGAGAATGTTGGCACGATTCGCTAATTCGTCGTTATCATTCACTACACAAGGATGAAAATACTGCATAAATATATATATGATTGTCGACAGACCTTCGGTGAAATGGAATAGCTCAGGCTAGAATGTCAACATCAGCTTATGAATGAGACCTCAAGGACAGAAACATACCATGAGAGGAAGGATGTAGTCAAACACACATACGGCGTTTGTATCATGGACCACTTGAAAGAGCCATCTGCACACGAGGATAGCGACCCTATCATACTTTGACTGAAACGCTCGAACTCCAGATACTCGCTCCTCTCTCCAGATTTTGAAGTCCCTTACAAGCTCAGCCACTCTACCCTGGTTGTAGTTACCCCGCACGCCCATGATGTCATAATCTACAGGTAATGCTCTGCATTCTTTAGCAAAAACTTCAACAGTTGGTAGAGATGGTCGTGGTTGCCACTATGCTTTTGTTATCAGTAGATACCTATGTATTCAGCGATCGAAACACACATTGATCTTGTCCGCAAACGCCAAAAGTTCTGCAATATATGACCGAACCTAATTCGAGTTTAGAATGTACGAACGCTGTTTTTTTTAGTGAACTTACATCGTCATGATCACTATGAAGTTCGCGCCAGTAGCGATCCACAGCGTCATCCAGCCATGCCAAAGACTTCCAACCAAGTTCTTCATAGCATGACCTGAACAACGAAAGGAACTTGATGGCATCGAAAGATAGCTCAGTGTTGAGGTCCGCGGTCTCGAAAAGTTCGAACAAATAGTCCACCAGAGGTTGAACACGCCGAGGGTCAGTTTTGTAGAAGATGTACTAAGGTGGACAATTTTCAATCCATCGCGGTAGATGTGAGATGAGATCGGTTTGCGAACCTCAAGGAATGAGGACCAAACTCCCACTGTATCGCTTTTTAAATTTTGATTGAAAATAACTTTGAAATAGGGTTTGAACCACTGCCAGAGTTTTTTTTGCTTGATTAGGGGCCAGTGCTTCGAGCCTAGGCTGGATTTCAGTAAGACGTTCACATAGAATACGAGCAAGCGCACCTCCGATTATACCTGCAGCAATTTCAGCGGCAGCACGCTGTTTGTCAACATCCTTGTCTTTGAGCAATTCATCTAATATTGGCTTGACCGCCGGTAACGGCTCGTCTTCCAGTAATTGGACTACGGAGACATGAATGATTTAATCTGGGAGTGATGATCCACTCACATAAAGACTTAATGCAGGAAACGTTATCTTGGGTCATGGATGTTTCGCTATTTTCTTCGGACAAATATTTGTTGAGCTTCTCCCAGAATTCTGGACGGGTGGCGATTTGAGAAGCCGCGGATACTGCCTCCTGACTTGCAGATTCCCAAGGTAAGAGTGAAGAGTGAGTGGGATGTGGAGGCTCGTAAAGGGATATCGAACGACCCCAAGCTATCCAGCCCTGTGGGTTCTTGTCACAAAATAAGCTATCATCGGGGTCAGCTTATCGATTTACAGAAAAGATCACAACACGAACAGATCCTGGTTAATGTCTATAAAATATCGGTAATCTTTCGAGAACTTTTGCAACAAGGCATGGGATGGGTTATCCACCACCACGGTTTGTTTCAGGGGATTCTGATTCCGGCCCAAATAAAGATCTTCAGGACTTGTACAAAATGTTCGTAGCTTGAGTGTCCGCGTAATTTTCAGTATAGCACGTTGTGCGTACTATTCGTATGAATGAGTACTCTGCCACGAATGAGTAAAATATGACTGGACACACGTAACGCTGCATGAACAGTTTCAGCTTGTGAGCATACGTAGGGCTCGAAAGTGCTCACAATGGTAGGTTGACTGTCGTGAACGGAGTCGAGGAAATAGGTCATTTGAGCCGATGTCAATGGCTTATCTCTCCTTACAAGAGTACGAAGACATCTCATTGCAACTATTGCGTAACGCCAATGGGTTTTAGAAGAGTTTGCGATTGCTAAGACCGCTTTATGCTGCGACATAGTCAGTTCCACGACGTCGAAAGCATTAAGCAGGATCGCGCACCGTACGGTCCGCGGCTTCATCCTGACGTTGAATCCGGTTCACTCGGTTGCTTCTACACTTATCGGTGATAAGCTCGTCCTCGGGTTTCACTCCTAGACAAGCCTTGAATTCTGTCAAAACTTTGTGCAAGGCTGGGGTGGAGACGTCGTAAACCAGATTGTTTGGTTCAATGAAAGTCCCAAGGCCTGAAACACATGAATATGTTCATTTCGTCAAATGTTAACAGCTGGTTTAGAGAAATCTGACGCACAAGTGTCGAAGACAGTAGACACACAGCTTTGAATCGAAGTCTGAGATAGTTAGTCAGTTCGAAACTCGTTATTCGGAAATGTTTTTGGTTGTTCGTACCTTTTCATTAGATTGACAGGCCAAAAGCTTGGTAAGTAAATCGGTAGCGAGAGTAGGTTCTAGATATCGTTCTAGTACAGTGTAAATGATTGCATTTATGAAAAACAAACCTGAAATGGCATATTTGCCAAAAGATGAAATATTCAAAGACCAAAGTGCTCCTTTCATACGATCGTCATCATCGGTATCAAACTCCAAAGCATGGTAAAAAAGCGGAAGGGCCCTTCGTCGAACGCCGTCGTATGACTGTTCCAGTGAGCTGCATTATGACGTTCGGCTGAGGAATGGACTTACTAGAGAGAAGCTCTCAAGAAGAGACTGACTGGAACTGGAAAGCGCCGGTGAGTTTCATGCTGACGATAAAATAGAAGGCTACTATACATTCGCACTTTGGCATAATGCCACATTGACCACTGCGTCACATCGTCAATCAGGGAATCTTCTAAAGGTCCCCGTAATCGGTCGATCGAGTTCCATCGTAAACGCGCTGAGTGATAAAATCTAAGCATGAGGAATGTGAGTGCCTGAGTGCCGAATCAAATAAGCTCTTACCTCGCTCGTCGGACATAAACCGCCCTTGGCCAATCTCTACAGAAATAGTAGTCAGCGGGTAAATCAACCTCAGAATCCAGGAATTTACCGTTGCTGAGCATACAGGCGTGATACATTCTTCGTCGATACGTACTGATCCTCGTTGACAAAATAACTTCGGGAAACACTTAGAAGAGCGGCTTGCAGTTAGACAGCGTGAATGCATACCCATCTCTACTATCTCCATACTCAAGCATGTAAGTTCGGATGGACCGCAACTGGGGGAATGCGATAAGCAAATTCGTAGTTGTCGCCAACAGATTCGATACGAACCAGCATATGCACGGCGTCGACGGTATTCTCTTCGCCCTGCTGTCGGAGAGAAACCGAAGCCCTATGAAGAAATTCCCCGAATCTCCATCGCAATCCGGACATATATTGATGTCGGGGGTCGCTAGGGTCGGTCAAACAGAAACCCGCATTCAATGCCTCAAGAGAGGCTAACATTTCTGGAATTTCATCCCTAGTAAGTGGTGAGTTTTTTTGCTACATGATGGGAAAAGTGAATTTCACAAGATGTCGCTTGTTTCGGCTGCGTATGCAAGATCCTCCGGACGAACATGATATTTCATCAAGGTCGGTACACCTCCAAAGGCATAACGAACCAAACTTAGATGTCTGCAAGCAGGTCAATGCTGAAATAAGTATTCCATAAGGTCAGGGGGGGGTCACCTGCAAAAATCATTGCGCCATAATGCATCTCTATCGTCACCTGAAATGAATTATCAATAGTAGTACTGGCTTATAAACAACAATACATACCAGATTCCGATAGTAAGTGCTCCAATGTTGCCAGTGTAGGCTCTATGAGTTTCTTGAAAACCTCAATAGCGAAGTCGATCTCTTCATCGTCAGGAACATGCCAAGAGATCTGGGGCTACTCTCACTATGAGTTTCACATGCTGGGAAGATGCACTTACAGTCACATCTTCCTTAGCGTATAGTTTTCCCCAATGCTGATGATGTGTTTGGCGAAATTCTAACGGGTGGTTTCGTCAACGCTGTACGTCGACCTTTTAAAGTTCGCACCTTCACTTTCCCATTCCTCTGGGTTTACAAACTTGTTTTCATACGGATATGTATGCGTGAGTGTCAACAGCATGCTCGAAAGGAATTTTCCAGTCCACGAGAAACCGCGCTTCGAGTAAATCTTAGCATGCAACAACTGCACCAATGACAGCAATTCGTTCCTATACTTAACCACCTGGATCATTGATTTAAATCTCCTCTGTCGTAAAGGATAAAAGGTTCAACTCACAGCCCGGCCGTCGCTATTTGCCAAATTTATTCATGAGTGCTTGTGAGGTCGAGGAGAACCACTCACTTGAACACAGTCCCCCGGAGTATTGCAAGGTCTACAAAAAAGGGGATGATTCAGCACGGAGTTGTCGCCTTAGCAATGATATCATACTCCAATGCAACGTCGCATCCGATGGGATTGGGATAGAGGATGAAGTTGTCCGCAACGAGCCAGCTCCATTCTCGAGCTCAAGTCGAATTTTATGCGCACAGAACGGAAAGAACATCGCCAATGTTTTATCAGGATTAGCGTTAGCAACGCATTCAACCAGCTGATGTATGGCTCGGACAGCATTGGTTCGAACATTGGTGCTTGCGTAGTCGAACACCATCTTCAGCACTAGATCATAGAGAGGCTCAGAAAGATGAACACAGATTTGGCTGCAGGCGCCAACAACAGAATCAACAACTTGAGCTGGAAATATATAAGTAAGGGGGTACAAAGAAAGGAAAGACGTTACCTTCGGTGGTACCGCCCGATTTCCCATCAGGGCCTTCTTCTGGAAGATTTTCCATGAGCTGAATGACTCGTCGAATAAAATTAGCGAGCCAATCCGCAAAGCTCGCAGTCGAGTCCTGTGGGTCGTTCAAGTGTGCAGAGCAGTTGATTCAAAGAAGGTCATATATACCTTCAGTAGCGTGTCTTCTTCGTCGGGTGATAACCGAGACTCCATATCTGATACCAGATCCCCGAATCCATTGAGTTCGAAAGAGGGAAGCTTTCCAGATGATTTCGCGAATTCGTTCTGCTGCGGATTGTGTTCTGTAGGTGTCGGTATTGTTCCCGATGTATCACTCAGATCACTGAACTGGATGTACTGTGATATCTCTACCAAGAACGCGGTAGTACAAAGAGTTTTGGACGGATCATTCTGAAAGGTATTTCAATAGTAGCTCATTATGGACAAACTAATGGACGCCTACTAAGTCAATGCCTGGAATCAGTAGATCCAGAATAGGAATCAAGTACTTCGCTCCAGGGTAATAGACATCGCGGCAAACGATAGCTGGAGCCACAGCTCCCAAAGCTTTGATGACCGCGATCGTCCTTTGTGTCTGGTTCCACAGTCATAATCAACAAGAGAAACAGAGAAGAAAAGGATGACTCACTTCAGTCAAAGCTTCTAAAGATGGGATAGCGCGCTCGAGAATAGGATGGAGAATCAGATCCGGCTCCATTACACACATGGATTTCAGACAACTCTGGATGTTAGATACGGTCCCGGAATCTTCGGAAAACATGGCAAGTAAGACGACGGTGCGGAGGGACTTTACCAGCTCTCTCTTCATCGCTCTCGATAATCGCCGGTTCTATGATATATGGTGTAAGCTATTGATAGGATGCAATGTAAGAAATGAATTTGACCAAGGGGGTTTCGCAGTCGGGTTGACGCTCTTCATACCATCCTAATGTCAACGATTAAAATCTGAAAATAAGACAGATTGCTTATAGAAATTCACGTTTATTGAAGTTATAAGCGATCAATTTGATGAACGCGCTCAACTGCGAATGTTTGTTCAGCGATTTATCCTTCAAGCAATCATCCACAAAAAAAACACACATCTGTGGTCCAATCGCCCGAATTAGTTGGATGGAAAAAGCTTTCCACTGACGCAATTAGTCTCGCGAGAGAATCAAGGGCCTTCGAGCCAGCAAGATAGGTCTTCCCCTTGCCTTGAACACCTTTACCTAAAGGTGCAGAAAGGTATTCCCCGAGGGTGCTACTACCAATTGATGGAGTGTTCATTCCCGACGGGGAGGGGGAAAATAATGGAGTGGGGGCATTTGAAGGAGGAGCTGGTAGTCCATCAGGTGCCATAGAATAGACTATGATTTTAGCAAGGGACGCTAGAGAGCCAAAACGTTATTGCAACTCTTTGACATATTGGGCAAGACTCACGGATTCGCCAGCTCGGTTTTGGCAATCGTCCGATTTCAAAGCCAGCTTGGTTGTCAGCGGACGGACCTGTGGTGAGGGACCCTGTATCTGCAAGGGGAATCTCTGGAAACAAAAGTATGGATAAGATAATCATTGCTAATAATCACAGGTACGTACCCATGGAAGCCAAACACTTGCACATCAGTAAACTCCACTCATGTTCGCTGAAGATACCAACATCCCTGTACAACCCTGGCCAATACGCATCCTCCTTCAAATTGGTATCATTGGACCCATTCAGTCTACCTTCATCTTCAGACCTCTCATCGTCTGGAATACTATGAATTTTACGAGGATCACTGACTTCCGGAGAAACATGCATTTCTGCGAGTTTGGAGAGAAAGTGCAGCATACGCTCATCATATTTGTAGGAATTAATAGACTCCCAAATGCGAAGTAACATCGGCAGATACGACTGAGGGTGACTCAACGGTAAAAACGACAGAAGGTAGTACTGGGATGAGAGGATGGTCTGGGAAATGAAATATCAGTCGTGAATTCGGGGACCACTCGGATAAGACATACATCTAACTGGCTTCCGTTAATCAACGGTATGAACGTAGAGAGCATCTCATCGATGGCGGCGGGATGGAAGAATCGTCGAGAGTTTTCAGCGATGTAACCCATGCACCAGGATAACTGACTGCGCTTGTGAATAAGTAACTCGATGCACCATAGAACAACCGGAACGAGCATACGTGTATTCAAATTGTCTACGAGACAAGAACAGATCTTGGCTGAGTATATTGTATATAGGCTTCCAAGGAAGCCTTAAGTCTTCGATGGATATTTTCTTCTTCGACTGGGTAAGGATTTTGAAGCCGTCCGCACAGGTCGCAATGATTTGAGCTGGCATGCCAGGAGTGATGCCGACATAAAAGTAGATTTTGGCCAGCGCAATCCGTCTATCCTTTGGAATGGGATATTTAAGCATTGACCAGCTAAGATGAGAGAAGACGCCACAATAATGAGAATGGATTAAATGAATTTTGCGAAAGAGAGGGGTACTCACTATGAAAGCATACTGTCCCATTGTAAAAATCCGACCTCATAATCCTTGGCTTCGACGCATTGCACAATTCTGAGAACGATAAAATCCAGCATGTCCATCATCTTTGAGTACGGTTCAATTGTGTAGGGTAGCGACTTGGCGTATGACTTGAGTTTTTGAAGATATCGGTCATCTTGTATTTCGATGTTATTTGGGAATAGATGTGACAAGGATGGCCCTGGGTCATGAAGACTCAACGCAGAAACGTCCGGTAAATTCATCTCTGTTGTGTAGTTTGGCTGGAGTAGTAATGGTCTGGTGGGAGTAAAGAACCGATGTATAGATTCTGGAACGCTAATTAACTCAATATCCAATGTCTTATGTCATACAATACGGTGGTGTATCCAAATAAGCGACGGCCCATATATCGAAGCAGGACCAGACAGATTCCTTGATTCTTTGAGATCATTAAGAAAGTACACAGGTAAAGGAAGTACTGAAACGTAAAAGAATTTAACAGCCACTTACAATTACAATCAAGCTCATCTAGCGAGCCACTATGTACGTGCATTGGGTTCAACGTCTAGCGTGTACCAGCCCAATGGCCGGGGACGTAATTAACAGTCAAGAGAAAATATGTAATGTGTGGACCCGGTGTGGACCGAAATGAAAATGAATGCCCTTATATTCCACCATAGACATCTTCATCATGATATATGGTGCCGGGCCTCATTTGCTCACCAGGCTCACTTGGTGGATGTCGGTCACTGGCTGGGGGAGCACTAGCAACAAAAGAGGGGCTCTGCGACCCGTAACTGCGTCGTGTCACAGGGCTATAAGCAGAGGTCGGTATTTGAGATCCGTGGATGGTAGCTGTATAGGAAGGAGTGTGCTTCACAGCAGCAGAAAGTGGAATCTGAATATTAGGGCTCGGATTGACTACAGGGTCCACAAATGGTGATATCGCGGGAGGGGCGACACCGGAAGGGATAGGAAATGAATCAGAGTCACCAAACGCAGCTGTAATACTCCGACCACTAGCCTTGAGGCGTTGTTCGTCGGAAGCAGCGGTATTCGATAAGAGAGATTGCGGGTATTTCGTACTGGCACTAGACCCACTTAGGTACGTCGTTGACTGAGTATGTGCCATCTTTGTCTGGGCCTCACCATAGGGATTATTGCCTGGACCTGGTCTGCCATAGAATGCACCAAATGTCATCCGCTGCTCAGTCGTTGGATGAGGGGGTAACTCTTTTTCGGATAAGCCCAGTCTGAATGGATCAACCTGGGGAATGAGCTTAGCATTTCGATTCTTCCGACGTTGACGCTGTACTGGAAATTCAGACACAGTTCTGGCCTTGATGAACGAAGTTACATACCAAGATGAAAAATCCAAAGACACTCAGTGATAGAACCGCAATTATTACAGCAGCGACAATACCAATGATATTACCAGAAGAGGTTGTCGAGCTAGATTTACTCGAGTCCGCTGTGGAACTTGGAATAACGTTGGTGTTAGATGTTGATGCGGAAGCTACCGAAGGGATGAGCTGAGAAGTCGAACTGGTAGTTGTAAACGATGTCTTGGCAACAGAGGCCGAGGTGGAAGTAAATGTTGAAGTGATTGTGTGAGATGAAAGAGTGATGGAAGTTGGAGGCAAGACGGTAGCGTCGATTTTGGAAGAAGATTGAGATGGTACTGAAGAAGTCGTTGTCGAAGGGTGGTAATTTGAAGAATTGTCAGAGATTGTTAGATTCATGTTCGTTCGGTGAAATGAGAGGATACAGGCATACCTTCAACAATAGAACTCGAGAAGAGTTGACCGATTACATCCGCAGGGTCAAGATCTCCATCACCAAAACCGATGCTGAATTCTCTATCCTCTAACAGTCCTTTCCGGACAAGCACTTTGCGTAACTTGCGGTGCGCAGAACCAACCATGTGTGGAAAAGAACGTAAGGTAAAATGAAAGGAGAGGAGCAAGGAGAGCCGTAGCAGACAAGTACCGTCTGGGCAGCTCACAAAGAAGCAGAATGCCGTAGGAGTAAAATGGATTGGGGGAAGGGAAAAAACCTGAGGCTGTGCAAGTCCGCTGGGCTGTTGTTATGTCAGGCGTATCATGTGTTCCTGGTATTAAGATGTTCGAGAAGAGATACTCTGTCAAGGCCTCAAGCTTTCTAGAACCTACACCTACACCTACGCATACAAATCATCCAGCAGCCTCAAAAGCAGCATCTTGTAGTTCTTGTACTGCCCTTTCCCTAACCATATTCCATATACCATTCCGATGAGCCCTCACATCACCCAAACTTTCTCTGATTTCCTGCAGACGCTCGACATATTCCCTGCCATCATCCTGAAGTTCTCGCATGACGGCCATCGCCCGTTCTAGATTCCCCTGCTGTGATTCCGGGGTAGTGAAATGTGATTGTTCGCCGTATAAGGACGTGTTGTTTTGGAAGAGGAACAGTTTGTGAATTGGGGGTGTAAGATCAGGTGCGCGCGCGAGCCGCTTTGCTCGGGCGTCCTGCTCGTTGAGCTCCTCTATTTCTTCGTCCTCTGTTTTGGTGACAATGGGAGGGTTTGTTGATTGTGGTTCGGGATCTTCGCTCATGACTTGCCACAGGCGACCCATCGCTCTCTTCATGGTTGCCTCCCCTTCAATTAGTCCGTTAGTGGCATTTTCAAGTTCATCCAGTAGATTGGAACGGAATGTATGTGTGACTGATTTGTCCATAACAAACGAGGAATAAGTAAGATGCTGGATAGTTGGTGGTGTGTATGGAGCAACAATGGGTGGAGATGGAGATCGGGATAAATGAGGGAGTGATGGTGGAGAAGGTGATCGTTTAGGCTGAGGCAAAAGCAGTTTTATACGTTTTCGTGTGCGTTCTTCAGCCTTAGAGAAACATTCGAGTGTCAGATAGTGCATGCAACAGACGGCTACTCTATCTCACCTCCCAATCACCCATACTGGGCCCCCAAGAAGTTATCTTTCCTTTGCGAGCCCACCGGGCTCCTTTGGTGTCTTTGATTCCCCAATTCCCCCGATGGGTTACCACCTCAACGTCGTCCTCGGAGTCGTATCCATGAGAGGGATAATATGCTGCGTTCTGGTCGCTCAATGGAAGTAAGATGGTTTCGCCACTGAAGCTCACATAAGTCAATAACTACAGTGCAAAAAAGTATGCGACTTACTCTTCATTTGAAGCTGTTCTGGCGCGTTTTTGTAAGTTAAAATGTGGAGAGCTAGAAGAAGTACCCGCACGCATCATCTCGGATGCCATGATAGTGAGGAGAACAAAGCAAAATGAGGTGTAGGTGGGTATAACAATCGCGTTTCGGTTTGTAAATGCCTGCCAATAAGTCCGGAACCGATCCGATTTAGCCGGTGTATGTACCCTACTACCAAATTACTGAGCGTCGAGTATTCGTCAAGTAAAGTACTGAGAATAAGAAGTAGGAGGTAAATCACAGGGCCATGCTCCAGCGTAGACTACATTCTCAAACTGTACTTCACAAGATCGAAATAAATCGACGCAAGCTCTCGCTTTTTCCAGCTAGAAACCAATCAGTTGAACCCCCACCATACAGAATAAATAAATTTTGGACGAACAGAGTCTTCGACACCAAACCCAATCTTCCGACCCATGTAGACGTGAACCAACGTTGCGAGGTCGACTATCTTCGAAGAATAAAGTTTTCGCCGAAAGGGTCTAAATAGTGCTAGGTCTCGGGTTTCTAACGCAGGGTGCGAGAGACCCATGATCTGATGGGTAATGAAAAGCATACTCAAACTGATCCTCTGAACTTGATACGAACCGACAAAAACATCCAAATGGAATGTCCTACGATGATCTTGTTTTGTATAAGAGATGCGACTTGATTTCGAACTTCATCGAAAGGTGGAGCTGCGAAGAAGTTGTTCAAATAACGGAAAAGACAACATAGACATATGACTTTACCGTTGGCAACATCGGTAAGCTGTATGTTTGTTTCGAGGAATCTCATGCTCTGCACATAGTGTCTGAAATACATATAAATGCATCAATTGTGCTAGGGGTGATGATATTAGCAGAAAGCTCCCTCACGTTGGTCGTACAAATGTATCTATCAGGATAGAACCCCGATAATCGACCACAGACTGTTCAATATATATCGTTGTTGCCACAGGGCAGGCATTAAAATCTGACTTTACGCACAACTCTCCTACCAACAACAAGTGTCAGATAAAACAAGACGGTATCACCGTGACTGACTAACGCAACCATTGGAATGAGCGTTGAACCTTGTGGGCCTGTTGAGCCCGTGTAAATGTGTATAGCTGCCACAGAGACGTATCTGTGTGACGATCCGGTGATTGTACACGTCAGTGTTGTGGCTTCAAGGATGCGAAAAAAAAGCAAGCTTGTACAGGTGCGGAGCGAAGCGTTTAGGGATGTTGGATATGGGAGAGCTTGACGGTCCTGCTATTTGGTGCAAGCTATGACGATTCCTGCCACGAAAAATTCGGACCCGCAAGTATTCTGAAGAATAAATAAAATATACATGGTTCCACAGTTGTTGCAATGATAACGACAAGCCTATGAATCTGATGAGAAAGTTAAAGGGAAAGAAAGCAGCACCATCCATGAGTAGTGAAGGTATACCTACGATCCAAAGAAAAGACCTCACGATGTTCAACACAAAGGTCGTGTCGTGGTGCAAGGAAGGAAAGGAAAAGTAATATTGGCCATCGACTTGACGTGACGCCAAATTCACTACCTTTGTTCTGATGATGATGTCTATGCCATATCCCAAGAACCAGCTTTCACAGTAAGGTCCACGATTGTCCGAAAAGGGAAGAGATGCATGTACCCCGAATGATTCGGAAAAAGAATTCGAAGTCAAGCCGAACTTGTCCATCCAAGGCACCGTTTATTCATAACAATTTCGGACGCGCAATACGAACTCTATGAAATACATATATATCTAGATAATTCCACTGTCTTGCTTTGAGTGTCAGCATTGAACGACGAAGAAAAAGAAAAGGTTAACATACTATTTAATAACCAATCACACATTCATTGAGACGCTAGCGCTTTCTTTCGTTGGATGTTCATTGAGAAGGGTTGAAGCGGGCTGTTCCTTGCGAGCAACATTAACGTGCTCGAAACTTTGCAGCCCTGCCAGTCCCCATCGGTCCATCATGGCTTTGTCCTAAATCAGTCGATGATGCTCCTGGTCAATATTCGACGCGTTTGCTACAGTTAAAATGAATTCTTTACCTCATCCCAGGGAGAACCTGTCGGACGAACCGAAAAGGTGAGATCTATCGAACTTTACTGCATATGGAGCAAAAACGCGGCTTACATGGTGTAGTTAGCATTTGTTCTCCAGTGAAAATAGCATTGGCGCCTGCCATGAAACACATCGCCTGCTCAGATTCTGGCATCGTGTTTCTCCCTGCGGCCAGTCGGATGATTGTAGTCGGAAGGACAACACGAGCAGTAGCAATAGTTCGGACAAGAGTATGGTACGAGACAGGCTAGAGAAAAAGGAATAGATAGGCCCCCTAAATCGAATTAAACTGTCACTTCGCTTACCTCGTTCTTTTCTAGAGGAGTTCCGGCTATCGGTACGAGGGCATTGACTGGAAAAGACTCGGGATGTTCGGGCATGCTGAATGATACAAGTCAGAGAAATGTTCAATTCCATTAAACATAGGACGCACCTGGACACTTCCCAGATTAAGCCTACTCGGTCTTCGTCCTTTTCTCCGAGTCCCAAAATACCACCTGAACAAACGCTGATGCCAGCATCGCGTACAGCGTCAATAGTGTTCAAACGTTCATCGTATGAGCGACTAGTGATAACCTAGCAATACAATAAGTAACGCCAATAAATAGGGAATATATAACCGTTACTTGAGGGTAGAATTCTCTTGAAGTATCAAGATTGTGATTATAAGCTGTGAGACCGCTAAAGATATATATGTCGATCAACAAATGCTTAGCAGAAGAGAAACGGCTTTGGATACTCACGCTTCTTTCAGCTGACGCGCCTGATCTGGCGATAACATGCCCAAGGTTGTGCAAACCTCCATTCCCATTCCGCGGACCTCTCGAACCATTTGAAGTATTCTTTCAAACCCTCGCTTACGTCCTGCAAGATCCCTCCAAGCAGCACCCATACAGAACCGAGTACTACCATTTTCTTTCGCCTTGCGAGCGGCTTCGATCACCGGATCGATATCTAGCAGCCGCGATGCCTGTGTCGCAGTGGAGTAACGACTTGACTGGGAGCAGTAGGAGCCTTTCAAGATGTAAGCAGGCCGTAACATAGTAGATTGTTTGGGGATAACTGACAATCTTCCGTACAACCTCCCGCTAGAACATTTAGCGGAGAATCAGACACAAATATGGCCCCAAAACAGCAAGCAACGAACTTTTGATGTTCATGAGAGTGCAAAGTTGAATCTTGCTGGCATCCTGGTGTTTCCTATGAACCGAAGCCGCACGAAAGACGAGATCCATTAACGGAGTGTCAAATATTTCTTGGATCTCCTGTCGCGTCCAATCATGGCGAGTAATTGAAGATGGAATTGGTACAGCGTGGGTTGCCAGATAGCGTCTGAACAGTATTGTTCTTTTGGGAGCAGACAAGCGGAACATTGGTCCTTAAAAATACAGATTAGGACGAACGTGTGGCAAAGAGGCTCTAAATACCTGAGGTTATGAAGAACAGAGAAGTCGAGATATTTCTTGGGGCGGCATCAAATCCGCTAAGTCCGATCAAAGACGGCGGCCTGAAGTCCGACTACAGCCGACTGACCTCCGGCTGACCTCTATATGCACAAGCTCATAGTAAGCTAGCTTCCACTAGCTGGCCATTTGAGCGCGCGTCTCTCCATTGCCCAAGTGCTTTGACTGGTAATGAAATTTATTGTGAAGCTTGGAATTTTCGGCTCCCTGGAATGTTTCTTACTCTTCATTCAAGTCTCCTATTCCATTTCATTCATCTATGATCCGTTCGTTCAAATTTCTTCGAAGCTCGTTGACACTGACCTCATGCTGTGACCAAAAATCGATGCACTTGTTGCGCATTTCCCCACCCTGCGCGTGCAAATTTACCTTCTGGTAACAGTGAACGAACACAATATTTACTCTAACTTCTTTTCTTCAAGTTGCTCACACGTAACATTCACGCAGCGGCCTTAGATAGCGGTGTACATGTCAAGAAGTAGTTATGCTGTGAGTGCCCACTCAAAGTTCACGAATTCAAGTTTCCCACTGTCGGGGTCGTACCCAGATAGATATGCTAATAAAGTAAGTCTCCGAGAACGTGATACTATTGCTACAGCGGTTTACAAGAAACGATTTTATACAACAGGAGGAACATTTACGCATTTCGAAAAATGGCTGTGAAATTGGCTATGAGCTCCAAATGACGTTGAGAACCTCGACGAACGTACATTTCTTGGTAGGTCATCGCTTTCGAGGGTTAGCATCGGAGGATTTTCCAATCGTCGCTTTTCCGAGTCCATAATCTACGACTCGTATATCTTTGTCCGACGTTAGAAGACAATCGATCGTAAGTCAAGCTTGCTCACCGTCCAGTTTATTGCCCTCACTAGGGTCTTTGCCGTCTGCACCAGCATTCCTACTGGCAACAGACAAATTTGGGTGTATAAGTCTGGTGGAAGACTTGCGTCGCGTGGACTGCTTTGTCCTGGATATTGGCCAACTAATTCCTTCCTGCTCACGACGAACGGATTGCCATTGTCGGAGAGTGTGCTCCGCCAGCTGGTGAGAGTAGTTAGATTTCTTCTCTTCAAATGAGGGCGTTTGATCAGGATGCATTTGTCGGTGAAGAGAGTAAGAGAGAGAGGGGGGGAGATACTATATGCTGTCTTGTACTTGGGGAGAATAAATACCTTTCGTGCTCCGAGATGAGTGCATTTATGTGAAAGTGACGTCGGGCTGTGGAGTCTCAGGGTAAGCTGTTTGGACAGATTTGGACAGGTTAGGCCGTCGTTGAATCATGTATGACAAGTAGACGCCCAGAATTTTCTCTTAAAGTTATTGACCGGTACTTTTCGAAATAATACTTGTGGCCTACCAAGGTTTTTATGCCCCGAGGTACACCGATATCGTCAACTTCTATTTTAAATTCCGATTTATACTGTTTGCCAATCCACGATTGAACATGACGGCCGCGGACGGCTTGAGGGATGTCCAGATTGAAGGTACAGGAATGCTTGGTCCTGTCATGGGGCCTGTTATTTTCATGTTGCTTACTACTAGGGCTGGAGGAGGGACAGGGAGATATTACATACCTCCGAGTTTCTCGTCAACTGATAGTTGCTGCCTGCCTGCCTCGTATTTCAGATGCGACTCGGGCACTGTGCGTCTTTTGCAGCACTTTGCAGCGACATGTTTCCTCCAACCGCGTCATGGCTTCGTCAACTTCACCGATGCAACGGGCAGGGAGCAGGGAAAACAAATGATAACTTTTCCTCGTCACGGCTGATTTTTCAGGTCAAGCTATCCGTATGTAGACAGCTTTGCCCCTGTGCTTTTACTGTAAATCTTGATCAGTGGTGCACTGTAGAATATTTTTGCTATACATACGTCCTAATATGTAGTTTCCTGAACAGTTACTCGCCGAAATGTTCTCACGCCAACATACTTTTTGATCGAGGACAATTTTGTGTGCCTAAGCCTTGGCTTTGCTTCCGTTGTTTGGAACAGGAGAACATCATCTCGCGTATCTGTACCGCATCTCTACGCAGAGCCCATTTTTGTCGTACGGAGTTGCAGAGAGTTGTAGCTGGTAGACTTTTGCTTTTTTTCGACCCGTCGTGCAACAAGTGGCTTCAGTTGAAATCTAGAACAAAGCTATGCATATCAGCTGTGTTCTCAGAGTCTCACAGAGAAAGAACCTAGTCATTATTTAAATGTGGTCCTCGAGTAATAGCAATACCTTTCAAATATTGAATTGTATGATGAATGGATTCCAATGGCAGGGCATGGCACAGCACGGCCAATCGCAAAGTTTTGCAGCTGCATTGAAATGTGTTACATTATACCCGACTGCAAACCAGACCGAGTAAAGAACCAGACAAGGTGATATACGATACAGCAAAAAGATATGCAAATGGCACAACAGAGGTAAAACCGAATAGCACAAGTTGAGAAATAGAACAGGATTAATGACCGAGGCCAGCACTGATTAAGGATTAAAGTCCAGGAATATAATAGTGGCTGTGAGCGGTTAGATCAGGAGACCCATCGTTAGAGTTAAGCGGTGATGAGGATGGCAACAAGAGAGCAGGGAAGTAGAGAATTCAAAGGAGATGCTACACATTCGTGAGAGGGTTGAGTTGATGTTGAGGCGTATAAAAACACAGCAAGAGGAGTCAGTCAAGACACTATGGGGATGCAATGCGATGAGAAATGCAAATAGTACGAAAGATGCAAAAGAAAATAAGATATGCGTAAAAGGGGAAAGTCCAGAATGGAGTTCGTGGGTGTTTGTCAAAATTTTCGTGACTTGTATGAGAAAGGCTACCCAAAGCCAAAGACGATGATGATACGTCGTCAAAATCAGACACGTTTCGATCGTTAAAAAACGTGAGCGGCACCGTAAAGAAAAGATGAAAATAGCGTGGAACCCGTACACCAGGATTGAGGTTCATGCATCATCATCGATCCGTTCAGTGAGTTGAAGAAAGGTCATTGTCGTGTGTTCTTCGTGGAAAACCATTTATTCAAACGCGGATCGCACGCCACTGTTGGGCGGCGGATGGTGCGTTGTTTGCCTTCTGAGAGTTGTTGATCCTGCCTTTGGGAGGACTACCGCCGAGCATGACGCCACCAGTGAGAACAGTAGTCTTTCCGCCGTCATAAGGGGTGACATCGGTCTTGGACGTGTCAATGAAAACACGAGCCTGGCGAGCACGTTCACGGCGCGACTGTTTGGAAGGAGATGGTGCGGTGGAGGATACTGTGGTATCGGAGGAAGATGAGGAAAATGAATGCGAGAAACCAGAGCTCGAGTTGGACGAGCGGGAGCTGCTGCGCGAGTGAGATGAAGAGGCAGATATGGATGAGTCAGTTGAGAAGGGCGACGAGGAACGGGTGACGGTGGCCGGAATGGTAAGCTTGTCCAATGAGGTTGCAACCCAAGCGGAGGGCTTAGTCTCGTGAGCGATCATAGCAAAGATTTGCTCCTCCTCATCAGTTTCGCTCTCCATAAGCTGCTGAGCTATAGTTCGGCTTTGAGCCTAGGCAAATATCAGAACAAGATCCTTTATACAAATGGAGCTGCGTTACCTTAGGAGCGGAAGGAGAAGGTACCTCGTCAGCCCAGACAGTGATGAGTTCGCAGTTGGGCGATCCCTTTCTTCCGTGGCGTACAGAGATGCATCCGGGGTCGACGAAGAAATCGAATTCCCTTGCACCGAGAAGAGAAATCCAGTCAAACCACTGGACACCTGAACTCAAACACGCAGAATATATCACACGAGGCGGAAGACACTGCGGCGAAAGGGTGAGGCAGCGGCGACCTGAGCCACGAAGGGGTTCCTTCGGAACCCAAGTAGGTGCGTAGAGAGCCGTCAAGTTGGCTTCCAGAACAAGCTGAAGTTTGATGATGGTTGTGGCCGAGTATTGGACAATGAGAGGCCTGGTCAGGTAAGAGATGGCGTGTGCGAGAGTAACAGAAAGGCTAGTGGAAGCGGTGAAGACCATTGTGACGTGAATAAAGTGAATATGAATCGCCCGGCGATGAAGCTTTGAAGTTTATGTGCGGAATAGAGGCTCGCAAAAGACGTAGATGCAGAGAGAGAAAGAGAGACAGAGAGATGCGAATATGCTGCGTAAATTATACAAGACGTGGAATGTGTAGCTGAAGCTGAGTCTAATGAACAGAACCTATAGCTTTATCAGTAAGGATTACAGGTTGATTACAGCTGCTGAGACTAACCGATTAAAGAGAGTAGAGCGGGCCCAAAAGCTGGATGAGTATCTGTCCTGGCTTCATTGTGCTCTTTATAGGTTCAAGAAGACAAAAGACTCGATTATGCCGGAATAAAGCACGAGGACAAAGAACAAAAGAAAAATCGAAGTACAATGAAATCTATAACCGGAATTTTCCACGCATGTCGTCTTGGCTTCAATACCTTGTTTTCTCTGACGGCACTTCTGCACAAAGATTTCTTTTTTCCGCGTCGGGACCTGGTCGGGACATCAAGTTTAGAATTATATGATGATAAATGACTCGGAAAACTGGGCTAGGTACTACCACCGAAAAGCTCTTTACATCTTTGCTAATTGTTCACAACGACAGCAGAATTGTAAGCTTCGATAATTTCGCCACGTCTACAGCTTTGTGTTTTACAGAAATTCGTGGAAAGCTGTTTTCGGAGCGCTTTGAAAGATGCTTAAGCTTATGTAAAGTATCCTGCCAGCGGTACCTCAAAAAATCTGACAGACAATCGCATATTGTGATACACTTTCCGACCACTCTTACAAGTTACCTCCTTCTGGTATGTATTCGTAACGTTTGGATCGGCCGCCCAGCAGTTGTGCGCATTCATGCACGGTTCATGCAAGGCTCCAACATTCCTCCCCTCCCTCCTATCCCACTGAATTTAAGCCACCAATGATCTGAACGATCGACTCGGAAGTGTCTTTCCTAAAGATTTCAATGACAGTTTATCTTGGCAAGTGGTACGGAAGGCAAAATACGCATAAATGGATGTGACACGCTATTTGAACCCGGAAGCAAGGATTTGACCAAGATATTAGTATGACAGATTAACGTATAGAAACATTAGCAATACAAGATAGCAAAGCGATATACAAACGACTAAACAGGAATGAAGATGAAGGCATCCAGTCCTCATAATATACCTATGAATAATGATCATGTCCCACCACTGTGAGTCTGATCCTGCCACTGCCCATACATCTGTCCATACGGCAGCACGTACTCTCCCCCTCCTGTCAGTGTAGATCCTATCCCCGCATCCGGAGTCCGAAACGACCTCAGAAACGCATCGAAATCGGCGTTGTATTCAAAGTCCGTAGCTTGACTATTCGGATTTGGATTGGTATTCATGGACTGAGGGCCACTCGGACCGAAGTACCCATTAGCGTTACCCGCAAAGCCGTAGTAGTTGTACGAATTAGATACCGGCGTATATCCTTGCACATTCTGCCGTTGCTGCTGAGCCTCTTGTGGTATTTGGCTCATCGTCTGTGTCTGTTGCGTATGCTGAGGTGAGCTTGCGGCTTTCTGTGACATGAATTCTGCGAAGCGGGCATATAGCTGCGCCGGGTCGCCGAGTAACGGCGACACAGAACTCGAGGGGGCAAAGGATGATGTAAGGGAGGACGTATTTTGTGACTGAGGATGAGAGTGACCTGTTTGTGAATTTGTGGGAGGGTCGAAACTTGCGGAGTTGTAGTTTGTAGGGGAGTTGGATGATGTCGTGGGCTGCGACTGCTGCTGCTGTAGGTATGATGTGGAGGATTGAATTGAATTCGACGACTTTGGAGGTTGAGGCTGGCCTTGAGCAGATCCAACTGCCAGCTGCTGCTTCGTGTACGTTGTAAACACATTTAAATTCGAGTATTCATTCGATGAACTGGCCGCATAACTCTGCCCGATATCTGTATTGTTCGCATTCGAGTTCGAGGTCAAGAAGGGGTATGAGAGCGATCCCATTCCAAACATTCGTGCGGCTTGGGCTGTAGCTGTAAGCGGTTCTTGTTCCTCATCTGGTTCCTGTTGCTGCGTAGGAGGCGAGGACCCTGAAGCTTCAGGTGAGAGTGATGTCCGGACGGCAAAGCCACCGCCATAGTGCTGCTGATACACATTGAACGCACTCGATGTACTTCCTTCCTGTGATTGAAGTTCTGTACTACCGAGCGAAGTTGAGCCTGAAGTGCCCGCACTGGTGGTGCTGGCCGGCGATGAGCCAAGTGCAAAACTGCTCATACCCATATTCGTGCCCATACCAATATCCTCTAGAGCCATGCCCATAACAATTCCGCTCCCTGCATCTGTGCCGAAATTGTCGTAACCGAAACTGAAGGCGTCCACGTTGAGATTTTCAATACCCTCCATTCCATCAAAGGCAGAGTCAGTACTTGACTCCTGCATGTTGGTATCTGCCATGAATACATCCATCGACATTGAGTCGATGCTGTGATTGGACACCTCACCCACACCCTGTGTTAAGCCCGAGCCTTGAGTTTGCGCCGAGAGACGATTGGGGGGTCTGCCACCTTGCTGAATGATAGAAGCAGACGTTGTCGATATACCCTGACTATCGCTGGGCGTGCTGGTTGTACTCTCTGGAGATGCAGCCACTAAGCTTTCCGGCGATGAGACACTAACACTACCCTCATATTCAGTTTTTTTCCTCTTCAATCCGGACTTGCCCTTCTTTCCTTTCGAGCTGAGTAGTACATTCGTTTTTCCTCCGAACATGGCGATCTTGCCTTCGAATGTAGCAAGCCCTCCATTCTCGTTCGTGCTCGGGGCAGATGGTTCGCTTGGATGTGTGCGTTGATGTACTGGTTCCTCGAAATCAGACTCGGGATCGCTATCCAGTTTGATTCGGAATGTGGGATCATCTGGGTTGACCGCACCAGGCCCCAATCCAATATGACCCGGGTCACCATCAGGACTACCTACAGCACCCGCATCACCATGATTTCCACTTTCATTCCGCGTCCCAGCTTTGGATTCCAAAAATGCCGTGTACCGTCTTATCGCACGAGTTTTGAGTCGGCGAAGAATGACAAAAGCAGTTCGATGTCGGGCAGATACGTGGACGTATTTCGCGAAGACGCCGTCGACGACAAGGCTAAGGGTCATTATTGCAGTGGGGGCATATGTCGATCCGGGTGCACGCGAGGCGAGAGCTCCTAAAACGAGCTAACATAGATTGAACTCTCGAGAAAAAGATACTTGAGAGCTGAGCTTACCGCTGCACTGAAACCGTGATATGTCAGAAACCACACCCTGCCTGCAATCTCGGAGTCCGTCACGGCGAACCCATGTAGCGAACGAGAAATTTCCTCTGCAGCATGGTATGCAGCAGTGACCGAAGGCGCATAGGGTGTCTGAGCAGAATCGAAGGGATCAAACGGTTTATTCGGATCCTCACCCTTTGCAGCAGCTTCTTTGCCATTAAGAATGGCCCTTGCCATGTAAGACCGGTGGAGTGTGAGAATGACGGCATTGAGAAGCTGATTTGCAAAGAAAGTTTTGAGGCCATTATCTGAAGGCGGTATGGGCACCTGAAGTTTTCGTATCTTGGCGTCGAGCTCAACGACTTCTCTGTATGAGCGCTTCGTTGGGTAAGCGGAGAGTACCAAGTCCATGATAGGAATGAACGCGTCTCTAGAATATCTATATTTGAGATTGCAGATATCCTGGTGGCTCATGGGATCTTCGTCGGGATATTCGCAGTCGACAAAGGAAAGAGGGGTAGTTGGCGGTCGTCCAAGGGCAATACTATGACTGATATCGCTTTGGTAAACTTCCCAGAAAAGGGCACGTCGGCGCTGGACAAGAGCGGAAGGTAGATTCCACCGAGCAGGATCCCGATGGAGACCCGCACCTTGACATAATTTGGCAGCAAGCGCAAGAGCAGCCCAAGCGCTATCGCGAGAATGGTGGCGACTGGCCATGGAAAAGTAAGTACCCATTAAACCCAAAGCACGGATGGTGTCCTCTGGAGAATTGCGTTTTTTGTCTTTCTTGTGGAAAGCAGCGCGACCGCGCTGAAACCATATCTCGGCCTGTTCTTCATGGAGTCCGTTTACTTTCTTTGGGCTTAGATAGGCACCCAATGCAAACACGAAAAAGAGAGCGCTTTGAAGATGAGCAGATGCACCACCTGGTCCGTATACTTTTGGAATGACCTCATCCCATAACTCTTCGCGTTTCCAAGCACGGAAGAAAAGAGCACCGGTCGCACAGTAAGCCAGAGCAAGACTCCGGCCTTCTTCTTCGGAAGGCAAAATCGCTTCTTCATCAGAAACGCTGGACCCTGCAACAGCCGTAAACAGCTCGGGAGAAGGATTCAGACTGGACCCATCAGAGTCGTCATCTTCGTTGCTGTTGCTGTGAAGCATCATCTCGCGTGCAATCAAAGACTCGTTACCGCCGCTGCTGCCAAAATAGCTTGCCTCCCCTTCTTCGCCGAGAGTAAGTGTTCCTAAACCTTCGAGCTGGGAGATGCTACCGGGTTCCTCGGGTGGTTCCTCGTCGATTCGTCCAATCCTGAGTAGTCTTTCCTCGAGTAGAGCATGTCCTTCCCCTAATGCAGCCTCCAATTCTCGTATACGGCTCGCCATAATTCCAATCTTGGTTCGTAGTTGCCCAACTCTCATCCCGCCCTGATGGACATGCCCTGCGCCTGCCTCGAGAACTCCTGACGGACATATCGACGCGCATCCACGTCGACTACATGATCCACAGGGTACTTGCCTATCGCATCTCAGCTTGAGTCTGAAGAGAGCTACGGTTTAAATTGAAGTTCGGAACTAATCGAAGAAATGGATACCTTCTACATTCAGCACACGAGAGCTCTCCACGAAGTCGTTTCTCCTCAACTGCCTTTTGCTGAGAGGCAGATAAAGTTTTTGTCGCTCGTCGGCTGCTAGGTGGACCTTTGGTAGAGTTCATTGTGAATTCATGAAGGATGTAAGCAAAGCTAAAAAATATTCTCAGGGCCGATTGATTAAAGCCGAAATGAATTACGCTCAACCGCTCCTACCGGCCTCCCATCATCATGCCTTTAACACCGGACCAAGTTAAACAAGTTGAGCTCAATCGTCTTCGAGGTGATTCAAACCATTTACGCCTACCATAATAATCTAACAGCGCATATAGCTAAAGCCAGACAAAGAGACCGAGAACAAGAGACCTCCTCTTCGACAAATGGCAATGGCAAACGGCCTATGGGTACCACTTCCGCCTCTGGACAAAATCAGAACGCTCCTCGGCTGCAACGCGATTCACGATTAGGAACATATTTTGAATATGATCTTTCGAAGATGGTCAATTCCAAGGGTGGATTCCTGTTGGCAGATGACAAAGAAGTCGACGAAGCTACGCGGAGAAAGGAGATGGAAAGGGAGAGACAACGGACAATGCAGAATATGGAGCCACCTATCCATCTAGATCTCGACAAGAACCCAAGATGTCAAGAATGCCAGAGTATCGATATTGACCATACGTATAAAAACGTCTTTGGGTGCTTAGTATGCAAGAGATGCACGAAAGAGAAGCCAGAGAGGTATAGTTTGCTGACAAAGACAGAGTGCAAGGAAGACTATCTGTTGACTGATCGTGAGCTCCATCCATAACTTGTATATGCCATGCATCTAAGTCTCCTTCAGCTGAACTTCGTGACCAAGAAGCTATGCCCCATCTCCTCAAAGCCAACCCACATAAATCCACCTTCGCTAATATGATGCTTTTTCTTCGATATCAAGTTGAAGAGTTCGCTTGGAAGAAATGGGGATCTGCAGAAGCCTTGGATGTTGAATACGAACGACGTATGGCAGAGAAGAAGAGGACAAAGAACAAGAAATTTGAACAGGGGTTGAAGGAATTACGGAAACGGACTAGAGAAGGCGTTTGGCAGAAACGGAAAGATGCAGAGCATAAGCATGTGTTTGGGCCAGACGGTGACGGGGTTCAGATATGCCATGAATGTGGATTTACGGTAGAATTTGAGGAGTTGTAGTCAACATACATAGTGCGCTTTCTTCCGGGATTCGGCCATGTGATTAACCGACGAACTCTGCTTAAAGTCAAAGCTAAAGCTTCATAACCGTTAACACTTTTATACCTACACTCAAGTGGTGACATTTACCATGGAGAACCCACTGAAGGATCAAGCAGAACACGCACAAATATCTACAGCCCTTGAAGTCGAGAAACTTGAAGTAAATCTCTTTCGTTCAAAGTCTTTATGGGTTCCAGTTCGTGCTCGAGGCGTTTTTGGCGGGCAAGTCCCAACTGTTAGCCACCAAGTTCATAATGCTAAATGACTTGATCATTTGTCCAGACAAGTTATCAGCCAGGCTCTTGTCTCTGCTACTAATTGCGTGGATCCTGCATTTGGGCTTCATGTGCGTCCTGTTCTTCGTTGACTTCAAGCAATTGTTTTATACTCAAACAATCAGTCCTTACACGTCGGTATTTTGAATCTCTCGCTATCACAAAGGCACGTTAAACCCGTACTCGCAGTGTTACTTCCTCACCAGCGCCTCTCCCGCTACACCCATCGTTTACTTCGTCGAGCGTTTACGCCAAGGCCGATCCTACGTTGCTTGCTCTGTTAAAGCCATCCAAAAAGGTGCTCTCATCTTCATCATGACCTGTTCATTCCAAAAACCCGAACCGTGGCAACCACAGAAACAGTGGGTCATACCGGACGTACTTCCTCCCGAGCAATGTGAACTCGAAGAAGATATCTACGATCGGTATCGTCGAGAGGGGTACCAAGGAAAGCCACTGTCAGAGAAGTTAGATGCATATTTCGGCGATTGGGCTAGCGAGAGGAGGAAGAGCCCGATTGCGATCAAGATTGCCAAGGTGCATGATACCTCTGTGGATGGGATAGTGAGATATATGTATTGGATGAAGGCGAAGAATATCCCAGAATATGAAGCGCCTTTCCAGAAGGTGGGGCTCTAACTGTCATCACTATATGTGGTCCACTCATTGCCTGTTTTCCGAAGTGCATTCTGAGTTACCTTTCCGATCTCAAATTGTACGCAGAAAATGAACTGAACACGAACCGCATGTTGACTTCTTGTCCAGCATTGGTTCAGCATTCGGTATCATTGGATTAGATCGATTCACGAGTCGCGGGTCAAATTCATTAGGCATGTCGGTATGTGCCCATGAATTTGTTGCTGAGTTTGTGGTATTAATTGATGCCCGCAGAGTACCATTGACCATACTGTTTGGTTTTACAAGTACGACTGTGTGCACTACTTATACGTTATCGCTTCTGATTGTGGACCTGGGTTTACAGTGACTCGTTTGACTGCGGCGATTGGTTATTATACGTCGTGCGTGTTGCTATCCCTCCTATTCTCTCCGTCTTCCCCAACAGAAGCTTGTAGATGGAATCACCACGCGCTGGATCTGGGAGAGCTATCATGCACGGACAGGTAAGCATTGTCTCGAAGACCGCGAAGCCACGTTGAATCTTTGTTATTCCTTCAGCTCTACACCCGCAGCGGAACCCTTGTCGCTGTCACATCTCAAGAAGGTGTAGTCCGTGCTAATATTCGGGGACCCAGTACAGATGACAGTAAGCCGGCAGCAAAGTTATAGAAGCGAAACATGTTTTGCATAGAATACAATACATCTTGCGTAGAACCATCTTAAGCAGGACAAGAAACGAGAGTAATGCTTGGCAGTAAACATTCTACGTTCCGTCACCTCTCCTGAGTCGATTAAACTTAGGCAACATCTCTCTCAAGTATTCCGCATGCTTTCTCCTCAGGTCCGCTTCTTGTATCTTTCCCTTCCCAGTCCAAGTGCGACGTTCTGCGGATGGTCCATAGACGACAGTGTAATCAGATAGAGTATCATCATCCGCAGGTGCAAGTACACAGTTGGCACCAATAACGCAGAATGAAGATATCCGTACAGTATGGTGGACACGAGAACGCGTAGAAAACGTGTTAAAGAAACCTATAGACGGTGCTTCTATTCTGCATCCTATTTCAAAGAGATTGTCGTCGCCGATACGCATAACTTCCTTCCGCCTGTCATAATACTTTGAATTATAGTATGAAAGCAGTGAGCTTGCACGCACCTATTGACGATAATCGCGCTTTCTTCAATAATACAGCCAGAACCGATAACGATGGGCCCTGCGACTGCGAATATGGTCGCTTTCGGATGGACAATGGTACCAGAGCCTATCGTAATGTCGCCTTTGAGTTCTACATCCTGACACACGATTGCTTTGGAGTGAATTGTAAACTTGTCGCGTATTGGCGCCATAAGGCGCAGAGGGACATGAAAGAAGGCTCGCCGGATAACCGGCTCCGAAAGGAAATGACTTTCTGCTGACCTCATCGAGCTATATAGCAGGACTCCCACGCTAGCTGTTCCATCTTCACTGCGCTCACTGCGTCTACGCTAAAATTTGAACCACCTGTCTTCGTGGAACCATCCTAAAATATGGTAGGTATTGTTCCTCCTACGGACTTAAGTATTAATTGTGCTCAGATCGATTTAGACTCTCGCTGTCGACTTGCTCAACCCTTCGCCTGAATATGAAAAAAAGCAGCACAAGCTGAAGAGGCTGGTGCAGTCACCCAATTCGTATTTCATGGATGTCAAGTGTCCTGGTATACCAAATCATGCCTCTACACTGGCTTACATGGCTAATTCATGCGAATACAGGATGCTTTGCCATTACCACAGTGTTCTCCCATGCTCAGACTGTCGTTATCTGCGGTTCTTGCGCATCAATCCTTTGTCAACCCACAGGTGGTAAGGCAAGATTGACAGAAGGTGCGCTCTTCTTCCGTTTGTCGTATTTTGTATCTTGTCTCATGGTACACCTCTAGGATGCTCATTCCGCAAGAAGAACTAATTACAGGTCCTTCCACTCTACTCTAGGATCCCATCCGGCATCCATGGCTGGGCTATGCTTGGCCCTTCTCACAGAATGGGCGGCTGCTCTTTCTTGGATGCAGCTCTCAGCTCTGCAAACATTGCTGACGTGCACCTTGGTTTCCGATCCCTTTGCTTCCCATTTACATCCATTTCTCATGTGTACTCTACATATGCATATGTGATTTACTCTCTCGAAAATTATGCAATCGTAAATCATTATATGGATTCCATCGCCCATTCTCCATCTTAATTTGTGTCGGCTCTGATAATGGGTCACTCATTTGGACCGAATATTTACTCTGCGGCACATGATTCCGACTACGAGGTGTATAGTTTGGCCCCAAGTGCGCCGTTCCATTGGATATTACTCTGCATGATTCTTAGGTTTTAGTTACAAACAGCAGGAATTAGATACTGCTCTTCTGCTTCAAAATGTTTGTGCATACTTCGAAATCAACTGAGTCGGAATCAGATGGGTTACATAGCTATTGGCTACATTCCGGCGAGACATTTGGGATCTTGGCGTGCTTGGTGTGAGTGTTCAGTAACATTACTCATATATACTCGATGAGTTAATAGTCAATCTTTCTCAATCTGCGCCTCTGAGTTTTCTGCTCCTGTTTCGGGTCGGGGGCATGGCCTAACTTCTCAATAACCTCTTCCCATAAGAAATCCCACCGTGCGTTAAACCACGTTGTCTACCATGAACAAAATAAGGCAATGACTTGTCAGTAGAGCGAGCAAGATGAGCTTTTGTTATTCAACTCACGAATGTTTGTTCGCTTGGTACCTTTCTCCTAAGCCATACTCCAGGAGAACCAAAGTCCACAATTGCAAAGTGCTCTAGGCATATGGCATCTCTTTGTTTCTTGCAATGTCGACGAGAACGTTATCTGGATCAAAATCACTGGAGCGTGTAGGTTCATAACAACCTACTATGTGGTATGAGAAAAAGAAAGCAAGCTTACGCATGGACAACACCCTTTTCTTGGATCCACCGGTATATCAGGTCCTGGACCTGTTCCCGAAGGTCTTGTACAACCGCCCGTTTTTGATCGACTGGGGCGGTATTCCACTCTTCGACATCATGTAATGGTTTCCCGGGTTGCTTATGCATAACGATAACACCGACCGTATCCTGAGCCTCAGCTGTTATCCGACCCGCCTCAATGAGAAGTCCAAAATGGTTCAATGCCCAGACTTCACATGCTGCTCTAGCTTCCAACCGATGATTGATTAGTTTTGCAATCACAGTCTGTTTTGGATAGGTTCGAACGTTTTCGCCACTGCCAGCCGTGTAGTCAGTCTGTAGTGTAAAGATTCCTTTGTTGTTCGACCCTTTCTCTGAGAAGGACACCCGTTCAATTAGTTTACTGGTCAAATCTTTTCCTGTAAGGTAGTTATAAGTGCACAGCTGTGTGTGGGGGCTGAAAAAAAATCAATCGGTTACCGAAAACGGGTTGACCATATCCTTTGCACCATTCCCAGCGGCGTGTCGGACTGTAGTCGATCCAAAAGACCTTTTTAAATTGATCAATTGAATCGCAAGTCTTCAACCTCCGGTTAAAACTTGCCTCAAGTTGTTTGAACCACTTCTCGTCATCCCTTTTTTTCACAAAGTGGACCTCAGATGATGTTAGACTTCGGACTGAGGGGTTCGTTTTGGTGGAAACCTGAATTCCAAAGTCGCGCTTCCGGGAGACTATTGATCGGCCCTGGGGTATACTGGCAGCAGTACTCAACGTACGCAAAAAGCAAGTGCCAATAACAAGTTGCAGGAGGATGTCGCGGAAAATCATTGGGGTGGCGATGGGATGAGTGTAAGCACAAGCGCGATGGAGAAGAGAAGGCTTCCAAGGGGGCGTTCAAGAAAGTTCAAGGAGGATTTGCTCTGGCAGACGGACTACCACCATGCTGGAAACCCAGAGACTACTTTAATAACACCCCGAGAGAAGTCTATGGACGACTCATACAATGTCGCACTCGACATGCCTTCCTCGGCGAATACTACGCCAAATTCGTACCAACAGAATCAATTCAGTGCCCTTGCGGCGCTCGTACACAAACTCGAGATCACATCATCCAAACTTGCGAAATATATGATGACTATCGAGACCTTCTATGGGATGTGTCGGATGACCTCGATATGGGGGAAATACTGGGAACCGAAGAAGGAATCGAAGCACTAGCAGAATTCATTGAAAAAAGCGGAGCATTTAAGAAGACAGGACAGCTAACACCGGAAATCAGGGAGCCAAGGCCGGAAGATGCAATGGTTGAAGAAGGAAACGAGGAAGACTGGGAGGAGGATGGTAGGATTGCCGAGGAGGCAAGCGACGACGAAGACTAATAGGCGTAATCATACGCTGCAGGCGACAATATCAAAACCACGGACTCATCAGTTTACATATTGGCTCTATGTTCCCCATCTTTCTCTCTATGACTCCATGTTCTCTATACCCATTTCCATCTCCAGTTTCTTATACTCACTTCTTCAGCCACTCATATCTGTTGTCCAAACTTTTGATCACTGCATTTACCTATACTCACATACAAAGATACTACAACCGTTACGATGCAACAACCAACAAACACAGTATACATACATACCTAACCACTATACGATACTCGGTGTTACTAGTACATAGTTTCCCCCGCTCTTGGCTCCGAAATGGTGGCCTGCGGCGGTTAAATCAACTCTCTCTCTCTCTCTCAAGAAAGTTCAAGTTACGTGAAGAGCAAAAAAAGTCTCCGGCCAGCGGAGTCACCTTGCTTGCAAGGTCTATTGCACTCTGGAATTTAAGTCCTTTTGTACAGGCACATTTTGGTCATGCTTGGCCTCAAGCTTATGTCAAACGTCTGGGCTCGCTTTGCGACGCGCACAAGGTACAGGCAAAAAATAATTTCATTTGCTCAAAATGAACAAAAACGGAAGCTGGTACGCGAGTGATTTGCCGAGCCCTGACATGGTCATGCGGGGTGATGCGGGGTAGTGCGGGGCTGTACGGGGTGATGCATGGTTCAAGAACTTTGCCCTACTTCCTACTTCGCCTCTGCCAAGTCTCTACAGATCTCTATATAGTCTTGCTCATCATTAGAGTAAGCCAACTACCTCCTTGTTCAAGTTCAGATGCTACCATTTGGGTGGCAAAATTTGAGGCCTTCTTGAGCCGTTATTTGCTTGCCACTAAACAAAAAAACTTGCGCAGTCACAAAGGTTCCAGCGCTCGGCAAATTGCTCGCGTACCTTTTCGCTTTTATTTGATTTTCCTTTCGCTTCAGGCTCAACTGACATTATTTTCCGGACGCTGTACTACGCTGTAATTGTTGTGATTTCTCTCTTCCAGATTGCCATCTTGTTGCATCGGAAAAACTCTTACTTATGTAGTGGAAGCAATGCACGGGTATGATTGATTTCCTAAGTACAGTTGTGAGTAGGGTAGGGATAGGATCCAGATCCTTAGTACTATATCAGGAAGGCATTAAATGAGTCCCACTGTCTGTTGTACGAGGCGCGGATATCTTGTCTCCTGACGTGGCTTTCGTCTTTTCAACATAATCGATAAAATATGCTCCTGGAACACCGCCACCATTCGTACTGCCCAAAGCATTTGACCCGAGGATTGACGAATCACCGAAAAAATATGTCGAGGTCCCAGAGCCTTTTGCAATAGCCTTCAATTGCTCGAGTCGCCGAAGCTCAACTAACGCGTCGAGAGCTCGACGTTGGTCACTCGATTGAACGTGAGCTTCATCTACAGCACCGGAAATAGAAAGAGCGAGCTTGGACACTTGTTCCGCGAGAGCAGAGGCTTCCATTATGGATTGTTGCTGTCTTTTGGGTGACGATTGACAGGGAAAAGGAAAAGAGAGGTGACTAATTTACCTGGCTTCAGCTTCTCGCACGACGGTCTTGTACTTTGCATCGGCTTCATTTGATTTAGCTTCCAGCTGTGCATTGTGAGTTGGGGTAATTGTGAAGACATTAATTTGAGCGTACATGGCCTTCACTCTCGAGTATGACTCTTTGTTTCTGTCCTTCAGCAATGTTGATTTGTGCCTGTGTGTCGAGGAGCTGTTTCCGCCTGTTCCTTTCTGCCTCCATTTGTAACTCGAGTTGGCGCTGGTTAGTAGTCAGTCTTGTATATCAGCGTCTAGTCGCGTACAAGCAACACAGACCTCGACTTCTCGATTAGCAGGCTGAAAAGATTGTACTTCGAATCTGGTACAATGAACACCCCAATTCTGGTAAGTAGCCAATGTCAGTTTTCTAACATAAACATCTCACGATTAAGTATATTGGAAGACTTACAGCAATCGTGTTTCCAATGACAGAATTAAGTTGTTCGTTCAACCCGTTACGATCGCTGATGACTTGATCATAGCTGAACCAACCCAGTACTGCTCGCATCGCCGATGTTCCAGTGTTTTTAATATTTGCCTGAACGTCGCTCACACTGAAGCATGCTCTGTACCCATCCACTATGCGGAAGAATAGCGAGCCGGAACAAATCACTGGAACCTGTCATTACGATTAGATACAGAGATGAAGTGATGAGGTTTGCGCTTGCATTATCCGACGTATAACCCGGCAACTGAACATAAAGATTCAATAAAATACTCGGAAACAACGAAGGTAAACGGGACGTGCATTGGGGATGGAAATTGAGGATTCCCGAAGATCCACAACTTGTACTGTGTGATATACAGGGATTTTCAGGTTGATTCCAGGAGGCAATCTTACGGGATTACGACCGAAACTGAACAGGTCTGTGTCAGCATAGATTCTAGTATCATGAATATGAGTGCATACCTTAAGCGCCATCCTTCGTATCCTTGTTGTATAACGGTCACTATCGTTCGCGCACCAGTGGGACGACGCACTCCCTGTCTGGTTGCTCGAAGTACATTGCGAGTCCCAGAGGCTAAAAGAGACATTATGTAGAAGAGCCAGTATCGCCAAATCCACTGCTCTTATATGAGAATCGGTAGCAGGTACGAGTCATCAGTGGCTCGAGTTGAATACTTCTGCCGAGCAGACGCGTCAACCTGCGTCAACAATGAATGACACCCATTCTACGAGCTTGACGTACAGTTTTCCACTCTCCAACGTTCTTTGAGAAGATTTCTAGTGTGTGTTCTACTATGTATGAGATGGCAGACGGAAGAAACAGATAAAACGGAAGAATGATAAAATAGAAGTATTTGATTTAATTCGAATTCGGCGTTAATCATATGTCCTGCCAGTTTCCCCACGTTTCCCTAAGGAAGTGCACTCACCCGAGCCTGTCATCCGGACGTGACTTTACCGTCTATACTCAGAGAGAAGTCACCTTCCAGGGCTAGAAAAGAGTCTGTCCGTCTCATTGGTATGGTGGCTGACCGGACGCAAAGTGTATTCACCGATTGATTGATACCCAGATAGATAGCGCAGTATCTATCCACATCTGCAAAACCTGGGTAATGTTCGCCAGCTCTTGGGAGCATTTCCCAGCATTTCCCAGCATTCCCAGCCCCTAAAGCAGTGAAAGAAAGGGTACTGACTGGAGAGCACTGGAGAGCACTGGGAAGTGCTGGGAAAAGCTTCAAAAATTTTGAACTCTTTTAACGTAATTCACCCAACTATTCCACAGCTGGGAACAAAATACTTTCAAAAGTGCAATCATTGCGTTATCAGATCCATATTGGGTAATATTTACAAATATCGGGATGATTACGTATTTACTGTCCTGGTTATATCTGCACCTACTATCCCGATCCCGCACCCGCTATCCCGCTATCCCGCTATCCCGCTATCCCGCTATCCCGCTATCCCGCACCCGCTATCCCGCACCCGCTATCCCGCACCCACTATCCCGATCCCGCACCCGCTATTCTGCTATCCTGCTCCTGCTATCCCACTATCCCGCTATCCCACTACCCTGCCATCCCCACCATACCCGCTATTCATCTCACCAGGCCTGTCGCCAGACGACGCCTGCCTGCCACTGTATGCATCCACATAACTACTAGGCTGATAACAAGATATCGACAAATATTGGTGAAAGTCTTGCAAAAGGGGCACATATAAACAAATTTCTATAGGGAATCCGGTTTATTAGTCTGTGAAAGGGCGATTATTAGTTGTTGGTTACCTTCCAAGGTTATGAAAGGTCGATATGATCTGTTTGAGTCTTCCCTCTCTCCAAATTTGCCTCCAAACTGAAGCATTTTGTTAGCATCAAATTATCAACATCTTCGAAACCAACCTGAAACTAAAAGCCCAAGATCTCATATTCACGTTAAACTTAGAAGCATGATAAGGCTCCCTGAGCATGTTTATAATCATATCACTGTATAGCTTGTGGTACTCGAGGTTTGAGGCTGTAGTAAAATCGATATTCTTGGCTTTTGGACCATCTTCGTACTTGGAGATACAATATCGTATCTGTAATATCAATAGTGAATCAAAAGTTGAGGCGACTATAGGCAGAGTCAACTCAACAAGCATAGAAGCTAAAACAATTGCTCCATGAGGAACCTCCGCCTTGAAATCATCTGGAAAGGTTTTCGCTAATGCTTTGTTACTTGTATAAAACAAAACCTTCACGACTTCTTTGAGACATGGATGTGCAAAATTATTAACCCGTCCCTAGTAATTTTGAAATCAGGTATCACTTGAGACAAATATTGAGAAATTTTACGTTGGCATCCCGTCCATCTTGCAAGAAAAAACTTTTCTCCAAAAGCTTGTTCACATAAGCTACAGTTAAATTGTTAAGTTGAGAGGCATTGAAACCAGTAGTTGGCTCTTGTTCTTTCGGCAATAGTAAACCATAGTGGCTAACCACCATAGGTTCCGCAAGTCTCTTCAGAGTATTTCTGAAACTACTCTGGCTTTTGTACAGCTAGGCGGTAGTCAATAAACTTGAGATGAAGATCAACGAGAAGACTTGCAAAAGTAATTATATCTTCGCGGTGCTCTTTGATGTAACCTGAAATACAAAGGATCAAAATTATGGAAAACCGACAAAGAAGTTTACAATAACTCACCTGCTTCAACATGAACACCCTTTTCTCCTCTTTCCTCTATTGATCGGTCTAGACAATTAGCAAGTAGTGTTTCATGATTCTCCATCGTCAAAAAAGGTCCTTGAAGAACCATAGTTCTATGCATAAATAATTGTGAGCCTGCAATTACTTTTTTCACTTGTGGCGTATAGAAAGAGAGTTTTGTTGGATCTTTTGTAGAATTAGACCTGCGTCCTAGACAAGATAGCCCATTCAGCATAAAGGTCAAAAACCTGGATAAACATACCTTTAGAAGCCTTTGAAGTGTTTGAACTATCCTGGTCTATTTTGTCCAGCCAAAATTATTTCCAGATTGAAAATAATTGATATAATAGAAACAAACCTTTTGATGATGAAGGAACAGCCAAAATAGGTGAAACAGGATGAGCTGGCAGATGAGATACTAGACGAGAAGGAGATACTGGACGAGAAGCTTGACGAGAAAGTGGACGAGATACAGAACGAGATACTGGACGAGATACTGGGCGTGAAACTGGGCGAGAAGCTGGGCGTGAAACTGGGTGTGAAGCTGGGCGTGAAACTGGGCGTGAAACTGGGCGAGAAGCTGGGCGAGAAGCTATACGCGATACTGGTCGCGAAATAGATCCTAATACTGTGTAAGTTACTTGTCGTCAACCTGGTTGAGAATAGAGTGCAAACTTTTATGAGCGTTGAATTCAGATTGGGGTACTGTAGAAGCATAGCCTATAGTAGGAAACATCAGAATACAAACTCAAAAAGAGCAAAACTACCTGCGTTTATATTCCCGAGATGTTAGAGTGACATCTTCTCCGTTATTATCGGCATCCTCATCCTCAGCGTCTGCGTTCTCATCATCCTCATCATCTGCATAACGATCATGTTCAAACTCAGCCAGTTCTTCGTTAATAAAGTCCTCTTCTGTAGTAGGAACATGGCTTTTTGAGTGAATCTTAAGAATTGCAGGGTTTGGAGGCTTCGGAAGATTTCGCTTTCTCTTCTTGAGGACTTCGGTTTCTCCCTCCACCTAGAGTTTATATTAGATAATTGGTTTAGACAGGCTAAAGCAAAAACGTACAACAGGTTCTGGCACCTTTTGGGTATCTGAGTGGGGGCTGTAAGCTTTCGTACTCAAAAATCAAAAAGAAACACATTCCTTTAGTCGCTCTTGAACCTGTTCCCTCTGAATGGAAACTTATTTGAGATTGTTCTTGACTTGGTATGTTGTCCACCGAAGAACTAGCATAGCCGACTTCTTTGTGGACCCCAACCAGAGCTTCCATATTCACACCATCTGCATGAGGAAAGGTGGAACCATCCCGCCGATATTCGTATCCACCTCCGTATCCACCTCCGTATCCACTTCTGTATCCACTTCCGTATCCCCCTCCGTATCCCCCTCCATATTCGCCTCTGTATCCACCTCCATATTCACCTCCGTATCTACCTCCATATCCACCAGTATATCCCCCTCTATATCCTCCCCCATCTACTCCCGGATAACCTTCTCCATAGCCTTGTACACCAGAAAGACTTCTTCCGAAGCTCATATTATGTCCAGCAATATATCCACCGTCATCAACCTTATCGCTTCTCCCTCCCTGACCATAGCTGTTTTCGTAGCCTCTATTATAGTCTCCAGAATACGCTCCATAGTTTCTGCCATGGCCCCCTCCATAACCGTCAAGATTTGCGTTACCACTACCAAAACCCACTACGGGGCCTGGTTGTGAGCCATAGTAATGGCTTCCACCGCTAGAAGCTGTAGATCCTCGTCCCATGTTACCGTTATAGTCAAAATCTCCTACATCATTTCCAGTGCGTATATCTTCGGGAAGTCTAAGGATCTGACTGTGATTGATGCTTGTAGCTCTTTCATTCAACTGTGAGTCAACGTTGAAAGAGTCACCTCCTTGTCCTAAGTAAACAAAATGACCGGTGCTTGATCTTTGAGTAATTTGCTTACCCACGACAAAGGAAGTATGAGCTTGACTTTGATTCTATATCGAAATCAGTATAGTAAGCTATGGTTTTCTTTCTGAAATTGGTATATTTCTACCGTATTGTGTTGTTCTCGAGCAATAACTTCGGCAATAGGTACTTTGGATGGTAGTGGAACTTGACGACTAGACAAAGGAGCAGGCGGAGGATAACCAGATGTTGGAGAAACCAAAGGCAGCATATTTGGAACAGAGGAAGAGGAAGAAGAGGCTGACGGTATTTCGTTCATTTTTTTTTGGCCCTTAGTTTGAGTGCTAGCCTTCTTGTTTCTTCCTCGTTTCTAGGAGAAGAAATATTAGCTTTTAAAGAGAAATTCATTATAGTTATCTAAACAAACTGGTTTTTCCGGTGGAGGTGCCATAGGATTGGTTACAGCGTCCTCGGGAAAAATAGTATTGGCCCCTTGAAGAGATAATCGTTGAGAAAGGAACATTTTATCAGCTGTTTCCAGCATTTGATTTGCATGCCCCCCCTTCCCTTTGTTTGTGCGGCTGCTCGACCTCTGGATATAGTAAGAATCTAAAAAAACAATTACAAGAAACCATTTTCACCTCTGTTTGAAAATGTTCAAAAATGGAAAATAAATCAATACAAAAACATACGAGGCAAAGGGGGGCCTGCGTTACTGTCAGGTCTCTTACTCATAAGCAAATAATTGAGCCACAAGGAAATGCAAAGACCAGTAAGAAGATGGGTCGCAAAGCGGAAAAATGGTAGGTCCACAAAGGTAACGTGCTTTTTGGGACCCACTGTTTCTTTCCCAAGGCCGGATCTTCTCGAAATGCCGCCTTTTATGCCCAGAAAAATGTTCGACACAACTGCCTCTGACTTTCAGATCCACAAGTACAAAATAACTCTCCTATTGTAGAATAAGAACAAAATTTCTTCCAAAATACTGTGATTGATCCCGCCTCATTTTCTTCAATCCAATACGAGACCTCCTGTAGCACCTCCAAAGCGATAAACTCTAACTCCTAAAAAGCTTGTTAGAATGGGAAGCAAACAAAGGGCAGAAATAGACAACCTTCGTCAAAGTAGCAAATTTCGGTGTTTTGATCTTTGCCACCATCAGTAGTAGGTGGGTGAGGTTCGACCTCGTCTTCCCAGGGCTCACATATATCATCCTCATCATCGTAGGTATCGTTGTAATCTAGCTCCATGGAGGGAGGAGTGTTAGGAGTTGCAGGGCAAGCTCCAACTGAGTTATCTAGCGAAAGTAACATCTGATAATGTGTACGCAGATAGACGAATGACTCTTACCACATCCTTGGATCTTATTCAAGATTCCTTCCATTCGAACAGCGTTTTGTCTGGCCTCAGAGCTTTCCATTTGAATTTTACTTAGTCGACAAAAATGCAATTCCATTATAAGTTTAGTAATTGCAATTTTCTGATCTAGTGCCGCTTGCTCAGCTGAACAAAGAGCTTGTTGAGCGTTGGCTATTCTGAGAAGATAATTAGCTTCTTTTTCTGTCTTCAGAAATGACAATAAGCCACAAATTTTGCCCACAAATGAAACTCTTACTAATGATTCGTATGTTTCTCCTTCGCCATTGACCCAGGGATGATATGAAGATAGAGAAGAGGAATCTGGAGGAATTTCTACTTGAGAATTGTCAATAATTAACAAGATTAAAGAGATACTGTTGCACCTTTGTTGCTCATTTCTCGAACGAGGATGGAAGATGAGAGAAGATACTGAAATGGTTTAAGACAATAGGTACAAATAAAACAATTTGTCATTAGGTAAGATAACCAGTAATTATCTATTTAAAGTAAATATTGTCGAACCAACCAAACCCATCTTTTTGATAGCTTACTCCAGTTTTATCTGCATGAATAACTATGGAACCCCTTGTACCACTATAAGGTAAATTGAAATGGGTATACCTATCAGAATGGAACACTACGACATCTCCGTTGCAAGTTTCCAACAAGAGCTTGGGTTCGTATAAACCTAGCTCACCTCCCTGAGGATTACCCACAGTGATACAGATGCAAGCTGATTTGTCGTTTTTGTCGCGGTGAGCTAAGGTACTCACATTAATGTTGAACACAATGCTCGTAAAAGGAGAAGCGGGGGAAGTGTCTTGTAAGGGAAGAAGATCAACGGTGGCGCAAATCTCATGAAAAGTATCGGGATGAATCTGTAAAACCTTTAAACTTACGTTAGAAATACAGAGTAACTCATGCAAAGAAGTTTCGCTCACCTTTTCTGAAACCCAACGTAAAGTTTCCTCCAAACTCTGTTTCAAATCTTTGAAAGGCCCGGAAAATTTCTGAATGTCTTCAGAAGGATGAACCAGAAGCTGACTGTGATTCATCTTTCCTCCATTGGCGTTGACAAGATATAAAGGATGGATATCCTTAGGGGCCTCATATCCCTAAGATAACGTCAGAAAAATATAAGCAGATAATAGCAAAAAACTGACATGAGTTAAATAGCGCGTTTGATTGGTGAAATGAAGAGAGGAAAAAGCAGCAGTTTGAACAGATGAAGAAGGATCTTGAGGTGTGAACTGTGCAGTGGTATCGGACAAGCAGGCCTGAATAATCCTTTCCAAGCCTTCTTTTAGGTGTTGAGGCATAGTGGTGTCCAACGTATAAAGTAAATCTTTGTTGTCATCGAATATCTGTACAACTTTGCTATTTTTGAATTAGTAAAAAGCAACGCCGAAGTTGAGACATCTTACCCTTCAATAATGTTTCGATTGAGCTTCAGGTACCTAGAGTCGGAAAGCCGTCCCAAGCTATCGAAACGTCCGTTCATCTGAAAATCTGTAGTATCAGAATCCTAAACTCAAGTTAAAATCATAAGCTTACCTTGCTAGCGTAACTCTCCAAAGAATCAGGAGTAACACAATCTTGAGCTAGAGATCTTTCGTTTTCCGTCCATTTGCTTCTACCTTGATAGTCAAGAGGAAAAGGTTCCTTAGTTTTGGCAGGTTTGTACGGCGTAAACAGAACTTGATGGATTCCTTCTGAATCTTGAGACTGGAAGCCCATACGATCAAAAAGAATTGAAATAGGTGGAACAGTTGGAGGGGGAGTGAAGGTCTCTTCTTCAGAGGACAGTTCAGAAACTGCAGATGCATGCTGAGCAGCTCCTGTCTGTTCTGGAGAAAAGAGAAGAAAGCGTCTCTCCAAGGGAGATGTACTTAACAAAGTACGTTCGGATTTCATAGACACATCAAATTGCTTCCAGGCTTCCCAATCTCTAGGAAGAGATCTAAAGGTGCTAGAAGAACGTTATACGTAGATGTCTATAAGTCAGAGAAACCAATTACTCACTGAAAAAAGAAAGATCCAAAATAATTATCGTTTACTCGCAAATCTCCGCAATCAAAGGAACCAGAAAGGCCCAGATCTCTCAAAAGAGACCTATGATACAAAGTCGGTATTGAAATGGGGATATCTTTGCAAAGGTTAGCTAGAACCGGTATGAGGTTAAACCTAACAATTTCTCCCGTAATTCCTGAGTTAAAATGGGTGAAATGTTTGCGTACTTTCAAAACACAAACTTACCTGATGAATCAGGCGCTCTAATTTTATTGCACAGAGCTTGTATAACAGTTACTGAGGCTTTCTTTCTGAAATATTCATCTTCTCCTTTGAAGGCAATAACCAGCAATAAATAAAGTGACCCTGTATAAAGCTCAGCTAAAGTGGTTGAAACGTAACTTATAACTTACCTGCATTAGCCAAGAATGCCCATCTACTCCCAGCTGACATATAATCTCGACTTTTATGTTCAGGAATACTATGAGTTTGAAGAGACTTGTATACTTCGGAAGGCTTCGGTCGACGACTGTTATCTTTGAATTTCATCAAATTCAAGCGACTATAACAGGTAAGGCCTAACCGTCTCAGAACATGGTAGGACCACACGTACCTATTAACTTTGGCAGAGAAGTAAAGCTCATGCAGCATACGAACAAATCTTGCTGTTCCGTCGACATTGGCAGCTAAATCACATCGCCTGGCTATACTGACTAGTGAAGAAACAGCCAAGTCCTTCACATTGTCTATCGTTCCCTCTATCATCCCCTTTAGATCCGACACCCAGCTCAGATAATCCTCGTGACCAATAGAGGTTCTGGTGCCAAACGAAAGTCTCGCCAGTTGCTTCGTAAGGTCCACAGAAACATCTCTAGAAGGTTGCGCTGCATGGTCCCCAACAGCAAAACGACCAGCAGTAGAGTCATCATATGAATACTGATCGATTCGACGCCTCTTCCTTGTACGTACACTTTTTCTAGGGCAATGAATAAAGGTAGGATCACTGGGTCCTCCGCTAGTTAAGTCTGTTGAATTGACCTTGGTTTTCTGAGATCTGCGGCGTTTTCTCTTGGGTTGTGGCTCTGAACGTGGCTCTAAATGTGGCTCTAAATGTGAAACCAAATCCGAATGTGAGCGTGAACGTGAGCAAGAATCCGAACGTGAGCGCGGACTCGAATGTGAACGCAAGTGGGAATCCAAATCCGAACGTGAGCGTGAACGCGAATGTGAACGCGAGCGAGAATCCAAATCCAAATCCAAACGTGAGCGTGGACTCGAATGTGAACGCGAGTGGGAATCCAAATTTGAATGCAAGCGAGAATCCAAATTCGAATGCGAGCGAGAGTCCAAATCCAAATGCGAGCGAGAATCTGAGTGTGAACGTGAGTGAGAATCTGAATGTGAATGGGAATGCATGGGTGAATGCGGATGTGGACGTAAGGGTGAACGGGAAGGTGAACGGGAACGCATGGGCAAATGTGAATGCGGATGTGAAGAATGTTGACGCGGACGCGAATGCGAATGCGAATGTGGACTCGAACGCGAACGTGGACCCGAATGCGAACGCGAACGCGAACGTGGACCCGAACGTGGACTCAAACGCGAACGCGAACGTGGACCCGAATGTGAACGCGAACGCGAATGTGGACCCGAACGTGGACCCGAACGCGAACGCGAACGTGGACCCAAACGTGGACCCGAACGCGAACGCGAACGTGAACGTGAACTCGGATGTGAATGTGGATGCAAGGGTGAATGTAAACGTGAGAGCGAAGGCGAAATCGACTTGGGATGGAACTGGGAAGGATGAAGGGAAGAATGAGAGGCCGAAGATGGGAAGCTAGCATCAACACTAGCTTCTCTGTACCTAGGAGTGGACTGTGTTGAAGAGAGATTTTGCCTTAAAGGGCCCCTTTGACCTGCTTGACAACAACTAGGACATAAAGCCTGTCTAGAGTGAACCTATGATTGGTCAGATCAAAAGGAAGTAAGGGAAGTCCTAGAATATTACCTGACTGACTCTTGGAGAAGTAGAAGAGGAAGAAGTAACTTGAGCTTGATGATCAATGGCACCAGAGGGAAGGACTGCAATAAGTTCTTGAAGGGCAAGAGGCAAGGTTTCTTCTCTGCTAAGAAGGTACTTCTGCAAAGCCAAAGCCTGGGCTGCAGATAATCTGAATGTCGACATTGCTAGACCCCAAGCATAACAGCGGCGCTCGGAAAGAATATCAGAGAAAAGAGTCTAGTTAAGCGCCTTCCGGATTTGGAGCGACACTTGCTGCCAGCAAGTGTCGCTCCAAATCCGGAAGGCGCTTAACAAGAGGCGCTTATTTTGAATTGACTTTGGTTTTCCACCTCCACCACCTCTGCCGCCTCTTCCACCACCTCTACTGCCGCCTCTACCACTTCCACCACTTCCACCACCACTTCCACCACCTCTACCACCTCCACCACCACTTCCACTCACCTCAAGAAGTAATCAGGACCCAACGTCAGGCGCTACCTCAAGTACCTCACCCGCCTCCACCACCTCCTCTGTATCATGCGGTGGACTCGCCAGTCCACCGCCTCCTTTGGATCGTTTGGTGGACTCACGAGTTGGAGTCCACCGCCTCCACTACCTCCCCGTCCGCCGCTATCACCTCCACCACCACCTCTACCGCCTCGTCCACCTCTACTGCCTGTGGATTGTTCGGTGGACTCATGAGGTAGAGTCCACCACCTCCACTACCTCCTCTTCCGCCTCACCTGCCTCCACCACCTCCTCTGTATCGTGCGGTGGACTCGCCAGTCCACCGCCTCCTCTGGATCGTTTGGTGGACTCACGAGTTGGAGTCCACCGCCTCCACTACCTCCTCCTCCACTACCTCCTCGTCCACTGCTATCACCTCCACCACCACCTCTACCACCTCCGGATCGTGCGGTGTACTCAACCTTGTGAGTACACCGCCTCGTCCACCTCTACTGCCTGTGGATTGTTTGGTGGACTCACGAGGTGGAGTCCACCGCCTCCACTACCTCCTCGTCCGCCGCTATCACCTCCACCACCTCTGGATCGTGCGGTGTACTAAGGTTGAGTACACTGCCTCGTCCATCTCGTCCGCCTCTGGATCGTTCGGTGGACTCACGAGGTGGAGTCCACCGCCACCTCTACTGCCTCTGGATCGTGCAGTGTACTCACAAGGTTGAGTACACCGCCTCGTCCACCTCTACTGCCTCTGGATCGTTCGGTGGACTCACGAGGTAGAGTCCACCACCTCCACTACCTCCTCTTCCGCCTCACCTGCCTCTGTATTGTGCAGCGGACTTCGGCCGTTCATCTCCATGGGGATCTACCTCCTCTGCATCATGAGGTGGAGTCCACCTCCTCCACCTCCTCTGGATCATGCAGTGGACTCGCGAGGTGGAGTCTACCGCCTCCACTACCTCCTCGTCCGCCTCTATCACCTCCACCGCCTCCACCGCCACCTCTACCGCCTCTGGATCGTTCGGTGGCCTCACCACCGCTTCTACCACCTCTACCACCACCCTCACCTCCTCTACCACCTCTGCATCGTGCGGTGCCGGCTATCGATTTTCCTTCCTCTGAAGCTGATATGGACAAGGATGGTAATCAGGGCGCCGCGCCAGCCAACAACCTACATCTTTTTCTCGCTATGGCTGCAGTTACTAGCTTTGTAATGCTCCTAGTATTCATATTTTATTACAGAATGTAAACCTTTACTTAAACTCATTGATGCTTTCTTCCCAACCCTTCCAAGAAACAAGGTAATCCCACCTAATAAGAGAGGCCAAAGATATTCCCACAGTTTGTTTATGTCAATGTTGACGTCTAAATCCTCTGAACACTAGTCCTCATGTCTTTTACTTGTCGCTATTGTGGGCATCTATGTAAAACTGAAGCTGGACGCCGTAGCCATGTCAAGCAAACACTCTGTAACTATAAGCCTGGTTTGGTACCTCTATCAACTATAGCAGCCACAGTCACCTCGGAAAATCCTTCTATCCCTTCAACCCCTCCATCGCCATCTCCTGGTTATGACTCACAAGGAAATTCCTCGATGGAGAGTTTCATGGATGTCGATAGTGGTGAAGCTACCTCAGGGCCATGTACGATACACTTTCCTGGGGCAGGTAAAGTTGTCAGCTGTGGGGCCACATATCTGGACGACTTCAATGATGATCGCTTCTCTGAGGAGAGAAAGGAAAATCTCTACTATCCATTCTCATCTAGACCTGAATGGGAGATGGCAAGCTTTTTGCTCAACTCATCCCTTTCTATGCAAGAAATCGATCATTATCTCCAGCTCGAGCTTGTAGGTCTTGCATTGTATCCATATGATCTCTTAGCTGAACAATATAGACAAAACAGAATAATCTATCATTCAAGACAGCACAAAGATTGCATGAAATTACCGACCTTCTTCCTCCTGTTCCAACATGGAGAGCGAGAGTTATGAAAACTACTCCACTCTATCCTTCCAGAACTCCCGTGGTCCTGTATTACAGAAACGCTGTTGAAGTTCTTCAGGACTTGATGAAGAGTCCTTTGATATGCGACTCCCTCAACTTCACTCCACTGCAAATATTCGAGGATTCCCGGAAATTAGTCCGCGTTTATGATTCCTGGCTATCAGGAAATAGAGCTTGGCAAATGCAGGTGAGTAGACCACACATAAATGTTGAACTGTCTATCTCTAATCAAAATCTAGAGCCAGCTTCCAGAAGGAGCGACTCTGTTAGGCACGATCCTATCATCTGATAAGACAACAGTCTCTGTCATTACTGGAAATCATGTAGCTCATCCCTTGTTGATATCTTTGGCAAATATAGATACTGATCTATTGTCGAAAGCTTCTCTATATTTGTTTAATCTTCTCGCACTTCTCCCTGTTCCAAAATATATCGAAAGAAAAACCTCCGTGCGTGGTGTACTTGAAAATCGGCTGTATCATGAATGTTTGGATATCGTTCTGGAACCACTCAAAACTGCAGCTAGTATCGGCTGCTTGATGAGCGATCCTGTAGGGCAAGTCAGGGTTTGCTACACTCCCTTGGCTAGCGCCATTGTCGATACACCAGAAGCCTCTTTGATCGCCTGTACTGGCGGCAAAACTTCTCCTTTCACTCAAGCAATTTATAAAGATTTTGGAGATGGAAAACTTCACCCTCCTCGTCTAGCTACAGCTACTCTGCAGGCTATAGATAGTATTCAAGCACGGAACATTTTTCCTCAGGATCTTCCCGCATATCAAAGAGCTTCAGTAACTGCACGGACCAATGGTGTAGTTTCTCCTTTTTGGAGAGACTGGCCTCTGGCAGAGCCATGTGAATTTCTCACTCCTGAACCCCTACACCACTGGCACAAAATGTTCTGGGACCATGACGCGAAATGGGCTATACAAGCTGTTGGAGCCAGTCATATCGATTTTAGATTCTCGATACATCAGCCAATTGTTGGTTATCGCAGCTTCAAAGAGGGTATCTCAAGTTTGAAGCAGGTGACTGGTAGAGCGCAGAGAGATGTTCAAAGATACCTCATTCCCCTCATCTCTGGTGCTGTTATACCGAAATTCATCACTGCTCTCAGGGCGCTAATGGATTTTCGCTATGCTGGACAGGCACCAAGATTCAACCAAACTTCGACTCTTAGAGTTCAAACTGCACTCAATGAGTTTCACGAAAATAAGGACATTATTCAGGACCTGAAAGCTCGGGTTAATCCCAAAGGAGTTCCTATCGTCCACTGGGAGATCCCAAAATTGGAATTCATGCAAAGTGTTGCGCCCAGCATTTCTGCCTCTGGACCCATAATGCAGTGGACAGCAGACACTACTGAGCATGCTCATATTACTCTCGTGAAGGATCCTGCTAGATCCGGAAATAATCATGACTTTGAAGTCCAGATATGCAGACATTTAGATCGCCAAAGTAGAGTTAGAAGGTTTGATCTGGTGACAGCTATGGTAGACGCTGGAGTTGACTTCCGTCTTGACGATATTGAGGGTGATGAGGGTAGAGGCGATATAGGACATGATAGAGAAGAAAGAGACAAAGAAGACGAAGAAGTTGATGCCAAGATATCATCCTCAGAAGAACTGATCACCCGCCTTAACCCAGTATCCCAAAAGCTGTTTGGCTCATTCCGTCCCAAACAGAACTTCTTTTTAAAGGCGCGTCTGTTGAAGCAGGATGCCTCAGCTCTTCTACCTCTGCGTATCTTTACAGATAACGTCTCTGGAGAAATCTCAGCATTTAAGGTCAATCGTGATCCTGACCTCAAAACGCTAACGATAGAACAAGTCAGTGACCTCTATTCTCTTCCCGACTTCTCTGGGGCTTGTCTCGATTTCCTGGAACGGATTCAAGCAAAAACACAGACTTTTGTTATAGGGGGCAGACGATCATTGAATCAGTCGATTTCATTACCCTTTACAAGAGTGAAAGTTTGGTCTAGGATCCGTATCCAAACAAAAACTTACTTCAATACTGATATACTTGCGGATTCCCATACTATATTTGCGGCCCCTCCTAGCCCTGGCTGGGAATTTGGACGACAGAATGCCGCAGTTGTCAATATCAATTCAAGCTTTGAATGGCCAAGGAGTTCTTTGGAAGGTCGGCTTAATACTTACTTTGTTGTGTCCGTTGGGATATAACTGCACTTGTTTCCCTTCTAGGACACTGTGTTGTTTTGGTGAAAATAATCTTTACAGTCGCTCAGCCTAGAAAGCCCTCTCCACCCGTGGATGGTACTCATAGGTTTTTGGCTTACTGTGAACGATTAGATGTAGTAAATCAGCCTCCTCCACCTCTTGAGTATCGAAGTCTTCCTGGATATAATGCTTGGCCATCACACTTTCCTGATTATTCCTCAGGATGCTTTGTCCTCAAAAGAGCTAGAAGAGTCGATGGCACTCCTTTTGGTGATATTATACCTGTCTCTCAATTTCGCTCTTTGGTGGATATTTGCCCTCGTTATAGAAGTACTCCTCACGCTTCTTTAACAAGAAGTTCCAGCCAATACCACAGCGATGAATTTTTCTTGAATAAATATTTCAACAAAGAACTCTTTTTTACTTTAGATAAAGTCGATCCTTGTCTTACCAGTACAGCAAAATAGTAAACTAACTGAAGAAGAGTATTACTACTAGGCGATTATGGAGGTCCAAACATTACATGTTTATGTTTATGTTTATATCAACATTATGCCGTTATTTCCATGATTACTTTCTCTTCCGTCAATTTTGTCTTTCAGATTTTAGTCAGTTTGAAAGCATCCAAAGCAGCTGAGAGCATCAACAACACTGAGAGCACTCAACAGATACTTCATGACGAGATTTTTGCTGGGAAGCATTGGGAAATGCTGGGAAGTGCTGGGAAATTTTTACTCGAAAATCCAGGTTTTGCAGATGCATGACCCCCTGAGCTCCGCAAAGTTCAAGACATGCATGCCATGAGGTTTCTCCTGGGATTGAGGCCATGACAATTCATAATTTCGAACGCCTTTTTGAAAGGATCATCGAGGGTCGGTATACTCAAATCAAGCGTTTAGGTTTTGCTTAAATTGCTGAACAATGAGGGAGACTCGGGAGAAACCCAATTTGGAGATTAGCGCCCTTGATAAGGATGACCAAATAACGCGGTGGCGTGGATATTATTCTTTTCGACCTTTTCTCTCCTCTTCTTTCATCTCAAAATCGACATGGACAACATATACTCTTTCGACCTGCCTTATAGCCCGCGTCCATACAGCTTGGACGCGTCTGAGACTCCAGCAACGTACTACGGTCATGTATACGAATTCGACTTTACTTTGCCAGAGTCACAAGGCGCTCTGTTCATTGACGAGGACTACAAACTTTCTAATGAGCTTCAATCTTCTCCTTCAGAACCCGGAAGCTTCGATTCTGAGTTTCAAGCATTTCACGCTCCGTCGACAATTTCCTCTGGCGCGTTCACCGCGATTGGCAGAAACAAAAGCGCTCGGAGAGAAGATATCCTTCCTCAAATTTCTCTAGATATGACTCCAAGCTACTCTATCCATATCTCGCCTTCAATTGCTCAAATATCGTCTCGTTCTCGTACCTTTCATTCACCTTCGCCCAGCAAGCAAGCGCCAAATCCGGGCCGCCCCCGTGCCAACGAATTGCCAAATATGATTTCAGAAACTTCACCGTTCCAGTATTCTTTTGCGCGAGCAACAGCACATGCATCTCTTCCAGACGGAACTCTAGGCGGCTATAAATCTCTTCGATCGCTTTTCTCTACCCCTGTAAAACCGTCTGCTTCTCGAGGCTCAATTCAAAAAATGTCTTCAGACAGTATGACTCCATCGCTGGATTATTCCCCATCACGATCATCGTCTTCACTGTCGTCTAGTTCTGCCATGCCGGCCTCCCCTATTATCAGTGGTGTCCCCAATTTCTATCGTTTTCAGCTTGGAGGAATATACAACACTTCATGTGACGCCACGGAGCTGGTTCCGAATCAAACCGATGTGTCTCCAGTGATTCATCGATCACCCTCTCGCTCCTTTCGACTACGTCCTGCCGATTTCACCGAGGCCACTGTCTCTGAAGGCAGCGGTAATTTCATTCCGGGAAAGGAAAAGGCTTCAGCGGATACGGTCTGCAAACATGTCGACTCTTTGTTTTCTCCTTTTGTGTTACAAACGCCCAAAAAATCTCCCACAGCTTCAGCGGCGCTTGCCGCCGTGGCAACGTTGTCGAGTCCCTTGACTCCCGTGACTGATGACGAATCTATCGCTGATCCGTCCTTCATGAAGGACAGTCTTCCGCAGAATGTCCCTTCGTCTCTCGCCATCCACAGCGCGCGAAAACGACCCTACGAACTTGAAAATTCTCCATCGCCCGCTTGTCCGCCTAAACGAGCGCGGTCCAACTATCTTTTGGCGCTACAAGAAAAGGAGAGACTAGAAAGACAACATGACAACGGGTCATCCGATACCTTTTCTTCGCCTGAAAAACCTCTTGCAGAAGCGCGTCGAAACCAATCATCTGCTGTCTCAGGTCCCTCAAGGGCAACGAATCAACCAGTAGCCTCAACTTCTTCGTCTGCAACAGAAACCACTCCTACTTTTACTGAGCGTACATTCCCGCGAGAGATTGTTTTGGATAACACGCCCACCACTCTGGAAATATCCAATGACGTTTTTCCTTTATTTTATCGACGCTTTCCTGCAAGCTCTTACTTCAAAGTTCAGGACAGGTTAGTGGCATTTACCGAGCATTTATCCAGGGAAATTTAGACACAATGACTTTCATTTCTTCGTCAGCTCCGAATGCGACATATTCAAAAAAGCTCATCCTGGTGGAAATTACAACCCTCCTCGAAACGCATTCGACCTTTATACACCTAGATTCGTCAAAGGTAAAGGGAAGGACAAGATGGGTATGTGTCCGATCTGCATAGAGGAGGTTGAACGAGGCGGAGAAGGGAAGAAGGTCTGGTTGGCAATGAAGTTCTCTGCTTATAAGTGGTGGGTACTGTATCACCATAACATTCAGCTCCGATTAACCTATTCGATGCTCCAGAGTACATTATTCCGGGATTCCACATCTTTTGCTCATCACTTCCGCTGTGATAGTTACCATATGCAGTATAGTCATGGTGCGTAAAGTGTCATTTATGCTCAAGGCCCAATACCACCTGATATCTTTCACTCAGGAATATCCGCATCGTCGTCTATGCCCTTCTCTCCCCCTCTCGCCTTCCGAATGACATCCAGATCATCCAATCACAAAAGCGAGAAAACCACGATGAAAGAGGGAATGTGCCACAAATGCATGAAATGGGTTGCGGTGGAAGGTATCAAGGATGTCGAGGTGAAAGTGAAGGAGCTTTTCTGGTGCGTTGCCATTACTATCACTTAACTCAGCTGCAGCTCACTATGTGATTGATGCAGGTGGAAGCATGCGGCGACATGCCACTCCTCAACAACGATTGAAGGAGAAACTGACATATTCGAGGATGACGAAGTTTACGCAAAGTTGAAGGCTCTCGGCTCTGCTGCGGAAACTTCGACCCGAAAACGTTGAACGAAACAGTCCTTCTATGCGTATTCTTCGTCATAACGTTTCCTTCGCTTTCACAGTTGCTATCATTATCTCGTCATGGCCTCAGCATCAAGACCCTCTTCATCCTTCTATTATTCGTTCGAACGTCGTCTTGTGTAATCTAATCATGCGGAAAGATGTTTCTATAGGCTTCTCTCTTCTCTTCTCACAATGCATCTCTACTTCAGAAATCCTCTTATTACGCACAGCATCTTACTATAGTCTTCATAGGCAGGATAGATCACTTCTTTCTCTAGTCATATACCTCGATACAACCTGCTATCCGCTGAATGATCAGGAGCTTTCTTGGCGAAAGGACGGCAATATAAAAATAAACATGGTAGCAGCAGGATACAAAGCAAATATGATAACCAGTTCTTCCACCTAGCTCAAATTCAATGTCGAACCTAGCGGTGCTTCAGATGCAATTTCAGCGGGTGTTGTCGCTGAAGAGGAATCGATATCCATTGAGTCGGATTTTTCCCTTCCCCCTCCTTCGCTTCCGTTCTCCATCTTTACCTCCACATCCTCAATCTCAGCAGGCAGAGAGAGAGTATCCACTTCCATCGATGACGCCTTCGGAGTCGAAAACACTCGTACGTTCGTAACATGTCCACTAGGCCCTGCACCATGCGTCGGAGCTGCGCTTGTATGCATAATCCCCGCTCCGAGACCGTATTTACGTCCGGAGATTCCGCCTCCGCTTTCTACGCTGTCCGAGTCTCGATGTCGGGCATGATTCCGACGCCCACCTTCGCCTTCGTCGTCAGAGTCGGAAAGTTCTCCGTCATTTTGGATTCGGGAGTCTAGGAGTCGTTGTGAGCGTCGAGTGTCTCGAGGGATCAAGTCTTCATCTGCGTTTGGGTCGTCCATTTCTGCGTCAATGGGCAAGGTAGGGATATCTGGTAGAGATAAAATTCCTTATGAACATAGAGAGATTAGACAATTGGGCATTACCTGTCATCTGTACGCTGGGCGCCCCGCCGCAATGCCGCAAATTCTCCATCACAATCTGCTTCACCCGGTTGAGATATGCTGGTGTGTTCAAGTCATCGGCGTTTGACGATTTCACATCGAGCTGATAGTCAGGTCCAAAGTACTCGTAATATTCGTTCACCGGTATATCTGAAAGCAACGTGAATTTCGTTAGAAACGAGTACATCGAATTATACGGACCAGGGCCAAGTTCCACCCCAGCAGCAAGGCCAGTCTCATAGGCCCATGCTCGACTAACGTTCCGCATCGTATAACCACCTCCGCCAAGAAGTAACAGTGGCTTGTTGAAGGATTTGACGAACTTGACACAGTTTGCGTGTCCTATTACCCACGTATATGAACATAAACATCAGCAACATTTATTCTTGGAAAGTCATCAGGACGCAAACCTTTCATGGACAAGTTCAAACAACCGAGTTTGTCACCAGATAAAGAGTCCGTCCCACATTGCAGAACAATCGCGGACGGATCGTATGATTCCATTACTTGTTTAATGACCTGCCCGTTACCAAGATGAGTATTGTAAGGAAACCCAAGCCGACCGAAAAGGGGGTCACCGGCTCAAAAACAGACTTGTAATTTTCGTCCGAGATTCCGTCACGTAGAGGGAAGTTGAGCGCGTGGTATTTCCCCTTGATTACACCTACATCCTGCGGTTTTTATCACAATTCGTTTTCAGATGCCTTTAGAAGGCTGCTCGATAAGTAACTTACTCGTAGTTCACCTGTTCCAGGGAAGTATTCTCCATATTTGTGAAAACTGCAGGTCATAACGCGATCTGTAGTGTAAAACGCTTCTTCCACACCATCTCCATGGTGTACGTCGATGTCGATGTACAAAACACGTTTGTGGTATCTTGTTTTCAATTTTTAGTCCGTGTCGGTATTGACAGGCTTGACAAGAATCGATGAGATCTTACCGTAGTAACTCAAGTATACCCAATACAATGTCTGCAACACAGATAGATGAGCTTATAGTTATTATGTGCGTATTATTGACAGGAACAAAACACACCATTGACATAGCAGAATCCGCTCGCCTCACTCTTTTTCGCGTGATGAAGTCCTCCAGCCCAGTTTACTGCAATATCACACTTGTCTCGAGATAACCGCGCAGCACCCTCTGAAGAAAATCATATAGCCGACTGAGACTAGACTCGAAGAGAGTACCGACCCATAGATCCACCAGCAGATATCGAGCAATAATCGAATAATCCGTCGAATACAGGACAATCATCTCCAACATTGTCTGAAAATAAATGAAAGTCAGCACTACCAAGAGACACCAGTCAGATTACATGAACCAACGGACATTTATGTTGTTCTCGTACGAACGAGTTCATATTACTGGGAGTAATTTTGCTCAAGAAATCGACATACTCATCCGAATGAAATTGGGTCATCTCGCGTTTTGTCGCGGGTTTTGCCCGCTGAGCAGACAAACACATTAGAAAGAGAAAGAGCTGTAAGTAGATCAGACGTACGAATATCTCCATCTTCTTGTACAAGCCATAATTCATCACCAAGGAATGGCACATCCGTATTCTCGTGGGCTTCATACTGAAGGGGGTCGTAAATTACTAGCGGAACATGTGTAGAGAGACCCTTACGGATGTCCAGGGCCATAGTGGAAACCTCCAATGTCCGAGTCGAAGAAATAACACTGAAAAGGGACAATCGGCTGCGAAGAAAACGACGAGAAGGTCCAGCGACGACGTACAACTCGTTTCTTTTGATTTTCACCGTCCAGAGGTTCCATTGACATAGTGGTTCAAACGCAAAGCGAGATTTCTAATGATTCAGATTTCTCGGAATGGATCAATTTGGGAATCAGATGAAGCGTGGCGCTAGACTTTTTATTTGTGGCACTTTCACGGGCGCTTTACGTTTATTTCCGCCTTCAAGTTATGCTGCGATGTCGGTCTCTCTGGAAGACGTTTTCGGCAGTCCGGCCTCCATATACCTCTAAATATCTAATTAGAACTCTTGCGACAACCACAGACGGTGTACTTCCCACAGAACACATCAGGAATATTGCTATTATTGCCCATGGTATGCAGGTCCTCTATGAAAAAAAAAAATTGATTTGACAGCCGGATATTTCGACAGTCGACCATGGTAAAACTACTCTCGTCGACCAGCTTTTGCGTCAATCCGGAACCTTGAAAAGACTGAGTGCTCTTGAGCAGCTGCAGCTCACTCCGACATCGTCTTCTATGGCTGGAACGACAGCGGACTCTGCTGTTGATGGTGGATTCATTACCCGGGTCATGGACTCGAACGATCTTGAAAAAGAGCGCGGAATCACAATTTTGTCAAAATGTACTAGCATAATGTACAAGGGCAACCTCATTAATATCGTTGACACTCCTGGACACGCAGACTTTGGTGGAGAAGTGGAGCGTATCATGAGTATGGTTGATGGTGTTGCCTTGATTGTGGACGCGACAGAAGGACCAATGACACAGACACGTTTCGTCTTATCGAAAGCTCTGAGCAGAGGCCTCAAGTGAGTCATGTTCAACCAGTCTGATCTGCTGTATCCTATATGAACGTTTTGATATCCAGACCTCTGGTCGTCATGAACAAAGCTGACCGGTCTACTTCGCGTCCCGCACAGGTAGAAAGCGACCTTTTCGACCTTTTTGCAACACTGGGAGCTACGGATGAGCAAATGGAATACCCTCTACTTTACGCGTCTGCAAAACAAGGTTGGGCTCAACCCGAAGTACCTGTCATTGGTGCCGTACCCATCGAAGATGCATCTACTGAAGGCGACGTTACCACGCAAATGACACCTCTTTTCGACTTGATCCTTTCACATGTCCCGCCACCGACCCATCTCACAGCTGACGGGCCGTTTTCCATGCTTACAGTCCAGATTGAGAACGACTCGTATGTTGGTATGCTTTATCTCGGACGTATCGAATCTGGGTCTCTCAAAGTCGGTGACAATATCTTGGCACTCGATGCGGACGGAAATGAATGTGGTGGAGGCAAGGTCAAGAAAATTTTTAGTCGCATTGGGATGGACCGTGTTGAGAAGGATACTGCTACCGCTGGTGAGATTGTAAGCATTGCTGGGATAAAGATGGTCAAGGGAGGTGGCGTCAATGTCAGTTTAGTTTCTAGAGAGGGCTGGGGCACGGAGGGTCCAAAACCTCTCGAGGTAAATAGCTGTAATGCTTCACATCGACTTTCTCTAACATGTTTTCATTCAGACCACGCCCATCGACCCGCCTACGATTTCCATGTTCGTCTACCCTAACGATGCTCCCTTTGCCGGTCGTGAAGGTAGCAAACTGACCTCCCAAGTCATCCGGGACCGCATATACAAAGAAGCCGAAACTAACGTGGCTCTCAAAGTCCTCCCGGGCCCCACTTCCGAAGCGCTGGAACTTCGTGGTAGAGGTGTTCTCCATCTGGGAGTTCTCTTCGAGACTCTACGCAGAGAAGGATTTGAGCTTACCATTGGCCCTCCGAAAGCAGTCATGATACCTGACCCAGACGTCAAAGGTGGGAAACTCGAACCCATTGAATCGTGTACGATCAATGTCCGCGAAGAGTATGCTGGCAAGGTTATCGAGAGACTCACAATGAGGAAGGGCGAAATGCATTTGTATGAGAACGGGGATCCCGAGGAAGGTTGGGTCAAGATTGAAATGGATGTTCCTGCTCGAGGCCTGATTGGATACATGGCTGGAGAGTTCAAGAACGATGTTCATGGAGAAGGGTGAGCAATAATCCGTGGTTCTTCCCTCGCAGATTAAATAATGGATCCTTATCAGAACCCTCAATCATTACTTCAAGGACTACCAACCCTACAAGGGGCCCATCGATACCGGACGGAACGGCTCCTTAATCTCTATGGCCAACGGGGAGTCCTCTGCCTACGCCATGGCACCTCTCCAAGCTCGCGGAGTACTATTCATCCATCCACAAACTGATGTTTACCCTGGAATGGTCGTCGGCGAATGTTCAAAGGCCCAGGACATCTACGTTAACCCGTGTTTGAAAAAGCAGCTCACGAACTTTCGGTCGGCAGGCGCAGACGACAAGATTGTGATGGCATCGCCGAGGGTGATGACGCTAGAGGAGAGTATGGCGTATATGGCTGATGATGAGTTGATTGAGATTACGCCGAAGAGTATCAGATTGAGGAAGTCGATTTTGGATCCTGACAAGAGAAAGAGAATGGGAGGTGGTAAAGTAGGTTGAACAGGATTAGATTAAAAGTAATATATTCAAGCCTTATAGTACTAATACTAGATTTACCCACTCAATCCTCCTGGGTCCCGACATGAAGTTGTGTTCAAAGTCATATCTTGGCTATTGCCTTGCCTAATGAATGCTCGCGACCTGTATAACATCGGAAAACTGTGGATATGATGAGAGTATGAGGTGGCGCACCAGAGGCGACCAGAGTTGACGGGGCAAATCCGAAGCAATCGTCTCCGACATTTATGTTCTGCAAAGCGAATGGATATCGGATAATTGAACGATAAGGAAGTCGATCCACTTGCCATTTCGCCAGCGATTACCCGGACCTACTTAGTTCTCAGAGTCTGTCTGGTCGAAAGGTATGCTAATGAGACTCACCATTGACCAGTGATGAACACAATGAAGACCTGCAAACCATAATTCCCGTGCAAATGTTGTTTGAAAAGTCTAATTATCAGTTTAAGTTACGAGTTGATCTAATTCCAATCAGCGAACGTTATACCTGAGGAAAAGGAGTGACAGCATTCAAAGTAATGGATTCGTTCCAGTTAGAGGTGGGGACGATGGTTTGTAAACGTCGAATAGTATCCAGTAAAGCTGTTCGAGCAGCTTTTCGGCTGGTTTCCATTGGAGTGTTGCGGCTTCGACTATCGTAATTCAGAACATAAGGTGGCGGTGAGGTGATACAAATCAGCAGCAGCTCAAAATGGTCTCGAGCATGTCGCAAATGTTTGCCTTGTAGAAACCTAGTTCAGTATGGGCAAATTCAACATCGGGTGTGGAACGCACCAATTGTTGATCCAGGCAGAAACTTGGAAGGCACTGTCAATTGTTCGTCTTCTTTTAGATCGTTGTCGAGTAAGTCGACGGCTTGCTCAAGAACAGTCTGAGCAACGAAGAGAAGATCTTTTAAGTTTGTGGTATTTTCATCAAACTGAATCGTCATTGACGGTAGTGGTTGCGAAGCAAGAGACATCTTGAAATTCGAGGCCATCTAACAACACGCATACGAGTCTTTATACAATTTTCAGCACCACAATGCGGTTACAATGAGGCAAAATTCTTGCCTGTCAGCCCTAAATTTCGATGATACAACAAGTGTACAAGAATGAATACGAGTTACAACGAGTTTTCTTTGACTGTTCCTTCCACCTAATTTCGAAAAACCCATTAACCCAAGTTTTCCGAACTCAAGGAGAGGATTTCGTCTCTCTGCCAGAGCTTTGCCAACATGTTGGAGAGAGACTGGTAGAAAAATGAAAGGAAAATGTTCAACCGTCGTCGTCGCTCTGATTATAAGAACCCGAAAACATGCGAAAACCGAATTTATGTGTTTATCAGGGTTAGGGTTGAAGGCCTTCCGACTCTTCCGTGAATTGGTCCGTGAAAGCGCGGCGTTAAAAGTTATTTAAACAACTGCAATTTGTCCTCCATCCTTAATCTCCGATATGCTTTCGTCTCTCAGGAAAGTGGGCTCGTTAGCTCGTGTAAGCTTGCCAGACAACCAATTCTACCGGGCCACATTGGCTGATAATCTATTCAGGCTGCATCTGCTGGTCAGAAGCGTTCTCTGTCCATTCACGAATATCAATCCGTCAAGCTTCTCAATTCGGTCAGTTAACATCGACCCACCATTCACTGGTTACTCATCTTCCGGGAACATGAGTAGTATGGCATTCCAACGCCCAAAAGCATAGCTGCCAGCTCTCCTCAGGAAGCATTCGATGTAGCAAAGAGTTTCGGTAATAACTAGTCACGTCTCGTAGCTGCAATCTTTCCTCATTGAAATTTTTTCGACTCTTTTGATTCAAGGTCATAACCGACTTGTCATCAAAGCTCAAGTTCTCGCAGGTGGACGCGGAAAGGGCAAATTCGACACTGGGTTGCAAGGCGGTGTCCACATGGTTGATAGGTATGGAATCAAAGTTATCTTGCATTTATCTATCAAATGACGCGCTTTCAGTCCTGAACAAGCAAAAGAATACGCGGAGAAGATGCTCGGGTCGAAACTTATCACGAAACAGACCGGCGCTGGTGGTCGTATTTGCAATGCTGTTAGATCGTGCACTTTCCAGTTCATACTTATATCTACATACTGACTTTTTATCTTCAGGTTATGCTAGCCGAGCGTCGCGATCCTAGTCATGAATACTACGTCGCTGTTCTAAACGACCGTGTCACTCAGGGTGTTGTCCTCGTCGCATCAGCTCAAGGTGGTATGAACATTGAGGAAGTCGCCGCAAAGGACCCATCTGCTATCATCACGACACCAATCAACTTCAATACCGGACTCACCAAACCAGAGGCCCTTGCTGTCGCAGGCAAGCTTGGCTTCAAGGACAGCGCTGCCGACGAGGCAGCAGACATCTTCATCAACCTTTACCGCATCTTCAAAGAAAAGGACGCCACCCAAATTGAAATCAACCCAATGGCCGAGACGACTGATGGAAAAGTGCTCTGTATGGATGCCAAGTTTGGCTTTGATGACAACGCCGAATTCCGTCAACAGGATGTCTTTTCTCTCCGTGATGTCTCACAAGAGGAGGCTTCCGAGGTTGAGGCACAGAAAGCCAACCTTAATTTCATCAAGCTCGATGGAAGCATTGGCTGCTTGGTTAACGGTGCTGGACTTGCAATGGCTACCATGGATGTCTTGTCACTTCATGGTGGTAACCCCGCCAATTTCCTTGATGTCGGAGGGTAAGCGATCTGAAATTGGTGGATAACGAATCTAATGGTGATATTTTCGAACTCATAGAGGCGCCACTCCTGAAACTGTGAAGAAGGCATTCGAAATTCTGCTGGCTGACCCTAAAGTTAAGAGCATTTTCATCAATATCTTCGGAGGTATACACTGCTGGTTATTCAAGAGCTGAACACCTTTAGACTGACCTCGTTCACAGGTATCATGCGCTGCGACTACATTGCAGAGGGTGTCATCAAAGCCACTAAGGAACTTGAGCTCAAAATTCCTTTGGTCGTCAGATTGAAGGGTACAAAGGAGAACGAAGCAAAACAGTATGTTGTATCAAACACTGCCAGGATGAAATACTAAAATTCATCTTCTCAGAATGATCAAAGACTCAGGATTGAAGATAACAGCCTTTGACAGCTTAGACGAGGCTGCAGAGACAGCTGTTCAGTTTGCCTCTTGAATATCTTATCATGCTAGTTCATAGATGTTACTTATTGTCTTACTGTTTGCAAGAATCAAACAACAATATTGTGTTCGATTGCATAGGACAACAATTGTTTGACCATATGAAACATGCGAAGTAAATGTACTTGGAAGTAACTGCAAAAACAGAAAAAAAATAGGGCATTTCAAGAAGCATAGAAAGCTATGTACAGATATACGTCGCCTACCAGGTTGATCGTGCCCCGGTAAATGAGCCTGTAGGAGGAGCATAGGGTTGGTGAGGTGGGTGGGAACCGTCGTTTCGTACCGGAGCCGCGCCACCTCGTCCTGCATGCACAGACATCATCGCCGGACTCCCAGTATATATAGGTATGGCAGGAACAGCATGCGACATAGCAGGACTCATCATTGATACCGTCCGCCCACGAGTTGGTGTCCCGTTCTGCTGAATAGGCGGGGGCATGTTGGGCGGAGGCAGGGCATACATTGGTTGTGGTGCTCCTGGGGACGGATGATAGGGCATCATCGATGGAGCGGGATACGAAGCGGTCATGGGTCTCATCATTGGAGAACTCTGTGCGTTCGGATTCTGCAAGGGCATCCACACAGGACTGTACAGTGGTTGTCCATTGACTTGCATTCGGTTGGGCATGGGACTTGGGTGGGAAAACATTGCGCTAGGTGCTGGCGAATGGCTCATCATTGGAGGAGGGTGATAGGGATACGGTGGTCTCGCATTTTGGTTGGGAGGTTGGGCTGGGGTAGGATGATAGTTGTACGTCGGCGTGGGCCGTGCGACTGGGGCTGTCGTTGAGGGAGGAGATATCGTTGGTCGATGTGAAGAAATGCTTGGCGAAGAGGGAACCTGCTGAAAGGCTCGGGTTACGTCATGTAACGACATTCTGGATGATGCGACTGTCGTTGGGGGTGGTGTTTGACCATCTTCAGATTTTACATCTTGAATAGTGAATGGAACAGTGGGCAAGTCATCCGTTATTCCGTCCAGTGAGTTCACGGGATGCAACCCAGGCTGGTTGGATGTCTGTGACCATACTGCTTTCAAATGTTCTGGATCTGGTCTCCGAACAGGGGACTCCTTCACCGCTATTCCAAGTGACGACCTAGCCCAAGGTGAAGTATGGTGTGCTGGAGGAGTGAGAGGTACACGATCCGGCTAGTACACAAGAGCATCAGCTTCTATCCGCCAATAAACCAACTAATTAAACATACCGAATCATCAGAACTTTTACTCTCGGCTTTACCGCTAGGAATCAATGAAGGCAGACCATACTGGGAGGTTGATGGAGATGATTTAACTGGTAAAGAATTCACGGTGCTCGAGGACGAAGGTGACGGCTGTGTATTGGCTGTAGATACAGCATTAGGAAGTAAATCCTGTGCTATCAGAATAGTCTGAGCGTCTTCGGGAGACGTATTCGACGGTATTTCCAACTCATTCGCAGCAAAAAAGCTCACAGAAGATTTCAATCCTGACTCTGTACTCAAGTGTGCGTTGCGGTAGAAAGCGACTCCTGAGCCCGCGGGCATCTTCGGTTGATATCTCGAACGCATCGGTGCAACAGAGGTATCTTCACTTTCGGCTAATACTTCTTCGCCTTTTTTGACTTGAGATACCGGCTCGGGCTCTGGTTCTGGCGGCGGTGATCTACTCGTTGTGTCTAGCCCAACAGAAGGTTCTAGCTCTATCTTGCCTGTTGTCGTTGTAGGTTTGCGCCATGTTGAAGCACCGTCAGCACCAGTCAATTTACTAGCTGTTGAGGGTCGAGCGGTTACATTCTGAGAGGGGAGGTTCACTTTAAGGACAGATTTCGGTATTCGGACTCGATACTTCGATTTTCCCTTGTAGCCGCCATACGAGTATGGCTTTCGGAACAATACGTCGTTCAGAGTGAATTCTCGCCGTGACATGCCTTCTACAGGAGGAGTAAAAGACAGTATATCCCACCGTACAGGCTGTATTTTATTGAATAGTTCCAGTTGTTTGCGAGGAATAGGATCCCTGGGAGTAGACGTTGTCGGAAGGTTGACTGTGAAAACTTTCCATGACTTTGGAGACTTCGGCGGCTCTGGGCACGTTGTTGCAAACGTCTCGGTAGGTCGAGACTCTCTTAGGGCTGGAGGAACCCAGCGATTGGACGGCATGGGTGATGAGGGAAAGAGTGTACGAGGGGCAGCTTGGTCTAGCTCGGAAGATCTGTGATCTTTCTCGTGCATCACATCCAAAGCACCCCTGATCCGAGACATGGCGTCGTCAAGAGCAGACATCGCTGCCTCCTTGTTGTACTGACTACGCCGTGCCGCCGTTGGTGGTATATGCGGAGGAACTGTGTGAACAAGGTTTTGGTCCACGGGTGCCTGTTTGGACAGCACTGGTACCACCACTTCAGGGACTGCCACCTCCGATTGAGAAACAGCATCATTTGGAGCATTTTCATCGACGAGGGATATCACAGTAGGCACCCCGTTGTTCGTCCTCCAGGCTCCAGTATCAGATCGCACAGTTGAAGTCGACGAAACGATAACTGATGGAGATTCTTCCTCGAAAAAGTCACTTGCAACGGGTCGACGTGATTTAGAAGGAGATACAGTCTCCGACTGAGTGTCTTGAAGATCTTTTGACTGCTCCTCCTCCATTTTCTCTGGAACTCCCATGAATTCGGCCAAATCTGAATAATCCACAACCTCGAGATCTGTTAATGATTCTACATGGTCCAAAGCAGAAGGCGGAGGCGTGGCAAACGACATGGCACGGGATTTCTCTGTAGTTGCTGATGGTGGTTGGGAAGATGGCGGAGGAGCAACCGCGGAAGGTTTGATTCTCCATGATTCTGCTGTACCGGAAGTAGTAGCAGGTGTAGGTAAAGCAAAGGAGGAAGATTTTCGGGCAAAAGGTGGGCGAGAGGCATCTTGTGGTGGCATCCTCGTAGTCGAAAGTCTACGGAGAAGCGGTTTTTCGAAAGAAACACCGTTCACACCCGAGGTAGAGGTTGGTTTGATTTGCACACTGGAAACTGCTTCTTCGATGATAGCAGACACCTTAGCCTCCTTGGTACAAAGCTGAATGAGAAAAAAGTCATTTAAATAAATTGAGATGTCCTTACCTGAGATTCCACCACTGTTGGAGGAGGTTGTGAGGATGCCTCGACTTTGACTTTTTCTTGTTTCGCTTTCTCCTTTTCTTCAACCAAACGGGCCTCAATTTCTGCTGCTTTCCGTCTTGCTCTCTCCTTTTCCTTTTCTCTCTCTTCCTCTTCCTGCTGACGTCGTTGTTTGGCTCTAGCAGCCCCACTCTGCATCAGATCCTTTTTAATGTCTTCTAACGCCGCCGCCGAGACCTGAGGCGTTGAAACAGAGGGTTCAGTAGAGACAGTGATGGGGGATGACACCGATGCATGGGCATGCGACAAAACAGGAGATTGAGATGGATGCCGAACAGAAGACTGTCCCGCTGACGATGAAGGCCTAGCAGAGTACCGAGAATCTCGAGAGGACTGTCTACGCTCGAAGGAGGGAGTGATGGGTGGACCATTAACAAGATGCGGAGGTAGTTGTCTACCGTTATCCCTAAAGCTTGGAGTACGGTTTGTAGCATGAAATGGAACAGGTGGAGGCCCCATATTTGATAAGCGTCGGCCACGGTGTTCTGGTGGAAGATCCCGGTCAAATGAAGACGAAGGGAAATGACCTGGTCCTGCGCGCGGGCTACGATGCGGTAAGTGTTGTTGCTGCGGTGACACCGGTTGCATCTCTCTACGTGGTATTTCATGCTCCCTCTGCTTTTCATTCGCATCATTATACCCCCAGACACGGTGTGATCCTTCCCCAGGTGCAGGCTTCTGTAGCAATTGTATGTTATTACTGCTGACGTTAAACGTAGCAGAAGCAGGACTACGAACGAATCGCGAATCTGAACCTTGGGTAGACCGACCCAACTCCCTGGAGTTATTGTAAGGCTCCAGTCTGTTTGACCGTTCGTTAAAGAGTACCCTCGACGCTTCCACCGGAGAATGGGCAGACTGAGAGGTCGAAGGAGAAATATTGTGCGGTGCTCGAGAGGCGGGAAGATGAGCGAAGTCTGATGTGGGCGTTGACATGTCCTTCGTGCGTGGCCAGCTCCTGTCGAAATCGTCTGCGAAGCGATCTTCCTTGCGGACAGGTTCTGGATGCTCTTGTGACGAAGTTGTCGGCTCGCGGGTACTTACTTGTGGAGGAGATGCGGATGGCGCTGGACCGTCGTTTGTGTCGACTTTGTACTGTCTCCCATCGCCAAATTCAATGACGCCGTCGAGGAAATTATCGTCGTCTTCTTCCATCTATCGGCATTCGAAAAGAATTAGATTTAAGAGTGAGATAACATTCAAACCACACACCTCATCCCAATGGTGGGCGTTTGGATCCAGATGTACCCCTCGAAACGTATCTGCCTCTTCCATTCTTGCCTGTTTATGAGCCGCCTCTGCCTCGGACTCCATATCTCTGGGCGGTTTTGACTTGCTGCGACCTGAAATTGCATTATTGTAAGACATACTGCCGTTTCTTGAAATGAATCCAGCTCACTTTGAGCAACTTCTGCAGCAGTAGGAAAATCACTCTGTGTTCGAGGATCCGCACGTGTAGCACCTGCTGCTACTGCAGGATTCACGTTTCCCCACGCTGGCTTCCCTTGACTTGGTCCTGCTGCGTGTCCAGCGTCTCTATGCACCGTCTGACCTAACCCTAGCGATCGAGGTTGGGGCTGAATGACTTTGCCAATGTGGGGAAGCTGGGGTGCTGCAGGTACGGATGTAGAGGCCGACGCTTGAGATGGTGTAGGTGCCAAGGATGAGATGCCATTGGGCGCTGAGACCGAAGAATTAGCAACTGGTGGAGTGACAGATGAAGGCCGGGACCAGCTGGGACCTGGCGAAGGTGCCAGTTGAGTGGTAGCGGTGAGCTTAGTCGTTACTAGACGAGGATGGGAAGGGGAAGAAGAGGATTGTACTGCAGGTCTCCCTGTCGGAAATTTTAGATTCTGAAAATATAGCGCTAGATGTATTCTGTACCTCCCAATCTAGCTGAATTTGAACCAAAAGCTGGTGGTACCGTCGTCGACGTAGAGTTTTGCTCCAAAAACTTCTTATTGATGTTGGATGCACTGTACTTTTTTGGATGTTGAGCGGCTGATGTAGTATTTGAGCCGAGCTGGACGAGTGTCGGACGAGAATGGGAGGTATTGTTTGAAGAGATAGCTGGAGAGCCCTTGCTGTCCATTGTATCACTGACAGAGCCAGAGGTAGTAATTGAATTACTGTCGGGCACATTGGATCCTTGAGAGACACTTTGGCTTGCGTTTAATGGGCTCTCCAGCTGCTTCACCTCTTGATCTGACGACTCCGATGAAATAGAAGGATTTTGGTCGGTATTGGCCATAGACGCGTCTAAGAAGACGCCTGCTTGTCGCTTTTCGAGTGAGCCCAAAGACGAGCTGTTTCTGTAAGTAATCCCAATGTGGTTCAGTACAAAGTCAGATAAAAAACAAAAAAAAATATCATTCAACCAAAAACTTGCCTGGGGAACGTAACCTCCAGAGACGACCTCTCCAATGAGTTCTGTTGCAAAGCCGACCTTTTCCGGCATCGGGGAAGTAATTGACCCAAAAAGGAAGTGCTGCGTCCGAGGATCAAAATTTCGTAAGTGCATCGCAACCTCAGGTCAAGCCAAAACAGAATTTCATTGACATAGACTAAACAATCTACAGTATATTACTTCTTAGTTTCTGGCTCAGCCTTTGGTGGAGGTAAGGGTTTGAGTTCCTCAGGGCTACAGACATAGAATGAGAATGAGGCAAAAATCTCAGCAAGTCTCATCGAAACGCGTACCGATTTGGCTTGACACCTTGGCCGATTTGTTCCCAAGGAGAAAGAGATTCAAAGTTCCTGTGAAGATGATGTTAATGATTTCGCGGTGAATATTATCATGAACCTTACCGGAAGGCTTGAGTGAGCTGCAGGGGCTCGTACACGACACGCTTACGTTCCTCGTCATACCGTACCTCCGTATATCCCTTGACGTTCCTCAGTAAAAGGCACAGGATTCATATTCTGCTACTTACAGTAAGAGGGAAGTCTTTCCGGAGAGGATGGCCTTCGAAGCCTAAAAAACCGTTATCAACAGCACATACAAGAGCAGATAGCATAGACCAACCATAGTCGGTCAGGATACGCCGACTAGACAGACATTGGGTTAGTATGATTGCCTCGTTGTCCATAAAAAAGAGACACACAGATCAGGATGACCGCTGAAGAAGATTCCGAAGAGATCCCAAGCTTCACGTTCGTACCTAACACACAGACATTCAGCATCTGGGACATACACAAGCTCAATCAGACACATACCAGTCTGCGCCTCTGAAAATCTCAACGGCACTCGGTACATGGTCTCCCTCACCAGCATATGTCTTGACCCTCAACCTTCCAGCAAACCTAACGCTCAACATATGGTACACAACCTCGAACCTTTTCTCTCTCTCCGGAAAATCAACTCCACTGATGTCCATAACACTCTTGAACTGACATTGAGAATGGTCTCGGAGGAATGTAAGCAGAGGGATGATGCCAGAAGGCGCCGTGTACAACGTTAATTCGTCTCGGAGCACAGAGAATTGCTGGATGAACTTGGGCAGACACTGCATGAGATATGAGCCGTAGGTATGAAGAGATTCAGCAGCCTGCGCATATTTCTCGACGGATGGATTCGGAGAAGTCGGTTCAGTGAAGGGTGAGGCAGAAGCTGGAAGCGTGTTATTTCAACCGTGTTCTATCGAATGGTTCTACTTGCCTTTGAACGACGAAGAGCTCTGAATAAAGCGAGCCCTCCTCACTGAAGACAAAGCAGAGGCTGCTCTGAAAGCCTGACCAGGCCGTATTGCTATCCTCGAGAGCATTCGTTGGTATGAAGGGAATATCTAATTTCCCACGCTCATTTCTTTCCTATACTCCGATATGGCAGACAACTCTGACTCTCCCTCAGCTCCCGTAATCTTCGACTCTTTACCCTACTACGACGACGACCTCACAAAGTTCCCTTTTCTCAAAGAAAAGGTTGAAAAGGAATTAGCTCGGGAGCCAAAACCGCCAACGACTCTACATCCGCGCGTCCCACCGGCCTATGAATTGTTTACTGTTCGTATCCTCTTCGTTTGCTCGAATTCTTGACGGTGACATGGCATTCTGCAGAAAAATCCCCTACTTCAGGCTGAACTTGAGCGCATCGAATCACACCGTCCGTTTCCGCCGTTAGACACTACCCGATATCAGTTACCTCCGCCTGCCTCCGTTCCTGCCACTGATGAAGAATGGCAAGCATCCTTGAATAACGCTCGGGCCCAGTTGGAGCATCAACGGATTCGGTACGTATCATTTTGTCAATCGGTCGTCTGATCTTGTAACGATTGTATGGTTCCACAGACAAACCAACCTCACCTTACTGCAAACATACGGCGCAAACTCGTGGAGAGTACATAATTACCTTGTCGAGGCATCCGCCAAACAAGTCGAGAAGGCTCTGGAAGACTTAAAAAAACTCACAGAAGACGTAAACCGAGATCGTAAAAACTTCCAAGTACGTTCTCCTGTCCTACCTTACGTTGGATACCCCTCATCCTGATCCTCTGCCGAATATACAGACCAAAACCGGAGCACAACTCAACGCTTTGGAAACGCGCTGGACAGAGCTTATATCAAGTGTTCTACAGATTGAAATGGCAAATGTTGCGATGGACATTGAAATAGACCGACTCAACAAGCGAGAAGCAGAATTAGCAGAGATGGTATGAGAATGCTTCTCATACACTTGGGCACATGAGATCACCCTGATATAACCCTGGCCGACGTATACACTAAAAAGAAAGTATTTTTGAAGTCAAGATAAAACTACACGAAAAAATATCAGAAATCAAACTTATAGCTTGTAGTATTGTATTATTATACCAATAGTCACGAATCCTCCTTCTCGACAGTCCCTTCCGACTCCCCCTCATTATCTCCAAGCTTCTCCTTCACATTCAATCCACCCCATCCCATTCGGGAAACAAGATATTCCTGACCGATGACTTCCACTCCAACCCGCAGGACTTCCGCAACTAAATCCTCGACCCACTCATAATCATCCCAAATCCCAAGCCAGGCTCCTGGGACAGACTGCGTGATTGTGGAGTGGATCAGATTGTGGTCGGGATCAGAAAGGTAAAGTAGAAACTGAAGATGTTGCTGCTTGGATTGCTCTGCAGGTGCAGATCCGTCCGTAGAAGCCAACGCGCTTGTAGACGGGACGCTGTATGAGGTGAGATACGGCTGTACACGGAGGTACACGTAAGAATACGAGGTGGGCGATTGAATTGATGATAATGTCTCCTTCTTGGCCTTCAATGCAGAATCTTTGATCTTGATGAGCTCGTCCAGATTAGCCTAACAACGTATATGAGCAGAGATACGCATAGCACGAATGAACCCTCACCTGTGAAAGCTTCACAGCGGCCTCATAGCCTTCGACGGTGTTGAGTTCTCTCGCGGCATTTCCTGCATCGTCTTTGGGCCGGGATTCTTCACCCCGATTCACGATTAGATCACCGCCTTCGACTTGCTCCAGAACCTACGTACGAGACTATCATGAGGACCAGAATCGCTGGCATAAAATCGACTCGACACATACTCTGGTCATAGCACGATAAACGATATTCTCTATACCATCGTAGCCACTCATGTCGTGGCTGAGCCAAATTTGAATGACTTCGTGCTCAGAAATCGGAGGAGCGACGACATTGAGGATATCGGTCAGCGTTGAAAGACCGACGCGCTTGAAATCCTGTCCTGCACTCGATATAAGCTAGTGAGAATCGATGAAAGCATCGGACTTACCAAGCTTGTCTAACTGATGTGTCTTGGCGTACTCTTTAACCCCTTCACTCCATTTCTTTGCCTGTTCGTTACTTGGCAAGTTCTTTACTTGTTCATCGACGACCGACCGTGCTTGTTGTAGAGCAGCTGAAGCTGTAGTCCAAACAGAGCCCCACCCCCAGCTACCTCCACCTCCAGTTGCAGGAGCCGGGTCCGATGCCGGTTCAGAGCTTCCTATCGTTCTAGAGTTCGTCGGAGGTGTGCCGGCCCTAGAAGGGGTGGATGTGCCAGTAGACAATGACGAACCTCCCAGCCTAACACGTTCTGTGCTCTTCCTTAAAGATGGAGCTCCAGTCCTTGAGGCCGGTCTTTCGAGGTGGGCAGTTGTAGGTCGTGTTGGTTCAGAGCTTTTCTGCGTTATCTCGTCGAGGAAAGCCAGAACTTCAGTTTCGCTTTCGGGAGCTGGTGCAGTAGCTGAACCAGAAGAAGCAGCGCTTTCTATCGGAGTGAATGAATCGAGGTCATCAAGCAGTTGAAGAGCTTCTTCATGTTTCGTCTTGGTCTTCGAAGACGACATGACGATGAGGGAAAGAGAAATAAGCGCCCGCGCTCATTACACGTGCGTCTCTTTCTTGAACTTCAACTTGTCTAAGTTCAAACTCCACAGTAATTATGCCTAGCTCGAAAAAATCACACTACAAAAAGTCCGTAGGGCAAACATCTTCAGGCGAAAAACTTTGGCTTGTCGGTACGTGACTCGCATTCATTGGTGCGTTGCAAAAAGGACTCAGTAGCCTGCCTATGTGTAGATCAAGTGCTTGACGATAGAAGAAATGAATCTGGAATTGTGGTATGCTTATCCTTGACTTAGACAACACAGTTTTAACTCACTGTGTAAGTAGCAGTATTTAGTTCAAGTGAGTATATGGATGAATGCTCAAGAACACAATCTGATGGAGTATTGTTCAATGTCTTTCGCATGGATGGTATGATATTCAGTGGAGTGGTTGGCCAAAATCTTACAACTCGTGAGCCCATACACCTTCATATGGATGCTATATATTCAGTTCTTGTTGGTGAATTAGATGGGAACCCGCGGAAAATTTGGGTATATGCAAAGAATCGCTGCAAGTTTATCTTGAACGTAAACGTATCAAATTGATGAAAGGGGACTCAAGCATTTCTTCTCCGTCCAAAGTAAGTATCATTGAAATAATTTGGCCTGACTATGGCTTCTTTTGCAAACCGTGATCTTTGGTAACCTCGACTCAACTTCGTCGAAATCCTAGAGGAAAAGAGTCTCTTCTGATGAGGATAATAGTGTTTCAAGTTCAAGTCCCCCTGCACCTCCTCAACGCCTTGTAATCAATATACCTCCACCTACATCGAGTCGGAGAAATTTGGTAGTGACACGAGTGAGACTTCTGATTTGATTCACAACTCTTTGCACCTCATCTCCCCTTCCCCAGCCCCGGAGCGAAACCCCAAGCTCCAGCTCGGAGTCAGAAGAATGCAGCTCCGACGAAACTGTGAGTCTCAATAGAGCGGCCCCAGAAGTGATCTGTTTATGAGTATCGTGTTACTAGCATCAGTCAAGAAAAATTTCACCAAAGAAGAACAAGCAAGCAAGAAGGATGAGGGTTGACTCGGTTGAGACAGAAGGTTTTGAGTCATCGGACTCAGACAATGCCATGGTGTGTATTGCTTATCCCTGTTGGTGAGTAAGTTCTCACCTTCAACATCCAGCTGTCTGTTCCTACACGTGGGAAGGGCAAGGTGAACAAAACTAACAAAACTTTCAAAAATTCACATCCATTAATTAATATCTTGACAAACAGTCCTTCGATCCACCACCTGCAAAAGGATCCATGGAAGATGATACAGTGCCTTTGGGTCTCACATTCATTCCTGAAGGTATCAAGTTAGGTCAACTCTCCAGGTTGAGCACAAAAAATCAACGGCAAATTGGTGCAACCGCTCTCCGACATCCTCATAACTTCCTCGATAGATGTGCAGTGGAAGCTGGAACATCCCAAACACTGAAAGATAGTATTCCGAAAGTCAGTCGACTGGCTCTCGGACAAAAACCTAAGCCTGCTGTCCGGCATGTAAATGCACGAGTAATTGCAGATCCTCAAGATGAACCATTTTGTGAAGAAACATATACTGAGCCATATGGCCACTTCAATACAGGCCCTACAACAAGTCAAGAAATACAACAGTCAGCTTCAGAAGATTGTGCACCGGAGAATACCGAAGTAATGTCGACTTGCAGTGCATCTCTTCACTCCTCCTCGGTTAAGAAGGATATTCAAGACTGGCTCCAAGCCAACTCCCATCTATCGTGTCATGTATTGACTTCGCCGGGAATGGAAATGAGTGACCTAGCCGAGCTACACCCTTGTTTTAAACAGACATATACTATGTCTAGTTTCTCAGAATCTGACATCATATTTGTGCATAAATCACAACTTCGAGAATTAAGCCTTCACTCTGGTCTCCTTCGGGTAAAGGAGCTCAAGCCAGTATTCATCCTCTTTGAGGCAGACTCCTCACATAAAATATGGAATGTGGATGAAGTATACCCATTTGGTATGTCTTTGTTCTACGGATCCTGTTCTGCTATGTTAAGAATCATGCATCAGGTGGAATTATAACATTTACTGCCAAAGCGTTGACAAGTAACGTTGATTTTTTAATGCAAAAAATACATGAGGTCGCAGTGCACCCTCTTTGGGAGGTATATATTGTCCCGTCTGTGCTCGGATTGGCAATTAAAAGTTATTATGGAGACATCAGGATATGGGAAAGGTATGCATAAATTCTTATTCTCATTGCACGTATGCTTGGTAGTTTTACCCCAATCCCATTCTAGCCTAGATGATAATTTTGCATTTGCTGAGCTGCTGAACATGCTCGACGAAGGAGTATTGCGTTTAACAAGTGACCCCACAGCCTCGAATGATCGCTGGAATCTTCAACAACAAGAGCTTCGCATCCTCAATCATAAAGAAATAGTCAAATTCTGTGTAGGTTCCGCTCCTGCAAGAGCTTTCGAACAGGACTCTGTGTTAGAGGTCAACAAAGAAGTTGCCGATGTACTTCAAACATTACAGATTCAGCCAAGGTTCTACAAGCGGTATCGTCGATTTGTTGTGCTTAGTGAAGGTTTTGAGAAGATTCCTGATGAGGGGGTGAGTGTGTAACCATTCTTCTCTTTCTCCGCTTAGGGTTTGTGCCACAGCTGGAGATCTTGCCATGCCGAGCATTCAGTCTTGCAGAGTACTAAGGAGAGCCTTGGATTTATTCATTACCATACATATAGTATACATATAATTTCTGCAATAAAGGATGATATCGTTCTCTCGCTCTCGTTGAGATCACAGGTTTCGGTGTCAGGGTGATGGACGACACCGCGCCAGTTTTGTCGGCTTTTGTCAGTCCTTCGAAAACTACTTAAGGGAGTTGGAGCCGTTCCGGGACTTCCGGCGACTATGCATCTCGAATTTGCATGTGAATACTGATTTGCTACCCGTTGCCAGTTTGTGCTGTCTCTTGCTTCTATACCGAACTACCATGGACCTATCTACTATCAATGACTTCCTTTTGAATCCTGTCTTCCACGATTACCTCGCAATTCTTAAAGGCGCTCGCAATGGTTTTGTCTATGGTGTAAAAGTTAGATTCCCCCATGCACTCGTGATGTCGATATTATTTGGGCGCGGAGAGTAAGTGTCTCTTCGTTCTAGGTCTTGATACAAATCTAATGGTTCTCTCAAGTGTAAAGACACGATTAAAAGTTATCTATCGCGCCACGAAACAACACGCTTTTAATCTTGCCAAATTCGTATCCCTTTACAAGACACTTTTGCTGCTCCAGAAGAAAGTGAATGGTGGAAAAGAACGGAGTGCAGATACGTTTATTGCAGGCCTCATTGGTGGATTTCTCGTGTTTGGAGAACGAACGGCGGTCAATGAACAGGTGTGTATGTTTCTTGTAGTTTACATCAGTTCCATTTTAACGTTGCATTACTAGATTGTTTTATACGTGATAGCTCGCGTAGTAGCTTCGTTCATACCTCGAGCTGGATCTCCATATTCGTCTTCTCCACAATCGCCAAGGGCTACTGCACTTGTAAAACCTGTGCCTCCCAATCCTCAGTATTTTGCTGTACTAGCTGCAGTTTCATGGGGTGCCGTTATGTGGTTATTCAAAGAGAGAGGCGAAACAATACAGCCAGGAATGTTCAACTCGATGACATATTTATATCGGGATTCCGAAGTTTGGAAAAACCTCAAGACTCTGCTATGGCACAATACTTAATGTTTTTTGTTTTACATTGCATTCATGATTATACGATCGCAAACAGTGCCCCCATCATATCTATGGGTAGTATGGTTTCACTGTAATGGCTAATACATGGTACATAGAGTACACATACGTGCGCAGGTGTCCGTCGTTAGTTGGTGAAAATGTAGATCATATAAGATTAATCTATGTTCTGGCATCACAAATAATTAATCACTCCAGACGACATCAGCTACCAAATTTGCCAAACGTCCTGCCGCCCTATCGTTTACGCCTTTGCATCCTGCGACTCGTAGGTAGGACACCTGGGAAGTGGGTTGTGCAGCACTGGCTTGCATGGCCTGCAAAATAGCAGGGCTTGCAAGTACAGTTGCAGCAGAACTAGAGGCGCCGAATAATGTAGACGAGTCATCTTCCGATATACCCACGGATTCAACGTTTTGGTTGTTTGATTGTGATGAAAGTTTTGCCCTGCGAAGAGGTCTAATCACTCTTCGAGCTGGCAATACTGTTGCGGAACGTTTAGTCGAAGACTGAAGAACCGTGGTGTAAGGTCCAGTATCGTCATCGTCATCCTGGGTGGGATCGTTCCTCGCCTTGATCATGTTATAAAGAACGGTCATATCTAGGTCACATCCCCAAAGCGACAATGCTTCCAATCTTGAACAAAATTTCATCCTACGTTGGGGTTGCTGGGCTTTCTGCTTATTCGGAGAATCCAAGAACTCTGACATCCAGCCGAGCGAATGTCCAGCGGCTACTCGAGTGGCCTTCAACGTCAGGCTCTCCAATAACACTAGGCAATTCGTCACTGTATCCAGAGAGAGTGAGGTCAAAGCTGGAATATAGCCCAAAAGAGAATCTACTCTTGATTCTTCAACCTCGAAATGAGAAAGAGAGAGGCTCGTGAGGTAAGGAAAGCGAGGATCGCGAAAGAAGGACTCGAATCGAGGCATGGGAGGAAGTTGAGTGTGATGTGCTTCGGCGTCAGCCTTTGTAAGAGTACGAACCCCGGGATCAGTATTGACGATTTCGAGATTTCGTAGGATAGGGAAAGTGAAATAGCGAAGGGAGGAGCTCAATAAATCTTGATCTCGACCAATGAACTGGAGGCATAAGTCTTGCAGTGATGACAAGTGTAGATTCTGTTGGGTGGAATACCATCGACTTTCGGAAGATGACGGCGTTACAGATAGTGTCAAATTACTAGAGCTAGGAGTAAGCCATAACTCAATCTTCTCCAACCCAGTTGCGCTGATATATGAAAATACTCGCGGAAGAACTACAGAGTGCCCACAGTTCAGGTCTACATGCTTCAGATAGGGAAGTAAGACTGGATTTATCTGTGTAGATTCGTCGAGGGGAGTCGTCAACAAATTCATGGAAAGTGAGAGATGAATCAGTTGAGGAGTCGTTGAGAGTAGTGCGAGAAAGTCCTGAAGTGGTGCTGAATTGGGCAGGGGAAGCTTGGCGAAAGAAATGTCAAGCGTCGTCAATGACGAATAGAACCGCGGCGAGAGGGAAAGAAGAGGAATTCGCTGCATACGAAGATGCTTTAGGCGACCAGCCTGCTCTTTCGCATTATAGAATTCTATCAGCGGCCTCTGAGCCTCCGGGAAGGATGCAGGATGCGCAACTTCCCGCGTGATGGCGAGCGAAAGGGAAGAGAGGAGGGGATATTGGTTGTTCTTGTCGTTGAGCATTTGTAAAATGACCGCCGACGTGTCCACGGCCATACAGTCTACTGATAAGTACCTCAAGCGGGATGAATTATGCATGAGTATACCCAATACTCTGGACAGTCTCCGAGAGAGTGGTGTGCACTGTTCAGTGCGGGTAAAGCAGCCCTGCCCACCAAAGACGACATCCAAAGGCGCGTCAGAAGAGCGCGCTATAAAAGCCGAAACGCGTTCCCTGCTCCATCCAGTGCAAGGAACGTGAATCAATGACCAGAGACGAGAAGTGGAAAGGGCAAGCGTGCGCCATTTGCTGCAAGTATGCGTTACATTGACCAGAGTATTTTGGTCTTCGATGGTCGCTGACTCATTCTCGTCAGGATTGCTGCAGATAAATGAGAAAATCTCGATGAGGATTTCGCCGGGAAGCCAGTTGATAGGTTGTCTTTGACCAATGATTTCTCTTCGCTTGGCTTCCAATGCCTCTCGTTCAGCAACGACTGCGTCCTGCATCCGCTTCATTTCGCTCAGCACACGCCGCACCTCGGCTTCTCGGCGTTCTAACATGTCTAGTTGCGCATCGATAACAAGAATTTCTGTGTCGAGAGTGGCGATACGCCCTTTCTCCATTGAATTTGTAGTGACCGAAGTGGATGAGAAATAGACGCCTATAGCTACCTCTAAATTTCTATCTATGTATATGTGATGATGATACCCTTCGAATTATCAGAATAACATTGACAAAACTTGATCATTCAAGTTTAAATGTAAGATAGCCATTTATTGTTCCCGTTCCTGTAGTCATGATTGATACTACTAGTCCAGGACAGACGGAAGGGGCTGATAACTGCTATCCCAAAAAGAGTCAAAGACAGCAAAAAACCCCACGAAGCCCCATGAGGCGCTGCGCTGCAGTTCAAGCATTCAGTTTGTCCACTGTCCTTGGAATCTTGCGACATTTGTACTAGAATGATTGGATACTGTCTTTAGTACAGGCCGCAGCGGAAATCACAATGGCGGGATTTGTTACCAACCCTCAACATTTCCACTGCTGCAATGCAAGCTTTCCGACACACCGCACAGCTCTGAACGGGCTCTTGATAAACAACAATTTCCATTTCCCCGGCAACATCCGTCACTTGACAAGAAACGTACCAATGAGAACGATAGGTTTTTGCCCTAATTTTCGCAGCGGTACTTACATGTTTCCACCTTAACAGCGAGGCTCATCCTCTTGGAATGCCATAGTTGTGTTGTCTCTCGCGAATGTGAGGCGCAAATCCCGTAACCTATGAGAATTTGTAACCAGAGTTTGGTGAATATAAGTCACCGAATTTCGTCAGAAGTCTTACCGTGAGGGAATATATCTTCTGAAAGCAGATATTTACGCATCGCCTTGACTCGAGTGTCTTGTAATTGGACGAAACGATGATATGCCTCAATAGGTATCGCCTTCACCTCATGCAAGCTATAATTCGCCATTGGTTGAAGGAACTGGCTTGCTTGAGACGCAATACGGTGTAGCTCTTGAGAATGCGCGATTACATATACCGTCAAGGGTTCTTCAGATGCATGAGCCAAAAGGTGTTCTCCCAATACTTCTGTAACAGAATCCGGCGGCAATGCATATTTATCTGCAAGCTCAAAGAGTCTTGGGAGCAACGGCAGAGGTATTACGGTTTTTGGATCGTTCCAAACCTTTGGTATAAGATTGTATTTATCACGTTTGATTTTTGTCGGCGGTTGTGGGGGGTGGTGTAGAAGAATTAAGAGCGCTGCCAGACTGTCAGCAGTTTCGTGAAGGTCCAAAGTCTCCTCGGATTCGCCACAACATGTAAACATGTCACCTGAATTTACAAATGATTGGTGTTAAGTAAGTATGCAAGCCAGAATCCGATACTCACGAAAAACTTCGCTGCTGCATAGCGCTTGTCGGCGCACGGCGAACAACTCGTTGTCATGAACAGAGCGCACATGAAAATCAGCATTGCTACACTGGAAAGACATCGGTGGTAAACGGGTTCAACAGGGGTTCTTTATAGGGCGGCCCTGATCATCCCTCGCAAACTGATGATGTGTCCAACAGTACAAACCGTATACGTGTTCAAGTGACACTGACCAGTGACAGGTAGTGAGACGTGGTTGATAAGTAAGCTGGTTTACAGGAATGATGTGTATCGCGATCGCTCGATAAAAAGATCCGTCAGGTGTACTACACAGAGCAACTGCGGATACCTTAATGCCTGCGGCCTAAAGAGCAAAGTGGAAGAGTAATGCGAGAAGATGAAATAGCGAACAGGAAGTAGAAAAGCATTGAAGAAGAAAGATCATATAGTGGTATCATCAAAGAAGGTAAAGAAGGGAATCTAACAACCAGTAATCCCAGTAAAATCTCCTACAAGATAATGCACTTCGTTTTCTTTTCTCTTGGCGGCCTGACGGGGCCGCCTGCGGGAGGACCTGCTTCTACATTGCGTGTCCGTCGTAGGGCACGAACGAGGTCCGTAAATAAACGTTCGACGTTTTGCGCTGTTTTGGCGGAGGTTTCAATGAATTCACAACCGAATTGTCTTGCAAGTGCCTGTCCTTCGTCCTTTGATACTTCTCGTTCCCAGGTCTTGTCGCATTTATTGCCGACCAGCATGAAGATCGGGTCTCCTCTCTTGACTCGTCGCATCGACTGCCGGAATATATCGAGGCGTTCAAACGTTGACCGCGACGCGATTGAGTAGACAAGAATGAACCCTTGTCCTTCTCTAAAAAATGTAGAAGATAAAAATGAGCTGAGAAACTCATAGCCGAAAGGCAGAATAGCATTACCGGACCCATTGGTCCCGTAGTGTGGCGTATTCCTCTAGATAAATTATCTGAGAACAGGCTATTTATCAAATACGACGGTGCTCACCCTGTCCAGCAGTGTCGATGACCTCGACAAAACACATTCGATTGTCTACTATCAGCTGTTTTCGGTATGCATCTTCTATTGTTGGATCATAAGTCTAACGGTGAAACTATGAGCAAACCGTAGGCCCATATGGGATAAAGGTTGGTCGACATACTTCTGTATAATGCGAATTGAAATTGTGTGGGTCAACGAATGTTCGGAACGTCGGGCGAAGAAGCGCTTACCAACAAAGCAATTGAGCGTAAACTGGGAAAGAATACTGTCGGATTTCCGGAAGGTTGAAAAAAACATAAAAACTCACCTGAACAGCCAAGGCTGTCTTGCCCACTCCACCATCACCAAGGACAGCAACTCTCCAGTTATCCATTTCTGAGCGAGCAGAAAATCAGCAAGGGTGCTAAGCGATTGGATAGGAGAGTATCCACCTCAGAAAAGAGTTCGGCGAGCGTAAAGGAAGGTGTCGAATAGGGAAATACAGATGAAGAGTTATAAGCAGGAAGAGAGCGAGGAGAAAGGTGATGAGATATTGACAGGGAAGACAAGCTCTGGCTTGACGAGAGAAGAGGAAGAAGAAGATTCAGACAATCGTCGTGCAAAAGTCGTGGTTCGTGGACGGGTCGTAACGAAAGGCGCAGAGAAAAGCCTTTGGGTAAGAATCGAGAGCTAACAGTGTAGTAACACAAGCTTGGAATTTGAAGCAGTGTATTGCCCCTCTGAGCTTATGTAAAGTCCGGAAGTTTCCGGTCCGTGATTAAGCCTCTTCATCTTGCGGAAATCTCTAACATATTTGACTCGAACCCAACCATTATTCTCCGTTTTCCACCCTCAAAAGGATCGATAGGACAGCCCAAGGTACCTTTGTCCTTATTGGTCTCGGTTACTTGACCCATTTCTTCGATTCCTGCATGGCACTGGCAGGAAGCAGTGCCGGTACATCAGAGTGCCTGTGCAAATTCTGGCCTACATGCAGCGAAAGGCTAAAAACGGAACGACCAGAGTTCCGAATCAGAAATTTCCAAGCGCTGGAATTTAAAAGGAAACAAAAGACGATCACACATTGCATTGCCATCGCATAGGTATTTAACTCGCAGAGTGCTCTCGTTCAAGCTCTCCTGACGCTTCAAGGACAAGAAACTGCAACGGCAGGTAGACTACGGTGCTTCAAAAGCACACTGACGTAGTAACCCAGTAGTAACTTCAAATCAGTTTATCGATGCACGCGAGACTCAGAAATTTTGCGCAAGTTTCGCGTTTCTAATTCGATTTTCCTTCGACATGAGCATTTCCCCGACAACGGCTCCGAAGACTTTTAAATTTTCGATCTTCTCGCCCGGCTATTACTAGTCACCGAAGTGGTCATTATCTGATAAAGATGTGGGCGTAGGATTGGTACCCTCATAGTAAGCAAGGGAGGTCATTCCACCTCGATTGCCTCCGTCCTTGTCGACTCTCGGAAAACCTCTAAATGTTCTCAGCTTTACGTTCACGAAGTGAGCGGATCTAATTTTGGGAAATAGGACCGATTACTTTTTGAATTCCAGTTTTGAAGCTACAGGTTCCTCTCGCAGGTTCAAATTCACAAAACGTGAGCAACTCGATTGTTCAACTCTCATGAACTGCTCAGAACTGGTCCGCGCCATGATCGCAAACTCTATCGTGTCAAGAAACTATCCTCCGTTTCCCACTCTACATTTAGAAGTCCATGCTACAGCGAACCTTGTTTATAATGAAATTGATGGGTGTATGCATAGAGCAAATCTCGAGGACAATGACAGTCTTCTATGTATGTCTCAATTACACTCGCGTGACGCTGCGCTGTGAGTTATAACGGAGAGATCTCACATGAGTGGTCGGTTTAGGCCTGCGCTAAGCTCACCAAAATAGTGCATTCACGCCAGATTCACGCCATTCTCATAGAACCACCGTACGCTGGAAGGAGACACATTCAAATTGCAGTCAGAGCTAGTCAGAGACTTCGTGAGTGGTCTTTGTCAGTAGTAAGCTACCAACGACAATGCCATTGTCAGCTGGAACCGTATGGTATATCGTCATTAGGTCAAGTATTCCCCGCACGAAAGTTTACCCCGCGTTCCCCCATGGTTAACCATGACCTATGTACATACACCCCCAAAGCCAAGAATGACCGTGGGTATCTTCTACATACAGTAAGTAACACACGTATGCTTGGCCCTATTTTATACCCCGTTGAGAAAATTTGCAGTCGAGTCGAAGCCTGGTCCAAGCATACCAAAAGTCCACATACTTGAACACTGATATAACCACTCCAATTCAACAAACTCTGGAAAAACACGATAACGTACTGATAAAATATACAAAAGTGCTTTGGGGATCAACAGGGGATCAAGATAACTCTATTCTTACAAAAACACCTACTCCCGACGATTGATAGAATCTAATGAATACATACACTGTAACCACCGGAACCACACGGCGACTGGTCTCACAACACAAAGACAACGAACATTCATCTGTCAGGGAGAATACGCAAAGGCTGTATACGAAAAACAGGAATGCAGTCGGATAGGAATAATGTTATCGGGAAACAGAGGACGACGGATAAGAGATGTGCGCGCTAGTGTTTGTGTGCACATCTATAATCTAGTTGAAGTCCGTCCGCAAGAGCGGTCGAGCAAGCGCTGCGAGGATCACCCAAACAGCCCACAAGCATAAATGCTGTTTTCGTCCGTCAAAGGGGTAACTTTCAGTCCTGCCTGCCGAACTCAGCCTGCGTTAGGTTGAGCATAAAAACACAAGGCTGGTTTTTAGGTGGCTCAATGAGCTTCACAGCCTTTTTGGAGGCAGTAGAGTAAGGTCGAAGCGCGTTAGCAACGCTGGGGAAAGGACGTAGGGCACGGGAAGACGGGAAAGAAGGATTCCGTCTAGGAACACTTGGTCTTGTGGCGACACCCGTGTGCTGGGATGCACCTGCCAAAGGCGACGAGACGAAGGGACGCGGTGAAATCGTCAATGAAGCTGACAAGACAAAAAAACGGGTTCAAAATACGTAGTAAAACTCGGTAAGAAGAACTTACCCATAGTGAATAGAGTGGACAGAATGCAACGGGTCGTTTACAGTAAGGCCAGAGGCGGCAAACACGAAAAGCACTGAAGTCCTGTCAGTGATGCAAGACGCTTCAGAAGATAACAAGGAATCGGAGGATGTGTGCTGGCTGGATTATATACTCAAAGATCAACAGCTTGGGGATCATTTGTTTGGGGACTGCCATTAGTCTGCCTATAGAGTTTATTTAACTCGGGGCCGGCCGGCATTGAGTACTGAGTCCCGAAAGCACTATTGGGCGCCCGCGGCACCGTACATACACACAGGCTGAGGCGCATCGAATCTTTTGATATTCTTCTCAGTTCTAGGTCGTAAAGGATCATTACAAAGTCGAGTGAACCCGCCAAATACAATGTTGTAATGCACAGTGCAGAGTAGAGCTTCAGCTGCCGAAAAACGAACATGACTATTTGAGACTAACCTAAATTGTCAACGCATGAGAAATATTCCTGCGAATTTAGTTTGGAGTTTCAGATGGGTAGACACCATCATCCACCAGACAAACAATATCTATCTGGGCCCCTAAGGAAAGGCTCTCCAAATGCTGTTTTTAATAGAAAAACTCTTCATTAACGTCTAGCAATGCTGTTCTGCAATGTCGTAGCAGGTTGTAGCGCAGCAGCACTAGTGTGAACCGTTTATGATATTATAAAATGCTCGCAAACACCTATTATGATACAGGCAGTGACAGAGTACGAGGAGGGAACGTATGAATCAAAGGAACCGCGATTGAGACAGTGTACATATGACTTGGTAAGAGTCATGTCAAATATACAACTGAGCGTGAACACAGAAAAGAGTAGGACCAAATGAATTGGGTTTAACGGTGGGTGTATGTATCACCCCGACACATCTTCTAGGAAGGTGATTCGGAAACTCTGCTGCAATAAACGGTCAGCAAAGCAGAAGTCACCAAGGCTCGAATAGATCAAGCAAACGAAACTTGAAGGTGAAAATGAGGTGGGTGTTGGGTATCCATCTGGCGGACACGTGCGGTCCTGACGTCCCTTCTACAAACCGTGTTGATATTTCGATAATTCCACGAAAGTCCGAAAGACGGATGTTGACATCCTAAAATACATGAGCGACCAGGCCAAGAAATGGGTCCACCTCAGGAGAAAGCAATGGACGGGATATCCGCGGCGCGGCCGTCAAATCGGTTTGAGAGGCCCATTACTGGACATCAACAAGGAGATTCCGTTCAAGGATGTATTTGCCTTCTTTGTATTTCTGGGATGCTTCGTAGGCCTTATCCTAAAAACAAAGCTATGAGTACGACACGTCACATGAGAAAGGATCACACCAACGTATTTCCACCCCAGTGTGGTGCCGCACTTGATGCAATAGATATCGCGGACTGTGTGGTTTCCAGTAGTCATCGGTCGATCGCAAGCCTCGCCCTCTACGACGTTGACACTGCATGGGGCCGATTCAGAATGGATCCAAACCATAACAAAGTTGTTGTGCTTACACTACATCAAATAGATATGCTCTACCATGTTGCCCGTTGAATGCCTAGAGTGAAAACATCCGTTAACGCCGCAGTCGGCGATGAGTTAAGTCTAGCCACAAACTCTGGATATCATGGAATGTATTGTAGCGAGATGAGTCTTGCACTTGGAGCATCCGTATACGCGCTCTCCGTATAAGTATCGGCGGTAACTCATACCCATAGCGGCGGATGAATTGTACGGATTATGCTGAGGGGCGAAAAGTGGCAAGTAAGAGGAACAAAGGTTTAGATCCTGGAGGTAGTTAGAGATTGGAGGAGTAGATAAAGCAAATGCCTGAACGTCTTTGAGCTGCCTTTATGTGCTTTCGTAAATGGGAAGATAACGGATCCCGGGAAAGCGAGGTTCAACGGAGGGCAGAGGGTAAGCTTTATACTTATGCAGGATTGTGACCGTTTCATCCCAAGTACCATTGTCACGGATCACATGTCCCGGCACAGAAAAGTCAAAGTTGGTCTCGGCTCCTGATCAGGAATGTACGGATCCGGGTGTACTTACTACTTGCGCTCTAACACCGATGTCTGCTCATAAGAGTTCGAAATTTCATCAGTACTCAGCGGGAAGAAAGTATATCCAGACCATAGTCCTGAGACACGCATATAGCTATGTTTTCAGAATCTGATCGCAAGCTCAAGTGATCTGAGCTGCCTGAGTAACCATTATCCTCCATTAACTAACAGTTTTTTTAAAAGCCGACGCGACAGGGTGAAATTTGTTTGCAAAACCATAGATACATCTCGGAACACAGAGGGTTTAAGTCCTGAGTTCACGGTAGTGGCATAATCACCCAAACACTGACCGCGGTCTACTACTAAGTCCTTGTACGAGATTATCAAGTAATGCTAAAGTCAGTGACCGTTGAGGATACGTACAATATATTCGTGGCGAAAGACACTATCAAAGCGCTTGTATAGTAGACGGCCTCCACAATAATGTCGACAAAGGCTTTTATGATTTTCTCCTTGTCCCATTAAATAACTGGTGGTGAACCTCCTCTTTGACATTACGCGTGTGTCCGTGTCACATCTGTGCATGGACCCACCAGCGTGTTCAATGACCGAATCTGGAAGTGAGAATGCTTTGGTAAATTCAGATAGTCACGGTTGAATTGACCAAGTGGAATTTTCTTGCCTTAAGTTGGTGATCATGTTGAGAACGAATATTCATGAAAGATCTGATAAGACCTAAGAATATCCCTTTCAATAATTTCAGTCTTCCCAACAGCGACACCGTTGCTTTGGTTCTCTCGTCCTACGAAAACGTCGTCGAGCTACAAGCTACCATTTCTTAGCGGTTCCTTTACTCTGCTTGAACAGTGTACCCAGCCAACATCCAAGACGCCATTCATGTACAGCCTAGAAAGAAGCGGAGTCAGCCAAACTATGTACGCATGTAATGTTAGCAAAAGCTTGTAGAATCCACGAACTTATCGAGCGTACCTTTGCCCTGATTATCGTGAATTCAGTTTGGAATTTAAACTTTGTATGGGAATCACCGAATTGAGGACAAGAGTAGTAACTGCTATGTCTGTCTCCACTGTCGCGATTGTACAGCGTCCTTTCCAAGTCATTTCGCATCTTGACGGTGCTGTTTGTGTTTAGTGTGTTGCATTTACGTTGAGCGTTTGATTCCGGCCTACGTATCACTAAGACTCAGATTTTCTGTCAGTGTCACACCCTGGATTTCATACCAGCAGCTTTCGCGCCATCAGTGCGGTCAATCACCGAGTTTGGAAGTGGAGACACTTTGTGAAATACATATTGGTAACCGACCAAGTGGATTTCGACTTCCTCTATGTTGGGAATGAACATCAATGAATCATCAGATGAGATAGAATCGACAGCCCACGAATGTCCTTTCAATGATTCGAGTCTTCCCAAAATCGACCCCGCCTCTTTGGTTCCCTCAGGCTCGTCCCACGAAACATCTTTGAAATCCAAGCTACCACTCCTGGCAGCTTCCCGAATCTGCTTGAATAGTATACCCAGCCAACATTCGAGAGGATGCTCATGTACAGTCTAGAATGAGGCGGGAGGCAGGCAAAGCAGGCATGCAATGCCGACGAAAGGGTTTTAGGACGAGCTCGTCACGGTGGGGCCTGCCTCTGCCCTAATCGTTCTTTCAGTTTTGATTTTTGAAGTTTGTATGGGAGTTTACCGAATTGAGGATAAAAGATTAACAACTGTGTCTATATCCCTTGCAAGACTTCAGTAAATGGTAAGTGTGTGGTTCTACGTTGAGCCTTTGATTCCGGGGTATCTACTGCTGAGAAACAGATTTGCACCTTGGCGGTTCGTATGATGGCAACGGTCTTGGGGAAAGGTTTGTGCCAATGTGCCAGGGCTCCGGATGTGGCACAGACTCGGTATATTTTGCTAAATTTGTAGGTGATCATGTAGCCACTTTGTACCGTCATTGGTGAATACTAAAAATGGAAAGTCTGTTCATCAGTCAGTCGAGCTGCTTATGGTAGACTGCAAATGTGAGGAGGGAATGAATGGGCATGTAGATTTCTTCAACTGGATAATACACCAAGACCTTTGTAAGGTAGCAGAGGACCGTAAGTCTCTTTAAACCATTTTCGTCAGCAGCCTCCGTCATCGAGATATGGGTATGCAGATAAGTTCCCAAGGCAGCATTAAAGTCAGAGATATGCGGTCTCCACAAGGGTTTCTGTTCGAGCACGATGACCTATGATCTTGGAAGAAGAGTTGGTATTTGAATAGAACGACTCAAGACAAATTGGAAGCTCACTGTTGTTATGGTATGAATCACAACGATGCCTTGGCTTTCCGGTACTGCTGAAGAGTCTGTCATCTCTATATCCTCGGTGTCGCTTTTTACTGAGTGCCTCCCAACATCTAGGCTATACGTTGAGTAATCCAGCAAGTGTCGAATTTGAAGAATGAACAGGTATTACCGCAGGTCTCCTCATTTTTGGGTCGCTCAAGACGAAGATAGGGATGAAATTTTGGAGCAAGCTTTTGAGAACGATATCTTATGGGGCCAACCATTTTTTTCGGATGGGCTTAGGGAAGGGAACAAACAGCGACTGTCTATATTTGGATTGCTGTTGACTGTGTAAATGTCTTGTGATTGGTCGCGGTCACGAAAGTTCCAGTCCCAACCTTTCTCCATCTCCGACAGGTTGCAACATCTCCCCCATCTCGTAAGCCCCAATTCAGCTCAAAGTTTCCGACGCAAATTCACGACAACGGTGAAGCTGGGCTTGAAATTTTTCGTTCTTTAAGTCTGTCAGATCCGTAACGCCCTATAATATTCAGAGACCGCCAATTACAAACTTCTGCTCTCCATCGATCTCCGCATTTCTTCTCCTCCAGACCGTTCGTTCAGACCATCAAGAGCAGCGTAGCTAGATAGATTTTTGTTACTTCTCTTTCTCTATACGGCTACGCGTGATCGCGATTGATAATAGTAAAAACCGAGAGATTGCGCCTAGCCCAGATGATACTGGTATCGCACCGCAGCAGGCGAATTCGAATCTTGACCATCATTGACAGCTGAATGATGAGATCGAAGATTGTGGACGCCTTTTCTTTGGAAACCGATATCAAAGGGGCGTCAACGGAGGCTGCCATTTTGATAGCCCACAAGTAGCAGCACAGCGAACTGAATCCGTTCCTCACCCAGAAACTTATTAGTTGCCGTTTCGGACAACTCCGACCGGCCCGTGAATCTGATTAGCTAATCTCGATATCGTTTCATTGCAACTTTACCTGAACTCCCGCACAACGATCTTCGAGTCCGTCTTCCTGTATTTGTTTTTCGTAAATGAACGACAGGAAAAGACCGGCTCTAGAACAACTATCATCTGTGCGACACGCCAAACAACAGCGCACAGCCCTTCTCAGTGTCGACGGCGAGAGACAAAGCCCTGCTGTAGCCTCAACAGCCGCTCTCGTGTCTCGCTGGAACCGAATATACCACGATCTGAAGGAATTGGGGAAGGATACTATATTGCTTCTTTCAGGTGAGCATGCAGGTGACTGAGCGTGGCTTTCGCGTCCTCCAATCACGAAATAACTGTCAATATAGGTCGCGTTGTCTCATCTGAGTCTTCGGAAGAGTCGCTTGAGCAGCAAGGCTCTTCCCAAACACTTTCTCCATCGCCAGAGCTTTTACCCCAAACAGGTGCTGCTGCAGAAGAGTCATCTCGAGTGGAATCTCCGCCGGCGACACCAAACACAGTACATTCTTTCACCGCGTCGCAAAGTTCTCTGAGGCCCACCAATCTCTACGCGACGAGTAGTTATTCGTCCTTTCCTTCTACATCGCCATTCACATTCACACCACGCAATCGTCACTTTCCTTCGTCTTCCGAAAGCTCTGAAATCAGTTTTCCTACATTCTCAAGCACTCATCATCAGCTGCCAATTACACCCTCATCTTCTTTGGATAATCTATATTCTTCTCGTAGACCGCGGACAAAAAGTACAATGGGCCCACCTCCAGATCCTCTGATGTTCGATCCATATCTTCGGTCGACTTCAGCGTTGGAAAAAAACTTGCAGTCGTTGAAAATGGCGCAACAGCCCCGGCTCTACAACATTAGGCCGCATATCTATGTGGAGAGAGTGAGTCTTGTCCCATTGTACTGCCTCATTGTTTGATTGCGGTTTAGCACAAGCAAGAAATTAGGAAGAACTTGGAAGCAACGAAAGATCTGCTCTTTAAACTAGCTCGACAAAAAAGAGGTGCGTTTATGAATTCACCGAACAAACTATTATTCATTTTCATACCAGGCTTCAAGTCAGGTCGAAAGGATTTCGATTGTCAGTTTAACGTGTTGTGTTTCCATCGGTATCGGCTACTCATAGCAAACATGCAGCCTATCTCGATTACTCGTATATGCTCGAAAATGCTGAGAAGAAACCACGTTTTACGTCCCGTCAGTCTATTCGCATATTTTAGCCAAGACATGAACTCATGGAACGGATTGTAGCTTCAATGATTGACTTGCGCTCGGAATACGCGTTTGATGACAAGAAAGCGCTTTCCCGTCGAAGTTCAGATTCGTTAAGTGTAGGTACCGTACTGTCATCGATCGGTTGTTTCTGTTGCTGATACCAATCCAAAAGCGAGAGCAATGGTTAGAAAGAAAGCTACAAATAGCTCAAAAGATGTTCAACGGGTGCGAACTGCCTCAATTCATGATCCTCTTTCTGTTAACGCTCCGAGTCGTATAGTCCGAAACCTCCGCCAGCGTGGAGCCCTTCTCTTGATGATCTCAAACTCCGACAACGTTCTAAAGACGATCTTATTGATCAACGTCTTCGACCTCAACGCCTCCCTCTCCCATCTTCATTACCTCCTGAAGACGAAGGCAAAGTTAAATCTTTGCTAAAACAGTCCGGTGTCATTGCCAAGTTCGCGAGAGAGCAGGTTTTGGATAAGGATTTGGTTCGGTTAATGCCAGGGAGTTGGTTGAACGACGAGATTATCAACTATTATGGGGCGCTGATATTGGGACGTTCGGATGAATCCAAAGAGAATGGGGACAATGGAATAATTAATGGAGTTGCCAATGCTCGGAAAGGCAAGGTCTTGAATGTGCACTATTTTACCACGTTCTTTTGGCAGAAGTTGACCCGAGAAGGCTATGAGAAAGGACGATTGGCAAAATGGACCAAGAAGGCTAGTCCAACATCGATGTTTTCTTCTCGCAGCGCTCTTTACTTTGTGATACAGGTCGATCTATTTTCGAAAGACATCGTGCTTATACCCGTGAATCACACCAATACCCATTGGACGGCCGCAGCTATTAACTTTCGACAAAAACGAATGGAGTCATACGATAGCATGGATTTGGATAGGTCGGCAGTGTTCAAAGTGCGTCCTGATTACTTTTATCATTTTGTTTGAAATTCACCATCTATAATCAGGTCCTTCGAGGTTACCTAGATGCCGAACACCGTAACAAAAAGGGTATACCTTTTGATTTCACTGGATGGGAAGATTATATTCTGAAGGTGTGTCCAAGTGAGTTGAATGTAAAAGTTAATTTACCCAGTCCCAAACAGGATACCCCGCAACAAGAGAATGGGTATGATTGTGGGGTCTTTACCTGTCAATTCCTTGAGTCTTTGTCCCGTGGGGAGGAAACGTTCAACTTCAGCCAAGACGACATACCCTATCTTCGCCGTCGAATGATTTGGGAGATTGGCCATTCGACTCTCAGGACCGACCCGTAATATGCATATCATTCGGTATCGACCTTGCAAAAACTCTACCCAACGTTTGCTTTGCTCCATTAGGGTTGTGTATATCTTGTTACCTTATATCTATAGTTATTCTGTTCAAATATTTGGAGATCGTCAAATGTATCTACTACGACTTGCAAGAAGATTCCTGTAAATATGTAGCAAAAATCAGGAATCTGCACGCACTTACATCGGGTAATATACTTTCGACGAAAAAGGATCGACGAAGGAGATTGGATGACTTCTCGTAGAGATGCTTTGACGGCTGAACAACGAATTCTGAGTAGAATCTAGTGGAACCTAGTCAGAATCTCTGATAGACGGCTCCGTCTAAGGATGGGGGATACAAGGGATATATAATTGGGGACGGCATTCAGGTCTTTGTTAATCCAAAATTGCTGGTACTAGGATTCAAGCTCAAGGATGAGCAGATTCAGCTATCACACGTTATTTAACGATGACGACAAAAGTACTTATGCACTTGAGAGTTTGAAGTACTTCATTTTTGTATTCCTCCTTCCATCACACTTCTCTGTGTTGTTGTACATAAATACCTCTATATTGCTTCCATTTGCTTGGTGTAATATTTTCAGGAATTGCGCGAAGTAGATTGTGTTCCAATATTTCGTAGTAATGGTATAGGGAGAGAAGAACAACTGTACGTGCGAAGTGATGTTCATCGCCGAAACCACCACACGACCACAAAGAACCAGAACACAATGATGAGAAAAACAATATACCATAACCACCGACATCCTTGTCGTGAAGCCATGTTGTTCATGCGTCGAAAGGTCCCTGAAAGAATCCCTGAAGTTTCTGCAAACGCGTCGTTCTTTAGAAGTAAATGTTAGCGTGTTCTCAAATGATAAGAGCGAATGATACAACGCACCATTTGACTGAGCTGAATCGCTGAATCCTTCACTTCGTCCCGTATACCAATCGTGAGCTGATATTTCCAAAAAGACCATTATCATTCGCGTTTGGAACTTGAGAATTGGAGTAAACGGAGAACACCATCCCGTGTCCCGCTATTCACTCACATCTTTCAGCATCCGAACTTTAGCGTTTAATCCCTCTATTGCTTCGTCATTTTGGCCTTCTAAGTCGTCTGCAAATCGCTGGCCCGCAGGAGGGAACGGAGAAGACCGACCAGAAGCAGGTGGTGTTGAGCCAAATGGGAGTGTAGATGTAGACGAACGGTTATGTAGGACGCTCGAGTTATACCTGAGGTATATATTGTTATGCGACAGTCATTAGATCATTTGTGAATCCTACCTCTGAGACATGAAGGTAGTGAATGAGAAAGAATACGATTCTTAAAGACACATTGAATGCTATTGAATAGCCTGGATGATGAAGATAACCTTAGCGGTTCCAAGTACACGTGGAAGTATACGTATTCGTCGATTTTGAAGAGCAGACTTGAAGACTATATTCAATTACAAGGACTCTGAATCAAGAATCAGACTATGGAATACAACCAAGAGGCACCAAAGGTGTTGATAACGGAGCCAAAGGAGAGTTAGTAAAGTAAGAAAAGAAGAATATGTACACCTGGTTCTACAGATGACAAGAAAGTAATGCGAATCGAAAAGGATACTATAGTACTAGTGATGGTGAGACTGATAGATGCGATGAAGATGGTGTGCTGTGTAGTGTAGAAATGTCCAATGTCCATAGGATGCAGAAGTGGCGTCACATATAAGTACACAACAAAACGGGTCGTCAGAGGTCAATCAATACTCATCCGGTTCGGATTCAGGCTTGCGGGTCCTGAAAACGCTGCGGGATGTGTTGAACCATACCGTTGATGTGTGTTCTTTCGGGCCACTGTTCAATATAATCATATGAGCGTGATACTGACAGATTGCGTGTAGTCGGACTTACATGCACTCTTCAATCCTCGACCAAAATTTCGCATGACCATGATTGAAAGAATGAAAGTCGCAACCAGTAGCACAATCGCGATAACCGCTGCAGAGCACATTAAGATTTATGGTGTACAAGAAAGTGTACGATGCTCACAGAATACCATTAGCGTCTTCCAAACAAGTTTAAGGTCATCCGTATTTTTGTACATGAGCACTTTGACAAGCTTGTTTCCGCATGTTAGTGACATTTCGGGCAAGAGAAGGCAGAATGCAACACACCTTGTACACAAAGTAGACCATAGCGCCAACACAACCCGACATGAACGTCGCCATCATCCATTTGTTCTCATGTCGGGCAGCGAGATGTCCCTCGACCAGAAGAATCAACGACAACGGCATAGCAGCGCATGTCACATAATACTCCCAATCGGTCTTTTGCAGCACTAACCAGATGAACTGTACAGAAAATCCGGCCCAAAAGAAAACGTCGAACTTGACAAGGCATTCGTAAATCTGGTAGTTGGCATACATCTTCTTTATTCGTCGATCGGCTCCCAGGAATTTATACACCTTCCAACCGAACTCATTATAAATCTTCCAGCCTAACCCGATGTATGCCAATTCAGCAATGGAAATGACAATTGGTATGATGGTTGTAAGGACGTTAATCGGTACGGCGGAGGAATCTTCGGTTGGGACTATTTCGCGAATTTCGGCAATTTGAATGATAGCGTAGACGAGGAAAAGCGCGTTGAAGACACTATAGAGAGTCAACAGGAGCTATGAATGATTACAGCAAAAGCAACGCACGTTAGAAAGATGAACTGGAGCGTATTTCGAGCATATACGGCGTCACACGCCATCACGAGTTGGAAAACGCTATGATGGTGAATTAGTCATTTCGAACAGTGGTAGTGAGTAGAAGTCGACGTACTGGGCAAGGGCAAAGATGCTCAAATATACAGGCATTTTATTTGGATTAGATGTGTCGTCGTCGTTACCGGATGCGTCGACTTCATGAACTCGCAGTAGGAGTTCAGCTTCGATAGCGAGATCTATTGTAGTCTCTACGAGAACAGTGATGACATAGAATCGACATGCTAGCGATTCCGGGAGGACCTGGTGATGAAAATTAGGCACAAGAGCATTATCATTGACAACTGCGGCGTACTTTTTGCCAGAACGTTCTCGTATCCATCTGCTTCTGCGGTGGCCGTGGGGGGTATGCGACGGCGGTAAGGTCATGAGAGGAGTCATCCGATTGTTTCGAGGAGAGTGTCGGTTTGTGAGAGAGTGGATAAGAGGGGCCTCGGCGGTGCTGTTCTTGAGCTGGTGTCTGGACAGCATAAGTTTGGTGGCGAGAATTGGCGGCATAAGGGGAAGAGTATTCATCTATGAGGTCGTCGTATGAGGACTTGAACTCATCCTGGTCAAATGTTGGTTGTAGATTGCCGTTTGGCGGTTGTGAGCGTGAAGGATTGTCGGGATAAGAGGCCGTGTAAGCCATCTTAGATTATATTATAGAGAACTATTGTCAGCCAGAAGGTCGACCTGCGAAGATTCGAGCAGACTGTGAACAAATAAGCCAGATAGTGAACGGTGAGTTGTGAGTTGCAGAAATAATTCCCACAGCAGACAAGCGGCCACATACCTATAGGACTATTTACTTATTCAACCGTTCCTTCAAGGAACTATCGCAAAGAACAAGAAAATCGCAAGGGAGTTGATAAAGTTCGAGAAATCGTAGCAACTAGTATATACACCTCAGTTGATGTCGGACGAACGTCAACAAGTATCCAAGTACACCGCCTGTATTTATTCAACATATTCTCGTACTGCATGTAGCTATGTAATCCAGTTTATTTTACCTTGCCCCGAGTAGTTGTCCTCCGTTTTCTAAAGGAGTCGTAGTGTTCCAGTGATTTTGTTCACTAATTTGGCCGGACCTATATATGTAGCAACAATTTCAATTGTATGTTAGAAAATGTTAGAAACCAGTTCGTGTGTACTTGCCTGCTATTCCAAGAACAGTCCTCGACCCCGCTGCTACCTGCGTTCTCCCTCTAAATTTTGTGTGAAATATTGCTCTTGTAGAAGCTTGACGAGGAAACTCACGCATCTTGGATCGAGCGAGCACAGAGATTCAAACTCTGAGCCTGCGCTTGTAGCGTTAACAACTCTTCTTCACTGAAGCATTTCAACGCTATTTTGATCTGCCTTAACCAAGATAATGAATTCCGGATTTCCTCTGTGCCCACTGGAGACACACCCGCTGTTTTCCCATTGCCTCAAGAACTGCGAAAGGGCACGGTCCCATTGAGGATCAAGAAAGTGTCAGGAAATATATACTACCTACGGCCGGATTTGAGGATAATAACGTCTTGTAGCATGCTAAAGTCGCATGTCTGTATGTGCATGTTTGAGCGAGTCAGACTATAGTGGAACGCGATATCGCGTCTTACGAGCACCTAGAGAGTCGAAAAGAAATCAGGATTTGAGCCATAGCCCATGACCAACATCGTACTTTCCAACTCACTGTGCGGCAATTTTGCCTGTAGACATGTTCAAGTCGGTTCGCACAACAAGGACCTGCACGAATGCATTAGCCCTGTGTCTTCGCAGTTAGATCCAGGAAAGGGATTGAACCATTTTGCATTCATCAAGAGGGTCTACGCCAAGTCCAGAAATACCACCATCCCCAATACTCGGGATTTTGTTTTCTGCGTCTGGATTGTCGTTAGAGGTCAAGTTTCCTGTTGTATGGTTATTCTTGGAGGCCAAGTTTGTGACACGACCAGCATAATATCCAAGAGAAAGCGTAGCTGCAACAACTGCTGCGTAAAGCACTATATACAGAAGATTAAATTGAAATAGCAAAACTCATACAGGCAATTTCGCACCTACACTGTTCAGAAGCCATGAACAGGTTCACCAGAATGGGCGCCTATCCATCCTTGCATTAAGGCGCTACGGCCGCATATACATGTAGTCACGTGTTAAAAGCTGCATATATCTTTTCCCAAGCCACCTCTCGAGCTTAGTCAGACATCCTCAACATCCAGTAAGTTTTGAATCGGGTTCGACGTCCCCTCAAGAAAAACTCTAATGGTATGTCCTACATGATGGCTTTTCCCAGATCTGGGCTGATGATCTACGTAGGCCCCAACCACGAAAAAGGTTTGTTTACTTCGTCAACTTGGAATGCGACTTCAAGAAAAATAATATACCAATCCCCATTTCTTTCTTCCATTCCTTCATTCGGAATCCCCCTCACCATAGACAGGCGGCGGCAAGACCCGCTCGGCCCTTCAGGATGTTGTTACTAGGGAATATACTATACATCTTCACAAGCGTGTTCACGGACGGTCATTCAAAAAGAGGGCACCTTGGGCAGTAAAGTCGGTTACGGAATTTGCTCGGAAAGCCATGGGCACCTCCGATATTCGCCTTGATCCTAAGCTCAACCAGGCAATATGGGCGCAAGGTATCAAGACCGTGCCTCACAGGCTGAGGGTCAAGCTTGAAAGTCAGTGGTTTTCCGAGGTTAGAGTTTATTTCAGAAGATAATCTGCATTTCTAGGACGGCGTAATGACGACGATGGTGCTAAAGAAAAACTATACGTTTATGCTTCACATGTACCAGTTACTTCATTCAAGGTTAGTAGTTATCGGAATCTTCTATCCTTTGCAATCTAGTTCTCATCCACTCGTAGGGTCTTGAAACTGTTGTTGTCGACGCAGAGTAGAAATTATCCCATTGTACTTTCCGTGTCCCTATGCAGTAGTCCTCACAACAGATCTCAACACCCTTTCGAGCTATATCAGTTGTTCTGTCGTCCATGTACCCCGTTATGCATCTTTCATCTGAAAGATGTGCAGACATCTTCTACCACTGTTCTGCGTTGCAATTTGCCTGGTAGCGTTGAAGCTGTGCGTAGTTGACTGTTGCGCACATCACATTATGCAAGCAATCATTTCTATTTCGTGTTCTACATAGTGACCTGAGGTCTACAAGATTCCTTCAACAGACTGAAAAATCATCAGTGGTGTACATATCCTATCTGAAATTCCATGTATCCGCACGATAAAGCTTGCTTTGACAATCGCGATGTGTTTTGTTACATAACTAGCCGCGTACTTGATCCTATTCCTGTCATGATACGGTTACATAGCAGTCTCTCACTTCCAATAGCACGTACTGAGTGTCGGATGTCAATTAGGAGACGAGAGGAAAACGTAGGTTTTGAAAACTATCCACTGTCCGAAGTATCGGTAGACGATCCAGTCTCATCTCCTTCGTCATCTGGCACAAAAAATCTGTGAACAATAGCAAAGAAAGTAAATACTGAATCGCAAACCTTCAATATAAGCAGGAACAGGTGGCGGCGGCCTCGGAGGACTGGGTTGTTTCAATGGTATAGGTTTTGGACGATTAGCCATGCCTTTATTCATGAAATTAGAGCTGAGGGTAGATGACAATGACGCGTCAGGGGAGGATTCTCGAGATGATCCAGACGTCTCTCTATCGTTAAAAGAGGCAAGCGATGAGTCGCGGAGTTTTGAAGGTATCTTAGACTGTGAGTTGGTTGCTGGAAGCAGGGACGCCTATATGAACCAGTGAGTGATCCATTCATATACGTATCGCGGGAAGTTGAACTACATACGCTATCCATGTCAGACTTTACGCGAGACACCGAAGATCCTGGTTGTATTGGTTGAGATTCAGACTACTGCCAAAAGTGTGTAAAACTTACCTTTTTGTTTCTGCTTCTTGCTCGGGGATACTTGGGGTGAAAGTGGCTATGAACTTGTTAGAATACATCGTAATCAATAGTTATTACGATGCCTCACCCGCTTGCGCTTCAGATTGAATTCTGCTTCGTCTAGAAGAATCGACCAGACGATAAATATTTCATGTGAGTCATGCTGATCAAGGCATACCTGCACGCTTTGTCTTCGATTTTCCTTTACCTTTCTGTGCCAATTTTCCGTCATCAGACGGGTACCCAGCCTCCGAGGCAGGAGAACCAGACCTTCCAGCGTCGGAAGGCTGTCTACATGTCAGAGAACATCAGAGTAGATAACAATGAGAGAAAGTCATGAACTACTGCATACTTGGCCTTTGTGCTTCCACGCACAGCGCCTCTTCTGGAGCTATTCAGGCCCATGCAGTTGCTTAGATGGGGCGCGTAACGATTTGAGGCTACCTACGAAGCCCAGCTTCAAAAAGTTCCACGACAAACACGTCTACGATCAACGGACCATTCTCTGACAGTTTACACATTCCAAGTGAACGGTACCGTCTGACCCCTTTGCGCTATTGGGCGTGTTGGCACCTCCTTCGGCTGCTGAAGGGGTCTCTGCTCTAGAGGAAGACGCCGGAGCTCGCGAGGTGAGGGAGGCCGGGACATGAGCTGTAGCATTTGTTTAGAGCGAAGAAACCACATTAATTTCGGCGCAAGATCGATACCTCCATTACACCTGTTTCAAGACATACATCACAATTGTGCAGTTTACGAAGAATTACACAGCACAGCACACGCACCGTGTTCCACAGTGCTCGCAGAGAGCGCGACTCCTGGATACCTCGGCGTGAGCTTCAAGGGCTACGTCCATGATAAAGTCATCAAGAAAGTCGCAAAATAGTCTATTGCTCTTCACTAGAGATTTAGATACCATGGATATCATGAATTCAACCCTCCTTTCGGCGTACCAAAGTTGATAGAATTTGTTCTCTTTCCGCTCTCTCTGCCTTAGATGGAGCCATTTGAGCTGCGAGTCCACAATGAGTATGTAGTTTGAGTTAGAGGGACTCGGGATAACACGTGCATCATGATCGTAATGGTCATTATCAATGTTCATTGTACCGTAACACGGTTGTATGTTATTAGAGAAAAAGGAATTATTAGCATGATAAAAAGAACCCATTCCAACCTATTCCAACTAACAAAAACTTCACTGATACCATTGATATATAAAACGGACACCTCAGTAATGGGACGACGACAACCTCGAGACCGTAAATATACCCAAGATGACGACGGCAAGGGCACCGATACTGGCGGGTAGAAGTAAGTCCTTCGGAATGCCCAGAACCTGGTCTTGAGGGAGAGGTGGAGGTGGAGGGGCATAGACAGGTGGTATCGGGAGTTCCTGCTTTTCAACTTCCCGAATCTCCTTGATGGCAGCAGCAGCCGTTTCCGCCGCTTTCACTTCACTATCTCGGGCTCCCGCATCTTCCCAAGCCTTTCCACCCTGGACGAACAACACAACACGGTCAGAACCACTGCTTCTCGCGATCTTCACTGCGTCAGATACATCATGGTCAGATGTGATCAAGACCGTGTCGCCATCTGCATCGGTATACGATAACAAAAAGTCTATAGGATCGGGCGGGATCACGTTCGAGTCCGTGGGCTTGAAGTCGGTGAAGAACGGGTCGGTTGTCAATTTTCCAGCTACGATTTCCCTGAGATGTTCAACGTTATCATGTCGGGATTGGAATCTATGGGTTCTACCGCTGGGGGTGCGGAATTTGAATACATATGTCCCGTCATCGACGGGGGGAGGGGCACTTATTGAAGGTGTTCCCTTCTGGTTATGATAGCTAACAGCGGATTCATCGTCCACGACCGATGCCGAATCGTTGGGATGAACTTCCGAACGAGGGGAGTGCAATTGAGAAAGGCTCGTGTTGGATTGTAAGGCGCGGATATCAGGAGGAATGTGGGATCCGGATAACATCGATTCGGTATCATCGTGACCAATGGAATCAAAGAAACGACCCCACATCGGACCTCCGTCCGTCTCATTACCAATACCTTGCTCTGCGCTCACAGCATTCATCTAACGATAATGAGAATATTGACAATATGAAGACCAATGACACTTACTTGTTCCAATGTCGCATATGTCAACTTCAGCACGTCAACAATGGCCACAAGACGACCGTCATCCTCCAAGACAGGCAGATTGAGGTAGTGTCCGTCTACAATGACCATGAACAAGAGGTCCGCAATTGTGACAGAATGATCACTTACTATGCATTTTTTTCAATGCTTCGTGAACACTGAGAGTGGGAGGCGCGGTATCAGGATGAGGGGTCATCACTCTTACAACACTGCACCTCCCCGAATCCAATCCAGCTGCTATGACTCGAAGGACGACATCCTTACTTGTAAAGATACCTACCACCTTCGAACTCGTTTGCATTCCTGGAGATGTAGCAGCCCCCTCCATAACACAAACCGCAGTTGTCCTTCTCTCCTTCATCAGCTTCGCTACTTCACGTACTGTGGTTTTGGGTCCAACCGTAGCGGGCTGGGTTCTGGAGTCCATGACGGTTGTTAAATCCGGCAATGCGGTTCTTTCACGCAATTTGTCGGCCCAGGCGAGCATAGCCGCAGCCTGAGGATTAGATCCTACGTTCCCCAGTTCAGATTGAACTCCAGCCATGGCGTTGAACAATTGCTCAGAAGCAGCGGAGCTCCGTTCGACCTTGCCCAAGGCTTCATGGAACACTTTCGTGATATCAAGCAATCCAACTACATTCCCATCTTCATTGCAGACAGGCTATAAAAAAGGTGAGGGCTGACATTTAAAAGATCTAGACCGCGCAAACGTACCAAGTGCCTGAAATGTCGGGAAACCATCAGCTGCAGAGCCTCTGTAGCGCTGGTGGTATCTTGTGTGACCATCGGGTGTCGGGTCATAATTTGGTGTACCGGTGTTAAATGAGGATCCAGTCCCTCTGCAGTGACCTGGGTACGTATTACAATGAATATACTTTTTTGAATAGTGGAAGAGATTATCCACGTACCCGGTAGGCAAGATCCTTTGCTGTGAAGATTCCACTCAAGCCTTCCTCATCATCTACAACGAGGACACAGTCTGTCCTTTTCGCGGCGCATAACTGGCTAGCTTCCGCGACAGTGATGTTCTCCGGAACAGTGAGGGCCGGTGACGGCTTCAAGGCAGCCACAGTTCCCTTCTGAGCAGATGCTTTGTTACCACGTCTACGCTGCTGGGTTTGAGTAGTAGAGATTGTACGTTTTCGGGAAAGCTCGGATTCAATCTTTTTACGGATGGCCTAGAACATGGGAGTTCAGCGAGTGCAAGGAAGTGCAAGAGAGTGAGACCACAAAGGCTCAAGGCGTACTTCATCTCTCTTGGACGTTTTCTTTCGCGTCTCGGACTGGAAGCCAGAAAGAGAGGACATCGAGGTATGTGTAGTATTGTGACGCGAACCGGGTAAAGGGGAGGAAGCCCTTTCTCCAGGAAAAGGAACCGGTGAGGATACGCTCACACTTCGTGGTTGAGAGGGAGAAGAACTGGGAACTGGGATCCTGGACATAAAGGCTTTCTCTAAGACCTTACCTTGAAAGCGTCACCGTAAGGACGCATCACTGAATCTGGCACTTAAAAGAACCTTCACGTGAAATAGTTCACACGGGCTCAAGCTGAACTTGACATCGGCGTACTCGACGCGTTCAAGGTTGATCAAGAAAATATACGTATTGTGTGTTACAAAGCGCTCAAGTATTTCGCTTCCCTGCTACGACACCTCCACTCTTCTGCCTCTGGCTCGTGGTGTACCAGTAGTAAGCCCCCCCAATTGCGGCTAGCGCAAGGAAATTTGCTTTTACCAAAGTCAGTATGTTTATTCGACATCGGTCCCGGCCTGAGCAGACAGAAAATCACTTACCAGCAACAAATCCAACGAGACCTTGGCACATATCAATGCCCAATTTTAGGATACTTTGTAATAGCTGTATGGTGCTGCCAAACACGTTCATAAAGAACGCCAGGATGGCCTGAAAGACAGCCATGAGTGAGTTGAATAGTCCACCACCGATGCTAGCGAGGGCGCTGGCAAATTCTGAGAATGCTGAGGATATGGTTGGTGCCATGATTATTGTATGTTAGTTTGCTATCCGATAAAAAAAAGCTCCTTTATAACCAGGTATATACGTTCACGTCATTGGATCGTCATTATTTTTCTTGGAGCAATCAAGTTACATTCCTTTGCCTCGTTGCGTGATGAACTGGAGTGACCCAAAAAGCTATTACAGTAAATAACGTCCAGATATCCAACTCTACAGGCATAATAGCATTCTTTACCAAAAAATATTGTCCTGTTAACGAGCAGCACGAGCACCTTGTGCAGGTGTCAAAGTACTTCCTCCCCACCTTGCAACAAGCCCTTTTCCTTGGGTCCAGATATTGGTCAAGGTAGGGTTCCCCTGGCCAGCCACGATCCCGTCAATGCGAACGACGGTATACGTAACGGCATCCCGAGTGAAACTGGACTGATACCATCTTTGTCGGAGGAAATGCGCATAGATAATGGGAGACAAAATAGAGTTCCAGAACAAAAGAACGCCGAAAAGGACGCGCACAAAGATGATAAGCTCAGCATACGCGACGGCTTTCATGGCAGTATCGTAGTTGGCTATCCAAAAGCATATAAGCGGCAAGTTGCTATAGGCAATGGGATCGACACACCTTTCACCCAAACCTGAAGTTGTTTAGCAAAATGGTGAGGGGTAGGTGGTCCATCCGCAGTGGCAGGAGGTCCTGGAGGAAGGAACTGCGGCATCAAGGTCGTACGCGTGAAGGTGAGGGCGTGGAACAGTGAGAAAATCATGAACGGAATCAAAGTGACTGGCACCAAGAGAATTTATGAGTTGAAAAAATGATGCATGCAATTTGGCGCGTACTAGCAATGGGTTTCGAAGTCCACCAGAAGAAGGCAAGAATGAAGTATTGCACATTCTGTGCGCCATTCAATAAAATGTGCCTCCGAAACCAGGTATTATTACTCACCTCGTCGAGCAATGCTTTCCTCACGTAGGCCATGTTAGGCTGAGGAACCTAGCATACCGTCAACGTCGGAATCACATAGATGCAAGGTTGTAGTTTGCTTACTCCTAGTGATTTTCTACGAAAAAACACATCGCAGAGATTAGTTAAAATTATTCCAAAAGGTAAAGTAGCTACTCACTGGCAGACAATAGCGTAACTGAGGAGTGCACCAGTGTAACACGCTGCCGAACACGAGTCAGACCCGGGTCCCCTAACGAGCAGTGCGCTCATTGAAAAGCACACCTTTGTACCAGATTGGAGAAACGGTTTTAAAAGTGGCGTAGGCAAAGAAATATCGAAGAGCTGACAACAGCAGGATAAAATGGCCGGAAGCCCACAGATAATGCTGAAGTCAACGAAGGATGAGTTAGTTGAGCATTTCACTGAGCGCAACGGAAAATAGATTAAGACGTACCTGAGTCGTAGCCATCTACGAGTTTACAAAGGATAAAGATTAGGGAAAAAGTACAGTCGCTGAACGTGCGTGTCGAAGAACTTGTGGTCCGTGGATGGAAATGACGAATCGGAGTTGGAGTTTGTTTGTTTACTTTCAAAATTTGATGGGCGTTTAATTCATTGCTTATAATTAGCGCCCAGTACTCGGTTCAAGGCTTTCAGCCTCTGCTACCATGGGGGACTTCCAGGTCGTTGACCCTAAAGGATGGGAATATGATTTGCATTCGGTAACTACCTCTCCCTTCCTCTCTATGCTGTACTAAAAATATTTCTAGGTATACTCGGCTTATATGGGACATTTCCAAACTCACCACATCGCTTGGTAAATCATCATTCGTCCACAATCCAAGATAAGCGAGCCCATTGAAGATTTAGGTATGACAAGTCCTGGGGACATTTATTCTCTACCTTTGAGGAATTTCTCGCATTTTCATGGCCGGTAATCGTCGTGACCGATGCTCGAACAGGCAAAGCGCATATCGTCACCAGGTTAACTTCGATTGGTGCTTTTCTGAAAATGATAAAGACTAGGTACGATGTCGGTACTCAACGATAGCCTCAAGCATGTCTTGAACTAGCTCCTTTCTTTCTCTCTCCTGCTCTAGATTTGGTGAAACGCTTCCTCAGGCAGCAAACATGGTAATCATTCAGCCCTTCGAAACCACTACCCGTCATCTCCGCCATGTATCCGATCACGCAACGTACAAAAAGCTTCACAGCACCCTTCCAGCTGCCGTTCTTAACGCACAAAAGCAACGGATACGTAACGGAGAACTGGATTTCATTCAAGAAATTTGGGATATGCAGGATAAAACTTTCATGGCTGTTGATTTTGAGTGGAACGAGCGCAACGAGAAAAGTACATTGGAATGGGGATATGCTGCCGTGAGATGTGGACCTTTGAAGGCGTAAGCAAGATGTCTAGATCTAGACGCGCCGTGGCTGCCTTTCGGGTTATTTTGACCGGTGATTCCTTTTTTAGGCTTGGTGTGTGGCCACCAGTGCCCGATGATAACTACAGGTTTGTGGCTTCTCGACCTGCCTTTTCGACGCGTTTGACGCGTGATTCATCTCAGAAAGGGCCACTACGTTGTTCAAGAATACATCGACAAAGTTGTAAACAAATATTGCCCTACGTATCCCTGGCACGTACGTTCTTTGCCCATTGATCCCCCGTGCTCTTCTGAAGTCCTCAATTAGTACGCAGTGCGCGAATATAGTTTCTGATCAGCACTGAAGTATTCACTAATAAGAAATTTATACTCCTAGTTTGGCGATAGTCAAGTGATATCAAAGGCAAAGCTCCCACAAGTTGTACAAGGTATTATTAGGTTTGTGTGTCGGTGTTTTTTGTTTTTAAATAAGAGCTGAGACGGTAGTATGTGCTCACAGTAGTCTCGCAAGTCCTGATTCTGAGACGTTACCAAATAATCTTGTTCTTGTCATTCATGGAGCCAGTGGGGATCTGGCTCGTCTCGAGGATATGAAAATCAGTCAGTTCATCTTACTTGCATGCTCTGGCATTCATTCCCGCAATAACAGATTTCTCCTAGGACTCCCACACAACATGCTCGTCATTGACATCGCCGTGTTCGAACGAAGTTTATACAATGAAGGCCTTCGTCCACTCATGGTTGACCCAAAGACAAACCAACAACGTCAATCTGGCACCACGCTTTCTTTGGAGAACCTTCTTCGTTCGTTTGCTATGACAACTCAAAGTGACAGCATCGTTCTACCCAACATAACATTTCACAACTCTGGGAACGATGCCTTCATGTGTCTTTTTGCCCTTCAGATGTTGCTTGACCCCAGAGGCGTGAAAGTCCCAACTCCAAAGCGCAACAGTAGTAACTTTGGCATGAACCTTCATATGGGTGTGAACACCATGCCTATGACGATGATGGCTCCCCAGGCAGCCTGGGGTGGGTATTCTACCGTCGGTGGTTTACTAACACCCAGCATTTCGTCTCCTGTGCTGCGTAACTCGGTTTATGATCTCTCGTCAGAATTTGGGCAAATGCGAATGGCCAGTGGAGAAGGCTCGAAGCGCTCAGCATCTAGATCTCCCGGACCAAAAGTGGTTCCCGGGAGTGGGAGCTCGAGGAGGTTGAGTGGATTCAGATTTGGCGATGCTTGAACGAACAAACGCGATCTTATAGATATCGTTTATGATCTTTATGAACTTGGCTTTCCTTGTTTCTTCTGGACATTATAGCTCTGAAAATTTACAACGGACTGGTCTTTAATTTCTCGTCGCACTCCATACTCTATATTTGGAAATTTTGGTCAACGGAATTACATAGAACATACAGGACTAGCTAGCACCATCTAACTCATTTTCGGAAAAAAAATATTGGAGAAACAAGTTTAGTATTTCCTAGGACTAGTACCAATTACAGCGTTTCATCCTATAACTTGGCGCTGTGACAGCAAAAAGGGGGGTACGCCGCAGAACACGCCAGCTCAAATGGACTCCATAATCAGCGCCTAGTAAGCTCTGTAGCAGGTGGGGCCCGACTCGCTGCTAATGGCGATCTGCGGTGATCATTTAAGGTGATACCGTTGAGCCGAACTCGTCGGTGAAAGAGTTCACTCCACGCACATATCATAGATATCTGTTGGATTCACCTCCTAATACGAATTTCGAAATAGCCTTAAGGATGATACAACACCGTGAATTATTTGAAGAAAATACATGAACTTCGATTACATAGAGGATTCACTTCCATCATAATGAGCTTTGTTTCAACCGTAGGTGAGATGAGAATGAGGCAGTTCCCACTCAAACGAGGGCCGCCGACCTCACGACGTTCTGCGTGCCACGTATCAGAATCACGCTTGATCGAGTAGGGATAAGAATGTTCGCATACCTCTAGTTCTCCGGGTTGTGCTCCAACAAGCTGTTTGTCTTTCTCGCCGCCTTTGAATGATATGAAGGTAGGCATCTGCGATAATTCTCAGTATCGAAAAAAATTGCAGAGAGCCGAGGATTCATATTACTCACAGCACGGATTCCTACTTCTTGAGAAATATCACCCTGCTCATCGACGTCTACTTTGTAAAAGTCTACGCCGTTGAATTCATCTCTCTCGGAGAGCTTCTCGAAAATGGGCGAGATGAAGCGGCAAGGGCCACACCATGTTGCCCAGAAATCGATAACAACCTGAAGATTCGAGCGATCAGTAGATATTTCCAAAATTTCATGTTTGGAACCGATACCGACAGGTTTAGAGCCGTTGATCTGAGATAAACGATAGTCAGTCGGTGGATTACATTGGAAAACTGGGAAGGCCCTCACGATCTGCTTGAACTCGTCGTAGGACTTGATTTCTTTGACGACCATTTTGAAAACTGAAAGGGAGATTGGGATGGAGGATGTAGTTCTGTGTGGAGGGATGACAACTTGTGAAGAAGAACGCTGTGGGATGCCTTGGTGCCTTATATAGTGTTCGGTCCAGTTATTGCGACATGAAGAATAATACTGGTCACGCTTTTAAGACTGACTAAGTGATGACTGAGAATCACACTGTTCAAACAGGTCAGCTTGCCCGATGATGAGTAGTCATGGACAATACAAAAGAGTCAGTGTTGTAGTTCAGTAGGTCCATCCAGCAGAACTAGGTCGTGATGGAATTACGAAGCGGCAGAAGGACGAAGAAGTAATGATCCTGATATACTTAGAGGATAAGAAATCTCAAGGAATAAACGTGCATCTCTCTTTCAGGGTCGTAAAATTAAACATATGACACATCCTGAATTCGACGATGTCGACCCGACGTAGACGGTAGCAACAATGACCACAAACGAGCACCCACTCAACATCCTGATACATTGTCATCACATGAGTGCCTCTTATTTATTAGAAATCCTCAATGTATGATGCCAACCTCTCAATACTAGGCTTTGAAACTGATTACACTTCTTTTTACAGTTATTTCAAGAAATTACGGGTGCATGTCCATCGTGAGGAGACAGTGTGTGAGGGTGCACGGACGCCAAACGGACGCCAAGCGGTCAGCTGTCAAGCCGAAGATATCGGTCCGGCAACAAAGGATTTGACCGGGAGCGGGAGTAGGCGGGAGTCCGCAGTGGTTGACATTGTCGTAGCGCTCACGTTTAACCCGGGCCTAGATGAAGTACAGAAGCAAGATACAGCAAATGAACAAACCGAGACAGACCGAGACAGAGATGGTCGAGATCATCTACTCCATTGACCTTTGTTCCCCATCTTTTGTCGATCTTTATCCTTTTTATAAAACTCCTTTGATACTTTCTTATGCCCCAAAGATTCTAATCTCCGTTGCTTCCCTCCATCTCGGCGCGCCTGAGATCTGCCACTTCTCTCTTGCCTCTCTTGGTCCTCATCCTCTGCTTCCGAAGCGTTATCCACCTCCTGTGCATTGGTCACCTCCTCCATAATAATATCATCCTCATCATCCCCCTCATTGTCTTCGCTTCTCGGCCTTTTCCTTCCATTCTTCTGTGTGTTGGAGGATGTTTTAACAGATCCAACTCCCAAATTAAGGTTGACACGCGGAGGTACAGCGAACCCGAATGCTTTCCCGACCTTCGCTAGATCTAGCGCGTTGACATCGAAGATCTTTTTGAGTGAATACGACGCGTAGGCTTGGAGGTAGGACCGGAATCCGTCCTTTGCCGATTGGTGGAGGTAGTAGTTTTTAGATAAGAGCTTTTCCAACTAGATAAACAAGTGAGAAAATAGTCTTTGTGTGGATTATGTTTAACACAAACTTGAGTTTGGATGTTCAAAATTCGTTCTTGGGGGAAACTAAATTCATTTAATGGTACCTTTGCTTCCTTGAGGTATCGAAGAAAACCAAGTTCGCTTTCTAATAGGAACAGTAGACTCTTGCCGACTTTTCCTGCTCTAGCAGTACGACCAACACGATGAATATAATCGCGGGGGTCATCTGGAGGATCGTACTGGATGATCACATCCACTCGTGGAATATCTAAACCTCGAGCAGCGACGTCCGTACAAAGCAGAATTCCGGTTTCCGCGTTCATGAACTCGAAGAATGTGTTCGTCCGTTTTTGTTGTTTTTGATTTCCCTGGAGAGCGATGATTATGAGCACGAAAGTCAAGAGAGCTTTAGAAATCAGCGAATTACATGCAAATCGAGGACAGGGACGTCGATATAATTCAGTAATTCGGCATGATATTTGACTGAATTTCGACTGGAAAAGAAGACGATTATCTTCTTCTTCCGGTTCAGTTTGAGGTAGGTGAAGAGAAGCAGGAAACGTTTATCTGAGGGACAAACAACGTATCCTTGGGAAAGTGTTGTTACTGTACTTGTCGACTCCTCTTTGTCAACATCGATGGAGACAGGACCTGGTCGTAATGATATTCGTGCCAAATCGTTGACTTTCGTTGTTTGCGTTGCGGAAAATAGCATGGATTGTCTGTTTTCTGCGTGTGGGAGGGCAGCATAAGTACTGGTGGAAGTAAGGACATGAATCGAATTGACGGACACGCACCGTTAGGTAGAATTGATATAATTTTCTTCATCTGCTCCTCGAACCCGATCTCCAATATCCGATCAGCCTCGTCAATAATCAGCGCTTTCAAGTTCCGGAAGATAAACCCTTTCGTGCCCTACATTTCTTACGGTTAGAATCTCGTCTACTTCCTTGTAACAGTACAACCCTACGCACCTCCAAATGATCCAATAATCGTCCCGGAGTAGCTACAATCAAATTCACACCTTTCGTCAACTTTTCCTCTTCTGCTCTCCTATTTGCACCACCCATTACGATCCCGTACGTTTGTGAATGATGCTGCATAAGGTCCTTGGCTACACCGAAGATCTGTAATGCGAGCTCTCGTGTTGGAGAGACGATGATAATTCCTGTCCCTATAAATCATCATCATCTTAGGTAAGTATAGCACATCTCGAAGCAGAGATAATGGAGCCGGTAATTTACCATTCATGGGCTTGAATTTTAGTCGATGCAATAGCTCAACGGCAGGAATAAGAAATGCAAGCGTTTTTCCAGAACCTGTTCGAGCTGCACCAAGAACATCTTTTCCAGCAAGAAGAACGGGTATTGATTTAGCTTGAACCGGAGTCATTGTGCTAAACCCCATGTCAGCGAGAGCCCTGGTTGTCTGCTCAGATAGATCCAGAGTCGAGAAAGGTTGTCGTTCCGGTGTTTTATCAGTGCTCTTTTCTGGCGAAGAGCTGGTGGAGGCTTCAGCTTCAGCCTTTTTGACTTTGGAACTTCCGGTGCTCGTGGAGGCATCCGTATGTTTGTCCTTGCGTTTGTTACCCATAGCTGAAGAGATAGTTATAAGGACGAGAGAGTAAGCGCTGAAAAAATATTTCTGAAGGAATGGAATTGCCGGATGATTCGGCAAACAAGGTTTTCGCTCAGACATGGTCAAACTTGCCTCGCAAAGTACGTTAATCGCGCTTCAAGCAGTTATGGTATTCTGTTCCACTAAGATGGCCACACAGTCATAACCTCTCTTCTTCTGGGAACTGCGTCGGCTGCAATAGGATTCTATCTCGGACGAAGACAATCAACTCTAGAAGGTCGACATTCTTCGACCGCTGAAAATTCCACAAGAGTGGAGGAAACTGATCAAGGGGAAGATGAAGATGAAGATGAAGATGATGACGACGGGATTGCTGATGGAGATCTGGCTGCTATAACCCCTGGATTCGCAGAACCGTGCAAAATGGTACGCGTAACGTCAAACAATCTTACTCTCTATTCAACCCGAACCGGACCAATAAAGTTAACCTCTCAGTATGGAAAGAATAGGTCTTGATTGTGAGGACCGACCTCAAAATGACAGTAGGGAAGATATCCGCCCAGTGAGTCTCAAACTGCAGTTCAATAATAGACCGAAACCCACATTTTTTGTTGTATAGATGCGGGTAAGGGATTTTTACAGTGGTGCTTGATACTTCTCAAACTCACATCTTACATTCAGACATGCAACCTTAGCTTGTTACAAAGCCCTGACAAAGAAAAATCCAAAGGTACGATGGCTGGAATCTGGATGTTTTTGCCCTTTGTCGACAACGAATACACAGCTTGTGCGTCACTGGGAAAGAACAGGGCAAGTACAAACCCTCATCTCTACTATTGGTTACTCACTCATCCATCGTATATAGTCAAGCCAAAATTGCGCTCAAGGGCACTTCTGAGGAACAGCTCCTCGAGTTGGAGGCGATTGCAAAAAGTTTAAATTTATGCGCTCGTTCAATTATAGACGCGTAGGTGCTTGTTAATTGCTTGCAATTCTAGTTGATACTGATGCTTGCGAACCGTAATAAGTGGACGAACACAAGTTGAGCCTGGTACAAGAACTGTACTTGCAATTGGACCAGCTCCTGTTCCACTCATAAACGAAGTAACTGGTTCCCTTCGGCTTTTATAAACAAAACACTTTCCAAGTTTTGTTCGATGCGAAGTGCCAGTGAGTAGAAGATATAACCGTTCATGTTCATTCTCTAAAGTACAAAGTCGTCATGAAATCTACGTTTACAGTGAGGTGATAGTACAAATTTGTTCGTTCGTAATAGACAATGTTCCAAACTTTTCTACGTTGCGACTAGTCATTATGAGCAGCCGTTGTTCGAATCGCCCGACGCTGAATTACTACCCGCGCCGCCGTTGTCTAGCGAAGCGCATATAGTCAGCAACAAAGGCCGGCGACAAGACAGAGCAACATACCAGACATCATTTCAATCATCCCGTCGCCATTAGTTGTCGATCCTCCAGAAGCGTCTCCGGATGCTCCAGAGAAATCATTGGCGGCGCCATCGGTTCGTTTGCACTGCTTGGTAGTAGCACGGGAGCCAGAGACGTAGCCAGACTTGCTGGATCCAGCATCACCACCGTTATCTGTAGAGAACAAAGAGAAAAAATCAGAACGTGCTAACAGTAAAGGCGAGGCGTCCAAACTTACGCGAAAGGATTGCGAGGAGTGGGGTAGTTTCAAGTCCACAGACGCCATTGGCGCAGTTTTCGTTAGAATTGGGGGCCTGTACTACATCACCTCCGCGAGAAGGACCAGACGCGCCACTGGCGACGTCGTGTGGAGAGCGACCATCGAGAGGGAGAGCGTTGACAGTATTCTCGGCGAGGAGAAGCGAGATGAACAAAAGGGCGAAGGCGAAGAGGCGAGAAAAGGCAGACATGGTCGTGATGATAGCGTAGTTTGGTGGGTTGAGAGTAGTGGTGGTAGGTGTTGAAGGTTAGATGTCCGGAAAAAGAAGCCCCCGCCTGGTTTTTAAAGGGCTCTTGGTCCGTGCGACGCATACATCCAGCTTCCCCAGATCCCAAAAAGGGTAAAAACTTATAACGCGTGACGCAATCTGCACAAAACGGGAAAAGGGCCTAGACTTGCAGCTTATCATGTGACTACTGGTGTATGTAAGCACCGGCGACGTTTTGTCTTCCTGTTCGTGTTGGCAGTGGAGTCTTTGGAGTCGTCGGCGCGTCAGGCCCCGCGTCACTTGCAGACACAAATCAACATAAATGAAGAAATACCGATGAGATATAGGCCCAACATATCCCTATCAAATTCATGGCCACCATTGCCGTAGCTCGCGCATATCAAGCATCCTTCCAATCTCGTCCTCACACAACCCTCGCTGTTACCGGCGGAACTTTCAATGCTCTGGGCGACTTTGTGGCCCAGACATATCAGAATACGGTAAGAATCTGCAGTTACTGCTGGTGTATATCGTTGTTAATCTTTATACTCAAACTTTATACTCGATAGTACGGAAAGCAGGAACATACTGGCCCTTTTCGCTATGATTTAGATCGTACTTTACGCTTCTTTTGCTTTGGTTTCGCTATCAGTGGGCTCACCTCTTTACAACCATTGACTGAGCGCTCACAAGCGGTTATGGTTCAGGTCCTCTCATCGGAAGATGGAATGTCTTCCTCGAGCGTCATTTCCCCCTCCGCGCTTCGTCGGGGTCAGGCAGTGTTAGTTTAAAAGCATTGTTCAAAAGGGTGGCAGCGGACCAGATCGTAATGTGCGTCTATCCCATATAATGAACTTATATTGTTATCTGACTATTCCACTGTCCTACTCGCAGGGCTCCAATTGGAGTAGGTTACATACCGACGCTTTCGCCAAAGTCATTTTCACTGACTATTTATCCGTCCTTAGCTCTCGTTGTTTCTAGGTTCCATGGGTGTCATGGAGAGACGGACTATGCCTCAAATCAAACAAAAGTTTTTCGACCTCTACACACCCGCTCTGATTACAAACTGGCAAGTTTGGCCAATAGCGCAACTCATCAATTTCCGTTTCATGCCCCTGCCCTATCGTGTCCCATTCCAGTCCACATGTGGTGTGTTCTGGACACTCTATCTGTCGATCATTAATTCCAAGTATGTGTCTTTTCTCATTCTCTACTTTGAACATGTTTTTTTATTCGTGACGTCGCAGGGAGGATATGAAACAAGACCGAGAGGTTGAATTACACAAAACTCTCATACAATGATTCAATTGATATGAAGAATTTTCGTGAACCTTCTGTTCCTTTCTTTGTTCATACATTAGCTGTCTTCAATATTCAATGTAGCTCTAGCAATCACCTCTCCACACACTTGCTTCATTATCTTTCTCCACTGGGTATTTACTTAGAAACGCAAGAAGTATGCGGATTATCCCTAGAAATATCGATACTTTTTGTGTACATAAACTTAAATCTACGAAGCACCGTACTTGTGTCTGAAATACGCGGGCGGTAATGTAGCAAGCACATCAATCAACGGCCTCTCTACTACAATCAGCTCTCCAGGTCCCAAGTAGTCAACGAACAATATGGGGCGGTACTGCGTGATCAACTTCAGCTGCTCCTCCAAACCTTCATGGTTATTCTTTTGCAGTTTGTAGTTTTCCCGCCGACGCTTCCGCGAAAAGTCATCACTCTTCATGGGACCATCGTCGAAATTGATTTTACATAGCCAAGTTGATCCCCAAAAGACAGCGAATCTCCCGGACGACTTTGAAGGTGCACCAGGGACTAGAGGCTCAAATATAACACCGATAATGGGATCGTGAAGATGTGTGAATTTTTTGGGAAGATTGTCACATAGCTCTCGAGCCCAGGAAGGGAATTGACGTGTTTCAACATCATATATCTGGAAGGTGTTGTTCGGGAAAGCGAGGACGATGAGGTTGGGATTAGAAGAGCTGAATGCGATGGATTGGGCGGGATGCAAGAAGGATGGCAGAACGCAGTGATGCTACGAGACAATAATTAGTGATATAGCAATTTGTGACTGCCCAAAATGCCTACCTGAATGGAGTCCAAGTTGAAGATGTGAGTTCTACTGCGATCATCTGACGTTGCTAACCACTGTCCATCTGCACTGACAGCCATACGGGTAACACTCCCTAGAAGAGGTGAATCATCGTCGTCGCTACTATCTTCCTCAACATCAGAGCCCATTTCAACGTCATCATTGATTGTTTTGAGGTCTTTCGTAACCCGATCGTTTGAAAGGTTATTTCGCTGTCGGTGGTGGTCAAACTTCCGCAGAACCCGCGGCTTTTCCTCGCTAATGTCTATGACAAGGATATACGATGTCAATGCAGTTGACATAACCAGTTTTGTGGAATCGGGAGTAAAGGCAAAAGATAGGCCACCTGTAGAGGCGGGTTTCTGCGGCAGATGAAGTGAGATTATTGAAGCAAAATCTCGTATTCGTCTAGGCTTTACTCGTCCTTCAGCCTAGAATCCCAATCAGTGACAATCGGCCTTCTTTTGAATAACAGGAGAAGCCCACATCGGTTATTAAACGAAAGAGTTTGGTCTCATATAAATCGGAGACCACGAGCCATTTTCCATCATCCGATATCGCAGAAGCCACAAGGTTAGTATGGACATCCAATTCCATCTCTACACATTTCTCCCAATCAGCAGAGTCGGTCTCCTCCATCATTTCTTCTTCGTCTTCGTCCGATAAAGAAGGTCTTTTGAGGATTCTCCATATACTCAAACGCGATTCCTGCATACATGATACCAGACGCGCCTGGCGAGCTACATGAATGGCAGAGGTGGACGAGGGTCCAGAGGAATAAGCGAGACGGCGATGATATGAATCGTCAAAATTAGCGTGTACGCTTGTTGCAAGCGGGTTAATTACTTTAGACAATAATGTACTCGATGGAAGCGCGGCAGGAGTGACAACAACAGACATATCCAAGCCGCCCGATGCAATGACAGGCGCGATGTCTGAAGGAAAATGTCGCTTGTGTGACGAAGGAAGAGGAGTGTATGGTGGCCATATTGCTAGAGAGCGAACGTCATGTGCGTGCATTCGACGAGAGGATGTCTGCATCCAACGCATTTTCGATCTAACCTCGGAAGAGTTTTCGGACCCTTGGCTGGTCTTGACGCGAGAGTATTGAACGAGCTTCTGGTCCACGCCGGAAGAGTATGCTGCGAGTCCGTCCTTTTATACATGATTAGCAGAAAGAAGCGTTTTTGATGTTTTCTTCACGAACCGGGCCTACTGTAAGACACAGAACATCCGCTCCATGTGAACTGAAGCTCTGCAGTTGGGTACAAGTTCGCGAGTCCCAGAATTTCACCATGCCTAACGAGTCTCCAGAAATGATAGTTCCATCTCTGAGATGAGGAGTATAAGAGGGATATCGTCTTCTGAAAATCACCGTTACTGACCCTAAAGTGGCTACTGTCCAGACTAACGTCCTTTCCCCGCGTATTTTATCCGTGCCCATTTTGTCAAGCATTCTACCAGTAGAAGCGTCCCATTTTCGCAAACTGCTATCTGAACAGCCGGCTACTAACCATGAGTCGATCCATTCATCGTCGTCGTCGTCGTTTTCATCTTCGTCTTCACTTGTACTCTCTTTCGGTATCGGCGGGCCCCAAGCGACACTCAAAATTCGACCTTTTACGCGATCAAGACGCTTAGAATGAGTGAGAGTGTCGTCTGCGACGGATATGAATCTAATCGTTCCATCTTCGCAACCTAAAGCAAGCATGGTTCCAGCAGGATTTGCTGCAACAGACCATATGGTTCCGCCTTGTGAATTGATCGTTCTCTAAACCACTTGAACAACAGTAATTCAAAGAATGAGTAGTAGCTTACCCGTATGGTCGAACTTTCTATATCCCATTCCAGAAGCTCACTGCCTCCTCCTGAGCTGAATAACCGTAGATCAAAAGATGACGGAACCTGGTCCTTTTTTATTGTATGAGGTTCCCGAATGATAAATGCAAGAGAATCGACTTTTGAAGGGTACAATCCAGGCAAAGTCTTCAAATAGTTTCAGTCCAATCCGTTTGATTAGGCCAAACAACTGACCTTTCTTATCACCCAAGCTTGGTTCGACTGCGGGTCGTTTTTCGAACCTGTCCATTCGTAGAGATCAATACTTCCATTAGCACGTCCAACGGCCAAAGTTCCAAATTCTGGGTATTTTGAAAAATGCTTTTGGCGCTTGATAGAGGGAAGGGGGAGCGGAGGAAAAGCAATGGCAGTGATGGCAGAAGGATCAAGGTCTATAAATCGACAGCGATGGACAGAGACAGTGCTCGTCGCGTCGGGCATTCTGAAATGAGAAGATGGAGAAAATGGGCAGGGCGCGTTTTTTTTCCTGATTTGGTGAAAAACGTGACATTGACACAAGTCGTCTCAGACTCTCACTTCAAAATTATACCACCTTGATACCACCACTTCATTTTCTGCGCCTTTACTATGTCTTTTCTCAGCGGTGCAAGGCCTACGGGGTCCACAGGTGGTGTCAATACAGACAAAATTGAGATGGCTATAACAGAGTGCGTTCTTCTCTTCTTGGTTTACTTTTCAATAACGCGTCTTTGGATTAGACTTGACACTATCACCGACTTTTTCAACCGAATGGTTGCGTCCGTACTTCTATTCGAGTTCTACAGACGACATTCTCATGATACTATCAACAGGTCTTGTCATGCCAAATGTATAACACCCCGCTACACCGACGGTGAACTGAACAAGGGTGAAATGGTCTGCATCGACAGATGTGTGTCAAAATACAATGAAGTACAGAAGAAGGTTGGCGAAAAGATTCAGAGTAGAGGAGCAGCAGCAGGCGGGGCAGGTCCAGGAGCAACAGGACTAGGTTTCTAAATTGGGTACATATAATGCGTTGTTCAGTGCAGCACGGTACGACATAAAACACCGGTCTATTCAAGCTTATTAATGACATGACCCAATAATCAATAACTACCCGCCTCTAAACCAAAAAATAAAGCCCACACGTATCACGGAATCATCATTTGCCAAAATTAGGGAAACACTCGGTTATGGCCTTTGAATGTTTGTTCTGGGCATGTTCTTCCAATCTGTGTAGATGAAGCAAAAATGTTGATAGCAACCAACAATCTTCGAGTCTCAAAATGCTTACGCAGGCTGGCGGGTAGTAACGAACTAATCAATGGATGTCAGTCATGGAAGCCGAAGTCAAAGCTCCTGCTGGCTCACAAAGGCTTGCTTGCAAGTAGAGCAAATGATGGATTTCGCCGCCTCGTTGCTTTTCTTCTGGCTGGTCTGCGTTTTGTCTGTATTCTTAGCGTTCCGCTCTCTTTTCTGCGCTGCTTTTGCACCCTGTAAAGTTCCAAGGAATCAGTGAAGAGGGTATATGGAAGGAGAAGTGTTGCATACGTTACCCATATTGCAGAAAGTCTAATAGAGATTCAGAGAAATAAAAGAACAAGGAAAACGAGATGGCCTCGAGGAGAAAGTGCGAAGATGAAAAGCTGTCGATTACGTTACCGGAAACGCTCAATCATCTGATTACTGCTGCGACCGTTAGTGATGACTGGAAAAATCGCGCAACAACCACAGGAAATATCAATATGTAGGTAGGTTATAGTCGATGAAGCAGGCAAGACTGATTTAACTTCTACAGTTGTTCAAACCTCTTGTGACTACAGACAGGACAGGAAATCGGGCCGGGAGAGCAGGACGTGCTCTGCAAGTACTGTACAGAACATCGAACAAGCAATGGTCTCAAGTGAGCTTTTGCATGACCCATGGCCAATCGATGAGCGATAATGGACCCTGTGTAGAAATTATGACTAGTATTGCTCAGCCATAAATAGCAATCAGGTCCTGGGTATTCCTTGACCCGTTTCCACCAACTGCACCCAACCTTCCAACAATGTCCCAGGTCGAAGTCTCCGCTGATGCAACAAAGACCAAAGTTGCGGAAGAAATCAAGTTTGACATCCTAGCTGGCGTACCAGCAGGTGGCAATGAGCTCAAAAGGAGCCAGATAGCCCGTACATTCATCTGTCAGTGTTTATCTAGACGATCCATATGTTGAAGCTCATCATACTGCAGCGGACACGATTACAGGTTTATTTTCTACCTGATTTTCTCGGTAAACCCTGCCAAAGCTCAATCGTCTCAGTGCCTACGAAGGAAATGTACGCATATGCTCTCCTTGCTAGTCTCGGTGACGATGTCTACCATGAACCATCCACTATGCAAGTGTCCGGTCTCACTTTGTTCCCATGTTCCGGCGTTCTGAACAACCACTCAGTGCTCTTGAAACACACGTTGCCAAAATTACTGGCAAAGAAGCAGGTCTCTTCATGCCTTCTGGGTACGCACCCCTTCCAGCGAGGCTTCCACAGAGCTCAGTCTTGCTCGCCCATCTGACTTGCCTTCTGCCAGTACCATGTCAAACCAGATCGGCTTGAGAACCCACCTCATGCAACCTCCATACACGATTCTATGTGACAACAGGGCACATATTTACAGGCACGCCTCGGAAAATCTCCAGAGATCCGCTTGAAAGTCATCATGATTTTCTATTGCAGGTATGAGGTCGGAGGTGCCGGATTTCATTCCGGTGCTGCTTTAACTCCTGTTATTCCTTCGAATGGTATTTCCCCTTCCTCTATGTATTTTCGAAGTGTCCTGAAGAATTTTTAGGTCACCATCTGACCCGAAAAGACGTGGAGAACAATATCATATATGGTCCGGATGTGCACTTGTGAGTATCTAAAACTAAAAGCTCCCAAATGATTGGATAACTCTCGAACAGTGCACCAACAGAAGTCATTGCACTTGAGAATACCCTTAACGGAACCATCTTCCCTCAAGATGAAATCATCGCCATTTCGGAATTTGCACGTTCCAAAGGGATCAAGATGCATTTAGACGGTGCTCGGATATGGCACGGTAAACGTTCTATCCGAGTCTGCTACATAATTCTATGTGTTAACAATATGCACCAGTTGCTGCGGAAACCGGAACTTCTCTGCATGAGCTTTTAGAACCATTCGACACTGCGAGTTTATGCTTTAGCAAGGGTTTAGGTCAATCCCTTGTTCTTTCCTGTTCCGATCTACAAATTCTCATTTTGGAGCTGAAGGTGCACCAATTGGTTCTTGCTTGGTCGGTCCGAAAGAATACATCACAAGAGCTCGACGCATCAGAAAACTATTTGGTGGTGGGATGCGTCAGACTGGAATTCTCGCAGGTGCAGCTGCTTATGCGCTCACTCACAATTTCCCCCTTCTTCACCGCGTTCATGCTCTCACCATTAAATTACAAAAATCATTTGAAGACATCGGTGTCACTATTCTCAGTCCCGCAGAAACTTGCATGGTCAGTTCTTGCGTGTATTGCCATGCGGGTGATGCTTGATTCTGTATTGCTAGATTTTTTACGATGCAGCTAGCATCGGATCGACCTACGACGAAATCGCCGAGCGTGGCGAAGCATTACCGGAGCCTCTTTTCTTGGGTGGGTCAAGAGTAGTCCTGCACATCCAGACCTCAGAAGCTGCAGTCGACGATTTCATCAAACTCATTGCGACCATTGCGGAGGAGAAACGCAAAGCTGGTTTTGTGAATTCAGCGGTTCAAGCCAATGGTCACCAAGATGTTTATGTTAGACGCACACACTAACTTAGAAGCATAAATTATGGGATATAAAAAGCTCGGATTGCGTATATGGACATATTTCCTCAACCTTTCCCGACATAACGTTGTTTTTCATACTCCCTCCAAAGTGCTTTCACGATCGCTTTCTCGCCCGCATCTGTAGCAGAGGCCATCAGAGTGTCTCGGCTGAAATCGTTCATCATCCCGCACAGGGCATACAGTCCCGGTTGTAACTCTTTTCGAACCGCCGTTGAGAGTTCACACAATGGGTTGTTCAGCGATTCCACATAAGCCTTGATAACATATGCTGCATGTTTAGAGAAGGGTTTGGCCAAAGACTCCGCTTTTGATGGAGTGGTGGTTGACGTAGTGAGCTTTCTGACCACATTCTTCGTATTCAGAGATTCAAGCAAACGAGAGAGGGCGTTGCTTTCCTCGACACCCAATGGATCTCGAATATTTATCCAGAACGGGAGACTGCGAGAAACCAAGGCACTCTGTTTTGGTCCCAGACTAGGTCGAGGGCTTTGCATCGACTGGATAAGACGTCGTAGCACTATTCCTAGGTGGGGAATAGTTAACAGAACCAAGTCTCGACGTAAACGAACGAGGGCGGTGGTGATAGAGACGATACAATGGAAAGTCTCAACAGACGTTGTCGGGTTATGAGATTCAGCGCCCGCACATATCTTTGCGATGAACAACCAGACACCACTGACATCAACTTGGCGCAGTGTTGCAGGCTTTTACGAAAGGTTTAAAATGAATTTCTCATCGAAGACATGAGCACATACCCGGTCGCGACATCTTTGTAAAAAAAGCCGTAGCGCAGGCAGGTGAACTACTTTCGTGAATACTTCACGATCATTGAAGATGCTGATGCTTTGAGTCACGAAGTGCTGCACAATGTGAAACGTGTCTGTCGAGGAATGTTATCGAGCGAATGAATGGAATGAAAGGATGTCACCAACTTCGAGGGGAATCTTGGAGAAGAATCGATAGAAGATTTACGAGAGCACTGCATTCGTCCGCATTTGCATGTTCCAGCGAAGTCACGATAAATTTCAATCCATGTTCAAATATCTCCGGAGAAAGAGTGGGACATAGTGCGGACATGAAACTGTCAACGCCTTGACTAACGATGTACTTGCCATTGGTTAGTAAGACGTAGGCAGCAATTACAGTCTCGAATCGCTGCAGTCGACCACTTGCTGCACAGAAATTGAATTCCTCCAATAGCACTCCGAATACAACAAATCTGGTTTCTTCATCCTCAGGCGTCGTGGCAAATGTAAACATTCGCACTGTCTGGTCATCGAGGACTGGGACGTCTTTGGGGAATAAGCGGCAAGTCTAGATGCAAATGATGCAAATTTACCTGTCAGTCCTAACCAACGACCTAATCTAAGCACCTGCTGCCAACATTGCAATAGGCCCCTAGACTGTGTAACCTTCGGCGCGCTTGGAGTCTTTGACAATTCCACCAAAGTTGAAAATAGACATGTATGTAGAGTCTTGTAGAATCCCTTGAAGGTATCCTGCGCCATGATCGAAAAACTACATAAAGAGCATCAGATTTGAGAATTAAATGCCAAGAAGTGACTGACCTTTTCATTGGGTGCTCCTTGAGTAACAATTCGACGAGAATATTGAATGTTCGAGCCCAAGGATTCATCCACGAGAAGGAACTTTGCTGAAGGCCATCTGAATAATACTGGATTAATTGTCCAATCTCATCAGAGTTGTTATTTTTAAGCAGGTTTCTGAAAGCATTATGTGAGTCTAGACCACGACATTTCCGAGATTAAAGCAGTTACTTCAACAGGAGTCTAACCAACTCCGTTGTTTCTTGACCAGAAGCCTCGTCAGTGTGTAGATGCTGTAGGTATGCAGCAAGGCCACCCATCTGTTCGAATCAGCGTCAGCGTATTTGTACATTTAGTATTTTTTAAGTACATACCAGGTTGTCGGAGAGGTCGGTAGATGATATGATACGAGAAACACAGACTCTCAAGGTGTGCAAAAGATGAGCATTGCTTATAGAATCCATTGTTTGTTCAATCAAGACCGTTCGCTTCACCAAGGAAAGCCTCAGTGTTCGAGGCAAATATTCAGTTGGAACGGACATTAATATGTTGAAGACTGAGCACACAAGTTGCTGTTGTTGAAGAGTAGCAGTCGCCCAATTGGATATTTCGGAGATAGATTTGTCAATGAAGGTAAGAAGCACACCTAAAGTACGATATTAATATTCTGCGGAATGCGGAATCGAACCGCCCACTCACTCCGGATATTGGATAACTCCCAAAACTCAGCAGAAGATAATGCTTGATCCAGTAGAAGTCCTGTATAACCTTCTCTACTACAAGTCTCTTGAGATACAAGGATGTGAACAAAACGTTCCAGCTGTGCTGCCGACGCTTGTAAGCTTACTCTTGAAGTCAGTGATAGAGATGACGGAAAGGTCGTGTATGAAGGACTTACTCGATGAGCGGAAGCCATCTTTGGATCACCATGTGAAGGATATTAAACGCCGGAGGTTTAATAGTCTCTAATATCCTCAACAACGTATCCAATGTAACCAGTTGTTGACCGGTAGACGTGCTTATGAAAAAGGTGCGAAACTACAGTAAATGATGAATTTCGGTAAAAGACAAAAAGGGGAACTGCAAACCAACAAGTTCGACCCGCAACTCAGGCAGCGAAATGACATCGATACTCTCCAACATCCGTTGAGTCAATTTCGAAGAGCATTTAGCATCGACTGAGATGGTGGGCGAACGTTGAAGGTCAAGAGCGTATCGAAGGCGGAGGTCAGCCGAAATAATGACCTCGTCACTCCAAAGAGACTTCTCAGCCTTCTTACTCATGCCTTTGAACAATTTAGATAACGAATGCAAAACCACTTTAGAAGAAAAATCATTCAGCAGTGTTTCTAGCTCCTGTTGAGATTCTTTGGGGACCGAATCGGCCGAAAATGAAGGAAGCACCACAGAAGCAAAGGTAGCAGCAGTCGAGAACCTGAGAGTTATTCCATTTGCCACGCCATTCACACTGCCACCGCTGTCGACCTTTCTCCTTTTACGAGGGTTGTCCTCGTCCAGAGATCGCGACCAAGAATGATACTCTTCCCAGAGGGTTTCCATACGCTTGATTACGTTGCGTGCAGCAGCAATTGTTTGATTCAAGGGCAAGAATTCGTAGACGCATTTTCCCAGACGATCCAAATGGCTTGGATGGAGACCAGCGCTGTGGCATATTCGTTCATAGACCTTTTGGCAATCATGACCGCATACAGTTTCTCGGAAACTGACAGTCATCAAGGCATCGATATAAAGGGGAACACTGCGTGTTTTGACGTGATATTGTAGAATGATATCCAGCAACTCCAAAGCGGGCTCAACAGTACCTGGAACCTGATCGGAAGAGTTCAGCTTCGATTATGTCGCCACAAGCTCTGCCTTACCATCAGAAGTTGGGAGAGAATGTCGGGGAGTACGCTCTCAACCAACCGGTAATCAATTCGGGTTAATGAGGTCAAGCAACGTACCACCGGCTCAATTGAATCTTTGACAACATCAGCGTATCGTCAACAACCTTGCACTTGCTCTATTTACCTTGGCTGTCCGCTGCCAACTCCACGAAAATTGAGTTGACCATGCCATGAAAGAGCTTTTCCGTATCGAGATGCCGTCCGGTAAATAGCATCTCTTGATTTATCACATCCAAAAGAAGGGTCTTGGCCGTCCAACTCTGGTCCTTGTCCGTTGCTTTGTTGAAGATTTGCTGGGATAAGATGAAGAAGTGCAAACCAGTTTCACGAAATTCTACCAAACCATCAACTTTTTGGCTTGACCCCTGCCCGAAAATAGCATTGCGATTTCTTCTCAGAGCTTGGATGTAAGACGAGAAGATTCTGGGTAGACTGGGCATGATTATTTCCGGGACGATGTCATGGAAAGCAGTGAATAACATGTCCTCGGTTTTATTATCTCGCAGGACATCGAGGTTGAACAAACAATCAATACCAGAGGTGTAAAGACATTCAAAGAGGGTTGAATGGTTTGGAGACGATGAAAGGTTATCCAGACTCGATAGCCAGTCTTTTATATGGAGTTGGATGAATGATGAAAACATCTGTGACACGACTGTTTCAGAATACCAATAAAAATGCCATTTTGAAAGAGAACAACCTTTTTCTTCACTGTTGAAGTAGACAAGTACCGATGGAAAGAGCCCGCGACAATCTTGACGAGATAACCAACATACTCGTCCAATGGTTGACGCTTCGCGCACAAACGCAAACAGGCCCCAAAACATTCCAGCAACAAGTCAATATTGGCTTTGGAGATGCAATATGGCCACAAAATCGTGATGCAATCGTGAGCGATACGCGTATCCCGACATTTATCACTGAAAGTAGCATTTTTGACTGATTCAAAGAATTGGATAACGACCCGAGTAAATGGTACACGAGAAACCAGCGGCGCCAACCACGAATGGGTTTTTGTTGAACGGGAAGGTGTTATGACGTCTAAAAGAAGTTGCCAGCTCGCTAGATCCGTGACTGACTGACTACAGAGAGGTGTGAGCAGGCACTATATAGGGATATGAATCCTCACAATTCAGGGCTCTTCACGAAACGGTTGAGGATAAGATCAACAATGACTTCAGCTTTCCTAGGCGCGTGAAAAGATTGCAGGTCCCATGCTGCTCGGGCAATTTCAATTTTTGAAGGACCCCCGGTATTAGGTGGATCTGAGCTGGCTTTGAGAGCTCGGACAAAACTTTGGGATGAAGAGAGAACTTGATCCATTTCTGTCCCTGAAAAAATTGCCGCGCAGAGATACTGGTCAGCCCTGGGTCAGCCGGCATTTCAATTCGGCACTTCTCAGAACATGACACCGATGTGTTTTACAAAGACAGAGCATTCCGTTTTCTGTTCTTTTTCTCACTGATGTCAAATATAGAGGATTGTAATTCATCCCGCGAATGCCTTGACCTCAGAAGAGAGGAGCTTGAAGTTTTGGAGGTCTGCATTCAGTTTTTCCCAGAATGCATCTCATCGATTTCACAGTCTATATATCCGGACTTTATATCGAACGATATTTCTAAAGGCTCAATCAAGTTAGAAATACCTGTCGAACTCGGGGATTTGAATCAAGTGCTCGTCAAAGATGCTGCTCATATTGGACATCCAACGTCAAACGTGATCACCTTAACGCTGTCACTATTGCCTCCGCTGCTGGTGCATATTGTGCTTCCAGAAACATATCCTCTACAAGCACCTCCAAAAATATTATCGATTCGTGCCTCCCATAGTTGGATCCTTGATACTTCACGACTTCGAGACCTCATAGTCGAGATGTGGGACATGCGAGCAGGCGAAGGGGTTTTATGCGATATGGTTGAGTTCATACGAAGCGGCGCTTTTCTCAATGAGCTTGGAATGGTCGAAGATCGTCAGTCACTCCTGTGAGTACCATTCCTTTGATACCTAAGTATACTTACGTGCGCCTCTCAGAATACAACACAATACCCCGCAGTTACTAGCACCTTTGTTGACCTCATTCGAAACATCAACAAGATCTCGCGAATTTAGTCAAAACTCGTATTCCTGCTCTATCTGTATAACTTCGCTCAAAGGATCTAAATGCTTACAATTATCCTGCAAGCATATCTTTTGTCGCTGTTGTTTGCAAGACTTTTGGGGTTTGTGCATTACCGAGGGAGATGTATTGAGAGTGGGGTGTCCTGATCCCCAATGTGTCAAAGAAGGTCGCCAAGCAAATGAGGAAGAGGTCGCTCGAGCTGTGTCAGAAGAAGCGGTCGCTCGATGGCGGTGGTTGAAAGAAAAATCCATGATAGAAAAAGGTATCCTGATCGTCGGCGTTATAATCATGTCATAGGGCTCATTGATGTCGAGCAGACCCGTCTATCAGTATCTGTCCCATGGTCCTCTGTCAAAAGCCAGTCCCGAAGCCTGATATAACTGATAGTGAGGAATCGGGTTGGCACAGGTTACGGACCTGTGCATCCTGTTCGTATTCGTTCTGTTCGTTTTGTAAGCGGACATGGTGAGTTGTTTCTGTGCCTATATGACCCATCAATTAAATATTTCTAGGCATGGCCCCGTGGCTGCTTGCCCAATATCCGCCTACGAGACCCTTGTTTTAGATTACCTCGCCTTGCCAGAGGAGTCTCCAGGAAGAAAGACCATTGAAAATCGCTTCGGTCGCTCAATCGTCGCCAAAATGGTTGTTGCATATCAGGAAGAACAGGCGTTCAAACAATGGCTAGCAAACTCATCGACACCCTGCCCAGGTTGTAACGTCCACATTGAGAAGTCTCTTGGGTGCAATCATGTGCGTGATCAGATGCATAAACGCTCTTCTTACGATAGACTTTCTATTATAGATGGTGTGCTCCAAATGCAAGCAGCATTTTTGTTATCGTTGTGGGTCGAGATTATCCGCCACTTCACCCTATCAACATTTTTCCATCCCGGGTTCCAGATGTTTTAACAAGTTGTTCGATTATAGTAGCGAGGAGGAGGATGAATGGCAACCTATCGAAGGATTCCATGCACTCTAGAGCACGATATGTATTTTGGTATACTTAGAAACAAAAATTAGAAACAACAATGAATCGCCACTAAGTTGGGCCGAAAATTTCAAAGCCCGCCTGGAGTCACTGCGGCGACTTCCAAAGTGTCTAAGTCTTCGTCTTATACTCTAACGTCAGTTTATATCTTGACTGGTTGTTCTTTCTCCTTTGCCTTCTTTCTGGAAAATTTCTAACAGCCACGACATTGATACCATTGCTTTGTGTCAATACCCCCCCTCTCACTTATATTACCACCACATACCCTCATCGCATCCATTCTCAACTGTACATTTTCCATTAACATCCACCGGTCCCTTTCCTATTTCTCATGGAAGTCTACACAACATCTTTCACCTATCCACGCAGGTCGCGACACATTCCTTCTTCCTCTTCTTCGTTAGACTTTGCTGGTCCCCAGAACACTAGCGACACTCCTTTTCCTAGCCACAAGTCATTCAGCAACAATCAGCTCGCCGAGGATGTGTCCAGTCCAGAATCCGCTGAGCAGATCGCGAAACTGTCCATGTTGGCTATGACATTACACGGTTGTCACGTCTCGTACTTGGAAGTCGGTGGTCGCGGGTGGAATTTTACAGTAACAGGCGCCTACCAGCATGTTCTCCAGACTCGGGGTATGATTCTCAAAGAGTGTCCTATACAGGTAAGTAAAGTGTTTATTTTCCTTTCTACTTTGTTGGTTGCTGACGTATCCCCAGCATCGTGCAGCTATCAGAGTCACACGTTCGGAAATACTTGACTCTCCTTCTTCAAAGCCTGCTCTGAAGCCAGACGTCCGGCGTCGTTTGGATGACATCGCTTCCCAGACTCTCGCCCATATAGCTGTTGTGAATAGTCCACATTCGCTTTCCAATAGGACTCCTCCGGATGGCATTAGTAGCAGCGCTGGGTGGTCGGGTTTGGAAACAGAGCGTATCTGTGAGCTCGTTATCACTGGAGCTGGGGATGCTGTAGACATGGCCAGAGTTCGGCTGCTGGTCATGCTGGATGAGCTGGTAAGTCACGAATTTTGCTGTCATTCACAGTCTAAAATTCTTCCAAGAGCGGTTTGCACTCAGAGATGTGCGAAATCGATAAGAAATTACACACAATCGTAGCTGGTCGGAAGCGTAGCGTTCTGCAGTCCATCCAGGAAGAAACGGCCACAAATATCTACCTTCCTTCGCCTCTGCAAGGACATCTAGGTCCAGAGCTTTCAGTCCCTCCTAGTCTCACAGATAATTTGAGTAAAAGCAATGGCACCATTTGGATCACTGGAGAATTCTTCGGTGTTCAGCGAGCTCGAGATATGCTTTATCAGATGTCTGCAACCAAGGTAAAATACGTTGTTTCGCTATTTAATGTATTCTGTCTAAACTAAATTTCAGGCCAAGTCCATTATTTCTCGAGATACTGCTATCCTGCCGCGAAAGTTGGATTGGATGGTTACTGATAGAACAGAGGACCTGAAGAGCATAATGCATGACAATGCCACCTTCATTCAGTTCCCCCCTCTTGGAAGTTCAACCAGTCTGATCTCGGTTTTCGGTGACCATCGTGTGAACATTCAACGTACCATCCGTTCGATAATGCAGCTCGTAGGTCAAAATCAGTTTGGAGAGGCATATCTGCTCATCCATGATTTCACAGGCTTGCCAATTTTATGTTGGTTCTTTCTGGCTCCTGCCCGTGCAATTCAACGCTTTGCTGCCTCCTCCCACCCTCAATCCTTCTCAAGTCACAAATCTCATCAAACAGATCTCACTTACGACTGGTGCAGAAGTCGTTTTCAAGAGCATGTGCTTTGAGCTTCACGGCCTCGAGCATGAAGTTCGCGCGGCTGTTGGCATGATCATGGAGTTGGACATCATCAAGGTAAACCCAGTCGTTGCACGTATCACAAATGTTCTTTTCGATATCAACGACTCTTTAGGCCTTCCACCACGAGATACGATTCCAGATTGAGCTCTCGAACGAACACCGGGAATTCATCAGTGGCAAGAAGAATGGCAAAATAAATAAAATCATGCAAACAACAAACGTGAAGATCAAGTTCGAAACCTTCAATGATCACAATTTTCTCATTGATGTGTCCGGGCCCGATAGTGTCGTTCTCCAGGGACTGTCGTTGTTGCAGGAAGAGCTGCCCGCGGAGATCTCGTTCCATGTTCCGGAAGCGTATCACAAGCGCATCATCGGTGTTGGTGGTCGGAGCATCCAGCGAATCATGAAAAAATACGGGGTTTATGTCAAGTTCTCGAACGCTGAGGAATTCGCTGCTTTGGGTGGTTACAACGATAATGATGATAATGTCATTGCAAGGACGCCAGCCAAGAACGCGCTCAATCTCGACAATTTGAAGCAGTCTGTGATGGAATTGGTCAATCCCAAGGTTTGTCACTCAGCCCCCGCATTATTTTGACCGGCATTCTCAATTTCTCACCAGGATAAAGACTTTGTCAATGAAACGTTGTCCATCCCTCGTCGATATCATCGCACTCTGTTGGGTGAAAAGGCGATCTTCATTCACGATATCGAGACAAAGACAAACTCTCAAGTACGGTTCCCTGACAAAGAAACAGCCTCTGACGTGGTCACTATCTTTGGCCCAGAGAGCCAAGTTCAAATTGCGGCAGCCATGCTTCTGGTAAGACGCCCTTTCCAAAAAAAATTGTAATCACTGACACAGTAGGTCCTCAGGACCATGTTCCTTTTGAGGCTGATATGGCAGTTCCTCGTAGCAGTGATCTCCCGAGAGTGGTCAATTCTGCTGAATTCGGTAGTCTCGTTGAACGTGTCAAACGGGAACTTCAGGTATCTATCACCCCGAACGTCAATATCTCAACGATAAACGGTACAGCTGCCTCCGAAGCTCTCGGCGATTACTCGTTCAAATTCCGATGTCAGCGAAGTAACACCGACTTCCTCATCACCGCCAGAGAGATGTTGGAGCAGTTCCTACACAATCACAACATTCGTGTCTATCCTTCACCTACCTCGCATACGCACAAGCGAGGTGATTCCTTTGCCGACGCTTTCCCTCATTTCGACAGCAAGCTACTATCTACAGCGAAAACACATCATGGTGTGTCTTTTGGGTCAATCAACGGGATGTTTTCTGAAAGTTTTGTTTTTGTAGAGTCCGCTGATTTCGGGCGACCCGTGCATGATCCCGACCGTCGCCTTCGTCTCGCCAGCTCTTCACCGGACGTGAAGGCGTTGTTTAATGCTCCAGCCTATATATACAATTTCGAAGAGCAGGATGATAGTCAAGTTCCTTACATGGCCAATTCGTCCCAGGATTATTGGACACCAATGCCTCCGATCGTGCGTTATGATATCGTTTGATTTCACTGTTCCCTGTTAATCACAACTTCACACAGGGCACTGGTATCCCAAGCAGCGCCAGGCACACTGAGGACGCGCTCAAGCGTGGCTCTGATTCTCTTCTTGAAGCTAAAATAAAGGAACAAATTTCAAAACCTCGTTCCCTCACGAATCGCGCCCAGTCGTTGGATCTGACGTACTCACTTTCACGCATCACTGAGACGTCAGGCCTTCCGCCTCCGGAATCCCCTAGCAATTCTGGCAACGAAACTGGAGGTAACTCAAGTCCGATTTCTGCTACGGCACCTTCGTTCCCCAGCGTGTACGGTGGGCGACCAGCCGTGATCGGTACTTCAGCGCAGAGGGGCTCGAGGACCATTGAATTCGATAACGAAGACGCGGCTAGCGACGGTGTCACCCGCGTCATGCACAACCTTGGTCTATGATGTATCTTCATTTGCTCAAATCTCGTTCTTGGTCCGAAAAGCAGACAGAATTCTTGCAAAAATACGAGACACGCACTATCATAGGCCGTTCACTTCTATCTCATTTTCCACACAAAGACTTTTTTCACAGAATTGCCCACCTATCCGTTTTGTAAGATTCAAAAGACTAGTTTTATCCTTGTATCAGGTTTGGATGCGATATCACTGTGTTTAAATTCTCATTACTCTCTTTGTCTATCATGTACAATTTGGTGTTCCATTCATTGGAAACGTAGTATCGTTATATAGTCTCTTAATAGAATGACATTTACATCGTACATGAGTAGTAGTCCGTTATCGTGACGAAAGTCAATATTGACAATGATAGGTGGTTGAGGGAGAAGTTCAATGTTTCTGACATTACTGAGTAACCCACGGCACTTCATACAGGACGAAGTCATAGAACTCTTGTTCCATGAGAGTCTGATATTCCCCAACAAACTCCTCTGTATCACCTCCTTTCAATTTTGTACCTCTGGAGTGTGAACCCGAACCAAGGTAAGAAAAATGTGATTGCAAGATGCTGAATGTCTTTTTCGCAGATTTAGGATCAGGCTGGAAGTCGTTAAGAGACGCGAGGCGAAAGGGAACGCTGTGTATATACCTGAATAACAATCCCGATATAGTTCGCAGGTAAACCATAGCGAAGCACGCTTTCGACGAACAATCTGATGACCTTGAGATGGACTAGAATTTGGAACGATTCCGAAAAATTTGTGCGAGATAGATGTAGTAACTCCGTCTAAAGGCAGTCAGTCTGCGAGTATTCACAAGTGCACGGAAGCATTACCCAGAGCTCTCGTTCAGTAACATCAGCCGTGTCCAACTCCTGGCGTTGCTTAGCGATTTCTTCTTCAGAAAAAATGAAATCGCGAATGGTAAACCTGTCCAAGGTTGAGATGAAGAAAGTAATAATTGTGCTGGCATACACACTTATTCTCCCGGCACTGCTGGATGAATTCATCATGAACACGTCGAAAAATGACCACGCTAAAGAGGGTGTATTCATCATCTGAGGCGACAACGCTACAAGGAATGTCAGTTGGCGCCCATAGAAAGGTGCGAGACTGAATACTTTGATGATCTGGGTACGACCATGTTTGCGAGACGTTCATATTTCGCATGCCAGTCCTTAACGAGATTTCTGAAAATCGTGAAGCTCAGATCATCACTGGCATGGACCGAAGTACAAACTTTGGCACTGCAGCAAGTAGCGTTTCGAGGTATTCTGAGTCTTGTATAAAATTCTCTTTTGAAACGACGTCCGCAAGCGATCGCACGGATAGGTTCCCACTAGAGTAGAAATGTTGATACATAGCATGGATAGAAATAGAAAATGTTCATACGTCTTCTTGCGTTGCATCTGAACAAGTGATCCTTTGACGAGATTGTAGTTCGTGAGCTTGGCCCTCATTGCATTATCAATTGAAGTCATTTCCTACAGTGTGTGTGTGTGTGAATTGTAGTGAGATCATGGCATTGGGTATGAACTCACTTTGTTCAAGGTGTCTACCATATCCCTCAAACCTTTCTGCACTCCGTATCGGCTCTCATTCCATCTCCATTGGCCAAGAAGATAGCTCTCGATGCTGCTTTCGTTCACTAGGATGTGCTGGGATAATTTGGATGGATCGTTGTTGAGCAAATTGCGCAGAGTATCGACGACCTTTGCGACGGTATTCGTGAAGAATGTATCCTGCTTTGGCAGATCTTCTGATAACGCTATGAGCGAGTCTAAAGTCCCTGTCTATCCTGCCATTATTGAGGAAGTTCTTCCATGATACCGAGCACTCTGACCTTGAAGGAAGGAATACCAAGTTCGGCGATGGAATTAGCAGATATTGACTTGGACTGCTGGACCAGTTTCGTTGTAAGTTCCTGAACAATGCCTTCAGAGTCGCCATTAAGTGGTGCAGATATAATCCAGGTACTTTGGTCCGAAGGCATTGGAGGTACTGACGTTCAAATTGGAGTCCATGTATGATCGACCTAATCCTAAAACTGGCCGTCGGCTTAGGCGGGCCGGAACTCTATATTCGCTTCCTCGGATCACCACTGCTGAGAACAAAATGGCGCGAATTCAACTTGCGCTCATCTCAACCGATTGCGATTTCACAAATGGCCTCACTACTACGTTCTCTACGGCCGACTTTGCTGCGGCCCTTAATGGCTGCACGATACGCAAGCTTCGAGGCTCCTTTAATAATAAGTCCCGCTCAACTGCACCAGAACTTTAAAGAAAACCAACATGTCGCAATTCTCGATACTACTTGGTTCATGCCCAACTCCCCTCGTAAAGCCTACGATGAATTCCAAAAGAGAAGATTACCAGGCGCACAATTTCTTGACCTTGATAAGGTACTCATTTGATGTCAGCTTATACGTATACAGCGCTAAGCCATGTTCAAAGGTTGCGAGTTCTCATGAGTTGGGTTTGAAGCATATGATGCCTTCGGCTGTCCAATTCGCAGATGCTTGTGGTACTTGTAATTCCCGTACATCATGTTATGCGGATTGTTGACTGCGTGATAGAAAAACTCGGTATCCAGCCCTCTACACACGTAGTATTGTAGGTTTCATCTGTCTGCTTGCTTCGATTTGCGCACGAGATTCAATCCCTCGTAGATACGATGCTCATGGCGTCTTCTCCTCTCCACGAGCATTGTTCATGTTTAGAAATCTCGGACACTCTAATTCGAGCATCTTGAACGGGGGACTTCCTCTCTGGGATGCAAAATCTTTCCCAATTGACACGAATCCTCCAAGCTCGCCGCCTTCGAAATCTCAATATCCTCCCCCTGCACTTGATCAGAATGCTATTCGGAGTAGGTTGACACCTTATGTTATGTCGCACTTACCCTGACAATGAGTACGAAGGTTATGAGCAAATGGTAACTAACTCTGCGTTGAATCCGTCCAGCTCTCTTGAAGCCGAGCTGGTTATTGATGCGCGCTCAGCTGGGCGGTAGGTGTATGATTTGGTTCGATGCGTTTCTACCCCTTCTTATGGATCCCAGATTCACAGGAAAAGATCCAGAACCCCGTCCAGGTCTTTCGTCAGGTCACATACCCAATTCTTTTTCTCTTCCTTTCAATTTGTTCCTCAAGACTGAACAAGGATCACAAGGATCAACCTACACGGTTTTTCGAGAGACTGATGAAATTCGTACAGAACTTGACAACGCTGTTGGAGCTGCGCAAGCAGAGCGTATCATCAACGGTGAAGCGACTGCTGTAACTACATGTGGTAGCGGAATGACAGCTGGAGTTATTTGGCTTGGCTTGAAGCTGTTGGGTGCCCCGAAACTCAGCCTGTATGATGAGGTATACTAATATTGTATGTTGCTTATACTTTACTAATTGCGCCCGTCTCTTTAGTCTTGGACTGGTTATGCTATGAGGCCTACAAGCAGGATCGAGATGGCTTAGACCTGACTTAAACACTTGTATATTGAATGGAAGATATATCTGGACTCACCGTGCTTATAACGTTTCAAATGTTATTCACTATCTTTGCCCCGTTTTTCCCGAAGTCAAAGTAAGGATAAATGCAACATCGATAATTTACAAGTAAAGTAAGCATTGGTGATTCTTCCAGATCCCCGTCTGATGTCACGAACGCAGACAATCTCTCAAGACTTCCATGAAAGGCGGAGGGTGTATCAGTGGTAATTTTCCGCAGGCATGGGCAGCTATCAGGGGGCGTGATAATAGATAAGGACCCGACCTTCAAGGAACCTTGAGGACACGGACTCACGACGACCAGAATATCGCACCTCAATCCGACGCCGTTTTCCTTGACGATAAACGGTCAAATTCCAGCTACTCGATGATATTCAGTGTGACAACGCTCAAAAGTCGGGTCGGATAACCGCCACCTTTCAGTTAATAAGACATTAAGACCCTTCGTTGCTATTTCTTGCAACAGCTGTTGTCGCGCGATAACTACAGCGTTCCGAAGATCTGCCTCGCTCTGATCGTGTTTCTTCACGTCGAAAACGTAGGTTCCGCAGATGTCACTTTGGTTCACTACGTCAAGGTCCAGTTCTAGCAAAAAGTCCGATTCGAGTCCGGAACGGAGAAAATGACGCCTACTTACACACCTTCCTCTTCGTACATCAAGACAGGATCCACTAGTTTCCTCTCCGCCACTTCCCAAGGTGACTCCTTCCGACGAAGTTTGAAGAGCATGACAAGGTGCTATGTATTGGCACAGGATATTCGGTTGATTTATAAGGACTCTGAGTAATGGAAGGGACACAAACACTCCTTTTGTGCGCGGCTTGCTTATATAGCGTTTATGACTAGAAAATATAAGTATGTAGCCGTAATGCCGATTGCAAAACCTTGGACAGCCTTTGAGCTTGGCCAGTACATACATGTCAATGTTCAAACCGGGTTCAAACAATGCTCAAACGTCCATTTCGTCTTCCCATCTGCTGAAACTGCGACTCGCACATTCACTTCAGCTCTCTCAGCTGATACTGACATTTGTACTCACTTTGCTACTCATTCCCTTCTTTGAACAGCTCTTAGTCTATATAATCCAGCTGCGATCTTGCAGCATCAAGAACACGCCTGCGCTGCCTTTATTCAAATCGAAATTTGATGTTTATCAGTGTCGACACAAGTTGCCGTTCCGATTGCTATTCGTTGGCAGTGTGGCCAATGAGTAGCTGTAGGAACGATCACGGGGCGAAGCACGATTCCGTAGTACTCAATATCAATCTTCAGCATGAAGCCTATTTCCGTGAATGTGGGGAGACCGCACACCACTATACTATTAGAACTGGGCTGAAGGCTAAAGCCGACGTAGAAGGATGAAGAAGGGTACGTGACATTATCGTTGATTTTGAGTGTACGAGTACACGATTCATGAGTACAAAATGGCCGTGTTCACCAAAATGCAAATGCAAGACCCACTAATCCAGCAGCTAATCCTAACATAGATCCAGTTGTAGGCAGAGAGACGCCTACTAGTGCTCCTGATGACGACGACGTTGTATTGGTGCAAGACTGGCTGGACACATTTGCAGAAGTATCTAGTGTAAGATCAGCGCACTGTGATATCTGTCTGTCAGTCTTTGGTCTCGTAAAAAAAACACTCATCAAACTTGCCTGGAACAAATTCCCATCTCCTCCGTCGTATAGAATCTATCCAGAACAAGGACGGATGAGGTATTTTCAATTTTGAATGTGCACGAATTCTTTACCTGGATGGTGACATTTTCACCGTTCGTCAAACCTGTAGCATTGGTCTGCGATAAGTCGAATGACATGCAGAACGTTCCCTCTATGGTCTCCTGGAAGAAAGAAGTGATTTGCGTAAAATTGTCGAACGACGTGGGGTTCGATGCATTTGTGATGAACACAGCAGCTGCAAAAGATAGATATCAGACGGATTTTGACGTATCCTAGTTATTAACTTCTACCTGTCCACTGCGGGTGCTCAGAGTTGAGTGAGATGATTCCGCCACTCAATGGAAATGAAGTCCTGTTCGATGCAACGCTATCGTATCCATCTACAACATACCAACAATTAGCATCCTTATTTGTGTTCGGATCAAGGTGATTTCATACCACAAAAGTTGGGTTCCTGGTCCTCTACAAAGACACCTCGAGGAGGAGGAAACTGAAGCTGAAAGTGCGCATTGACGGCAGCGAAGAGTCCAGTGAGGATCAAGGCAGTGAAGAAGCGCATAATGCTTGAGATATTCGAAGCCTGGGGGCTGTATTCATTGGTAGCTCTCTTATAAGGAAACGACAAACCTAAATTTGGCAAGTGGATAAAAAATTCTTTCGTTCCCGATATGGAAATCACGGTAATCGGGGCGCTTGTTTGGTGATTGCCCCTTTGTACTATGTAGCACGGCAGCACTACCTGCAGCATACATAGACCCTGACTGAACGAGTACTTGGCAAAACAAAAAACCAAGATGACATTGCACTAAATACACTGTAAACAGTAGGGGGTGATCCTTTAATGCAATGCGTTGCGACGGTTCATCCTTCCGAACAGAATCTCCCCAATTCCCAAGGCCAATATGATCGATATCACATACGCTGCTTCAAAGGTCCTGGAAACAAGAATATCAGAACACCTGAAGCGGGCACCAATAACGACGCGTAGATTCTCACATGGCAGCCAACATGAGAATGTATCCCAGCAACGCTTGAACTGCATAGATAGTGCCCCTCGAAACATCATGAGCAGCGATGAACGGGGGAACACTGCGTGTTATCTTCCGACCAACAGCAGATCCAGATTTCTCACTCGCAGTATCATCTTCGCAGCATTTCTCTTCCGAAGCATCGTGCGAGGTCAGCGCCAGAGTCCTTGAAGAGCATCAGTCATAGTCCGGACAGGCAATGAAATATTAAGTGTTACCTCTGGTGCCAATAAGATTCCAATCCAGCACGAGTAGCAGATAGCCAACGCTCGAGAAGACCGACGAGTACGAGACCAATGCATGCGCCTGCTATGGCCCCGGATGAATTTGGATGCCACGTCTGGAAGAGTAGCGTGTCTCCAGCAGTGAAGTGAAGATAATTCTTCATCATCGCGGTCATGCTTGAAACTATATCTTTCGAGGGTGTAATTTCGAGAAAGATTTCAACAGAGGAAGATTGCAGATTTATAGAACCTGCTGCCGGCTAGAATTGGACCGCCACAATCTACTGACTAACTATAATTAGGCGGAGAAGCAAGGGAGAAGGATATGTCATGGTCAACTGTCCGACCTTCGAATGCCCCTAGAAAGCCTGTCCAATGATATTTCTTGATTTAAGCACTCGTCTCCATCTGGAATTTATGAGAGGTCCAACGTTTGTTGAGGATGTAACAGCTCTTAGATGGGGAAGCAATTTGCAACGACCGATCCCAAATAAACCTGGTATATATATGGATACCCATACGAGGATGGAAAACGGATAAAACCGCACATTCAAATCCACCCGCAATTTCCAAGACAGCGTACGCCAGGATACTGAACGCAAAACCGGGAACGAGAATATTCAAATTACAGTAGTGAACGAACAAGAAATGCTGTTCCGCCGAGCGACGGTTTGAGAGTTGATATGAGCCGATGAATCCACCGAATCCCGAATCCACTCCGAATGCCTTCTCCTAAATGATTGGTGAATTTCGAAGAGCGACATTCTGACAAGATTGCAGGCGCATATTTTCTGTAATGAGTAGTCGAACACAATGAATCGTTTAGCGTTCTGTCGAAGATCACTCCGTTAACGCAAGGCATATGTCCCATTCACGAAGTTCCTGTCCTTGAAGAATGACAATATGCGCTCGTTCTTGCGTTGAAGAAAGAACTACACCGCGTAGTATGGACATTGACAAAATAAAGGCCTAAGAAGGCTTTGGCGAGGATGTCCACGAAAGGTCGGACCGAGGATTGAGACGTTCGGGGAAGGAAAGCGCAGCGGAAGCTTAAAGGTTGGGTCGGACTGCCGTGTGAAATGAGTGATGCAAAGATGCCGCCATCGTTCAAGCATTATGATTGATATAACCGCAATGCTCCTCCTCCTTCTTCCCATCCGCCATGTTCATATTACGAACCTCCAATATGCGAGCTATTAGAGGGGCATTTACGAACAGTGTTCGCCTTGTTACGCCGAGGGCACAAATCAATATACAGCGCACACATTTCGTCCGTCTTAATTCTACAGAGATAAAACCAAACCCGAGGCCAGTGCGGAAGGAGAAGGAATTGAACCCTCAACGAGATTGGGACGCGAAGGTGATCAAGTACGACGACCTGAAGCCTAAAACAGAGAGTCCAGCACCAGTAGGTATCCTATTCACATTCAATCAAAAGTAGTGTAATGTTGACCAAGTTGGTTAGAACTCTTGGCTCATCGATGTTCGCGAGCCTGACGAAGTTATGCAAGGCATGATTCCTTCTGCAGTCAACATTCCTCTTACAATCCTTCCGGAATCGCTGAACGCGTCTCCGGCAACATTCCGGGAAAAGTTCGGTTTTGAGAAGCCCGGAAAAGATCAGGAAGTCACTTTCTACTGTCGGAGTGGAATGAGAAGTTCGTCAGCGAGCGATATTGCAAAGAGAAATGGATATATCAAGTGAGCATCCTACTGGGTTATTATATGAGAGTCGCCTTTGCTGAATACGGCATAGCGTTCTTAATTACAAGGGTTCGTGGCTGGACTGGGTGGAAAGAGAAGGGACCGCGAAGGCATAGGCGAAGGGGCTCATAGATTATTTACAAAACCTGTATCATGATTTCGAAATCCCGTATGAGAGGAACACGAAAAGATTATCGGAATACATACTTGAAATGCAATTGCCAATCATTGAAGTTCAATTCATTTCGTAAGCTTCAAAACTTTGCTATCCTCCACCATCTCCATACTATCGTCCGTGTTGTATCAAGTTTATCCTGTTGCCCTCTCTCCCTCTCTCGATGGACAATGCATCTCCACAACCGATTCAGGGTGCTACGCCGGGTGCCAGCAGCAGCACCACAGCACCCGCCCAACCTCAGCCAACAATTGCACGACAACCACACGACATTGTTGGCGCTCTAGGAAACTTGCTTAAATCACATACCGGAGAAATTGTCTCTAATGAACGGATATCGCATCTTCTATTATCAAACATGGAGACGCTGGTGAAGCAAGGCAAGCTGACCCAGACACAAATCTTACAGGTATTTCCTGGTTCCCTTGCTCTCCATCTATCGATATGTGATGAACCGAGGAAACAATCTTCTTTTCGATTACATTCGATGACATTGGTTCACATGGGCTGACAGACCGTGGAGCAGTTGAAAGTTTTTGCGGACAAGCACAAGCCAAATGCATCGGCCAATGGAGCAAGCAAGGTGAGTCGAGCTCTTTATACTGTCTTGGGAATGGCTGTTAAGCGCCGCCCTTTTACCTTGATCATCCCTTTGTTCAATGTTTACTCAAATTACACCATGTCCCAGCCTACAACACCTGCACCAACATCTGCACCCCCTTCGCAATCATCTACACCTCATCCAGGGTTCAAAGTACCCTCAGAAGCACTTCCAACTCTCGCCAGTCTCCAGGCATCTACCTCCGCCAACGGAAACGACTCAACATATCCTATATCTGCCACATTGACACCAATGACACCCACAGCCGGAGCAGTACAATGGACTCAAGCCAGGCCAACACTAACGGGTGGACTATCAGCTGGAAGGGTTGTTGGTTAGTAACCATCCGTCCCTACTTATCAATGCTACGGTGTTGAACTGGCATTGTGTATCTCAAGGTGCCCCTTCACAAGTCGCCCGACCTGGGGATGCATCCACGCTTCTCACTCTTGACGACACACGTACCGGTATCAGCTCGGCAGGACGAAGGAAAAACACGCCTGCTGATCAAAATATGAGACGAACAATACAGGATTTAGTGGCGAGCATCGATCCGAACGTAAAGGTTGAACCCGACGTCGAGGATGTAAGTCTTCATTCTTTCGAATTGTTTCCTCTTCAAGCTGACCTTGTTTGTGGGCGGCTCTCTAACAGCTTTTACTCTCTATTGCTGACGAGTTTATCGATTCAGTCACGAATTTCTCTTGCCGACTGGCAAAACATCGCGGTGGTGATACTCTCGAAGTTAAAGACTTGCAGTTGCATCTAGGTGGGGAAAGACTGAATCTGTGTCCACCGTCATCGTTTACTCAGTTTATTTTTCCAGAACGCAACCACAACATTCGAATCCCTGGTTTCGCCTCGGACGATACTCGAATTGCTTTGTCTTCATCCTCGTTGCCTCCATATGGCGGCGCTGCTCCCACTGGCGGTACCGGCAGAAAGTCACAGGCCTCCGGGACCGCTGCTGCAGGTGCGGGTCTGAGAAATCAGAGATTGAATCAGGTCGCACAAGCAAAAAGGGATGGAAAACTGATTTGAGCAAGGGAACTGTTGAGAATTCCCTCCTTTCGTTATCGAACTTTCCTTTTATGTTTTATACTGTCAATAATTACTTGCTTTCAATGTACTATGTAGAATAGAACGTTACGCTGTGATACTTAGGCGTTGTTCTGCGCTGTTCTGAGAGTCAGCTGAATTATGTAAGGCACTCTAATGTTCTACTCCGTCTTTCGTGTGTTTCCGCGTCGTTTGCTTGTTCCAGTCTTCAATTCGTTCAAATTCTCGAGATCATACAACCATGGTCCACCTCACATGAGGCCGCTGCTTTCTCGGTATATGTCGACTCCACCTCCCCAATTGAATGTCAGGTTTGCGGGTGTACTTTTTCTATGCAGACAAATCCTTACTCTAAGTCCTATTGCGTTGGCCACATTCAGTTCATTGTCCATGGAGCAATATCATAAGCTTTCAGATGAAGCTATGAATACACTGGTTGAAAATTTAGAGGAACTGATAGAGGATCATGGTGATTCGTCGTTCGAGGTAGAATACCATGTATGATTCTTCATCATATATCTTTTATATTTTCTGACTGACATTCCAGAGTGGAGTGTTGACCCTCAAACTAGGCGACAAAGGGACTTATGTTATCAATAAGCAACCTCCGAATAAACAGATATGGCTATCTTCGCCGTTCAGGTGAGAATGTTTTACGAGTTTTGTTTTTTCTGTTGTGTAGACGCGTTATACCTCGGCAGTGGACCCAAAAGATACGACTACATTGAATCAGATGGATCCTGGCGATATTCGCGCGATAACAAACCCCTCGACGATCTATTGAACGAGGAGCTTAGTCGAACATTCGACAAACCGATCCGACTGTCCTTATCATCAAGTTCGTAGAATTTCCGATGTATATGGCTTGTAATAATGTATTGTATCATCTAATGAGATATAAATTATGTGAATGTGTCTTCGGATTACCACATGAATTCAACTGGTGGGTGTGGATAACTGGGTACGGTGCGATCCAACGCGAGCTCCGATTGAAGTTATTGTACAGTGTGTATGCAATAGGAATGGTGTGCGCAAGGACATGATGATGGTGAGTGTAGAAGGAATCAGCTAGAAAGTTGAAAACTGAGAGTACCTCGACTGACGAGCACATGTCAACATACTGAAGTCATAAGTCAAGTATCATAGTTATTTTGAAGCCTTTGTTCCAATTCTCGTCGTCGAGAGAGAACCACCGAACCTAATAATCTGGGAAGACACTTAGTAATTGTATGTATGCACTGAAGGAAGAGGGACCATCACCTATTCTTTTCTTCGTAATGACCTTTGACCGAGGTCAACTCATGCTGTTTTCCAGAATCTGTAGCATATGGCAGAAGTGCGTGCATACCCTGCTGACTCTGAGCGTGTCCTGAAGTAGGAGGGCTGATTGGATGAGATAGACCTTTTCCAGGAGGGTAAAGATGAGGATTATAAGCATGGACCTGTTGTGGAAATGAGTGGGAAACAAGATTATTAGAGCTCGGCGACTGCGGGGATATATTGGAGGAGTATAACAGCCTATGACGTTGTAGAGTGTGTAGTTCATGCAAGAATCCGTTGGCTGATTTGTACGGTGAGTTTGGATTAGCACCGCCTGATATATCCGGAGCCGAATATAACTGGTCGTCATCAACGAGATTTTCTTCACCATCGTCTTCTTCGCGGTCTGAAGTTTCGTACAACACGTCCTGCGGTGTGCCCCAGCCTCTCATCTGGCCATCGAGAACGGGCGGCTGCGTTCGTCTTCGCTTTGTGCTGCGTGCATTTTCTACAGGCGTGGAATCGAATATGAGAGGAACATTGGATGAAGATGACGGAGGAGGAGAAGGAGCTCTTTGTCGTTTCAGCATTCTTGGAATAGTGAAATAGTAAACCGATGACGGACACTGAAGTTCAAAGGATGTCGATGATGAGCCCAGGGATTTGGCTTTAGGCGCCCATCAATGTCTCAAGTCACGCGGATACGTAGGGCCACGCAATCAAGCGCTAAACTTCGAGCTGTACAGTATCAGCCTCAATTGCTTTCCCTTTGTTCATCCAAAATGGCCGACATGGATGTCTTCGCTGCTATGGGAATCTCTGGCTTCGGTAAATCGAACCAGAAAAAGAAGCTCGACCCCTCAAGATTTGATAAAAACAAACGAAGCGAGGTATAACCATGTCTTGTCGTCTTTTCTTATATTGTGATTAATCGTATCCTAGGTTCCTGCACCTGTACATGCACCTGTCACGGTATCTCTAGCGGGCTCATCTTCTTTGCCAGCAGAATACAAGGGCGAGAAAAGTGACGACGAAACCGATATTGGACCTTCACCACCTGCCCCTCAAACTTCAACAAAAGATGACAACGAGGAAGAACCAGAATATGATCCTGATGACATGGAGAACGACGATGTAGACAATGAAGTTCCTCAATTTCCAACAACACACGAACTTATACTCAAAGACCATACGAAAGTGGTATCAGCTCTAGCGTTAGACCCTTCTGGCGCTAGGATAGTCTCCGGCTCCCATGATTATGACTGTAAATTGTGGGATTTCGGTGGTATGGATACGAGGTGTAAGCCTTTCAAGAGCTGGGAGCCATCCGGAAGCTATCATGTACGTCGCGGTGCATAATGCTCTTGAGCATATATTTAAGTTCAATGCGGTTCAGATTCATGATATCAAGTACTCGAACGATGGCCAGAGGTTTCTGGTGATATCAGGAACCCTACAAGCCAAGTTGTATGATAGAGATGGAGAAGAACAGTACGTTTTGCTATACATTTTTGAGAACCGGATAGCCTCACCTGACTGCTAAGAGCTACTTTCATAAAGGGCGATCCTTACATCCGTGATATGAAAAATACCGCGTACGTTTTGTTTGGTCTCTTCTTATTTATCTGCATAATTTAATGTCATTTCTTAGTGGACATGTAGGGGAACTCTCTACCTGTGCATGGCATCCCAAGGACTCTCAATTATTCATCACGTCTTCCGCAGATTCCACAATTCGGTAAGATGTGTTTCTGGGCTCATTGAAATGTCATCATATCCTCAATTGTGCGCCCTCACGCAGAATTTGGGATGTGGAGAATAAACGAAAGCAAAAGACCGTTATCGTGGTCAAGTCAAAGGAACGAGGTGCGAGGACCAAGGTTCTTTCATGCGCTTATTCTCCCGATGGCGGAATGATTGGCGGAGGTGAGTTAGAACCCCAGATCTTGCCAGGGCTGTCTGGTTGATTGCACTTGATTGTTTAGTATGCTTGGATGGGGCATTACATATGTGGAATACGAGCTCCAATTTTGTAAGGCCGAACCTCAGTATCGAAAACGCACATGTGAAAGGGACCGAAACCGGGTCATTAGTCTTTTCAGTCGATGGAAGGACGGTCCTGACCAGGGGAGGTGACGATACCGTGAAGCGTCCGTGTTTCCGGATTTCCAGAAACTCAGTGCTGGTTGTTCTGACGATAGTGATTTTTAGTCTGGGATTTAAGGGCATTTAAGAAACCTTTGGGCACTCGCTCAGAGTTGCCTACGCTTTATCCCAATACGAACGCTATCTTTAGCCCGGACGACAAGTACGTTGTTACAGGGGCAGGTGCGAGTGTCAAGGGTGGTACGGGACGACTATTGTTCATGCGTAAAGACAATTTGGAGATTGAAAAGACCTTGGAAGTCGGTGCTACACCTGTGAAGGTCTATTGGCACTCTAAAATCAATCAGGTCAGTCGGGCTGATGGATCCTTCTATCCGTTTTCGATGAACTCGTTACAATAGATTGTGACAGGCCTGTCGAATGGCCAGATATGTGTGCTGTATTCGCCTCATACATCGTTGAACGGCGCAAAACTGTTGTTGAACAAGGGTCCACCGAGGAAGGTAACAATCGAAGACATGTCAGATGCACTCGCTGCTCCTGCTATCCTCACTCCACATGCTCTTCCGATGTTTCGAGACGGAGATGGTATTGTTCGAGGTGGCAAACGAAAGAGGGAGAAGGACAGGATGGATCCCAGGAAAAGCCGAAGGCCAGAATTACCCGTTACAGGACCTGGAAAAGGAGGTCGAGTTGGAGCGAGTGCCACGCAACATGTTGTGCAAAATCTGGTGCGGGATACAACGCGGGACGAAGACGTGAGTAACCACCGTCGTTTTGTAGCGCCATTAACTGCTAACTACTAATTCTACCTCAGCCTCGAGAAGCACTTCTTCGATATGCGACAGCTGCTAACGAGGACCCTCAATGGACAGCAGGTAAGCATCTCGCAGTTCTATTCAACGATATGAGACTCCGTCGGGCATATCCTCTATTGCCCAACCGGGAGATCGCAAAATTGTTATCGGCACGTGTTTTTTGATTGATGATCACTGACGTGGCGGTGATTACCGAATTTTTTTTTTCATCAGCTTGGAATGAAAATCAACCACGACCAGTATTTGCGGATGTTTCTGACAATGAAGATGGAGAGGAAAAGTAGGATGGAGCCGACATTGGTAGGCAACGAGAAAGAGAAGGAGGCACAAAGAATCCGAATGGAAACAGGAGATAATAGCTCGCTGATGGTCCGTGCGCAGGGTTGGCGCGTGATCAAATTCTTCCATATATAAGGCAGTAAGCATATATCAAAGCCCCAAATCTGACCCCCCTAATTTTTTTCCCGCAAAACCAAAAGAGCGTGTGAATTTCACACAAGGATATGAACGACGCGCCAGTTATCAGTTCCGATGTCGACCTCAGTGGTGACCAAGCTTCTTTAATCGATGCCGACGCCGAACACCAACCTCTGGGCAACGAAGTCCTTGGGTCTCCGCCGGCTTCTCCTTCTACCCCCGTGTCCAACCAAATTACTCCGGAGGTGAAAATAGATGTTCACTATGAGGACCAGGAAAGCGACGCGCACAATGAGCTTTTGCCTATAGAACCTATCAACGATACTCAGGATGAGACTCCGAAAGATGTGTTGACTGTAAGTGAAGTTGCTGCCGAACTAGATTCCGGTACGTCTTGTTTTTTGTTCGTCGCCGACTACATATTCTCAATTTCAACTTGTATTTTTAACTTTAAAACAGGCTCACTACTCCCGGACACCCCAATGGAAACTAATCATAGTCACGATGCTACAGCAGTGCCAATCAATGACATCCATGGGCTCAACGGCGTCAATGGTGTCAATGGTGTTAACGGCGTTCATGTTGATTCCGATATAATTATGGAAGAGCACACCCCTGCAACAACTCCTGGTGTTTCAGGAGGTTCTTTTAGTGGCACCAATGGCTCTACAGCTCATACAACACCGAATGATATACTAGATGACGACGATGACAAGCCTCCACCAGCAAAGAGGGCTCGGGTACACTCTGATGCTGACCAGGCGTCAATTGCCCATGTAAGCCTTTTCTCCTCCTGTACGCCATTTCTGGGCGTGCTGATCTTCCTTTCGCCGTCTGAAAGTCTGCAACTCCACCACCACCTTCAGCTACCACCTTGGCGACGCCTGTTCCTCCCCCATCCGCAAGCCACGATCCTTCTGCCCCAGTTACTAGCACTGGCTCGTCCACACTCACGGTAGGACAATATCGGTTCTGCCAATCAACCATTCGATCCTTGAAAAAACTGAAGGATGCATCGCCCTTCCTTCGTCCTGTTGATCCCGTTGCTTTAAACATTCCACATTATCCTTCTATCATCAAAAATCCTATGGATTTTTCCACAATTGAACGTAAACTTACTGCATCGAATCCCGTCAAACCCGATCCCAATTCTCTCAATCCTCGCTATCGTACTGCTGAAGAGTTTGTTGCGGATATTCGACTGATCATTTCAAACTGCGTGACGTTTAACGGGCCCGATCATGTCATAACTGCAATGAGCCGACGAGTAGAAGAGGTATTTGACAAACAAGTGAAGAACATGCCAACTGTCGATGTAAGCCATAGTCGCACTTCATCGTTTTCAATGACTTACTTATGCTTACAGGCTCCGGTTGTCAAGAAACAGTCCCCACCGCCGCCACCGCCTCAGAGGCCTGTCGCTGTTGCCCCGCCTCCAGTTTCCACTCCCGCCCTCGTAAAGAAGGCGCCTCCCGTTCGGCGGCCCTCTACTTCATTACCTACCATTCGACGTAACGAGGCGCAGGAGGTTATTGGTCGTCCAAAGCGAGAAATTCATCCTCCTGCCCCAAAAGACCTCCCTTATGCTGATGCTCCTAAGAAGCAACGCAAGGTCAAACATGTTAAGGACAGCGCAGGATCAGTTGAGCAGCTAAAGTATTGCTCCAAAATACTTAGTGATCTGCATAAAAAACAGTACTATACCATTGCAAATCCATTTTATCAGCCAGTCGGTAGGTGTCCCATACTCTATACTATCAAATCTTTGCTTAGCACGCCCGAACAGACTGGATGAAACTTGAAATCCCTTCATATCCCAAAATCATCAAACGGCCGATGGACATGTCGACAATGCGGAGGAAGCTAGATGCCCATGAATATCGTACTGCTTCCAGCTTTTGGGACGATTTCAAGCTTATGATCCGAAACTGCTTCACTTTCAACCCTGCTGGCACACCCGTAAACCAAGCAGGCCAGGAGCTGCAACGCGTCTTTGATGAGAAGTGGAAGAACCTCCCCCCTGAGCCTATGAGTGAAGACGAGGAGGAAGAGGAGGAAGAAGACAGCGAGGAAGAACGTGCCCGTAAGCTTATCGGTGGACGTTGCGTATTCCCCTTTAACTGATTCTTCTCAGGTACTATCGCTATGATGGAGAGTCAAATCGAAACCATTCGTGGCACTATCTCGCAGCTGAAGAGCAAACCAAAGGACAAGAAGAAAAAGGTGAAACAGGAGAAAGCGCCTGTTCCCTCCACGTCCAAAGTTTCTCACCCGAAGCCGCCGAAACAGCCGACGACGTCCAAGAAAAAGGGTAAAAAGGCGGTCACGGATGATGATGTTCTTTCCTTTGAACAGAAGAAGGAGTTGAGCGATACAATTGACAAGAAGCTCGATCCGGCCAAACTAGAGAGAGTCATCCAGATAATTCACGAAGGTGTTCCAGAAATTCGCGATGTAAGTCTTGTCTCGCTGTTGTGTCTTCTCATCTCTAAACGCGTTGCAGAGTACGGAAGAGATCGAACTCGAGATCGATATGTTGCCCACAGCAGTACTCACCCGACTTTACAATGTTGTCGTCAGGCCTTTAAAGGCGGCCCCTCCAAAGCGAAATCGTCCGGGAAAGGGTACTGGCACTGGGGGTTTGAAGCGCAAAAGTATGGACGAAGAAGTCGAGGCCGAGAAGATTCGACAACTCGAGCAGCGTATGAGACTGTTCGACCAAGGAGCCAACGGTGCCGCACCTTCTGGAGCTCATGCACACGACAGCGATCGTTCGTCGGACTCTAGCTCAGATGATAGCTCAGGAAGTGATTCCGAGTAATCAATGCGGCGTTCTTCAATTCCAGTTTCTAGCTCTCCTTTCTAATATTTGTTCTGATGGCCCAATTTACGCCAGTCCCAGTCTGACTGTTTTGTTCTTTTTTGACCTACGTTATATGGACCGCACCGGGCCCAATTCTTTTTCTGCACCTCTGCTCACTGTTTTTCCATGATCCTTACGCTTATTCCTACTAACTTTTCATTGACTGCACAGTGCGTGTGGGCTGCTCAAGACGCGTGGGCAGTAGTTCCGCTGCTGTGTCTTCAAATATACTTCTCTTACTATCTTGCTCGGTGTATGATAAAACTATATCGAAGTACTATATTTTCATGCTTAAAAAGTGAAACCAGGCTAAATCAATTTGTATTGTACAACATATAACTGAGTAAGTTGGAAAGCAAGTACAGAAGTAGATTTTTTATGTTGGTTGAACAGCGCAAACGACTGTTATCTCCAACAAAAATCCTGCATAGAGAGAATCAAACCCTGACACTTAGTTAAACCTTCTTATTCTTCTTTTGAAACTGTTGCCAGCCGACGCGGGAAAGGTGGGACTTGGAAGGTGGATGTTGTGGTGCTGGTTGACTGATGGGTTCTACCGCAGTGGAAGGTGCCGCAGAAGGTATTGGAACATTCGCCGGTAGCGAGGATGCATCAAATGACGATCCAGAGGAAGAGGTTACAGTCTTCCAGCTGTCAGAGGACGCTGCCGCTGGAGGTACTGCCTGGGCAATTGATGAGTACGTCGACCCTACTGTGGTCCATCCAGCCTTCTTAAAACCGCCGCCACCAGATGTAGTAGTTACGCCAGAGACTGGGGCCAGAGTTTCTGGTGAGGAAGAGGGGCCAACTGAAGCCCAGCCAGTCTTCTTGAAGCCACCACCGGATGATGACAACGTGCTGTCACCCGATCCAGAAACGGAAGCCCAACCAGACGGCTGAAATCCAGATGAGCCACTAGCTACAGGTGCCAATACAGGTGCACCACTAGGAGGCAAAGTCGTCTTGGCCATCTTCACTCCGCTTGCAGCCGCAATCTTCCTCAACTGCTTCTCTTCCCGTTTCTGCTCCTTTTCCTTTCGTTTTTCTATTTCCTCCTGGGGTTTTATACGAGAACTGGCTTGCATGTCTTTGAAACGAGCTTTATGATGGTGTGCGTACGAATTGGTATGTTCGTCATACTGAGCAACGTTCTTGAATTGTTTATCGCATAGAGAACAGTAAAATGCCTTGAGGACGTCAGATATTTCCTCTGCTACTGCAGACTTACGTGCGACGGCATCCTATGGAGAGATAATGGTTCATGAGCGGACGGTATAGAATAAAAGGAACCGACACACTTCTCGAGCACGCCGTTGGTCTTCAGTCTCCTTCTGCTGTCGTTCAGAGTCTAGCCCACGGCGCTGGGAGACTGTTGTCTCTATCATTTCAACGTCTTGTCGGACCTTGCCTAGACCGGTCGAGTCTGCCTTCATCTGAAACGGAATAGGGTCGACGCGACCTGGTATAAATTCAAGATAATCAGTATTTTTGCCACAACATCCGACAGCGACTATATACCTTCACCGGATATACCTAGAGGCTGGCCTTCTACCCAGCCAAGTTTCGCCAGCATAGCAAAGCCCTTATTCGAAGCCTTGAGAGGAGTTTCGACAGTAATGACTTCCCGTGCTGGTCGACGAACATATTCGTCGTACTTGTTTATATTGTCTTGATCGACGTCCATTGCATCAGAGGTAGGAGAAGGGCTGCGAGAGGCAATTGAAACATCGTCGTCGCTGTCTTCGTCACGTTTGCGCTAAGGAAGTGAAGGAAGGAGAGAATTGGGCAGTATACACTGTATAAGCGACAGTAGATTGACAGTCGAGTACCTTCAGCGGTGTAGGTTCATCTGAACGGGTAAGAGATATAGCATTCCAGCGAGCAATCGTACTCGCGGACATTTTATTGTCAATGTAGGAGTCTGGAGAAGTACGTGTGACTGAGTCACTGTCATAGTGTGAGAGTGTTACCGGCCAGATTGTGACAAGCACGAACTCGAGGGGACGCGTCACTCTCAACCCGACAAACCCTGACGCGTACTTTCATCTCCTTCATCTGCCCAACATGGTTTGCTCTATGTCTGTCTAGGTAAAAGCTCTTAACTTATGATCTCTCATAGTCGATAATGGAATATAACGGTGGCTCCGTCATAGCCATGGTGGGCAAAGACTGTGTCGCAATCGCATCCGACCTACGGCTAGGCAACCAAGCTTTGGGAATATCATCGAACTTCCAGAAGGTGCGTAGCTGCTCGAGCTCTCCGGATGATATTAGCAACCCGCAATCCACCTAGATATTCCCAGTAACCGACCGAATCTATCTTGGACTACCAGGACTGGCAACAGATGTTACGACACTGTGCGTACAAATCTCATGTTTGATTTCCACTGAAATCTGATTCCTGCGTAGACGAGAAACCTTCAGATACAGAGTGAATATGTATACCATCAAGGAAGAACGAGAAATCGAGCCGGAGACCTTCGCCCATTTAGTTTCATCTACGCTCTACGAACGTCGTTTCGGGCCCTATTTTATCGAACCCGTCATGGCTGGTCTCTCAAAATCAGCAACAGGCGGATACAAACCTTTCATTGCTGCAACAGATCTCATCGGCTGCCTGAACTTTGCGAAAGACTTTGTCGTCGCAGGAACAGCGAGCTCCAAATTGTATGGTGTCGCTGAGGGTTTATGGGAGCCAGATCTTGATGCAGATCAACTATTCGAAACCATATCACAGACGATTATGAATGCTGTCGACCGTGATGCATATTCTGGTTGGGGTGTAATCGTGCATGTGATGTATGTTATGTTCTCTGCTCTCGATCCCATCCTGACAATTCTATGCTTCACAGTGAGAAAGACAAGGTTACCAGTCGTACATTGAAAGGAAGAATGGATTAGACGATATATGTATATCAATGGCACATCTCTTTCTCCGAACTTGATGATCATTGGCAGGAGACGCTCGCCAGCTACATGATGATAGTTGGATCTCAAAGAGGATTGTCATTCGTCGACCGGAAAGATCTATTAGAAGTCTCAAGTGCGTTCAGATTCATTGTTGCCAGATGCAAAACTTGAGGGTGACGGATCTATATCGATGAGTACCATTGCAAGATCAAGATGTAAGCGACATTCCCCTTCACTGGATTCTGCTATAAGCATATAACATTCAAAGTACGTTCATTCTTCAGGCCGAGGAAGGTGAGCAAAGTTTCTGGGGCACACCAGATACTTGTTCCATATGGACATGAGTTGCGCGACCACCAATGTATGATGTGGTTAGATGAGTCTGCTAAGCTTCAGAAAAGGTAGGCTCAGTAATTGATCATGGCCAGTCTGGCCTACCGCTATTTGGAACCTGGCTTCCCTACCATCCGGATTAGTCTTTCAATATGCACGCATCTTTGCTGGAGGTACCGGTGCTGCTGAAGCGGATGAAACTCGCTGGACATCTAAATCGTCGTTCAACGTTGAGCTGTACTTGACAAATACATTAGCGTGTCTTTCCGATTTTATGTAGCCCGTGCTACTCTACCCTCATGAATCAACTCAAAACCAACTGATTGATATTGCACATAGTAAGAGCGACGACGCCGATGAGCCTCAATCTGGCATGAGAAACAACAATGTACATTGCGCCTTGAATAGTATTCTTTGGCACTAGTACTTAAAAGTTACACAAGGCTACAAACGTTCTAGACAAAAAGCTTCATAACTATTGGTTCATACAGAACTTCGAACATCTGTTGAGGGCAAGTGCTGTCAATCAACACTTGCAATCGCCTGGCGTGCAAGTGCAGCTGAAGGAATGGTTTCAATAAATATCTTCTCATAAGAGGGAAGCACTCACGAGGCTCCGCAGTTGCACGATTGGCTTCCACAGTGCTCGGATTGCAAGGTTATTTCAGTCTAGAACGAACATCAATCACCCACTGAGATGCAGTTATAAGGAAAAAGGAATCCCACAGCGATCATATTGGAAAGTTCTTTCAGGTAGATATTTCTCTTGGTTGTGCGATGGATGTTTCGGACAAAGGAGTGGAGACTAGTGGAGAACGAGCAGATGATTTATATAGACAAAACAGTAGATTACATCATGTGCTTATTGGGGCTATGACGGAGTCAAAAGAAAAAACACAATCGAGATCTCTGAGTAAATATCTTTGACACCTGGAGGATTCCTAGTTATGAGCCTGCACATAGAGGGGGGACCGTCCATCCAAGTCAATAATGAAGAGCCCACCAAAACGAAAGAGCACGTTGAACAGATAGACATCGGATTTGTTAGTATCCCCGTAACCACAATTCTTGAGAATTTGCATATATCCTTGAATTTGCATATATCCTTGGTCATTTGACATCGGACGGCAATCCACGTCGTGTGAGGCGACATTGAACGACGGATGCATATGGAAGTTCCCGAGTACGATAGTAAAGTTCCCGAGTACCGTGCCTCACTCGGGAATTCCTGCCTTGATGGTCGACGTGAGAAGATGGTGGTTGGCGAAGGATGACGTTGGAATTAGGGTTGAACAGGCTAGGTGGTTCATGTAATGCTCGAAGCCAGATATATGGGTCTGTGACTGAGCATGGTGACGCGAGATATCGGGTAGGTAGGATATCACAGATATTGGGAAAGCCGGATGAGTAAGAAGGGATGACAGCGGCGGTGATGAACACTGACGACGACGACGGTCACGCTTGGCGATGCCGAATTCGTGTTTTGAGTGTAGGATGATATATCCGTACTAGTCTAGAATAGTGTTGAAGCGCAGAGACGCGAGTGAGCAAACTATCAGCGTGAGGAGGAATTCAGATACGCACGGGATGAGAAGACAAGAAAAATCAAGCTAAAAAACTATATTCGGAAAATCACCAGTGGACTCGCAGACAGTAATGGCCTCTGCATATATTTAAGACGTTACTTGAAGAGTTGGAGGATGTGGACATGTGGAAGAAAAAGAGACAACATAAACAGAGAAAAACGGGGGGAAAGTGAAGATAAAGCGGGAGGGGAAGAAAGGAAAACAAACGAAACTGGCTGACATGGGATCTGCCTTTTATAGCGTGATGAAAGCATTGCGGAATTGAATTGAGGCATATCTGCGGATCGATTATGTAAGATTTCTGGCGCAATAATGCGATTGGTTAGCGAAATTGTTTTTTATCCGATAACAACCCGCGGTAACCCTGCGGCACATGCTGGACTTGAATTCACGTATCCTCATCTTCGGAGGCGGTGGGACCATTGGATCTTCTACTGCTTTGCACCTGGCTCGGAAAGGATATAGAAATATACGTGTCCTCGATGTTTACCCCATTCCCAGTGCTCAAAGTGCCGGAAATGATTTGAACAAAATAATGGGAACCAGTTTGCGAAATCCTGTGGACAAGCAACTTAGTCTTGAAGCGGAGGACGCATGGCATGTATATCGCGGTCCTTCAAGCAAAAAGGATATGATAACAGTCTCTGCAGGTCCAATGACCCGACTTTCACTGCATATTATCATCGGTCTGGACGGGTAAGTAATGATAGATGATCCGTTGTAGGTCCAACTGGGACCTAAGGCCTAATCCCCGAGATAGTTAGACTGCTGTGGCTCTCCTGATGGTATCGAAGACCTCGAAAACACGATTGCAAAGCTGAAAGATGCGGGACTTGGTCATACTGTGGAATGGCTAGACACGGAAGCCCAAATAATTCGCCGTGTGCCCCAGTTAGCAGGTTCAGACATCCAAGTGCGCCGTTGGTCTCCTCTCGTATATCGTATTCTAGGCTTACAGCTCTGCGGCGAACTGAAGGGCTGGAAAGGTATATTTTTTGAGCAAGGAGGATGGTTGGCCGCAGCAAAGGCCATTGATTCAGTCGGCAGGGAGCTCGTAAGACACGGTGTCCAATTCTCTTTTGGAGAGTAAGCACAATGTATATTTCATATGATATTCATATTAGCCTGATATCGTGCTATCACAGCTCGGGAACATTTCAAAGTCTTATTCTGTCGAACGACGGGAAAACTTGCCTAGGTGCCACAACAAAGGATGGAACCCAATACATAGCTGACAGAGTCGTTTTGGCTTCCGGCGCATGGACTCCGTCTCTCGTCGACCTCGAAGATCAATGTTGTTCCAAGGCCTGGGTATATGCGCACATGCAACTCACGTCCGAAGAAATCAAAGAATATGCTGATTGTCCGGTAGTATACAATGAAGATCTTGGATTCTTCTTCGAGCCTGACGAGTAAGCTTTTTGTTCGTCACATCTGCTCCATTTCCTCAAGTTCGTGCCCACACAGACACGGAATCATCAAGGTATGCGACGAATTTCCTGGCTTCACTCGATACAAGATGCACCAGCCGTTTGGTACCCCAGAGCCAAAATCAGTATCAGTCCCCAGGTCCCATGCTCGTCATCCGACAGATACGTACCCCGATGCGTCTGAAATCACCATAAACAAAGCCATTGCTGCCTTGTTACCGAAATTCAAGGATAAAGAGCTTTTCAATCGGGCGATGTGCTGGTGTGCTGATACGGCAGACGCGAATCTGCTGATATGTGAGCATCCGAGATGGAAAGTACGTATTTTTGAATTTCGGGATTTCCAGGATGCCTCAGACATTGGAGCTCTTTCAGAATCTCTTCGTGGCTACTGGTGACAGCGGGTAGGTAGACTCTTCTGTTCTGCTAGCCTGTTCCTTGATCTGACGAACAGCTTGCAAGGCATTCATTCAAGCTTCTTCCAATCGTAGATAATCATACATTCTTATCAGAGGGTTCAGGATACTGATGAATACTAGATCGGTAAACACGTTGTGGAATTGTTGGAAGGAACTCTACAAGAGGACTTGCGCGAATCGTGGCGATGGCGTCCGGGTTCTGGGGATGCACGAAAGTCCAGGCGAGCAGCACCCGCAGAGGATTTGGCTGACCTTCCAGGATGGAAGCATGACCCGGCAACCGATACGAAGACGCAGGCCAACTTGACTGTGCAGTAGAGCGCGGAGGGAATGAGTGGCAAAGAGCGACAAAGTACCAGCTACAACTTAACACATTGTTTATGATATCACTTTTTCCCTTCTAGTCCGGGTAGACTGAACATCTGATAGATGTGCTTAAGTATCGGTTCCTCCAATGAGCCCCAAAACTAACATCGAGGATGGTTCTCGAGGGAACTCCCCAACCCCTGTTACCGTCCACACGAGTATCCATTTCCGATTCTAGTATGACTGCAATAACCGCCCCAGTCTCGCCGTCGATGATTAAGCCCGCTAGACCCTCTTTGTAGATGAGAAAGGGTGTCGTCTGTCCCCGGCCAATTCATCACAGTTCGAGCGGAATTTTCGAAGAGTAGACGAAGTATTTACCTTAGTTTACCTTAAGTCGGAGTAACCAATCACCATCCCTCTCACCTATTTACTCTATGAACTGCAGACCCACTGGGGGCTCTGACCAGGTTCTTCTCAAAGTTCATGGGGCACAAATGCTTTACTATTGGGGTTTCTGTATAGACAGGATCGGCGAACGACGAACTGTTCAGCAGACACTGTGAGATAACATATGTTAGGATGTTAACCTGCCTCAAGTGTAGGCGCATTGCGATGGCACTTCCAACGCAAACCCTGATTTGCACAGAGTGTGCTAATAGTAGCACAATTAAAACATTGGCAGAGGATAGTTCTCGGTCAACTTTTCAACAAAGCAGACAGCCGAAATTCATACAGAAGAGACACATTGAGTATGTGATGGAAGGTGATGGAGGTCCAAGAGAACGAATTATTTGAGGATGAAGCGACATTCAGTATCTAATGTTGATGGAATAGTGTGAGGATTGTCCACGGCCACTGCTGCAGATGACGAAGGTCCTCCCAAGTTCACCAGGGACTCTGTGAGAGTAGCATATTGTTTTGAGAATTGGATTTGGCAGGAGTGAGTAAATAGGAATAAATTTCGAGCTGCCGAAGCTATGATATTGATATCATCAAGACGAATTTAGAGAAATTTGTAATGCCCGCCTAGCTCAATCGGATAGAGCGTCAGACTCTTATGAAGAGCAAGGGCATCTGAAGGCTGCGAGTTCGACCCTCGCGGTGGGCTATATAGTCGAAGTTTTTTTTTTTTTGTTTGTTTGTAACCCATTTCGGCAAATTTGCGAAAGGTCAATTCTCCTCAAACTATTTAAATTTTACATCTCATAAGATATTTCGGCATCATCACTTACTACGAAACTGCCGAATTCGTACAGGTCTGTTTCATCCTCCCTTGTAGGTGAGCTCGAAACCCCTGGCCTCCTTCGATTACTGTTTTGGGTTCTGATCGAGTTGCGCCCGAACCGACCTTTTCTTACTGGCTTGCTAGCGAACGACGGGCCTCCGTCAGGGGCCTGTGTCAAGAGAGACTGTCGGTAGGCCAGACTCTGGTCGTACGAGGGCGAGGCTTGTGTCTCTGGAAGCTCTTCCAAAAACATCCGATCCGACTCGCTCTCGACGTCTTCTCTACCGGAGGAACCCTCGCTCTCTTCGTCCCCAGAATGTGTGGCCTCGTAATCGTAGAGAGGGTTGTGCTTCATAGGAACACGTGGTCGTTTCCGGCGTTCATGCTTGTCTTGGGAGCGCTTTATACCTGGTATGGTCGGAGGTGGCATTTCTGAACCAGATGATTCATGTCGACGATGCAGACGTCGATGGGTTTGGGCTGGGCTTTCGATTAAGGGGGAGGAGTTCGTAAATGCCAGCGTCGTTATGCGTTTCTTACCCACAGGTCTTACAGCGAAAGAGGGTTCGGGAGCTTGGGGTGAAGTATGAATAGAAATGGAAGATGAATCAACGGGGCTGCTAGGAAGGTCAGGGGGGAGCATATCGTCTCGACGAATCTTGGATTGAGTAGGTGGCGCCTTCGTCGCTGTATTAGAATGTTTGATGGCTTCTTGTCGAGTAGAGAACCATCCTCCATTTCGTACTTGTGAAGGCGGAGGCGGAGATGACCCATATTCCATGAACTCGATTGAATCGTCTATCGGTGTTGCGCTCAACGATGAGACACGGGTGTAAGCTGAGCGCGTAGGGGAAGAAGCATCGTTCATAAATTTCAATGAATCGTCAACCGACATTCTACCCTGAGATGGACTACGTCCAGGCGATGAATCAGAGTCATCGAGATCTAAGACAGAGTTATCCGGTACCAAAGGTTGCTGCGTTCGCTCAACGACCGGAGATGAATTTACAATGTCAAAGTCCAGTTGCACATCTTCATCTTCGTCTTCAAGCAGCCAAGCAATATTCTGGACATTGCGCGACGGAGATACTCTCGGAGGAGACTGGCCCCAGGATCCTGTTGGTGATTGGAAAGCTTGTTCAAAATCTTTCAGAGGAAAGTCAGTTGAACCGTGACGCTGAGGATATTGAAACAACGGTTTACCGGAAGCCTCACGATCTGAATCGGTCAAGTCAATGACTTCAGCCTCTTCATTGACAACAGCCTGTCCGGAGGAGCTTCGACGAGGAGATAAGGTATTCGTTTTCGTCGTAAGGACACCGTTCTCAATTTCCAAGTCGTCGGAATCATCAACTCCTTTGGCTTGTAATTGGCTCGCTGTCCATTCCGAAGGAGGAGGAGCCTCTTCTTTCTCCTTCTCCTTTGCCTTCTTCGTCTTCTTCGGCTTACTTGGATCGAGCGTTTTGGATTTGCGCAACAAACTAGTACCAGCTTTGGGTTTGGGTGCAGAAGCGGATTTCGACTTTTTGAGAGCCGGAGGTTCACCAAAAATACCGGAGGCCAGCTCTAAATCGTCCTCGTCGTCTTCTCCCAAGGCTTCGAAATTCTTTGGTTCGCGAATTTTTTTAGCCTTCTTCCCTCCCTTCTCCTTGACCAACAGATCCGCAACGCTGACGAAACCTGTGCTAGCTCCCTGTGGTATGTTCCTCCCTATGTCATCATTCCTCTTGCGCTTTACACCCTTCTTTGGTGAATTGTCGCGCTTCTTGGGTGCTTCATCGCGTACGTACGGAATTATCTCCATTTCTTTCTCGAGACATTGAGGCTGAACATTGTCTGGTAGTAGTCGTTCAACGTCTGCGTAGAATTCCAGATGCGATCCATATATGATCGAGGCTTGGACATCTTCGTAGCTAGATTGGGCTTTATCGAAATTGGCCTCTTCGCGGCCATCCGCGAGAAGTACGTGGACATGACCAGACCGTTTTCGACCTGTGCGTCCTAATCTTTGCAGCTGATTACACATCGTGTTAACGATTGCTCTTCCCAAAAATACATATTCCACATACCAAACGAATCGGTGTTTTTTGCGTATCGTAGCAGATCGCGAGATCGACTTCGCCAATATCAAGACCCTCTTCACCGATGGAGGTTGCAACGAGAATGTTGAACTCGTTATTCTTAAATTTCTTTATGATCTGAAAGAAGTGCATCAATTTCTGCCAGAAGTAGACGGGCATCATTGTCGCACCTCCAACTGCTCGCGCTGTGCCAGCCCTTTCTTTCCTTTCTTGTCTGTCCCTTGACCGATAAAGGGTGTAGCCCGAATGAGGGGCTGTTCCGCATTTAAGACTTCCACAATCTCATCTACTGCAGCTCGGTGTGTAACGAAAACCATGGCCTTCGTTGCCCCTTCCCCACTTTCCGGATCACCATCCTCACTCATTCGCGCACCAAAATGCTGCATGATCAGATTTTTCATCTTCTCCATCTTGGGATGCATTTTGAATCCTTGCGCGTTTTGAGCACGTATTTCGTTCATAAGGCTGAGGAACAGCGGGTTGGTGTGCACCTTTTTGGCTTTGGTAGCCTTAGCTTTTTCCGAAGGTTTCATACCATCTGTACTGTCAGGGCCACGAGCGTAGGCTTCAAGATCGTCGTAGCACATCTTGACCGTACCTTCCATCTGAGTTTCGGAGAAAAGGTGAACGATCGAGTCTGACAGTAGGACAACTGTCTTACAAGGTAACCAAGCCATCGAGCAAATGAGCTCAAGGTATATAGAGGGCCGCAAAGATGACGTTGTCCTTGGGCTAAACTTGCGGCAAGAGATGTCGCTGCGAATGGATGCATCCGCATTAAATTGGGAGATCCCCTCCAGATATGTGCAATGGGTTTGAAGAAAGACTAGAATAGCTGTCAGTAAAAGACGACGTTCTCCTCCATCAAATTACGCGGCTTACGTCCATGAGTTTAAGAAATAAATCCTTGATTCTGTTGATCTCCGGAGTCATTGATATGACATGCTGCTCAATTTCCTGCACACCAGCATTGCAAGGTCAGCGGCTGGATTATGCTACTTCGTGGTAATGGTACATACTTTGACGTGATTATAGCGAGCCAGTTCTCGCTCGGCTCGGATTTCGATATGACTGATGTGCAGTCCGTCAATGAGGGTTTGGACAGCTTCTTTGTTGCCGCCAGGAGTAGCAGTCAGAGCCAACACTCGGAAGTGAGGGTTTTTTGCCATCATGTAACGAATGACCTGGTTGTAAGCATAATCGCCCGTGGCACGATGGGCCTCGTCTAAGATTCAATGGAAAATCGTTCGATGACATCGATAAGTGAGAACTAACCCACGACTAGAAGAACAATATCTCGAGCATCGCAGTTCTCTGATTGTAGATCATTAATCAGTGTCTGGGGTGTCATGTAAAATACGCGTTTCTGTCCCCACTGAACTTGAAAAGGTCAAATCGGAGAAGGATGGGCAAGAGAAACACGAAGCTCACAAATTTATGTCTTATTGGTTTGGAAACTTGCCCGGTCATCTCAATTGCATCACTTCCTGGTATACCACAAGCTTCGTGGCAAGCTTCTATCTGCTGCGACACAAGTGGTCTCGTTGGAGCAACGAAAACTACTTTTCCCTCCGGGAACCATCGATAATCTAGCTGCAAAGTGAGCGTATGTTGAAAGACGTATTGATGACTCACAATTCAACATGACTACGCCAGCAATAAATGTCTTTCCTGTCCCAGTCGGAAGAGCTACAATTGTATTCTCGAAGAGACTGTTCCTAACGATATCAAACTGATAATCACGTTTCGGTCGATTTAAAGGGAAAATCCAGTGTTTAGCCTCCAAAAGGTCCAGTTGGATTTTCCTGGGGGGAGGCTGGAGAAATTTGAGAGATGTGACCATTGCAGGACGAGTACCGTACCGTCACTTACTGGACTAAGCGCGCATCGGCAAGTTCAAAGTTGAGCTTGCATCTGACAGAAGGGAGCTTTAACTCACCCAACTAGTTGCACAGAATAAGGTTAACTGTGGACGTGACAATAAACGTATGATACTCACGAGATACAAAAGGGGGTGGAAACTGTTCAAACTCGAACTCTTCCTCTTCTTCCCCTTCCTCATCTTCGTCCTGCTGCTTATTCTTGCCCTTTCCCCTTGCGTTGCCAATCTTAACTCCGGTCTTTGCAAAAGCGGTATGATCCCATTGCTTTGTCTTCCGAGGTTCTTGCTTGCTTCTGGTCCTTTGGGCATGAGGTTTGGATTTAGTGGTAGATACTCCCGCGGGTATGACCTCTCCAAATAGAGTAGTCTGCAATGTGCCTTTGGACGATGATCTTGCGAGTGAAGGGGCAGCTTTTCGTGGTAACTGTTGGAATGTCCCATCCTCTATGGCTTTGAGAGCATCAAGAGCGCTCTCGTCCAGGTCGATAGATTCACCGTAGTCAGAGCTATCTATGTTGATTGGGGAAGGAGCTCTCGCGCTGACAGGGCGTTGCTCAGTCGATTGCTGATATTGCGCTTCGATCGCATTAAGCTGCTCGAAAGTTTCGTCGTCAATATCATCGTCAAAGTAGCCATCGGAGCTCATCCCAATAATCTGAGGGGTAGCTGCCTGGACAAGAAATGAGCACAGAAAAAGACGTGATGGTGATTGCCGAACCTTTAGGTAAGGCTCCTTACAAAAATGTATTGTATGATTCGTAGGGGGGATGCTAGGGGAAGTTGGACTTGTCCATTTCCCACGGGTCATGTGGTATTATGTATAATGAAGTCAGTGCAGATGCTCGGATCTTGACATTAGATCCGAAATGGAGTCACATTGACTAAATTGATTGTAAGTTACATTCAGTCAAATTGACTCATGTATTTCAATATAAATAAAGCTGTTGCGTTGTTTTCTTTCCCCCCATTCTTTCCCCCCACCTCATATGTCTAAGTCAAATCCTTTTACTGCTTCCTCAGCATATCAAGCAATGCCCTTCAATGGGATTGCATCACCCGTTGTCGGGATCAATGAACCTGTTAATGATAATGATAATACTCTAAATGCTTCTGTGTTGCCATCTATATCTTTGTCACATTCAGCTTCCTCTTCATACAATGCATCTAATTTTGCATGTCTTACTGTTGCTCAAAAACAGTTGGTTTTCCATGCCCTGATTCAGTCATCCTCAATTCTTTGTAATGATCTGCGCAAAATGGCATCTTTACACCTAAATTTGAGTACACGCAATACTTACAATCAACATAAAAATAAAAGTGATTTGCTGACTGACTATGCTCAACATCAATGTTCTAATTATTGTCTGATCTATCATGCCCAGGCAGAGATTGTCAAGTTTTTTAGTGTTCCTAGCATTTCTCAGTTTGAATTTTTGGAGTGTGCCAAGGCCCTTGGACTTCGAAACTATAATCAGAAATCTTCCAATAAACGTAAATCTGAGCACATCTCCTCTTCACACAAAAGGAAGAAAGTTGCTCATAGTCCAACTCCAGTTCTCAATAGTACAAATTCAGATCCTGTTATTGACAGTGAAATCTGGCCTGAAATTTTAACTTTGGATGAAAAATTGGCCATTTTGCAAGAATCATATGATGCTGGCTGTAATACCTCTATCAAAAAGGTTGTATGTTCATTTTGTGGAACTCTTGAGACTGTAGACAAAATTTGTTCCATTCTTTGCACAGATTTGGATATTTCTTTACTGAATACAGCTGTGCAGGAGCTTCGTTCAAAGACAAAACAAGCTAAAATCAAAGCTTTTCAACAGCACACAATTAGTAATGGCTGCTACCAGCTCTGTATACAATGTAAACGTGAAGTGAGATTCAAAACATCTACTGACAATACCTCAGTACGTGATAAATCACAGCGTACTTTTGTCCAATTGCCACTGCGTAGTTATGCAAATGGAACTTGGACTGGTGATCTTCCAGATGCATTAAATGGTCTAACATTTCTTGAAGAACAATGCATTGCACGGGCTCGAGCTACTAAATGTATGTTCAAACTAGAGCTTGGCCCATCAGGACAGTATGCTTCTCGGGGAAATGTATGTATTTTTCCACAAGATCCAGGTCCTTTGGCAACCTGCCTCCCTCCTCCATTATCACAAATTCATGATGAAATTTGTGTTATTTTGGTAGGGTCTCCTGATGCAGAGATTACAATTGAAACTCTCATGCAAACACCTCTTCTTGTTCGAAGATCAAGAATTATTGAGGCTCTTGAATGGCTTCAGATGAATAATCCATTGTATTATGATCTCAATCTTGATACAATGTGTAACAATGCAAGCCAATACCCAGAAAATGGCATTCCAATTCCTTTGAAGAGTGTTATCCGAATATCCTCCAATTCTGAAGGCTCCTCATATACTGCACAAGCAAACTTTGAACAATTTAATGAAAATGTTTCATCCTCTGGTATGCTGTCTTCAACAGTTGTAGATGCTGACCATATTGATTCTACTTATCAGATGCGCAAGCTTAGTGCACTACAACATCTCAAGAGGGGCAATAAACCTTTCATCAAATTTCCATCTGGATCTACTCCTTTATCCACATATAAGAATCCAAAACTTTATGCATATTTGTGGCCAACACTTTTTCCTTATGGTGTTGGAATGATGGAAAACAATGATATACACTCCAACAGTTCTGTTGGATTCCGGCATATAGATATGCGGGCTCATACTGCATATCTGTTGCAGAGCAAACCAAATTCTCGATTTCAAACACATTTATCATTTATTTTTGTCATAGGAAATATTTTGCAACGCCGCCAAACTTCTTTCAATGCAAAATTGGCTGTAAAGCGAACTTGGTTTCCACATGTCGAAATGTTACTTTGCAAGCTATCCAACAACACAATCACTGAGTTTTCAGAGAAGTTAAAGAAAAATCCATTTGTACATCCAGAAACTGAGGGTGAGAAGGCTGCTAAGCAACTCATGAAATATATCAACTATATTGGTGAAAATATTCCAGGCTCAATGTCAGAAGTTCAGAACATGAGAGAGGAATTATTTTCAGTTGTTCATACCAATGGTCTTCCTCATGTATTTCTCACATTGAATCCAAGTGATACAAATAATCCAATAGCTCAAGTTATTGCAGGACGTGATATTGATTTAAACCAGATATTTCATAACCTGAAGCCCCATACTGAGAATCTTGAACGTTCAACTTGCATTGCACAAAATCCCATTGCTGCTGCCCAATTTTTTGATATCTCAGTTAAAAATTTATTGCATATTCTACTAGGAACAAAACGTCAGAACAGAAAGGGTGTATTTGGTGAAGTTGCAGTATACTATGGTGTAGTGGAAGCACAAGGCCGTGGTTCATTACACATTCATCTGCTTATCTGGCTAGAGCATGGCTTATCCCCCAATGAAATCAAGTGCAAGTGCAAGTCTGATCCAAAATGGGCTCAATATCTTACTGATTGGTATGATGATGTATTTTCTCAAAATATTCCTACACAGACTCAAAAATATATCCAAGCAAAGGGAATGTATAAACGACAACCAGTAATGAGCCGGCCAATGAATCCTCAGATTCCTGAATATTGGAATTCCTTTAACCAAGATCTCCGGAATATACTTGAAAATGCTGGTATGATACATGAGCATACTGATACTTGCTTTAAACATTTGCCTATTAAGCTGAGATCCTTGCGAGATGATAATAAAGATTGTCGTTTTCAACTTCCTCGGGATATTGTAGAAAAAACCCACTTTGATGAAGATGGATACCTTGTTCTCAAATGTAATAATGGTAATGTAAATGGTCATAATCCAATTATAACAGTTGCTGAACGTTGCAATACTGATGCAAAGCCAATTGGATCGGGATCAGTGGCAATGGCCATGTTTCAATATTTTGGAAACTATACTATCAAAAATACTATGGATACAGCCTTTGTTTTTTCTGCTCTATGTGCAGCTATCAAATTGCTCACTGAAAACCCCCCTATGGATATTGATGGGAACTTAGATACATATGAGCATAGCCGTCAATTTCTTATTAAAACTGTTAACAAACTCATTGGTAAACGTGAGCTCAGTGGTCAGCAAATTGCCAGTAAATTAATTGGGACACCAAGCTGTTATACAAATTGTAGGTATCCAATATTTTATTGGTCAGGAATGCTTCGAGAAATTGCATCTGATATGTTTGATATTGCAAATTGGAACAATGATAATGAGTCTGATATGACAATCAATGACTCTGGTAATGAAGACCTGCATACATCACAGCAAAATCTCCAACAAAGGGAATTTGATGATTCATTTGTGTTTCTCACTGAAAAGACTGTGCAAAGTGGCAAATTTTCATTGAAGAATCATTCACACAATTCACTATTTAATGATATTTTTTTCCGACCTAAAATCCTTTCTAACATTTGTGCTTGGGATCTGATGTGTGGCTATTCAAAGGAGGAATTACCTGAATCAAAGAAACAAATCAAAACCTACCTACAATTTCAATCAGGACACCCACAGTACATAACTCATTGCTTCAAAAAAATGAATATAGGTGACGATCCACGGGTTCCAGTACTCAAAGGCTATCCAATTCCCCGGAGTGACAAGATTGAACATCATGAAAAATATATGATAGCTATGCTTGCACTATTTAAACCATGGTCTCACAATGAGCAAAGTCCATTAAAGACACCTGAGGAGACTTGGGATACTGCCTTCAATACTTGGAAGAATACAGACTTATTCAAAAGTCATATCAAGATCATTAACAATATGCAGTTACTGTATGAATCCAAAGATGCTAAGTTAGATTATTCTGCTCAAAGACAGAAAAGATTTGCAGAGCTTTCCCACAAAGTAACATCAGAAGAAGATGATGGTGAAAGTCATATATATGATCCTGAATGGGAGAATGCCATGCAAGCACAAGTACCAGTTACAATTGATAATGATATATTACAGGAAATAGATACTTGCAATGATATATCACAAGAAGCACTTGACATTATTGAAGCAACAGCCCAGAGAGGATTTTACAAGGGAGAGTTTGATTCATCTTCACAAAAGCAACTGCAAAACTCATATCTCAACTGTACACATGTTGCCACTTTGCTTGACAAAGAAGCAGCTGAAAATTCAATCAATAATATCATGAGAGAAAAAGAGTGTCTTATTAAAAGGCGCTTGGAAGATGCTATTAGGAAACCTAATTCCCAACTACATCATCGCTTACCAACTAGTCATATACCTTCTCCTTTTGCTACTGAGTTGAACAGGGAGATTGAACATGCTCAAGAGCTTTTTATGAAATTTCATCCAAATTCATCTGCATGGGATGAACTCAAATTTTACCAGCAGCTGGCAATTGCACTGATTCACAAATATAAACTGAATGATAAGCAAACTCTGGCTTTCTTATTACTAGCTGATGCTGTAGGGCAGTGTCATAAAGTACGCAGCCCCTATCATTTTCCTTTTCTCACCGTCTCGACGCCTTTACTTGTACGATACATCATCCCATCACTGTCAAACCCCCATCAATTACTGATCCATCGATTACTGGTCCACCTGACCCATCTTCTCCTTCTATTGGCTT